TAGGAAAGGGGCGGGGCTAGGAGCGGAAGATACCAAGCAGGTGGTATCAGTAGAAGAGAGTTCGAACAAAGTGTAAGGAGTGAACAAGCGCAAGGACGAAGACCAAGTGCTTGGTATGAGCTTTATTAGCTTTTAGCCCCGAACACCAAAGAACAAGTTTTGTTCGAACTGGTGTTCAACATAGGCTCAGACATGCAGGGCTATTTATAGACCGGGAGAAGGTCGAGGGGCAAAAGTGGGCGAGAAGGGTGGAGCATCACAGAGAAGCGAGAAGGGGGTGCGAGAGTGGCTGGTGTGCAAGCGAGAGAGGCTTGGCACAGCCCGGGGACATGTGCCGAGCGGTGGGGGAGGCAGGAAACCAGTAGACGCGGGTGGCAACGGCGCGTGCTCATGCATGGGGGCAAACAAACACGTGGGGACTCATGATTGGTGCGGAGGGCGAGAGCATGCGGGACAATCTCATTGGTCCGTTGTGATGCTGGTCATCACATTGGTCCGTTGTGATGCTGGTCATCACACTGATCGACCTTTGCCAAGCACAAGTGCAACGCAACTCGGGATCGAAAAATTGATGGTTTGACTTGAGCACAATTTTTCTGGGGGGGATGTCACAGATCTCTCTGCCCGTCAGGCTGCACCGTCGCACTTGTGTCACTGTTTGCGTCGCACACTTTCCTTTTCCTTTGTCCTGCGACGCCTTTCCTTTCTCCTTGCTCTCATGTTGCACACGCCGCTCTGTGTTCCCTGCATTTGTCATCGACCATGCATTAGTCAGACGCCGTGTCACCCGCATTTGTCAGCCACCGAGCATTTGTCAGACTTTCACATGTTTCTCCGGTTAGCCGTTGCTGCCTGGCTGCTGTCCCGCCGCCTCCGCTGCTTCGCCCCCGCTGCGGCAGGCTTCGCCTCCGGGACCGCCAGACAGATCATTAGCCTGCCTTCACCCGCTCATGTTTCTGGTCATCACCTTCGACCCCAGACACACTCGACTCACTCGACTCTAGATCCTTACCTCCTCCTGATCCTGATCCTGTGATCATACAAGGATTGGACTGTTACGAGGGCTCTGGCGGAGGGGGCAATCTAAGGCCTGTCGTCACCATGAAGGTACATATATTGGCCAGAACAACATGATAACCAAGGACAGGGGACACAAGGGCTTCGAGAGTCGAAGACTATATTTGACAGGCCAGCAGGGAGAACACATGATCCATGTTCCCGGCAGGTGTGGCTTGGGGTTGTAACAGGAGCAGTCTGTAACACATCCTCATCGAACACCTCCTCCGTGCATCGAGTTTGCGTTCATCCAAGGACTCTCTTTTCTTCTCACATTCATGAACCATACGAATCTCTGTTAGGAAGGTTGGTCGCTGTTCGTCACGCCCTTCCCATGCTTCGGTACAGCTTCTTTGAGCATCTGCCATTGTCCCACTACCTCGTCTCCCCAATTCAAGCCCTTCCCGTAGCACATCATTTATTTCGCCGGTATTCACTCTTCGCAAGAGTAACCCTCGCCTTTGCCTCAACTGTCCTGAAATGACCTCACTGCTTGTAAAGTCCACTCGTTTATGTGTTTCCCCTCCTCACCTCTATTCAATGAGCAATGGCATTCCTCCTCATCCCTGTCACTGTTGGGTAGTTCCTTGTTTGATAGACATTGCTCTTTTCCTTTCGTTCGGCGACCAGTTAGTAATATGGAAACCAAGTGTTCTAACAACTCGTTCATGGGTTCCCTCTCCCTCGGTAGGTCGAACCCAATCGTAATAACCATTTCAATATCCCAAAGATCATACCTTCCTTATTCTTTACTCCTGGTTATCCCCTTTCATCACATAAATCTTCTCCTTGACACTCCAAATCGGGATAGGATCTGGTATAACTGTGTTGACAAGTTTATCCTCTCCTACAAGATCGCCCTTTTCTCCCTCTCCTCATCTTCACGATCACATTTCCCCGTCGCTCTCGTTATCCATCATTCATCCTCGAGTTCTGGGCTCATATCTACCCACTTGGTAGCCCAATGATTTCTGGAATGAAACCCAAATGAACCGACGCTCCTTTCTCATACAAAAGTCGATCGAACAATATATAGTCGGTCAAACCTCTTCGGAATTCGATCTATCCTGGCTACTTCTTTCTCTCAGTCGCCCGATATATGCGTCAGGGAACAATATTCATTCCCCTCAACTCCAGCACGATGAAAAGCTTATGGGAGACACCATTCCTCTGGGACATTCTCATGCCTCTGTCGGATCATATCATCGTCAGCCAATTAGGACAGTATGGCTCAGGGTATCGCAGAACAGGAAATCACATGGGCGATTGGGACGACGAGGACCTGTGGGTCACCACAGATGCTGTTACTGCAAGTCAGGACAAGAGGGTAAAGCGAAATAATCATCGCGGATTCCATGGAACTTGGATGCCCATCAAGATCATTAATCCACGGGACATCCATGCGCTTTGGTGTCCTGTTTCAAAAAGAGTTTGCTGTGTTGTCCCCTTAGTGTTGTTGAGGCTTAACGACCATCAGGACCCCGTGGTCCCCGGCATCTCGCGCTTCATGGAGTACATCGAGTGTTTAAATGTCCCACTCAGGAATGTCGCCGGGCCTGGCTTGCCATCCAGCGAGTCTCCACATCAGGGTATGGAAGATCTGTTCCAGATCAGTCCACAGACCGTTGAAGGCCTGTCCCACGATGGGTTCTTCGTTTTCCAGCTTGCCAACCTCTCCCAGCATATCCAACAACTTATCAATAGGCCCGACACCTTCGGTCTCGGGCTCGGTCCATCCAGTGAAAATATCCTTATAGCCCTGTACCAGGGCGTCCAAGGTGTCTTCCTCATCCACACACGTCTGTGCGTGGGATCTGCTCAGCTCGATTCGGCCTTCGCCGTTGCATTTGCACTTTTTACAGAGGCGGTACTTGCCGTGTGGGTGCCCGGGGAATGCCCCCAGTCTCCACCACACCATTACTACGTGTAGTCTGCGTGGGATGCTTGGTCCAAGTTGGGTCCAGACTCCCGACATCTTTGTTCTTGGTGTGCACGCAGCCGTCAGCTGCTGTCCTCGCTTGAACGATGTGTGGGCATCGTGGGTCAGCATGAGTGTTTTGACCGACAGGATCTGTGTGCGATCCGTGGTCGAGTCGTCGTCCTTGGCAAAGGCCATGGACATCGAGAACGTGGCGTTCTTCTCCTTGCGGGTGCAGGTCAGGTTCCATTGGATGCTTTCGTAGAAGGGCTTGCCAAGGTATGGCTGGTCCTTCATCGCCGTGGATCGGATAAAGCGGGTGATGAGGGCGATCATCTTGTCGTCGTGTGTGGCGACGTCTTCCCATCGTGCTCGGCATTGGATGCCGAGGACCTTGGCTCTTGTCGCCATCGTGGGTAATCCGCAATTGAGGTGCAGTGCTCCGTGTGAAGTCGTGCGAGCGGTGCGGAACAGTAAGTTCAGGCAGAAGGTTTGTGTCCGGTGGAGCCGCTTCTGTTCGTTCTTTGGGATGGCGTCGAGGGCGAGGCCGTATTCCATCATCGGCCGCAGGAACGTGCGGTATGCAATCGTTAGGGTCTTAGCCGTGAGGTTCCCAAGGGTCAGGCCCATCTTGGCCATGTTGGATGCTGCTTCTCTTGTCCTGGTCACCATTCGGTCCTGGTAGATCGTCGATGAAGGCGCTGAACATGAGTGGGCTCAGCACCGATCCTTGGATCAGTCCTTTCCGGAGCCATGCTGGCTTGGATCTTCGGCCCTTGCTGACCATTTGGATGGATACCCGGTCAAACATGGCTTTGAGGAAGCCGAGGGTGATGCCGTTCATTCTTCGCTGCTTGAGCTTGGTCCAAAGTCTCTCGCGCCATACTGTGTCATAGGCGGCTTTGATGTCGAGGAAGATCAGAGAGTATTCCTCACCGTTCGTCTTGTGGTGCTTGATCAGGGTGTCCAGGGCGACGATCTGGTCAAGGGTTCCTCGTCTGGCTCGGAATCCGCCTTGGGCGACGTCCATGTCTCCTGCCTGTTCTGCCAGGAAGGGGAGCATGATCCTTTCCACGATCTTCCTGCAAGTCTGAGTGAGACCGATAGGGCGATACATGGCCGGGTCCAGGGTCGATCCCTTCTGCTTGTACACTGGGTGGATCAGCACGCTGTTCCATTCGTTTGGCACCACACTGGCCTTGAGCGCCGCCATGATGATCAGGCGGAGCCACTCGGCTATCACTGGTGCGACTCGTATGAGCATTTCGCTCTTGATCTTGTCGGATCCCGCTGCCTTGCGACATGGTGCCTTCTCGATGGTCTCTTGGATGTGCTCCAGCGATACTTCTGGGAGCCGCTTGTCGGGCGGCAGGAGGGTCGCCTCCGTGCTCAGGGGTGGCGGGGTTATACTTCTGTCGTACTCTGTCCCGCTGTCCTGCGAGGCGGAGGATACCTTGCCAAAGGGCACCACGAGATTCTCGAGAGTCGGGTCCGAGTTGTCAAAGAGGTGGGATCCCTCTCTCTCCTTCCTCGTGCGCATCGCTCCGATGGTCTTGGTCATCTCGGAGCACTTCTGGGTGTCCATGGTGGCCATGGATTCCTTCCATGACCGTATGCCGTTCTTGCGCTTGAGCTGGGTGATGGCCTTTCTCGTGGACCGAAGCTGACGACGCAGGTCGTCCAACTCTTCCGTGTCGTACTCTGGGGTCTGGGCGAGCATTCTGCTCAGGCATCGCCGTTCTCGTTCCAGGCGTCGGATTTGGAGTCACAGTGTGCCCTCGATCCGACCAGGGCTGATGCTGGATGACCCCTTGGTAGGTTTCTGTTCTTCTGCGCTTTGGCGACCATCGCTGGCAGTGTGCCAGTCGGCAGGGTGTGGTTCATTATCTGGTGTGCTCTCTCCCTGATGATCCCGCGGATATCGAGATCAGACGTGCGATCCTCGTTTCCCAATGTCCTTGTGGGTCGCTCGCTGCAAATTGGATGGCACTCACGACGATCACATGATCGGCGCAGTGGAGTATCGGCCTGTGATCGGTCTTCCCTTTCCTGAAACGATTTGATCTCGGTCGCCTGAATACCTCTGGGCTGCGGCCACATCGCCAGTCCCCGTTGCTATTGGGCTAAACCGCTTGCCCTGTCTCTGCATATCCTCGGCATTGGCCATTTCATTGGGCTCTGAGTCAAGGCGACCGCCCACCTACTACCATGCTCGATTTCATGAACTATTGCCTCCAGCAGTACTACAAGACTTTCGGATGGACTGAGCAAAACTACTACTCGTCCTTATCAAGTGCATCAGACTCCATCCTCAATTTCGAAACCCCGCACGGTCTTGGTCTGAGACTTGGAAAGCCCATCTCTCCTTTGCTCTTTGCCTCGTATTCGCTGGGGCTTCCCAGCGACAAATCCATCGGATTTCTGTTCTCCTCCCTCCCTCTCAAGATTTCGCCTCTCCCCCTCGTCGAGAAACCTTGGCCGATATCCCTTCCATTTGATCTCGAGGATTCCATCACCGTTACTTCTCAAGAAACCACCGGCACCCTCCCCGAGACCAACCATAGTCACCTGTCCAACCCGGAGGCTCTGGCCAAGCTTGCACAGCAGATCTTGACTTGGACCCACTCCAGGCTCCCAACCCTCGAAGAGGATTATTTGCTTTACGGACGCCTTGATCAGGATTTTTCACTCGAAGGTCTCTACAGTCGACGTTTGTTGAAATCGACCTTCTTGGTCGTGTCGGGAACAAACTCCTGGTCGACGCCAGCTTCATCGGTGAGCAGCTCATGTTTGCATAGGCATCATCATTGTCATCATAAGCATTGTCTCAGTCGCATCGAGCAGGCCAGAACGGGGCGACATCTTACTAGGCCAGAAATTTACTACCCTAGATACACACTCAACTCCTCCACAACAGCTCCCGATGGTGCGGAGAGCTAAGCTACACGAGCGAAGATCACATCTTTGGCCTGAGTGGGCTATATCGCTTCCTCAATTCCGGCTGGGCTGTCGGTGGAGAGCTCTACTATACCGCACGAGAGCGCAGCGGTGGGCGTAAGTATTTTCTTTTAGGATTCCCTGCAGATGAGTGCAAGCGAGCTTCATTCCCCATATCGGCCCAGCAGGATATGTGTGGGCATGGTTGCTTGTTCCATTTTCGGATGGTTGCAGTATTGCATTGGTGATCACGGTTCGTCTGTCTGTATCTCTGATTATTTCGGATCGGGTGCTCGCTTCGGATATTCAGTATCGCTAGGTGCTCGCTACAGTCGGCAATACGCCGAAACGGCGCACTCGGTCATGAGCTTCGTCTGCAATCCGATGATGGGTCATCTCTCGGCCACATACACAGCCACGGTGCGCCCTCACCTCGATATCTCAACCCGATATGACCTCAACGTATTCAGCTTCGAGTCTGATGTCTCGGCCGGCCTCGAGTATTCGCCCATTGACAAGGCTCATGTGTTCAAGACCAGTGTCAGCCTTGCAGAGGTGAGCTTTACAATCATGGAATGACTGCCGGTATCCACAGCCAATTTGCTCATTCCATCCATTCATTTAGGGATTCGCCGTAAAGTTCGAAAGTCGATTTCATCGCCTGATTGCGAGCGTGGGTCTGAAAACAGGCTTCCAGCGTCATTCGATGCAATCGCTTGGACTTGAGTTGCAATTTTGCTGACACTGTATGACTAAAGTATGGCGAAGCTTGCCCAAATAGTCAGTCGCAGCCTCAACATTTTCGAGCATCGCACGATCCATCCGATATTCCGGGCCGAGCTCCGTAAATACCGAGCGCCGGTCGACGTTTTCCTTACCCAGTGGCGCAGTTGCTGTCACTGTTGTGCTTGAATCGCCAATGGCACATTCTCGAGCATAAGAGACCTGGATGGACCTCGGCAACTTGATAGCAGACGGTTGACTGATTGATGGAGCCATGGGAATACTACGGTCATCTTGACGGCGACATCAACATAGCGACATCAATCATACCTACTTCCCCAGAGCACACCTTCGATATATTCAACCCTATCACCGCAACTGAATATCCTTGCAGTTGATGTGTTGTTGACAGCAGCCAATCTGTCAAGTGAAAAGCAAAGCCATGCCTCCTGACATGTATGGCTCTCCTCCTGGTGGTGCTTATCAATTCGAGTACTCATGGGGACAAGAAAAATCCTGGAGGCGCCCAAGATTCTGAGATAATGATATTGGGCGGCCGTCCTTGCATCCAGGGGTGGGGTGTGCCGATTACAGCTTTATTGAAACGGAGCGAAACCCCATGCTTGAGTCAGGGGCCCAGCGTTGTTCTGGGTCCTGAATGCACACCTGCCCATCGCCCGCCACGACCAAATAGCGTTCTCACAGTGCCTGGAGGCCAAGCTGTCGAGAGGATCGAGTACATGCACCACACTCACGCATCGAGACAGCAGTGCTTCATGAAACATGATCACGACATGCCTGTCGATCGTCGCCACAGGAGCTCGACCGGGTGTATTCAATGCCATGCTTCCCATCCAACCAAACCCAAGAGATTGCCAACCTGGACTGGAAACAATCGCACGGCTTGCTTACTGTGGTCTGCGGAAGTTCGGCATGCCTCAGGCATCTGAAGCCAGGAAGGAGCTGTCCCGTTTTTTTCTGGATAGACTGTATACGACGATCATCATGGCAATACCGGGGCACTGACAGGCCGAGATATGTTGATGGCATGGGCAATGTTAAGGACGTTCAGTGATCCCCCCCCCAACTGATTGAATCGTTTGGCTATATCGCTGCTCCTTAATGAGACGCTTGACTACCGTGGCTTTGTTGTCGAGCAGCTTTGAATCTCGAAATCTTGCCATGGGTGGGTGCGGACTTGGTCTATGGTGTGGAAAACGTTCAGATCGGTCACGCTTGGAAGCTCAACCTGGACGCCAATCGCGATCAAGTCAAGGTGCTTTCTTGACCAGCGCGGTGCCTCCATTCTTACCTCTGAGTTTACGCCGATTGTCTCATCTAGCACACTCGTTGCTTCCGGGAACTTTTCCCTCACGATAGACTGGGCAGGTGGGCTTGGTCGAGCGTGTGCCCAAGGCAGTGATGGCTTATGGCTCTTCATAGTGGCTTCCTCTCCCGTTTCCCTGAGCTGCCCTTGACCCGGATCCGCGAATCGTACGGCCTGGAATCCAATGACAGGTCATCCACTGACAAATCAATCGCTCGCCGCTTGATGTTCTCCTATCTCAGCAATCAACATCTTGCAAGCTTTGGCAAACTCACCACCATCAATCACAAACAAGTCAAAACAAGCTTGAACTTGAAACTCACCTTGATAGCGCCGGTCACTCCCACGTCCGATGGTTGGATTGGAGCTCGGGCAGCCGTACCATCCACGACGCTGGTTGGGACAGGCTTGCTCCCGCTCGGTGTGTATTTTCCGCTTGGCAGAACCTTTGGTGGCCCAGTGGCGCGCGTCTTGGCAGTTGCCGCATATTTATCACGGAGATACTCTTCATAGAGCGCCTCTTCGTCATCGGAAACATGCGAAACACGCGATGCCTTGAACTTTGAGATCGAGGGCTTCTCTTGAGGAGGCTTGAGCTCAAACGCCTTGTTTTTGAATCCGAATTAATATCCCAAGGAGTCCACCTCACGCGCCGCTTTGCTGCCAGAGTGGACCAAATAGGCCGATTCGAATACCTGATCGAGTAGAGGCTTGCCACTCAGAGTTGTTTGTGATGCAATCATGCGCTGCTTTTGATGATAGTATTCGTTTGCTACTTGTGTCGATAAAATATAATCCTCAAAGTCTTCTGCGACAGGGGCATCGATACTTTGCTCGACAACCAGGTCCGATATAACGTCGTCGGCTTGGTGTGACCGATGACCTTGGTCTTGAGCCACAGTGCCTGTGCTTTTGGCGGCCAGAGTCTGGCGTGACTGCTTCGGAATACGTGGCTTGAATGCCCGAGTTGACGAGCTTGATACTGAAGCATTCTCTACTCCCAGACGATGGTCAGCTTGCACGGACTCCGATAACCGAGTGAGAGCCTTCATTCTCCGATAAATGTCCGCCGGGGTGTTTAGTGGCCCATTTATCACTTGCACGCCCTCATCTGGGATGGCGCTAATGTAGTCCGAGACATCCTGCAGCAGCTTGTTTTCGCGTTCGAGCTTTGCTTGCGCTGACTCTTCATCCGACATCGCATCGCTGTGCTCCGAAGGCTCGTCTACCCATTCATCCCAAGAGTGGTCCGCATGCCTGTCCAGTCGGGCTTGCTCAGCTTCATTGTGCGATTCCACAGCGTCCCCTTGAGCAACAGGGAGGGCCGTATCCTGCTCTTCGCTGTTACTCCCGTGCTGAATCGGCAATTCACCAGCAACATGATTCGGGATTCTTGGGTCACCGTTTGAGTCAGAATCATCATCGTGCCCTTGATTTCCATCAAAGGATTCGGTTTCGTCAAGCACGTCATCGTCGCTGTGAGTAGACGGCTCTTCCAAATCCTGTTGCTCCTTCTCCTCCTCGATTTCAAGCCTTCTGAGTCGCTCCAAAAGTTGCCGCTCGAAAGCGCCGATCTTGGACTGATCAAGTGCCGGTGGCGCCGACAGAGCATGGTCTTTGGATAGGGCCGGGGCGGCTGCCTCCTTGACAACTCCTGGGTGATCACATTCGCCCGTGTTAGCATCCTCCAGGAGCTGAATTATGGTATCCGCTCGGCCTGGCTGTGGATACATACTTTGAGAGTGTGCTTCGTCGTATTCCTCGCGGATCTCAAACACCGCCTCCCCATCTTCGTTGATCTGGTAGCAGAGCGATATCATTAGATACTCGCAGCTCTCTGGACTGGCTCAAAGCGACATGAGCGCAGACATGAGTATTGACAAGCCCACCGCCGTGTGCCGCACGGGGGACTGGCAAGTCAAGTTCCATGAAGGCTGCGTCCCAAACCCTGTCCTTCTCAGCAGCAGCAGCAATCGCATCGCCTTGCTGAGGTCCAGTGTGCAATGCCAAAGGGTAGTATTGCGCACCTCGTTTAAGCCTAAGAGGCCTGTCTCTGTGACATCGCTCTTGGCGGATAGATTTCGGATTCCAGTTTCCAGAGCCTCAATTTGCTGTTTTACATCTGTGGGAGAGATTGCACATGCGTGTCCGGTTTCGTTTGAAGTGAGGCAAAGTCGCAAGTCTAGAGTGCTACCGATCCTGTGTATCGTATATCAGGATCCTTGCTGTTCTAGCAGCTGCTTACATTCTCTCCGGCGGTCGATGATCTCGGCTGCTTGCTGGCCGGAGCGTTCGACAAACCAGTTGTCGCCAAGCAGCACCATGATTTCATTGGTGTGGACCATATGGCCCTGCATAAAGGCATGCCTACCGAACGGAACCTGAGAATAACATTGGTCAGATCGGTCGGACTCTGGACTTTGGAATCCAGCGAATGCATATCACAGGAGCAGCGACGACGCTTGGAGGTGCTAACCGTGATCGGGTGGCGTGTCTTGGTCGGAAGCTCGAGAACCAGGTCCTTGAGCTTGACATAGTCCAGATCATAGGACTTCCATCTCTCCAACGACGATCGGGTTGACTCGAGGGTCTGTGGGCGGCGGTGTCAGCGGAGCAGGTTGGCCAGCCAAAGCATCGCAGGGCATCGCAGGGCATCACAGGGCATCGCAGGGCATCGCCCTGGCTGAGCCGACTGACTTTGGTGCAGATCGGTGACAGAAGGACCTCTCGATCGATACCTTGTTGACCCTGTCCTTGAATTGCTGGATATCTCCGGGAGAAGCTTCGGGGCCGAGCATTGAGTCGCTGTCCATAGTTGTGGGCTGGGCTCGGTCTGATGGGCGGCAGTCCCTCACCGGATTGGCTGTCCTGGGTCATGGAGGAAAAAAATGCTTGGGCCCCTCGCGGCTGCTCATCTCGGTCACCTGAAAGTCACGTTGTATGTGGCGCAGCTAAGTTGGAATCCGGCCATGGTCGGTGGGAGGTGTTTGACTCCTTTGTGCAAGTGTGTGTGTGTGACGGCGAGAGGCTTCTCGCCTTCCCTCGGGGGTCTCTCGCCAGAGGCTGCTCTTCTCGCCGACCGAGGTGGCTCCGAGAGCGCGTTGTTTCGTTCTCGCTCATTTTGATCGGCCGTTTCGGCTGGAAAGCCGTGGCCCTGAAACCCGCGACCTGGCTGTCTGAACGCATTCGCAGTGCTCTTCGGTATGGGCAAACGCAAATCTTCGCGAAAGCCGCCCAGCAAGGTCCGGCTCACGCTGGACAGGGAATTCAACTGCCTGTTCTGCAATCACGAAAAGTCCGTGAGCACCAAGCTGTACGTCAGGCCGATCGGATGGAGCACCCTCCTGGCGCCGATCCTGGCATTATCGCCGTTCTCTGGATGCAGCTCGCATGATCTGGGTGTTGGTTGGGCTCCTGCTTCGATTGAGGGCGATCCCGGGTCGTGTCAAGCCATTCGGCCACATTTCCTTCCTCTGATCACTCATCCATTTGCCCACAGCGACTTTAACAGCAATGTCGGCTATCTCTCATGCAAGGCCTGCAATGTCAAGTTCCAGGCCATTATTAACGGTGGGCATAACTCCTTGGGCTTGCCATTGGCCCCGCTGCAACAGGCCATTATGACCAGCCTCTTATTGCCCGCACTCCAACCACTACCTCACATGGTCACGCCAATGCCAATGCCAACGCCAATGCCAATGCCAATGCTTGGTTGGGATCGATTTGCCACGACCTCAACTCTTGCGATGTCTGTTCTCCTCTGGGTGGCCTGCTCAATCAGCTTTGAGCGAGCCCATCGACGTATACTCCGAGTGGATCGATGCATGTGAGCGTGCCAACGCCCAGCCCGCCGACCGCCACCAGGCAGCCTCCCCAACGTTCGACGACGCAGACGACTACTGAGTGATTGGCGGATGCCTCTCGATGGCATGCAAATATTTATTCGTCGGCCCCGCTGATAGCAGCAAGCGCTGCTGTTGGCTAGCATAGCACCAAGGACTGTGGCTTCACCCGCCCCCGCAAGCCGCTCTGTTTTCCAAACTGATCTTGCTGGACAGAGAGGTGGCGGCCCCCAGGAACTTCTGCGGAACGGCTGTCATAAACATATCCTCCAATAAAGCCATTGCTCTCCGGCCGAGCGCCCAGCCAGACAGAGCAGCCATTCGACTCGCACCCGAATCAGACTTCACCGTCCCGATCCGCCCCGCTAACCAGCACATCTGCACCCTCGCGCAATGGCCTCCAAGACGAAGCAGTCGAACATTGAGGACGATGACATTCTTGTAAGCATCATGGGTTCGAAAGATCGGCCAGGCCCGATCGGGGCTGGAAGGCACCGGCCTGGATTGTGCGCCGTGCGGATGCGGGTTCCCTTTGGATGGCCGGGCCCGGGTTGCTGCTACGCCAGTAATGGAGGCATCGGCTTGGCCTGGAGCTGGCTATCCAATATGACTGAGGCCATTCCTGTGGAATGCCCCGTCCTTGCGTTTGCTGCACGGCTTATCATGACCGAGGCCTTCCCTGCCTCGTCCTCTCTTTGTTGTGATTTGACACCGCCTTGGGTCAACCATGCGAACACTGACACCCGGTACACCTCTTCTTATGCAATGCATCACACTCCGGCACTTGGATGTTGAACAATCATAGGCCACCCAAGAAAGGAAGAGTGCCCAGAAGGTATCAGGTTCCCTGCGCTTTCGTAGAGTTCGAGTTGGACGTGCTGGCTCAGTTCTATTCTTCCTCTGACGCTACCGCTGATCAACGCAGCTCGCCAAGCAGCTGGCAGAAGGAGAGCAGATGAGACTGCTTCAGGAAGAAAAGAAGTTTGAGCTGCAAGAAAACATGATGAGAAGACTCTCTCTCGAGGTGGCCAGGAAGGCAAGCCACCGAGCTCGATCATAAGTGCATCTCCGGTGCAGCCGACACCCGGCCCACTGTTTGTTGTTTTCTTCTTCATCTCCCACCCTCCAGTCCGGTGCTGATCGACGTCGTCTCCACAGGCCGAGGACCAGGAACAGCAGCGCCGGATACAAGAGGAGCTCAAGGCGGCCGCCAACTCCGACTTGATTCGGGCAAAGTCGCGCAAGGCCGCAATCGAAATGGAGGAGGCCGAGCAGTAAGTGTTGGTTCCAGGGTGTCTGCTCGATATACGGCCGCCGCATGTTGGATGTGCCTGCAACCTGGGAGGCCTGAGGGCTCACCAAGGACCGTGAAACTACAGGAAACGGCGTGAGGCAGCAAAGTCATATGAGAACCTCCCAGCAATGAAGCGAGCAATCAAGGAGGATATCCAAACGGAGCTCTTGAAGCATATCAAGCCTCAACCGACCCACCAGACCGACTGTCGTGCCTACGTCCTCGTCTCTGGCCACGGACGTCTTTCTGGCCCGTCGTCGGCAGCTCGTCCACAGCTCCTCATTGCGGCTCCTAAATCGCCCTTGATGATTGTGGCGCCCAAGTCGCCTTTGATGATCACTGCACCTCGATCTCCGTTGCTGATTACAGCGCCTCGCCAGCAGCCCACGATCGATCCCAAGAAGCAACAGCTGATCCATGTTGCTAGCAAGTAGCTGGCCCCTCCCTCCGAGCCGACAAGTCCAGATGCTCAACGGAACCTTACTCGCGGTCTCTTTGAGGACTGTCTCATCTTGACTGCTTTCCTTCGTCACAACTATGAATTGCTTGTTCACCCATACTTGTGAGCATGACCCTGCACTGACTTCCTAGCAATCCCCACACTGCTTGCATGCGTATACCCAGGGATTGCTGTCGATGTCTGTGATTGTCCATGAAGTCTTGTGAAATCCATCGAGTATACGACGCTCACAAAACGGGTGCGACAAGCTATTTGTTATTCTGCACTCTATTCGAATGGCAACAGACACTCCCATTTCAGTCGAACATGTAGTTTTTCAAAGCCTGCATCAAGCAAGGCCATTTGCAATAAACGCCGATTACTTTGGCAGCCTCTGAGGGAGATCGCAGATCCTCGTAATCGCCATGCACACAGTGGCCATGTTGCTCTTGGACACTCTGCAGCTGGAGACTGCATTTCTCGGACTGAGGATGAGGCGGAGCCTTGCAAGGCAGCAATACGATAGTCCAGCGTGTAGCACTTGCAAGTTCGTCGACAATATGGGCTGATCCAGCCGTTGCACGACCATTTGTGGATGGGGCCACTGAGCACATCTAGAATGAACCGACATGTCGCAGACGAGCCAAGCGGGGTCGACGTTGCAACCAACGATGACCTCATGATCGCGTGGCCGGTTTCATATGTGCGGACAATGGCGGTCGACTGGCTGCCTGGCTGAACGATGTTGTCTCGTGAATCCAGCAGGTATCCGACCCCAGTCGTCATCTCAATCACGGTTGGCATATGTGCGATCTGCGCGCAGGTGTCGTATCTGACGAGCCCATCTCCCTTAAAAGCCGCATCTACTGCTCTTCTGAGTCTCCACGCTGCTTGGCCAGAACCTGTTTCCAACACTTGAACGCAAAGTTCGCCCGTCTCTGCCTAGCATTCTCCAAAATGACATCGGGTGCGTGGTCCAGCCGCGACTGGGACACCTTTGCGGCCTCAGCCGTGATCTGTCTTTTGTGGATCACTTCGCTGGTCGCCGAAACCGTGTGCCGATTCAAGGCCACGCTTCTCTGGTACCTGATTGTGTCCGCCATCATCGGGAACATTGTCAAGATCATCTTGATCATGGTCTACACATCCTACTTCGACCCCATCATCTACAATGTCTACAAGGTCTCAGACTGGGCTGTTTTCATCACGGCTGCGGTGGTGCTGTACAAGCGCAAGGCCTATGTCGTGCCTGAACGATCAAAGTTCTTCCTCGACCAAATCATGCTCGCTGTGATCGTCCTGACGCTGACCGCCGGGAAAATGGCCTGCTTTTATTCTCCCATGGAGGTTTGCTGGCCGATTGAAGGATCCGTCACCTTTATTTCCATGCTGATTTCGTGTATCTACTTTGATCTCTACTACTGCTATCTGATCTATATTCGCGTGGGAATGGCTTCGAGTCGTAAGAAGGCTCTCGAGCTGTACTTGCCCGTCATTTGGACGTTCTTGTCGACGTTTTTGTGCTTCTTGGGCTCCTTGATGTATCAATTCGGAGTCGCCACCTTCTTCTCGAATATCTTTTGGAACTTTTGTAGCGTTTTGTTCCCCATCGTTGCGATCCAAAGCAACATTTCCGCCAATGTCAACAACTTTTTGAAGACCAACCGCAGCGGCGACCGCCACGACACCGATCGCACATCGACCCCAAAGTCTTCGAACCACAAACGCAAAGCTTCAAATCCCGTCGTGTCACCGGTACCCATCCTCAAGTCGTATCCGATCAAGAGGGACCCAGAATTCCAAGCCATCGGCGGTTCCCAGGCCGAGCTCGGATCCTCAGCCTTGCCGCTCCCGAGCACTACCAACCTCAGCACCATCGCCACGACCTCGACAGATTTGCTGAGCAAAGACAAGCAGCGCAATTAATGTGTGTGTGGGGGGGGGGGTGCGCAGGACATACCTTTTCCAGTCTCCTTTACCGGCTTTCAGCTTCCTCGTATCCATGTTTCGCTCCATATTTCCAACAGCACAGTCAATCCAATAAAAAAATGGGACACCCGTGTTTTTGACCATTGAACGAATATTTTGTTACCCAATGTTATCGCGCTGGCCATGACCATTCGCCAGTGTGTCCAAGAGCAACATTCACCGCTGGGACTCCGAGGCCAGGGTGCAGGTCGATTGTGGAGACCGGAGAGCGACTGGTGGTGTTCACTCGGAGGCTGCCAAAGTGATTTGATTTATTTCTTATGGCTTAGCTAGACGCAAGCACATCACAGATAAGCTGACATATGGGTTGTGGGATGTGTCCCATTTGCTGTGTAAAGTGTAGCATCGACCTCAATACATTTGGTACAATCCACAGCATTCCACCAAGTCCAGGAGCTCGCCGATCCGGCTAATGAGCTCAACCAAGATGCAAAGTGCATGTACACATCGTCAACGATCTGTGGGAGCCTCGGTTCTCCATGCTCACTGTGGTGCTTATGGTTATGTGCTCTTGATGCGGATGGTGTATTGGCAGGTGTTCTGTTGGGCTATGGATTCGACAGGATCACCCACGGTGGTCTCGGTGATTGAGACGAGACTACGGACTGCAGATCCTGCAGCAAAGACCCGCCATCTGCTGGCCACAGGCAGACGTTCGCATTTATAGCCCTCGGATGATGGGTGGCTCTGGTTGTTTGGCCAAGTGTTGACTGAAGCTCAGCGAATGTTGGAGCCTTGAGACATCGGGTCGCAAAATGTCAGCGAGGTGCCTTGCCTCTCACCACATACCTCAAGCGCAGGCTCGGTGGCGGCAGATCATCCTCGGCAATTCTCCGCCATCTGCAGGTGTGCGCTCTTGACAGCTTGTCTCACGCACCTTTGATGACACTCTTGACCTCGTCAAGAGTCAGAGTCTCATGGTCCATCAAGGATCGGGCTAGCCGATGGAGCTCTTCCTTGTGGCTTCGGAGTACGTGCACTGCTCGAGAATGCGCCGACTGAAAATGGGCGGCCCGTGGGTAAGTTGTGGTGCCGGGGGCTCGTGTGAGGATTGACCGCACACAGGACACAGACAGCAATGGTGGGGGCGATTGTGTATGGCAGGTGCCGAGGACAGCAGTTGGATTGCGCCCGCGATAGCAGCCTCTGTAGCAATGTCCATGTTGCTCAAGAGGGTGTCGGCTCTGTCACGCCGTGGTGCCTCTCCTTCCGATCCAACTTACGTCCAGCAGGCTGCGTACTTCTGTTTCGATCGCCAGGCGTGCTTGGGGACTTAGTTTCTCCAAGTCGTCGTCCTTGGTGGTTGGTAAGCCAACCTTTTCACTCATGCCATACGACATAACCATCTCCCTGGCAATGGCGGTGGCTTTCTCCAGATCGTTGCTCGCACCGGTGGTGACTTCGTCTGTCCCAAATATCAGTTCTTCTGCAACCCTGCCACCCATGCACACATCCAGCATCGCCAGGAGCTCACGCTTGGTATGCGTGTTCTTGTCGCCTTCTGGGAGCTGTACCGTAAGCCCAAGAGCGTTCCCCCGGGGGATCACAGTCACCTTGTGAAGTGGCATGGCACCGTTAGTGTAGAGTGTTACGAGTGCATGGCCACCCTCATGATAGGCCGTCAGTCGCTTGCTTTGCTCCGTAATTACAGCGCTTGTGCGCTCGGTGCCCATCAGAATCTTGTCTTTGGCCCACTCCAAGTCGCCCATGCCAACGGCCTTGCTCCCGTCCTTGCTGGCCTTCAGAGCAGCCTGGTTGATCAGGTTGGCCAAGTCAGCCCCTGAGAAGCCAGGGGTTCCACGTGCGATGATGGTAACGTCGACATCGGGAGAGACTTGGACCCCCTTCATATGAACTTGGAGGATTTTACTCCGGCCCTTGACGTCCGGCAGCGGCACGGCAACGTGGCGATCGAATCGACCTGGTCTAACGAGGGCTTTGTCGAGGGCCTCTGCTGTGTTGGTCGCGGCAATAAAGATGACCCCCTCGGTCGACGAGAACCTGGATTAGGGGGCGTGCGGCCCGGACATTGGGATGTTAGCACCGGCTTGTCGCATAGATTGGTATAGAGATCCAGTCGGCGGTCGTAGGCGAGCACTCGGGCAATGTAAGACAGCCCTGCACTAAGTAGTCGAGAGCGACATCGAGAAGCGCAGCTGATTTCGGCAGCACCACCGTACGCATTCGACGGCAATTGTCGGAGCGAGTGAATCACTCACCCGTCCAGTTCGACAAGGAGCTGGTTGAGGGTCTGTCGCATATAGCTCTGATCCTTGCTGCTTCGCTTGCTACCGACTGCATCGATCTCGTCGATAAAGACAATACACGGTGCCTTTTTGCGAGCAGCCGCAAAGAGTTCACGCACTCGTCTTGCGCCGACGCCGACATAGAGTTCATCAAACTCGCTGCCGCTCATCTGGAAGAATGGGACTCCGGCTTCACCCGCAACAGCACGCGCAAGGTGTGTTTTGCCTGTACCCGGGGGTCCATAGAGCAGAATACCTGTGCCCGAAGACGGTCTCTGTCAGTCGGCGGGTCCGACCTGATCGAGAGCGAGCAGCGCTGGTCCCAAAGGCACTCATGTCGGGTGCGGAGGGAGCCGATGGTCGTCGCCATGGAACTATGGCCCGTGCCTGAGTGTAGTCGCTCAAGTTGTTCCATCGGATCATACCTTTTGGTAGCTTTCCTCCAAGCTCTAGAAACTTTTTGGGTTCTCTGAGAAATGCAACCACTTCTTCAAGCTCCTGTTTGGCTTCGTCAACGCCTTGAACATCGGCAAATTTTATCGACTGGACCAGGTTACTGGACTCAATTTCGGCAGTTCCAATGCCACCTGGTTCGAAGAGAGCCACGGATTTAGTTGACCGACTACAGCGGACAACCGGCGAACATCCTCACAATTCGGCTCGTAATGGGCCAGCCACGCGGTTCCACACTTACGACCAAACTCACCGGACTTGATAATACCCTGCTGGTCGAGAAGAACGCTCAAGCCCGTGATGAAGAGCAATCCAAACAGCAGCTTGGTTCCAGCTGTTCTTGTGAATTTGCTCCAAGACCAGGCCTCGCTCAGAACCACGCGGATAGGCTCGCCGAGATCTCGCGAGACACTTGATCCTGCCTCAGCCTTTGATAGTGCGGGCTGGCTCTTGGATTTGGACAAGACTCGTTGCCATTCGTTCATGTCTGTCCTCATGATGTGCTCTCTCTCGTCTATCATCGATGTCGACCGGTTCAACCAACCCGAGTTGTCCTCGCCGCTGTTGCCGTGCGAACGCGCGGAGTGTCCGGAGGAAGTCGGCGGGCCGGCCATGACCGCAGACACATAGTCGCCGATCTTTTCTGTCTTTCCTGCCTTTGCAAGCGCCGAGATGTAGGACTTGAGACATTCGGGATCACGCTGGATAATGGATTTTTCCTCCATCCGATTCAGAGTACTGGGGATCCCGGAAAGCTGAGGCTGTTCTTCGTATCTGCGGATGACGGCTTGAAACTTGCCGGCCCTGAGGAGCTCCTATAATACAGCCATGCGCGGGTGCAACACCCGAATTAGGCACCGTGCACAGGGCCGACGGTGACGAGTTAGATGGTCTCGAGCGCCGCACTTTGGGCCACACAAGTTGGCCAGATCACAAGGATCCTCTCCAGCAATACCACCGGTCGGGGGGGGGAGGGCAGACATATCCAGGCTGGGCAGGAAGTATGCTGGAGCACCATATGGTCAAACGACGAGAAGCTGGCTGCAGAGCGTGCGGTTGCAGCAAGCACAGACGAGAGCAAATCGGAGAGCCAGCGTACTCGGTAGAACTCGGCCTGCTTCTTGGGACTGGTGGAGAACTCTGGCGAATTGGCTTCGCTCTCCAGCTGTCCTAGCTTGCGGATTGACCAAAAGGCGCGTGGGCTTTGTCCTATCCGGTAAAAGGATACCGCTCTTGATGGCAGTGGAGCCTTTGGTACACCCGATACCGACCAGGCTGCGATGCGGCCAAGTTTGGCGTGAAGTTGTGTTGCTCGGACGAGTGGGGTCATTGCAAATGTCGGAGGCCTATGGGCTCTCGAATGGACTGAGCACTCGCACAGACAGGGTGCAGCGATGGGGTCAAGCCCGATGCTGAGGAGGTAGTGGGCAGGGACGCAGCCTCTCGGATGATATGGCAGGGCAGCGCTGTCGCAGGCAACGACAAGATCAGCACCACGGGGTGTTGCCGGCCAGGCGCCGAACAACAAATGCCACGTGACGCTGGTGTGCCTGCGTTGGCACGGGACCACGGCTCTGATGGGCGGCAAGGACATGTTCGGGGCTGCGAGGTGGCTGTCCCGCGACCGGCCCAAATGCACATGCCGAGCCGGTGGTCAGGGGCGGCGCGAGCGGCTTCAACGAATAGATGTACGTTGCAGGCGATCCGGTAAAAAATGGGTCACTCCGGATTATGAGCACTGATAGGTTGTTTTTTGTCGCCCGAGACCAATGCGCGCTGGCCACGACCGACCATCCGCGACGCACTCGACTTTTGCACTGCCCCGTTACGATACTATAGCGTCATCCAGAGTCTGCGCAAGTTAGTCTCGACCAACGAGTTCAACACATTGCAGGTGTGTTCCAAGTGCCTGGAGCCCTCTCGGCTGAGGGGATTTGATGCGTCCAATGTCGCCCATTCTCACTTTGCCAGGAGCTGTACGAATCCCAGCCGCTGGACAGTGTGGAATTGCGATATCAATGCGGCGCGCAGCATGATCACTTTGGCAATGGCCTTTTCAGATGCAAGCTATCGCATACTACATGTCCATGGAAGCGGGTGTGGTGTCTCGTATGCTCACGTCTAAAGCGTAATATATTTCCGGATCCTGCATACTCGCACTTCCAGACTTCGCTCCGCCCTACCCAGACAATGAGTGGAGCTGTTCCCACGCTCAGTTTGGAGATTTGGGTATCGGAGGAAGCTGTTTGCACCAGCTCGGTCCGCGAACCGTCCCGCTGCGTAAGGACCCGGCATTTGCTGAGGCAGGCGCAGAAATTGCACTGACATCCCGGCTGCTGGCTCCGGCTGTGCCTTTGCCGGGCCCTCCTTGCAATGTCGACCCAGACCCAAAGTCCTTGTTTCCCATAAGGCTTCCTCCCAGGCGGCGACCCGCTGCGCCGCTTGATGATAGCGTGGAGGGAGAAGGATTTGGTGCAGAGCTGACCGGCGGTTTGGACGTTTCGCTTCCTGATTTTGAGGTTGCCGAAACGGGACGCACGGGCCCAGCATCGCTATGAGTTCCGCCAGTCCTCAGTGGCATTGTTGGAGCAAGTGAAGGTGTGGCCTCGGGTGACCCTGAGCACGCAAGCGATCCGTTGGAAAGTCGAAGGGCATGCGACGGGCCTGGATGGCCAAGAGCTGAGGGGCCCCCAATGAGCACCGACTTACCCAGTGACGCCGGCAGGATCTTCTCTGGTGCCGCATCCTTCTCAAACGACTTTCCTGCCGTCGTTCTCCGGACGATCTTTTGAACGGGGCCCAACGGTAGTTGTGATTTTGGAACTTGCTTGGTGTCTTTGGGTGGATTTGTTTCGTGTGGCCGTGTGGATCGACTGGTGTAGGCCAGAATCTGCGAGAGGTAGCCGTCGGTTGCATCGATCGGAATCCTGGCTGGCGAAGCATTGATGGGTGTCGAGCTGGAGAGATTCTTTTGTCGCGCCGTCAGTTTGGACCCTGCATTGAGGAGACTTGATCCAGCGCCGGCACCGCTCGCACTAACAGACAGTCGACGCGGCGGATTGGGGACAGCCGCAGAGACGGACAGCTTTTGCACTTTGGAGCGAAGGTCACCGCGGTCCTCATCGGTCATACTCTTCCTTGGTCCATCCTGCAACTCGGAAGCGATATTGATAGCCCGATCTTCTTCCATCTCCCGATCCCGATCTTCTTTGCTCTGACCTGGCGAGGGACCATCTGTGGTAAGATATCCTCCACCCACAACCTTCCTTTGATCTTGGAACCGAGCAACAACTTCATTGGCGAGCTCCTTGATATCCCTTGCGACATCCCCGAGCAGGAATCCAGCGCACTCGCTGAGCTCGCTGATTAAAACCGAGTCCTGGGGCGTTCGTAGCGTCCGGCGCATGTCTGGTACCATGGCACACACTCGGAGCCGGATGTTTGAGACAGGGTCTCGTGCCATGTCACAGTAATCTCGAAAGACGGTACTTCGAACCATTTTTTGGGAGCACAAGTCCAGAGCAGTTTGTACGGCATCCAAGAAGAGCATGCGGATGTGATATGACGGCGAGCTCTTGAGATCTGTACATGTCGCATAACGTACGAGTAAATAATCTGCCGTCATCAAAGCAAAGCGACCGACTAGACATTGGCGCTGTTGAGTGTTATTTCGGTGTGCTGTCAATTTCGCATTTTAGCCTGTAGCCACCAACGTACCGCAGAGTATTTTGGCGATCCGCTCACGCAACTCGACCGAGCGCACTCTCCGCATGTATGAGCACATGGCGTGTATTGCCGCGTATTTGACCGGCAGAGGCTTGTTCTAGAGAAATAAAATGGATGCGCCATAATTAGGGGCGCCAATCGTACTGGGTATACAGCGTTTTGTATGTCCAAACTACCCATGCCGCGGTTCACATGATCCAGTTGACTAACCTCCTTCAGTCTGCGCGTAAGAAGCGGTAGACAGTGTTCACACAGGAAGTGTGAATCAAAGAAATTGGCAAAGTTGGAAAAGCTTTCGAGCAGGGCCCGGTGTGCTCTCCATCCGAATTCCGGGCTGCAAGCAACTTCTTGTTCTCGTCGAAGAATCAGCAGCAGGAGCTCTTCCGCTTGATTTCCCTGAAAGATAGTACATACATAAGCACAGCGCCACGAAGGCAAAGGCCTCGTGAAATTCACTTTGTGAATAGCAGCAGCAGCGCATTCAGTAATCCAGGCAGCAGCTCATTCAATGTCTTGATGCCCACCCTTGTAAAGGACTCGTCGTAAGTGAAGGACATCAGAATTTTGTCGAGATTTTTGACAATGGCCATGAGAACGTCCAGGTTTGAATCCATTAAGAATCTTGTGAAAATGACTCGGAGTTTGGAATGGGAATCTCTTCCTACCATCAATGCCACCTAGCGGAATAGGTTCAGCATTGTTTTTGCTCATAAGTTGCAGACGAATGCGTCCAGCTTATCTGTGCGATTCACGACTCGGGGCAGCCACTGGGGGAAACGCACGCGGAAGCGCGAACATTACAGGTGTACCTCATGCAAACCACAGGCAACTCGTCGTCGCACTTGGATGCTGATATCCCCCGAAAGTGTTTCCAAAACTCTTTCCATCTTGATGTTATCCACAGCGACATCGCCGAGAGACATGAACACTGCCTGTGTACGAACAGAAGGTTGGAGTGTCGTACGGCATGTTTTCGGGTTGGAGGCAAAGCGGGAGTTGGTGGGCATACTTACAGGATAGTTGAAGGCGCACCATACTCGCAGCTCTTCGTCTGAGGCCAGCGTCAAAGACTGATAAAAGCTCAAGCACAGAGCCATGTCGTTGTCGGATAGATCATCTACCCCAAGCATTGAGTCGTGGGCTCAGTAACCAGTGTGCATATCCACAGCGAAGTGCAAACTCAACTTGTCGAAAGTACTCACCCCGTGCAATCCATATAAATCGGCCAATTTTCTCAGCAACCACTCTCATCATTTTGGGAGGCCGCTCTTGGCATAGAGATTTCCAAAACGGAATCAAGGTGGTGTCACGAAAATCTACAGGAGAGAGGGACGTATGTTCAGAAGCCTTTCGTCGTCGACTGGCTGCACTACGACCACGTACCTTTGTCAACCCATTCCCACAAATCCAGGACGCTCGTCAGGGCAGCTTCTTTAACCGATTCCTCTTCATCGAAGAGGAGCTCAGAGTACTCTGTCAAAATCTTCTTCTTTGTTGCATCCGAGCTGATCAGTGACAGAGTTTGCGTGGCTCAGTGTCTGAATCCGGTGGTACCTCACGGGTTGGTAGCGACTCCATCATAATGGCTTATGCCCGTGTAGCACCGGATTATGCAGATTACGAACGTGGGCAGAAACCCATCCACGAACACACCGAATCATGCCCGTTTCAAATTTAGGCATGTCGGGACATGCATTCGGAAGGGCTGCTGCTAAACCTACCAATTACTCTGCGCGATGATCCCAAGTTGGCTGCACATTGTCGTCCGAACTTCCGCATTGACATCTTGGCAGAGCAGGCAGGCTCTGGTCAATAGGGTCTTCTCGTACCTTCCGTGGATTGAGAATGGTACCACTGGTCAAATTCAAGCTCCCTGTTGCATCGATGTACCTTGGTGCAGCCCGAATATGATCGGCACCGGCGCTTCGGAGGCTAGGCATACTTTTTTGGATCCAATCGAGTGTAGAGTACCCCAAGAGACTTGCCGCACCACAAACGATTCAAGACCGGCTGCGACAAGCCCACGTCCGCGATTATCTCAGGCAACACCTTGGTCAAAAGCGAACGGAACGGAATTAATGCACAAGCCCCAGTTGTTGCTGGACTGTTGCGCGATGGGCTCTGGTTTCGGCAAATCCCACTTTACGCCGTCAGAGAAACGTTTCTGTATGCCACGTACTGTCTCCTCAATGATCGAGACCGGTAAGCATTGAATGCAAGCGGTCGACACGCTCATCCAGATGTCCGTGTCTATGGGTGCCGGTGAAGCAGGAGCATGCGGCTCAAGCAAAGTTAGTAGCTGCACAATAAGGCAGCTCTGCTGACTCGGGTCTGTTGGTTCGTACCCATCAACCTCGAGCAGAAGAATGTCGCTTAACACCTAACCACCAGCAATCGTCCAGCAGCGATTTCTTACCGGTCTCCTTCGATTCCAAAAACTTGCGCGCAACGAAGAATATGGGTTTGATACAGTCCTTGTCCAAAAGTCCGCTCTCCAGCAGCTCGAGCAAATTGGCTCCAATTTGGGGCCGAAACAGCTTGGGCTCGCTGATGACCAGCTCCTAATCCAACGAAAACGATCCGTCAGAACACACCCTCGATATTCGCTGGTCACCTGGGAAGAGTACCATCCCGATTCCGGTCCCTCGAGGCTGATGTTGGTTGTTGTGAGTGTTGTTACGGCTTTGCCTGGAAACTCACCAGTATCAAAGGTATGATTACAGCCGAAGCCTGGGCTGGCGAGTTCTTGAACAGTCCCATCATATTATCAATGACACTTTGCTTCTGGACAAGTCGCCCGCCTCTGAGGGATACATGGATGATTAGCTCGCGCACTGACCGGGCTCCTCACGATCCGACGGTGGTGATGGTGGAGGGTCTTACTTGAGGAGACAGGCGGCTCGGTCGACCTCGGTTAAACCCTCCGGAATGGCAAATCTGGATATTTCTTCGTCCGTCTATGGTAAGGGTTGCAGCTGAGTGTTAGTACGGCGGCTGCGGGCCGCTCGTTCGGACAGCATGTACCTTGTACAGCTTGAATGAGTACTTGAGCTCGTCGGTGCCTTTGATATCATCCTCGATGGTGCACTCTGCTGGGGTCTCCAGCGCGCCAGCCCAGTCGATTTCTTCGGTGCGGCTGGACCGGGATGCTTTCCCGTCTGAGCGCGGGGGACCCATGGGCTGTAGCTATCAGCAGCCGCACGGAAGCGGGAAGGGAAGCGACGAAAGTAGCAGCGAATGAGGAGAGAGGAAGGACAGCAAGTTGCTGGCTATGCGAAATCGATGTAGTCAGAGTCCAGCGCAGTGGTTATGCGGGTCAACCAAAAGTAATAGCGGGTGATTAGGGTGAGTGCACAGGCGAAATCGTAAGGTGCACTCTCAGTCGACTTGCATGGCTTATTTGCGACCGTGTCTGCGTATAACGAAGCAGCAGCCGAAACAATCTCTCCACCCGATAGCCCGATATCGCTGGTGGTGATTCGACCGGGGTGCAAAAGGGCCGAGATGTGATCGGTCCGCGGGATGAGGGTGGTTGCGAGAGCCCTCTCCTTGCCCTTCCTCCTGCTCTTCTCCTCACCGCTCCCGGTCGGTTCGGTGCTCATCGTAGCCCCCTGGCGAAACAATATTGCTCAGTATCGAGGCTGCACCAATGCGCAAGCTCGGAAAGGAGCGTGCTCGTCGAGGTGAGCGGCCTGTGTTGATGCCGCACCTCAAGTCCAAAGCGAATCAGGGCGATCTGTTGCCCTGGCGGCCATTCTTGTTGTTGGTTGCTCATCCCAAACGCTCTGGCTGCAGTCTACACCATCAACGACGAATCTAGGTCAGTGCGCGAGCGAGCCGATCTTCACCGAGCATCAGCCGTCAGTTGTCGGCGAGGGTGCATTATCCAGCTATTCGAACTTAGCGATGCACTGGCACGGATAGATACTTGATCGTCGAAAACGTTCCGGCCTTGGGCGTCACCAAAGAGCTCTTGGATCTGTTTTCTGTCCATGGCAAAATCGAGGAGTAAGTAGCGACCCGCAGAAACATCATCCTGGATCGCACTCGTCCGGCCTTGATGCACCGGTCGTAAGTGGGGAATCGGAAGATGAATCGACAGATGTGTCGATGGTTGAGTCCGCGGTTGAGTCGATGGTTGAATCGATGGTTGAATCGATGACAGAATCAGTAGGAGGATCGGCGACTGGGATCCTCGTTTCCTGATCAAAGCTCGGAGAATGGATATTGACCCACATGTCTTCTCCACTCGTCGACTGGGCAATATGCGCCGCTGTGAGATAGGTATGGGTTTATTGACGATCATGATCATGATCGGCTCACCGATGTCTATTGGCTCAAGTTCCGGTCTCTCCCAGAGGCCAGGTAAGTCGATAGCTTCGGCGACTAAGGCGGTGATCGTCTCCATGCCGATTGATGATCTGCCTGGCCACTGGCGGTTGTGTCTGGTTGATGGGCTCTCATCGGTATCTAACTTTCCCCGCGAATGTCAGAGTCGCCAAGCGGAAGGCGGATGACTCGGTATTCTTTCACAGCGTACTCGCCGTTCGGTACGCTCCACAGTTCGAGTCCAAGTTGGATGTCATCGAAAAACTGAGAGACCGCCAGCACACGCATGTTCGACTTGGTAGGGAGCCGCTTTGATGAGCAGCACGGATAGCGGCGAGGGCTGATTTTGCTTCCTTCGCTTAATCGAATTCAACTACTTCAGGAATTCATCTCAACGCAAGGAGAATGACCGAAAGCCAACCGTCATCAATGCAGCTGCATAGCTCTGAATCAATCGTCGCCATGATCCGGCAAATCCACACCCGCCTTGCCGAGCACAGCAATGAGGCCCCGGCGCTGAGCAGACCCGGAAACCGGCCGACATCCCGCCGACGTATCTAGTGGCAGACGATCACGGTTTACTGGGAATGTGTCTCGTTCGACTGAAAATCTTTGGCCCAGAAGCAATGCCAAGTCTCCCTTTGTGCCCTGAGCTTGGCGGAACTCTTGGATCACTTTGCTCGGCTCGGCCGGCAGAGGACTGACAAAGTGGTGATGCTCTTGCGAACTCAACAACCACGAGCGCATTCAGGCACAGCAAACCGCAGGGTTGCTGCGGCTTTTTCAGAGCGAAACGGGACGGTGTATCCCGAGTGTCCATTGCAGTGTTCTGCTGGCCCTGGAGGATAGGCCGGGCGATTGCACTCTTGTCTTCGTGGGCAGCCCAGTGGATTTGGTTGGTTTGGGAGGCATCATCCTGGATATACTAGGTCAATATCTTGCGACTATGCTCGATTGGCATTGATGTTGCGATGCGGGAGGTGTGGTGCGTGCATTCGACCATCCAGACAGTTTCTGTGGCTGCTCGATATCAAGATAGCCGGGTCAACCGAGCTGTTCCGCCCCAGTTCCTTGGACACGCTGTTTGGTCATGGCGGCGGTGTATTCAGGGTCCAGAAAAAAAATATAGTCATGACCAGCCCAGAGAGAGCGCTCAGTTCACACTGCACCATCGATTCTAGCATTAAAATCGGTTCGGCTGGGTGTCATCGGAGGCCAGGCGGCGGACACGCGCCAGTTTTTCTTTCAGCTCGGCGATGCTTTGGCCTTGAGAACTGTCGCCGCCGATCCTTGGGGTCGGCTGCAGTGACATGGGTCGGCGAGTCTGAGTCGATGGCTTTGAGTTAGCGCCCAGCATCATTCGGGTCGCTCCCCACCCGGATAAAATCGTGACAAGGCCATGGGGTTAGCCCTGCATGGTGAGAAGAACGTACCGTTGCGTCGTCGGTCGAGCCGGTGCCAGTTATCGGTGCAGCAGCCCCGAAACGATCAAACGAACCACCGGGCCGCGCAGGCATGGAGAAGCGAGCAGCGGTGGGTGAGACCGGGGGACCATTGGAATCCCTCGAGGCCGATAGGCCTTTGTACTCTCTCTTCAGCCTCGCCAAGGATTCAAGGAATTCCTCAGGGGGTTGCACTGAACGAGAGAGCATGTATGTGGAAATGATGAGTGTGTCGGCAAGTAGGCTTGTACGAGATGGTGGACACCATAGGAGAGTGCAAGAACATGAAGCTCTGCTAAGATATCGGCACCAACGACCGATCAAAGGCCCAGTGAGATCCTTCCACTCTGCACGTGGGGGAGAGAACACGTACCTGGAGCAGTGGCCGACTCGACACCATAAATCCGGTTGTACTCCTCCTTTTCCAGGGCGGCCAGGCTCCGACGGATGTAGCCCTGGAAATATGAACCAGTTCTCCCCAAGAAGAAGTTGATATCGTTCTGGTATTGGGGCTTGCGCTTCTGGAATTCGTACAGATCCTGGATGCCTTGCTTCGTGAACTCTTTGCTGCCGATGCGAGCAAATATTTTGGAGAGCTCGGAATGAATCTCCACATTGACTCCATCGCTGTCGTATGTGGGTGATGATGAGTCGTAGTAAGTTTGTCGGGGGGGACGGATGTAGGACGTGGTGGAATCGTCGTCAACGTCGCAATTAAGCTCGTGGTCATCGTGAGAAGCGCCGGCGGCTGTGCTGAGTCCGGGTCGTTGGGTGAGATACGACTGGGAGAACATCTCAAATCCATTTCGCTGTTGTTGCCCTTGCTCTTGCTGTTGTCGCTGTTGTTGCAGCTGTTGTTGTTGTTGCTGTTGCTGTTGCTGTTGCTGTTGCTGTTGCTGTTGCTGTTGCTGTTGCTGTTGCTGTTGCTGTTGCTGTTGCTGTTGCTGTTGCTGTTGCTGTTGTTGCTGCTGCTGCTGCTGCTGAGCTCGGAGGACGGTGAGCGGGGACACTGAAGAAAAGAGCGAGCCATTTCCACGAACAGTGCTGGATGGTAGTGACTCAGAAGCTGCTGGCGGAGGAGGGGGTGCTGCCGAAGCTGAAGACGGAACGTGCGGTATCACTGGCTCAACTATCACAGCTGGAGCACTCCTCTCTATCGCCGCAGTCTCAGGGCCATTCTTCTTCGAGATGTTGTCGACCATCTGTCGAAGATAGGCGATAGTTGAGTTCTTTGGGTCGTCCCGGGGAATTAGATCGGTATACTGGAAGACTGCCTGCCCGAGGTGATTCACGAGCTCATGCAGGATCGTCTTTACAGTCCGCAGGGGCATGTCCGCTTGGGGAATGACCTTTTCGGCCGCACGTCGCTTCCATTCGATTGGTGGTGTTTTGACGAGGAAAGTGTGAACGTCGAGGATGAGCTTGTTGATCTTGAAGCTTGGAGTCGTGATGAGGTGCGAGATAAGCTTGGTCATTTTCCAGAGGCACTTCATCACCAGCTCCGTAAACTTGGCGTGGTATTGAATATCCTCGGCTGCCATATCCCTTGATACCGGCGCCGTCCTTTCCAAAATAACAAGGAGTACACTGGAATGCAGGATAAGGGTCCGTAAGTCCATCGCAGAGCAAGCTCCTCACCGCAATTTCTGTGCTGAGCGACAATAAGCTGTTTATGGGCACCGTTCGGAACCAACTCAACGGGCGAGACCGAGCCATCCATGGCGACACTGTCGAATGATTCACTATCGCTGAGCTGACCGAATCCGGAAGCCGGGCGGCAAGATGGAGAGGAGACTGACCTGAACGACGAGTTTCGATCGCTGTTTTCGAGAATGCGAACCATCAAGACGTTCAAGGCGCGGGCGAGATGGGTGCCATGCTCAAGTTTTTGCAGTTTCGGATCGAGGAGTCGACTCAGCAGCTCGCTCATGCATCTCTCGAGCGGATCGGTAGGCACAACACAAGCGAGCTCCGGATACGTAAAAACTTGCACCAAAACATTGACCAAATGCTTGCAAAGCCTTCCGATGCTGGGAGTGGCCGCTTCCGGGTGGGTGAAAGCGGTGCGGATCTCACCAGTAATGGTCAGCACGATCTGATCGATGAAGGGGATCAGTGTGCTCGTCGAGTTCATGAGGATGCGCTCGAGTTGCTTCAGAGCGTCGATACTTTGATACGGATCACGGCTGGCGATTTGAGGAACGAGGCGACTAAGCGCCATGTCGTCGGACATATTGTCCGCGTAAGTATCCGCTCGTCTCATGCGACCAGGATCCATGCCGAGTTTATCCAGATCCAAGCTGAACTCCTTCTTGACCTGCAACGGGAAGCCGGAGGAGCTCTGCTGTGTAGGTTGCGGTGCAGCGTACTCGGATGCTGGAGTCGGTACAGGGCTAGAGCCAAGACTGGATGAGGACTCGCTTCGAATATGACGGGAGCGCGCGTCGTTTTCGAAGTGAGCTTCGGAGCTCCGCGAGGGCTGCTGCTGCTGATGATGATGTTGTTGCTGCTGTTGCTGCTGCTGTTGCTGCTGCTGCTCCAACGACAAGCTGTTTAAGGAACCTGACGAAGCGGCGACAGGGATGGCCGCGCGAGATGGTTCTTTGCGGAAAACAGGCTGTGGGGGAAGTCGTTTGAACTTTTCCTCCAACAAGCTTCGGTCCTTGTCGGGAATGCGGCCAACGAGTTTGAAGACTTGCTCGCCAACATTGAGATAGCCCTGGGTGATCGCGTTGATGGCGGCATTTCGGACATTGGCATCGCGGTCTGAGATTTGGGCAGCTATGAGAGGAAAGTTCTTGCTTGGGTTGGCAATTTCCATACCACCGCTCTGAATCAGCACACCCAGTTCATCAAGACACTCGGTGCGTGTCCGGGCGTTTTTGGAGGAAAGAGCATTCATCAAGTACGTGAACATTCGGCTGGACGGGTACACCCTGCAGATCTGCTTCATGATGCCACGGATCTTGACGCGCATCGTTTCTTTGTTGTCGCCGACCTTGTTGATGAAGAAGGGCAGGAACATGCTCGCTTCGTACTCAGAGAGCCTGCAGCCGTCTTCCTCCATGATCTCCAAGATATGTTCAAGCAAGTCCAGACATTTGATCAGCATGCTGGTGTTGGTATCAAAGAAGCGAATGGTCAAATATTTGAGAATAAGATCAGAGTTGGCAATAAATGCAGGCTTGACATCGCTCCATTGGTCGCCTTCCTTGGCGGTCACGATCCAGTTGTCAAGCGAGGACAGCGCATTGAGGAAGGCCTTTTCTTTGTAGTGGTCGGTGCTGAACATGTCGGCATGGAGCTGCGCAGAGAAATAAGGGTGGCACTGCTCTGAGAGCAGATCAATTAGTTCCTTGCGGGGCGACTCGAACGTCCACTTATTGAGGCCGCGGTCCTGTTTCTCGCGCAGCTCCTTGGCCTTGAGATCAGCAACGAGTAGACTTGAGGATGACTCTTCCATCACGGACGGCGATCTTGAGCTCGACACGGCCGTCGAGGTTGAGGCTGCCCGCGTAGCTCGGGTCTTGCTACTTGCAGCGGTACCAGCCCGGAGCTTGCTTCCAGCGGGGCCAGCTGCATCCGAGTCGCCGGCAGGAGCACGCGAAAGTCCTGGCGCTGGCTTTTTCTTGGGAGTGCCAAGCTTGGACGAGCCTGATGTTGCCGGAGCAGGATCGGCACCTTTTGGCTTGACGGCGTCCAGATATGGAGTAATGCTTGCAAGGGCTGATCCCTTGAAAAGTTCGGAGCTACGATCACGAATGAACTCGTAGCCGACATTCTCGGCGGTGTGGGGCAACAGACTCGCAGCTCCTTTGCGAATCTCGGCGTTTTTATCTTGCAGACAGAGCAGTATCGGATGAACCAAGCAAGTCAGGTCCGGGAACTCGACGCCATTTTCCTTGGCCTCGTCCATTTTGTCGTTCATGAACTTCAGCAGATCCTTGCGAAGGAGGGGTTGGTCGGTCATCAACACAGTGGCGAATGATGCGATCAGAGCCGAAATCCCCACAGCTGCGTTGGTTTGCTCCAGCGCAACAAGTGCTGCACCACGAACGTGTGCCTTTTGATCTGCCAGGAGGCCCGCGATCGGGCCGGCAAGTATTTTGGCATGCTTTTCAAAGGGCTTGCCGACCGCGGCAGCAAGTGTGCCGCAGAGCTCAGCCGCATTCATGCCCAAATTACGGTTGCTATCGCCCAGACGCGCCTTGAGCGCAGGGACAAGCTCTCCTGTGCAAACGAACAGCGGCATGCAGCAATGCGATCAGTGGTCAATACGCGACGAGGAACTCGAACGTCATCAGAGCTTGGCACAACCTACCAAGATTGGGCTTTAGTCTCTTGTGGGCCGCCTCGATGATCTGGGACACATCGTCGAGACCCTCCTTTCTGGTTTTCCATTGTCCATCTCCAAGTTTCTGTGGTCAGAGCAAATGTGGGTGAGACGATTGCCAAAACGCGAGTGCTGAATGAGATGGATACTGCATAACTGTCGACACATCCAGCCAAAGCTCGATGGAGCTGGAGTAATCAACGAAATGTACTGACATCCAATAGTGCCTGTGTAATCTGGTCACTGATATCAATGCGCGGAAAGAGATCATCGGCAATGTCGTCGCCGCTGGCAGCAGCGCTTTCGGAGCCATTGGACCCTCCTGCCGTGAGCTGTCGGAGGAGAGATCGGAACATCTATCAGCGACTTTACAGAGGCATCGTGACCACAAACACATCCACACAGCAGGATGGATCCAGCTCGAAGCTACACCTGGAGAGTATGCCTACATTCTTTTGGGTTCTCTCGGGTGCAGGCGGCGATTTGGCGCCAGCCTTCTCGAATTCGGTATCGATTGTGGCCAAGAGGGCCGGGCTCACATCTTGGACAAATACACGAATATCTGCAGTCCCATACACCCGCCATTATATCAGTCTCGTCTTTGATTTTCTGCCGATGCGATGAATGCCTCATGCAGTGTTCGATTTCAATCAGATCAAGGGTGTGATACTCACCGGGCCCGGCAAACATGCGCAGAGTTCCAAGAACGGTAACGGCGTTGGCTCTGACGCTGGCATTGGAATTGCCCAGGGGAATCTTCAAAAACTCGATGAGCTCACGGAGCGAGAGTCCTGCAACGCCAAACTCCAAGAGCGTTTGCTGAATCCACATTATTGAGTCGGCCAGAGTCTTCACTGCCTTCATCTGCTTCAGAGGCTCGTAGGCTACGGAGGAAGGGCGCGCAAAATTAAGGTTCAGCACTCGACTCGCATTCAAAGGTCGTGGCGCGATGCAGCGATGCGCATCACAGCCCCAGACGTAGAATGATAGCCCTCGCATTGTTTATGTGGCCAAGAGCCGACGTTTGCTTAACCGTACCTTGACTGAGAACAAACTGCAGACTTGTCATTTCTGCAAAAGTCGTCAGACAGTCACCGGCCACTCGTTTAACTTTCATATCGCCAAGCTTGTCCACAAGTCCTAAATTTATATGTGGATAATTTTGGTTAACAAAGCAGCGTCAATGTGGTGCTTGGGATCTATTGACGGAAGCAACGGACGCATTGAGTGGCCGAGTGTACAAACCAGCGATGGCTAACGAGGCTGCCGCGCGACCAAAATCGGCGGCATTCTTGGCAATGTGCTGAATGGTGTTGAACATCACTGTTGTCACCTAGTTGACAATTGGTGCGAGTGAATGTAGTGAGCTACAGGCCCACCGGCCCACAGGCCCACCGGCCCACAGGCCATGCCACTTCACCAGCACTCGGTCGGGACATGCACCCTTGAGTTCCCTTGTGTTGGTGTGCATACCTGGAAGTTGCTCTCCTTCCACCCAGGCTTTTGGCAAAGCACACGCATCAACATCTCAGATTCGATATCCGATTCTTTGGCTTCGATAGCCTCCTTGAGGGATTGCATGGCTATACCACCACCATCACCAGCGAGAGACGATCGAATATTAACATTAGACCCAATCGCATCGACCCCTGCGTAATGCCGGTGTGTAACGCCTGGTATGTCGACCTGTAAACCGTTCTGTGAAGGGACCAGAATCCTGTCCGATGCAAAACGATACCTGCAAGACGCGTCTTCCATGCTCCATCGGACAGCTGGGTGAGTATCTCCTCGCCATAGCTCTCGGCAAAGCCAGATTCGGCTGACTCATCCGAGAACTTGAAGGTAATAGGCCCGCTCTCCTGCGGCGCCCCACCGGCCTTGGGTTTCTTGGAGGGCTGTGGGGCTGCAGAGGCTGAGGAGCTATTCAAGCTTGCAGACGAGCTGGACGGAGTTGGCTTGGCAGAGGTCGAGGGCTTACCAGCCGCAGCGGCCTTCGGAGGGGCCGATTTGACTGGTGCTGCCTTGGGAGGAGCAGCGGGCCCTGATGATGCCGGCTTGGGCTATATTGGTCAAGCCAAGAAGAGCGGGTCATGATGAATGAGCCAGTGGCTTAGAGAAGCCCGCAAAGTCATGCAAAGGACACGCGAGGGCGTCCGCGGCCGATCTTTTTGTCGCAGTTGCGCTGTTCAGAGCTGTCCGTCCGACATACCGCTGGCGCAGACGCCTTCTTCGGAGCTGATGATGCTGCGGCTGCGGGCTTGCGAGTAGGCGCACCGCCCACGTGTTTGACTTGAGCCTTCTCAAAGTACTCTTTAACTTTGCTTTCCTTTGACTTTTCGACTTTTTCCATGTAAGGCGCCATCACTCGCTCGCTGACGACCTTCATGAGGGTTCCGAGTGCCTCGCAGGCAACTTCACGAACTTCGTTCGTACTATCATCGATGGTCTGCAGGCGTTATAGAATCGTGCTGTTTGAGCCCGCGGTCATGGTATCGGACGTGCTCGTCGGTGTTGCATGAGCTCGGAAAACACCTACCTTCAAAAATATCTCTGCAAAAGCTTTGATCTCTGGCTTTCCAGGCGGAGTTCGCGTAACCTGCAGGCTACGAAGCATCCATGCTACGGTCTCCTGGCGGACGTTGGGGTTTTTGTGTCCAGCCGTGGCCGTAACATCCTCGACGATTTCGGCAAACGAAATGGAGGCAAAGACGGCATCGAGCGCTCTTCGTAGAGCTTCCAGGACATTCTGCTTCTTCTCCTTGCACTTTTCCAGCAGCGGGAGAATAACCTGTTGATGGTAAAGTCAGAACAAACATGCAGTTGTCAGCGACTTGTCCACCATTGGATACACGGCACCGGCTCCATCGATTGCTGGTTCGCAAGCGTCTTACCACACCGCGGTACGGCGCAAAGCCAGTACGGAGTCCTTTGGCAATGTATTCGATGCAGTTGATTGCCAGAGTGCCGACGACGATGTTGGCATCGCTGCTGACCCTCTGAATACAGAGTGTTGGAGTCAACCGGAGTGGAATCGCAGATCAGAGATTGGCCCTAGAAGCTCGTATCTCCGCATGAGCTCATTAAAATGCACTCCACAGGGAGGCCACATACCTTTGCGAGTACGCTCACAAGTTCGCCGTACTTGCCCTCCTGCAGCTTCGGGACGTTGCAGAGGGTGACGAGCGTATCGAGGATCTCCTTGCGCTCTTGCCACTTTTTGGATGCCTGTGTGAGAGAACAATTGCCAGCGCGCAAATGTCAGTCCCACTGCCTATCGGCAGTACATTCAAACAGAGTCGGGGGGGGGAGCCAGGAGACGCCATGCCTAGATTCGCCGCTCGAGGTTTCCGCTGAGATGGTCTTGTCCCGACACTTGTCTGGCCAATCGCCTCGAATGCACAATGAGTCGATATGGCCACGCTCGATCCACGCAACGAAGCACCGCACCAGTGTTTCATAAAAGCCCTTTGGAAGATTGTCAAGAAGATTCACGGGCTCATAGAGATCGCTGGCATCGATGGGATCCGCATCGGCGCTTTCGCCAGGGTCGTCAGCACCTTCATCGCCTGTTGGATATCAAGGTATAGTAGTGAGGAAATTGCGAACACTGGATCGTGGGGATAACAGAGTCGATCGAACCGAAGCATGCATCGGATTCTTGCAGAGCATACCGTCTCCTTCTGCCCCACCGCTTGCCGCGACACGGATCTGTTCCGATCGCAGAAGGCGCTCTGGGACCGGTCGGTCTTTGGGCAGATTGTCAAACTGCTCGCTGAGCTCTTTGATCTATGTACGCGAGCCAAGTAAATTAGACCAGGTCCGCTGTGCAAACTCGATCTTCCCAACGTTCCACTGGCGAGGCAATGGCGCACCTGCACAGGCTTCAAGTCTTGCAGGAAGTTCATCAAGGCTGGGCCGAGATAGCGATACAACTCAAGGGCAAGACCGGTTCCCTCCGACCGCACGCCTTTGTCCTTGTGATCGAAGATCTTGGGCAAAATTTTGACGATGGGCTTGACATTGACATGCTTGCACCCGAATAGGCTGGGGTCGATGCGGTTGATCGGTGGAATGAGACGATAGCACAGGCTCGGCCCGCACAGAGGTTCCGGGTATGCCGGATGTAATGACTGCAGTGCAAAGAGCATTATCTGTTCAAGAGATGACGTACCGGACGATTTCCTTGAGGGCGTTAACTGCGGCCGTGGCTGCCTTCGGGGTCTTGTGGTCCACCAGCGGGATGACGATTTCCTATTGCAGCGACGACCATGGGAAAGAGGATCGTCAATGAGTGGATCTTCACATCAGTGCGCAGACTGTCGAGTCAGGCGATAAGAAACAGCAGCGTTGCCGGGCGACGACGTACAATCGTGGGATCAGGAACATCGACTTCGATATACATGAGCAGGATGTCAAGCGCCTTGGATTTGGTGCCTGCTCGAGTGGAGCCCAAGCCCTTCTCTGTGACGAGCGGAGCCAAGACGCTCCGGGTTCTAAGATATCAGCTTGGATTAGATGCCACTCCGTCGCCCTGAGCAGCAGCACACACAGGTTCCACCAGGGCGCCGGGACGCATCGGGTCGGCTGGAGCACCGTCCGAGATCCGCCAAAGCCAGGTGGACCAGAGTTTGCCAAGGTTCACCGACTTTGTTGCATTTGGGGCATTTTCGACGTAAGACAAGATTGCTGAAAACCCAGCCTCTTGAGCTATGGCATTCGCATCGGCGACCATCTTCTTTAGATAGTCCTGATATTTCTTGTACTCATTTTCCGCATCGGGGTCAAGGGTTTTGAAGATCTTGGCAAGCTCTTCATATGCCTGCTGCCTCGCCTTCCAGGCCTGAGACATATATGGTCAAACACAGGGCAGTCAGTGAATTATAGCCGAGGATCATCAAGGTCGGTGGAGTCGAGGATCTGTGGCTGCCGCCGGGGTTTCAGCAAGTGCCGGGCAAGACAGCTTCGAGGGGGTATAGCTGATGCCAGGGATGCAGGCAAGACCTCCAGGCGCCAGGGCTCTGAGAATCCCACCTTATGAACCAGCCGGTCGGCGAGAGGCAGGGCACTAAAGTCCTCCTCGGGAGCAGAAGCCATGAGTTCAGATGCAGGTGCAGGTGTTGGACGCTGGCGGGCAAGCCAGACGATGCGACAAGACCACCAGCGAGGGCCGGCGACAGCGAACGAGGACGAGCGAGAGCAGGCGACACCCAGGGAGTCAATAATACCAAATCGGGCGCCACCAACCCAGACTTGCGCCAGCCCTTGCTTGTTGTTCACTTCGACAGCTATTCGCCCTCGATTGCTGTCGCCTGTTCTGGTCCATCACCATGAATTCATACGCCAATGTTCTGGAAGAAGCAGAGCGCCTGGGACTCGCCGCCGACACTTTGCATCCAGACGGCACAGCCCAAGGGTCCGCGAGCGGATGGGCAGAAACTCTGACGCAGCTGTTTGAGCTCCAGCACTCGATCGGAGAGGTACGTTGTTGTTGCCGCACACCAACGAGGCTTGTCGATGAAAAGTCCATTGCATCTGCGGCCCTTGCGCTCATGTTGCACGGCTCGCTCTGCATCTATATTTTCGGGAGGGGGGTTTCACAGCTCAACCAAAGCCTGGCGCATGTGAGGCGCCACGAAGCTATTCATGACCTGGCCTATTCCGAAGATCTGGGTACTGAGCTCATAGCATCAATCGTGGCCTCGCGACCGAGACCGGTGCCTACAGGGTGATAGGTATTCGGATCTGCTCTAGTGGGCCAGCTCACCTTGGTCGGCTCGATGAGATCGGCCCTGTCCAATAGCGCTGGAGCCTCGGGGGCATGTTGGGGTTCCGTTGTCTGACGCAGCAGCGAATTCCTCCTAGAATCAAAACTTCAATATCTCCACGAGCTCAAGAGCAACATCGACGCAACACTTTCTCATCTGCAGCCAATTCTGCTCAATCTCAAGCAGCCGAGCCCAAAGAGCTTCCTCTACGTCCAACGTGAGGCACAAAGGTAGACACTGATGTTTCCGGGAACCAGCAGCCTCTGATCGCAGTCAGAGACAGGGATTGATCTTTTATGCATTTGCTAATCCCGTGGAATCGCTGGGCTCTCGCATGAAATCGATAGACCGGCTGTCGAACTGTTGTATTCACTCTTACATCTGACTGAAACGAGCAAGGATCGGATAGGCGTCGCGGAGTGGGTCGGCTTGATGGAAATGACAGAGTATGCCAAGATGGTATGTGGGGGCATCGCAGCTTTATCGACAAGCTTTCCATTTTGCCGCATCGGCACCAGCCCGAACCGTGTGTATGGCTCCAGCTCTCGGAATCAGGGCGCTGTATCCACCTCCGAGCGGCTCACTGGACCACCGTTCTGTTTCGCAGGATCCTCGAATTCGAGAGTCTACCCGAGAGATCATGGGCCACTACAGCCAGCTCCACCAACTTATGAATAATCTTGCCGGGTTATCGGACAGAGTTCTCATGTCACGGGGCCACAATTAGTACTGCACGCTACCGATTCCCGGCGTCCACTGTCTCATTTCGGCGCTTCGGAGGTGCTCTGAGCACCCGAGAGGCCTTGGGATATGGGACAAAAGCGACATCACCACATGAGCCGATGGTCGCCCCCGAGCCACTTGCAAACAATCCCCAAGAATTTGCCTAATGCGTATCAAACTGCAGCTTACACTTTATTCAGAAAAAAACGGGACAATATAGCCGTTTCCATGAACATGTAGTATGTGCTGTGCTTGCGTCAAGCAAAGCCACAAGAAATAAAACAGATCACTTTGGCAGCCTCCGAGTGAAGACCGCCGGTCGCTCTCCGATCTCCACAATCGACCTGCATACTGTGATCATGTTGCGCGCCGCATTGACGTCGCGATTCCACACTGTCCGGCAGCTGGGATTCTTGCAGCTCCTGACAAAGTGGGAATTCGCAACACTGGGCGCATCGAGTCCTTCCAACCGAACTGGCTCCAGGCACTTGGAGCACACCTGCGAGGTGTTGAACTCATTCGTCGAGACTACCTTGACGCTTCCATGATGGTGATTGGGACGGCGTCGGTGGTGCTCGAATTGCTCAAAGTACTGAGCAAACCGCTGCCTCCGAGGGCTGGATGCATAGCCCTTGCCCTGTCGCCATGCTGCATTGCCAAAGGCGATCACCACATCTGTCCGTATCGGGGCGTGCTTCAGGACGGCCTTGCACATCCTGTCGACGGCCACTTGGCGCCTCTTGTGGTCCGTGAAGCGATGGTGACGGGCCTTCTTGCCAAGGTGGAAGTCGAGCTGCACTCGCAGCTCCGGTCGCAGGACATGGGTGAGATGGACCTTGAAAGCCTCCGAGGACGACACCTTGGGCGAGGGGGTGGTCGACATCCAGGTCTCGATGCTGAGTCGATACTTCATGGTGTTGTGCCACTCAGTATTGGACTTGTGGCCACACATGTGCTAGTAGTGGCCATTGGAGAATGAGACCACCTCGTCTTGGTGGCCCGGTGCTTGGATGACCGCCGTGAAGATGGAGCCGACTCCAGGATCGATGCCAATCCAAGTGGTGCGGTTGGGGTTTGGGTCACCGATGTGGGCCTGGATGCGCTGCTCGGCAGTCGGAGGAGGCTCGATGGTCTCGGTGTGATCGGTTCGACGCACAAACTTGACGAGGCCGATGGTGCATCCAATGCCATCGGTGCTGATCTCGTAGTTGAACAGCTTCTTGTTCACGTCCCGCTCTTGGAAGAGGGAACTACGCAGCTTGAAGCAACTGCGCCAGAGACGATCCTGGTTGTTGACACCGTCCTCACCTTCTTCCTTGAGCTTGTCCCTGGTGAGGCCAAGGCGCTTCTTTGGACCCAGGAGATTCCAAAGAGTGACCGTGTCAATCTTGACATACTTGGCCGTGGCAGTGCATAGAGGAACCATCGTGCACACGGCCGGAGGAGTGTCGAGAGCGAGTTGCTTGAGTGCCCACTTGAGCCTGGATGCCAGCTTGTTGATCTTGGCCTTGGTGGTGCCGAGCTCAGACTTGGCCGTGGTGAACCTCTTGTCGTCGGAGGGAATGCCTTGGGTAGTGAGCTCGTCCAGCTTGGCCTGGCGCTGCAGCTCGGTGACTCGGAGGGCGGGCATGTCACAGTCGATCCACTTGTGGACATCGTCGACCATCTTGTCCCGGGCGAGGATTCCCACATGGTGTGAGAGGCGATGGAGGGCCCGGAAGCGGTCCTGGTCGTTGCTGTACCGAAACTCGTCCAGGATGTGGACAAACTCGGGATATAGGAACTCGAGATCGGCCTTGGGCGGAGTCTGCCCTAGTTTCTCGAAGAGCTCGAGACAGGCCTCGATGGCTTCGTGCTTATGCTTGTTGGCTGGGAAGACGGCAGCGCAGAAGCGGCGAAGGAGTCTCCAATAAGCCAGGTCGAGGTGGGTGGTGCAGTTGGTGGCATAGGCATTGACAGCCAGTGTGAGAAGCTGACTGTGAGCACCATCAGGCAGACGAGGGGCCGGAGGCAGGTCTGCGTGCCGAGTGGTCTGGTAGTCGCGAAAGGAAGCGACCAGATGCTCGTTGTATTTCTCGTTGTCCCCGGTCGAGGAGAGGGCACCGTCCTGGACGATCTTGAAGCATTGGCGGATGAATGCAGGGGTGGCCCTGGAGATGACGGGGACAGGAATATCCTGCTCGATGCACCGGAGGATGTGCAGGTTGAGCAGCCTGGATGCCTCGAACTGGATCTGGGTCATGGCCTCGACGGTGGCCTGGATCTTGTCGCGGAGAGCGGGATTGAGACAACAGCCATCCATCGTCTGCTTGAAGCAGCTGAACTGAGGGGCGGATGACCTTCCATCCACGAGTGGGACGACAGAACTCTTGAGGGGCCGGTATTTGGGACACCTGTTGGTGTTGCAACGTTCGTGATCGGTGCCATCGCACTGGCGACATCGCTTGCCGGTACTCGAGGAAGTAGATGGACCAGGCTCGGTGGGATCGACATCCATTGGATCTGCAGAAGCAGTGGTGGTGAGCGACGGAGCAACAGACGACCAAGCATGCGTGGGGTCAGAATACGAACCAGAGACAGGCTCCGACTGTGACTTGGCTTTCTTGGGCCTGGTAGGCTGAGGCTGGCAATCACCGGCACCCTTGCGCTTCGGAGGCATGGGGGCAGAGGATGCTGGATGCCTGCCAGTGGTACTGGTCAGAGCAGAGACTTTTTTTTATCGTACAATAGCGCGATGATCAGATCAAGGCGAGATGAGGGAAGAAAGCAGCAGGACGAAGGTGTGGCATTTATACCCGAGAGCAGGAGCCCGTCTTTGCGGGCTGGTTGGGGAAGCGACCCTGTTCAAAAATCGCCGAGAGGTTCAAGCCAGGGATGTGAACGCGAAAATGGCGGCTTGATTGGAGGGAACTCAACCCCAGAAGCGCATCGCTCGCTCAATCAGCGGTGGGAAGACATCTGGAAGCACCCTCCGCACGGCGGACTCGAACAGGGTCACCATCCCGACTCTGAACCCCTCGGACGCATTCAGCGCTGCTGCCTTCCTGTACTGATGCTTCACAATCCCAAAGAAGTTCTCGATGGGATTGAAGTCGGGCGAGGCAGGTGGGGTGAAGATCACTGACCATCCTCGGCGCTCGATGCAGTCCAGGACAGCCCTTGTCTTGTGCATGCTGACATTGTCCATCACAACCACAGAGTCGTCTGGGAAGGTCGCTCGCTCAAAGAACTCGACCATCGAGTGTGTCTTGAATGATGTGGGGATGTACATGCGATGCAGCACACCAGAGTGGTTGATGGCAAATGCAGCTGAGACAGACTTGTGTTTCATGTGATTGCGCTGGCGAAGCGGAGCACCCTTCGGTGAGTATCCGTAAAGAGGGAAAATGGATTTCCTGATCCCTGTCTCGTCGACAAAAACGAGTCGTCGTGGGTCGATGGAGCGGGCCTGGTCCCTGAACTGTGCCACTCGCTCATCCAGTCGCTTGGACTTGTAGAGGTGTGTTGCCCTCTTGTGTGAGAGACCTGCTCGGTGGATGGCAGTGTGGCAGAGTGAGAGTGAAACTTTCCTCTGGAGGATGGACTCGAGCTTGCATCGCAACACAGGACCAGTCTGGAACGGGTCCTGTTCAATCAGGGTGCGAATGACTGGACATGCCTGCTCGAAGAAAGTGGATCTGCGAGCTGGGACCCGGGATGGGTCATCCAGCTTGCATCCTCGGTGCCATCGATGGATAGTGCTCTTGGATACACTGAAGATGGAGGCGACCTTACGCAGGCTATGGATGAGGGCGTAGCATCGCAATGCGGCGGTGCGAAAGTCGGATGTGTGGCGAATGGTCATGGCCAGCGCGCGATAACATTGGGTAACAAAATATTCGATGAATGGTCAAAAACCCGGGTGTCCCGTTTTTTATTGGATTGCCTGTAATCCGGACGTGCTGTGGGAGGGTTGGCTCGCTTGTTATAACCGTAATCATCCCAAGCTGGGGTAGATGCTGCTGCCTCTGCCGCAACGGCCCCTCTTTGGTTCTGGCTCTGGCTCTGGTTCTGGCTCTGGCTCTGGCTTCTGAACACGCACACATCTACCCTGTGATCCTGTGTGCCCGAGAGCATTCTCGAGGTCCAGACGCTTTACACCCCCGGGTATCAGGCCCATGCATCGCACCCGTGTCCCAGTCCTGAATCGTCGTGGCAACACGAATGTAAGCACGATCCTGAGTGCGAGTTGATCATCGCTTACGAGTATCGACCGCATATGTTGACAACGGTACTTCATGAAACGATGCGATACACACAAAGGCCAGCCACAATCCCACAGGCCTCGGCTGCGCGACCAGCAGGGAAGTTGGGTTGGCAACCTTATCGCTGCATAGACTTTCCCTTGGCGAGTGATGGTGCCGTGTTGTGCGAATGTGGGAATCAGTGAACCAAGAGAAACGCAGGTACGATGATCGCCCCCCCCCTCAAAGAGTGAGGTACCCGGGACAAACTCGATTGACATGTGCATATATTCAAGCTTCAGAGAGAAACAGAAGAAAACATATCGATTGCCTCAAACACTGCGTGACCTGTTCCCTTTGAGAGTGCCGTGGTTTATTCCAGGAACAGCCTTGCCCATTACCAGCAAACAGGCCGCTCCAGCAAACGCCGGCACAGATATCCCTGCACTCGGCATATACCCCACCAGGAGCGCCGGTTGGATCACGGTTGCAAATTTTGTAACTGTTTCCAGGATCACATTCCACGAATGTTCGTTACAACCTGTGCTCCGGACAAGGACATCGCACGAGCCACAGGGGGGTCGCTGACACGGCTCTCGGGCCGACTGAGTGGAGCAGGACGGCGAGGTTCGTATCCGGAAGTATCATAACTGGTGCCGTCTAACTCATCAACACCAGTAATCGGCCGCTCTGTTGTCGTTGTATAGTTGCTGCTCTCTCCAAAGCTTAATCCTTCGCCGTAGCTCCTGCTTTGTGGGTTGTTCTTTTCATACTGAGCAGTCAGTGGTTGCTGTACGGTCGCATAGTGTCTTTCCATGATGTTGCCGGCCATGCGATTCGATGCCGTCGAATTTCTTCTCTCGACCATGCTAGTTTGCTGTGAGAACGTCGGAGGAGCGTTGCTAGTCGTTTGCATAGCTTGAGCAGGCGGCCGGGTGCTGACGCTGCTTCGAAGGACACCCGAAGGACTAGCACTGAGGATCGACGCCACGTCGCGGTCCATCAGCAGCTCAACTTGACTGCGAAGCCGTTTTGAGAGCTCGTTTACATTACTTTGCAGTCTCTGAAGGTCGCTGTCCTTTTGGCGGTCAATCACGCGGCTGCTCGCCACTTCATCCTCCAGTCGGCGGACCTGGTCCAGGAGATTGCCTTGCTTCAAGTTCAAGACGACAATTTCCTGCTCCTTCTGCTGCAAAGCAGTCGAGAGCGTCCCAATCTGTCGGTTACAGCTGGCCTCGCTAGCCTGCAGTTCAGATATGCGGGCCTCAAGCCGGAAGCGTTCCGCTGTGAGATCTGTGGCCTCGAGCTTGGTACGTGAGAGCTCTTCGTTTAGTCCTGTAATCTGCTGGGCCTTGTTGCCGAGCTGGGCCTGGAGGTTTGCCAGATCACTCTCGAGCGACTGCTTGGTGTAGCTTAGTCGGTCTTGGAGGGCAGCGAGATCTTCTTTATACTTGGACTTGAGACTCTCACGGTCGTATGATTCCTTGGCAAGGGCAGAGTTTGCATTTGCCAGAGACGTTGTCAGGTCAGAGAGACGCTTGGATTGCTGCTGAATGTTTTCGTCACGCTGGCGGATAATTTGTCGCAGGTTGCCTTCCACCTCGCGCACCTCGGCGAGCTGAAGTTGCTGCTCATTCAGGGAACAGGTCAGGTCGGAGACCTTTTCTTGAAAGGCAGCGAGCTTTTCCTTGCTGAGTAGCTTGAACTCAGATATGGCTTGAGTGTCTCTGTCGATTCGAATCGATAAGTTGTTGATCTGGGCGTCTTTGTCTTGAAGCTCCTGAAGTTTGAGCTGCAAGTCGGCCTTGCATTGGGACAGCGCTAGAGACAAATCGTCGCGCTCTTTGCGAAGCTGCTCCTGCACATCCTTGAGCGACTGGATGTCGTGTTCGCAAGCACTTATATGTCCCCGCAGGTCATTCACAAGGTGTTTGTACTCCGCATTGTCCTGAGTGAGACGCAGGCTTTCGGATTGAAGCTTACGGTATTGTTGATTGAGCGAATCTAGCTCTTCCTTCTGTGAAGCGACCCTGTTGAGGTTGTCTTGGACATCAAGACGTAGCTTTGCTTCGACGCTCTTGAGATGATCGATATCTTGCATAAAAATTAGCTCTCGTGCCATCAAGCGCTCGACCTCGCTTGAGTATTTGCGCTGGAGGGCTGTCACGGCCTCGAGGTCACTGCAAAGCTTGCGCTCGCGTAGTGCAGCCTGCTCAAGCTCATCCAAACACTGCCGCTCGCGCTTGCTCAGGGTCTCGTATTTTCTCTCCAGCTCTTGGAGCTGCATCTTGACATCCCCGAGGGCTTGGCATTCGGCCGTTTGCTGAGCGAGCTGACCCTTGAGCGCCTTCAGCTCTTCGTCGCGCTGAGAGCAGTAGTGCTCGAGCTGGAGAATATGCACCTGCTGCTTCATTCCGTTTTCTTTCTCCTTCATCCACTCTCCATCGCGTTCTCGGGACACCTGGATGATTTTCTTGAGGTCACGTTCTCTCTGAGAGAGTTTTTCCTCGAGCTCTGCTTTGGCACCCTCGAGTTCTTGGTTGAACTTTTCGACTTTGCGGATCCTCATGTCGCTCTCGACAACTTGTTTGGTGACTGTATCGACCCCGGCTTTGAGCTTGTCATTCAAGCTAGACCAGGCCGCAGACTCCTTGTTGTACTTGGCGACCAGCCCTTGGTACTCGTCATTGAGGTCGGTGAATGCCTTGTTTTTGGCACTCAAGGCCCTCGTCAATTGCGTGACTTCGTTGGCGGTCTTGCGCTCCTGATTGCGCAGCTCCAGAAGATGGTTTGTCTGCAGCGACTGCACCTCCGAAATGAGTTTGTGGTATTCGCTTTCAAGCTGAAGATGCTTTGCTCGCTCTTCTTCCAGGAGTACAAGGAGAGTTTTGCTGTTCGTGGGGAGCTATGAATCGAATTGGGAGTGGATGAGCTATCGGCAGACCGGGCGTGACAAGCACTTGAGCAGACAGCCCCCCCCTCCAGACAACTATTCTCCCCCGGAGCAGCAACTTTGACTGCCATATCCCCTGTCCACGAAGCACCATCTACCTTCGGTTTGGGCTGCAGGTCCCTCGCGGATTTCCCGTACACATCGCTGGAGGTGGTGCGGCGGTGCGTGCTTGCATCGCGGCTATCGGTATCCCGGCCGGTGAACCTCGGCGTGCGGTCGCGGCTGCTCTCCCGGTCTCGGTCACTGTCCGGATCGAGGGCTCTTTCCCGCGGCGACTCGAAGCCGGCAGTGCTGCGTTGGGTGCCAGAGGTGTGGTATTCGGGGAACGGGGGCCTTTCCGAGGTATAGTATCTCTTCCTCTCTTGCTCCAGTCCGCGGCTGTCGACCAAATTGTCTCGGGGAGGATTGGGCATGTCCTCCTCGCCAAACTCCCGGGGCTGGTCGATCCAGACGTCTTTACCTTTGGTCTGGCCGTATTTGTCTCGGAGGTCGGAATCGGGCGAGTCCAGACCGACTCCACCCGCTTGGCGATATCTCGGGTCATCTTGATCGGGCAAGCCAGGCCGTTCGTTGTCTGGGATTTCGGCGAAGCGTTCGCGCTCGTACAGCTTTGAGGCCAGATCCCCCAAGGACGACTTTGACTTGGCCGGGATGCTTCTCTCTCTGGCTCGGGTATCTTCGCGATCAGGATCTATATTCGCTAGCGAGGCATCGGCCGACTTGGGCTCGGATCGGGCAGCCAACCGGCTGCCTACATTGAGTTTGTTGCCAATGGGGCTGTTGCGGCCACTTGTTTTGGCTGAATGTGAAACGACACAGAGATTTGGCTGTTAATGACAGTCAAGAGGGAGTGCATCAACCAAGTTTGAGGTGCCAGCGACCTTAGATCGGGACAAAAATGACAATGGCAATGACAGTGATAGGCGGAGCCGGCAGGGCCATGGTAATGGTCAGATGTGGTTTGCAAACGAGCTTAGGATGGAGCTGTCTGTTTGGATTCGTCGGCCAACATCAGAGAGCACCCGAACGTGGCGAAAGGGCAGCAGCGCTCAGAAATAGTCGTATGAATAGAATACCAGTCTCTCGCCAGGAGGCGGCTTCGTCGAGCCGACCATAGCTCGGAGTGGGTGCGTTTAGTGCCAGACCGGAGAGGGGTTTGGCCGAGGAGCCGTCTTGACGCAAATCCCGGGGTGTATCGAGGGTTATCGACGGCCGAGACCGAGCATAGAGCTCTCGCTCCCGTTCCAGCTCCCGAAGACGGTCTTCTCTCGACCGCTTGGGCTGGGTTTCGGCTGAGAGCGGCGGCATTGGTGTCTGATCGATGTGCAGCCCGAGAAAGAGGATATAGATGACGAAAGTGGATTCGTGGGCGACCTGGCGATGATGGCGATCGAGAGCTGAGCTACGGCGGGCGATGGCGATCGGGCATCCGACTGAGAAGGGGAGGGGGAATCGGCTGCTCTTCTGGACAGTGCCGGCCGGCTCGAAGCGACCGAGAACAACAATCCGAGCGTCGATAGAATGCTCTGATTGGGACGGCGGGCACGGGGCCGAGGCCGGACGATTGTGCTCGAGGTTGGCTCGGCCTGCCTCAGGTCGATGGAGCGCGCGGGAATCCAGAGTGATTGGCATCATTCAAGGCCGGGAGCAGGTATGTACGGCCAGGTCCAGCAGCGACATGCCCGCATCCAGTTGGCTCATGTTGCGCCTGTTGGATTTGATCGCCAGCCATGAAGAAGTTTCTGGGGACCATTAGCTTCTCCGGCATCGGAGGCCGGAAACGGCCAAGTCCGAGCCGTGGTGTCCTCGAGGCCTCGTCTGCAACGGAATCCTCCGGCTCGGCGTATTTTGGGTCGCCTCTGTCGACGGTGCTGCATACAAGCAGCATCAATCTCAGTATATCGCCTGCTGCTGGCGAAAGCCCAATAACAGCATATGGACCCGTGCCTCCGATAATGACCGATTTCGTCAAATTCTTCGAGTCAGGAGCAAGTAGGCCATCCGAATGCAATGACAGTGCGATGAATTCCGTTGAATGGGTTTGTCTGAACCACACCCTGCGTACTCGGCTTTTTAGTGGATGCGGGTGACGAGCAGCACTTGGTATACAGCCCTGGGCTGCAGAGGGTTTGGTTGGAGGCGATTCGTATGTTCTCTCGAGTTTTCATGGTGCTGGCGATTCTTGCGCCGATCCTCTCAAGTCCGCGGCACTCATACTTCCCACCAATACTCTTCGCGTTCTGCCCTCGTGCATTGCCAAGATCTGTTTTGCGAGGGTGTATTCCGGACAGCAGGCTCAGCTCGAGTCATTCGCGAGCTCCGAGAGAAAATCAACAGCGGTATGTCGGATTCCTAGTCCCATGGCGCCGTCGCAAGCAAGGCACAGTATAAGCCAGCGGGAGCACTGAATATGCATCTGCGACCTCAGGATCGGGAATTGGGTTCGCCGAGTTGACAGAAGCAGATGTTCCTGCTGTCGCCACTCTATTCAAACAGTGGCTTCGTGAGATTCCTGAAGGAATCATTCCGAAGCTACACTTCCACCAATTTGTCGAGGCTGGAGGTGAGGGCTTGTTGGTCGATCGGATGAAAGCCGGTGTTATAAAGGTCGATTGTCACCGATAGCCTCGGCTTTCGACTGGGATTTCAGCCTCGAAGTGCCACACGGGTCCTACGAATAGCCTCTGCTCTCGATATCCACGATGCAGATCGTGTGCCAACGAAACCGTGGCGAGGCCATAACCTTGATGTCGTTCATGTGCAGAATGCGCTGCGGATCTCGCAGAATGCATCAAGGCTCTGCCGGAAACAAACGCTGCTTCGCTCATGTACTTGCTTGAGTTCCTCGTGTTTGTATCAGCACACGAACATCACAACAAAATGGGGATCGACAACCTCGCAATCGTATTTGGCCCAACGCTATTCCAGTGCCCGAGTTCTCAGGACGATGATCCGCAAGCCTATCTTTCCGAAAGTGTTCAAACAACCAAAATCCTCAAGTTTCTTCTGCTTCACTTTGGAGAAATCAAACAAGTATGTCGTCGTGGATATTCCGGTCTCATTGGGCGCTTTTGTCTCAAAGGGCACCACTAAGGGTGCCGCCCAATAACGATGGAATCGATCGCTCCTTCTGCACACTAGATCATCATCGGTCAATCACGCAGTTGTAAATTGTCGCAGTCGCAATGCTCTCTTCCATCTCGTGAATTGCTCGATCAAGACCAGTGCCTCGGAAAGCATCCCACGTGAGTCCAGTCATCCCCCAGCTCTATCCGATTATGGACACGATCCAACGATCAACGATCACGAATTGAACAGAATTTATCGCCCGACATAGGGGAGTCTCTACAAGCTTGCCCGTGTTCATGGAGTCACTTCTCACTGATCTGAGTGGACAAAGCGTTCAACGAGTCCTCGGCTCCGAAGGTCCGGATATGGGAGAAAATGAACCCAAGGTATCAACCACTCGTAATGTCGTCCACGGCACATTTAGTCGCCATTCCAAGCCGGGACCATACAACGTGCACGTTCTGTCTTGGCAAGTGGAGCTGTGTGGAGCTGTGTGCTCACGAGTGCGCTTTTCTTAGGACCAGCCGATTCATACCCAAGCAAACGCTGTCACCATTTCCGGCTCGCGCGGGAACTCGTGCACTTCTTCCGACCAGCAGAGAACTTTGGCCTGCAGCGAGCCCCAAACAATGAAAGCGACTGTGGAGGTAGAATGGGATTTGTTTTCGACAAGCATGGTGCCATCGTGTGACCAAGTAAGAGGATTTACATGTCAACTGGTTGGGTGACGAGCAAACCATTGGTTCCTCTCAAGGTTTCCGTCGGTATCATGTCTGTTCACGAGCCATATGGTCTGGTCCGATCTGGCGATCAATCCACACAGTAAGTCACATCGTCTCTTTCATTTAACGAACGCGAGACGAAGCTAAGGCCAGCCGATACTCCCAGGATACTTCAGCCTGCTCAACTATCGAGCTTCACGAATGAGAATCAAGCACCCGAGCGCCTCGAACTTGAGCAAGCTTCGATCTCAAAGGCGGTAGGCACTATTTCGTTTCGGCCAATGACTCATGGAGCTGGCCAAAGGGATAGGTGGCTCGGGAATGCTTGAGCAGATTCGCAGGTTTGGCGAACAAACTCATCGTCAGATTGTCGGATCTCTCTCGCTCACTAGAGTCGCCCCAAGCCACCTCGCCGGAAAGCGCCCCCACCACCAGCGAAGGTGATCTCCAACAAAGACCCATCGCTACCTCCGCCTCCGCCCGCAAGTGCAGTACCGCCTCTCCCGCAGTTCCAGAGACTTGCTCGACCAGAACTTGACGATGGGATTAGACGACCAATATCGGCCTCAGAAACGGCTCAGTGCAGATGGGATGCCGAAAGCACTGCTGTCATGGCAGAGTTGCGCAGACCGTCGGCCTCGTCGAGCCCCAGGACCAGGCCAGAGACTCCGAAAAACGCATGTTTCCCAGATCGCTGCAGTCGGAGCAGCGGGGAGTTGGACAGTTCCGGCAGCGAGTCTTCTCCGATTGAACAATCATATTCATCCACGAAGCCACAGTCCAAATTACCTGATGCGATCCCTTCAGAACGCATCGTCAATGGATGTCTAAGTCTGGGCAAAGCAGCCTCGCATAGCACTGTAAGATATGCCGCACGGTCTCAAATGCCTGAATTAACTGCGATCCCTATCAGTACATCTCTTGAAACTCTGTTTTATTTCCATTGAAACCCATTGAGACCCTGTCTGAAGAACCCAGTGCCTGCGCCACCGTGTCATTTGCGGCTGGCCCTCGAGACTGATACCATTTCGTGATCGTTACAGATCGCACCGGCAAACCATCAGCGACTCCCCAAGCACATGAAAAACAAGAGCCTCAACATTGTGACAGATACGCCAACCGGTCATCAGCAAACGAAAAAAGTGTCGTTTGAGTCGTCTCTTCGGTCACTGGCAACGCCCCTGACCCCATTCACGCCATTCACGCCGCTCACACCGCTAACTCCACGAACTCCAATGACCAAATCGGTACCAGCTTTGGAAAAATCCAATGGAAGCGGTATGGCTGCACCTGAACACACTGTGTCCGCCCAAATCGAATCCGGGGTCATGAGATTCAGATGAAGTTGCTCCCACTGTGCTGATATCAAAGTGTTTCACAGCCAATACCAAAGCTCACAGTGGAGCCAGGCAATCTTCGGACGTACGAGTCAATGAACCGGGGAAATGGCACCGCTCTGTCGATTCTCTCCATTCAAATGCGAGCTGGTGAGTCTGGTCTTTACAAGACTAAGAAAGAGGGGTAGTTGCAACATACTGGGTCTGGAATCTGGATCTATACAGCGTGGCCGCATTCGCACATTTTGATTCTCACTATTGCCATTCATCTAGTCTGTCCGAGAGCAACGTGCAGCTTGACAGGAAATCGCCAGTAGACCACAGAAGTGATATCTTGGCATCTGGAGTCGAGGGGCTGGCAATTGAATTGCGCCGGCTTCAGAAAGAGGCGGCCGCACAACGAGCGGCCAGTCTTGCAGTTGATCGTGAAGCGATTTTGTCAAGGGAAATGAGGATCATAGAACTGAAGAAGATGCTCAATGGTGCGGTGCCCCTGATAGTATAACTTGTTTGCTTGACATTTGCAGTGCAGCTGACCGTCCCCACCTTTGGAATCGCAAATCTAGAAGAGCGGACATCACCGGGTCAAGACGCTCTCGATCGTCTTGAGCTCAAGCGTCGTGCTGAAAATCGCCCGTATGTTCTCGACGACATGACGATCACGCAGCTTTGCCAAGAAAAAGTCGACATCAAGCGAGAGATATACGAGCTTAGAAAGTCTACCGAAACCGATCAACAGGTATGCCGGGTCGTATAGCAGAGTATTGACGGGGCAGGAGATACAATGGTGAGTATGCCAATAATGGGTATGGCAATGGTATGATCCAGGGCTTTGCTTCATCGTCTATCAATATTCTCTGGATTCTAGAGCGGTTTCGAAGACCATGACATCTTGCGCGAGCTCTATCGAAGGTACTGTGAGATTCGTGCTCTGATTGAGAAAACCGACGGTCAAGTTGCATCAGCAAAGGAATCAGCGTCTCTCGCTTCCATCAACTCACCGGCAACTGGCTCCATGGAAGCGTAAGTTGTTGGCAGAGATTGTCAGCCAGGATCGCGTGGTTCGGGGCGACGATTGAACCTGAAGGGAGAGCGAGCATACGGGCCGGCATTTGTGGCCATGCCTTACGTTGCTGATCAACTGCACGTGTGGCAGGTTGAAAAAACTGCGCTATGAAAAGAAGGTCCTGCAGATCAAGTTGCACGCCTATCAGGATGAATTCATGCAGCGGATGGGACGACCCGTGCAAACATCCAGAGATAGAGCTCCCATCCAAGTTGATTATTTGCGGTACAAGGTGAGTACTCATGTTCTGCGAGCTCAGATAGCATCTCTGATACTGGAAATTGGCCATTCTTGACTTCCTATCAATACTGAACTTGAGTGTCATCAGGAATTGAAAATGATCCTGAAGGAATACGAGCAACCGTGCCAAGAATCATAGCTACTATACCAGATTTCTTGAAAGACGTGTGATTGCAAGCCTAAGCCTTATCGAAGGTGTGTTCGCACAACACGGCACCATCACTCGCCAAGGGAAAGTCTATGCAGCGATAAGGTTGCCAACCCAACTTCCCTGCTGGTCGCGCAGCCGAGGCCTGTGGGATTGTGGCTGGCCTTTGTGTGTATCGCATCGTTTCATGAAGTACCGTTGTCAACATATGCGGTCGATACTCGTAAGCGATGATCAACTCGCACTCAGGATCGTGCTTACATTCGTGTTGCCACGACGATTCAGGACTGGGACACGGGTGCGATGCATGGGCCTGATACCCGGGGGTGTAAAGCGTCTGGACCTCGAGAATGCTCTCGGGCACACAGGATCACAGGGTAGATGTGTGCGTGTTCAGAAGCCAGAGCCAGAGCCAGAACCAGAGCCAGAGCCAGAACCAAAGAGGGGCCGTTGCGGCAGAGGCAGCAGCATCTACCCAAGCTTGGGAACGGGATGGTATCCCTGTTTTCTGGCATCAGATGCCTGAGACATGCCGAACTTCCGCAGACCACAGTAAACAAGCCGTGCGATTGTTTCCAGTCCAGGTTGGCAATCTCTTGGGTTTGGTTGGTTTTGGGGTGCGGCCTTGAATACACTTGGTCAATCTCCTGTGGCGACGATCGACAGGCATGTCGTGATCATGTTTCATGAAGCACTGCTGTCTCGATGCGTGAGTGTGGTGCATGTACTCGATCCTCTCGACAGCTTGGCCTCCAGGCACTGTCAGAACGCTATTTGGTCGTGGCGGGCGATGGGCAGGTGTGCATTCAGGACCCAGAACAACGCTGGGCCCCTGACTCAAGCATGGGGTTTCGCTCCGTTTCGGAGCGCTCCGGCTCGCTCGCAAACCAGCTTTTGGCGCGCTCCTCCAACCCAACGTCCGACTGATTGGTCAAACTGCTTCATGCGAGACCGCCAAGTTTCGTTTGAGTTCAACTGCAAGTGCGAATGGCTGGCGCAACCTGCGATTCCATCGCGTTCGGCTATCTGCTCACGACACCCAAGCGATGAACGAGTCGCTCAAGAGATCACCAACCACCTCCAAGCCTGGCACCGCCAAAGGCTCGGGACCAGCGGCATCGAGTGCAAATGCAGGGTCTCAAGCTGCACAGCTCGCCATGGCGCAGACGCGAAAACCTTCGACTTTTTTTGCTTCCCAAGTCAGCGGCACCGCCGATCCAGATAACACACCAAGCACTCCTCGCGAGGTCACGATGGATATCCTTTTCACACGTCGCCGACGAAAGTCTGGGGCTTTGGGCATGGTGGATGGTGGATGTCCAGGGCAAGATCACGGAGGCACACGATAATCCTTAACCACGCGCCGGTGAACTGATCAGAGTGATCTCAGCCAGAAATATCCGGGGAGTAAAGGGCGAACACGTCAACAGCTTTGTTCGGGTCCAGTTTGCTGATTTCGATTACAAAGATGTGCGTTCTTTCCGATTGTCATGATGGCTGCCTGTTGTGCAGACCTCGCAGCTGTTTTGTGAGAGGGAACGCTTGTACCGCCTGCGCGCGAAACGGAGTCTCCGATTCAGAATGTTGGGATCATATGGTCTTTGGAAACTAACGCTCGCAACGGGACAAAACCTTCACAGTCTCAAGTGGTTATTGACAATCCTCATCCAGAATATTCTTTCTTGATCGAACAAAAGTTCCATATTGACGAGGTTGGTGTTGCTGCATGGCTACAGAAAGCATTGCCAGGAAGCTGCGTTCTTAACATCTATGGCCCTTGCATATGCAGAGCTTCATCGACACGATCGGCAACAAGAAGCTCGTCGTGACAGTAATTGAGTCGCTTCCCAAGGAGAAAACCGCCATTCTCGGCGTGACCGAAATGTCGTTCATGGGCAAACTCCTCAATTTCATTTCACGCGACCCAAGTGTGGAAACCGTGTCTCCAGAGCCACCCCCATTATCGGTCTCCGAGACGCTCTCCGTCAGCTATGCTAATCCCAAACTTCTTCCGGTCCCAAAGTCGCCGGAAGAGGACATTTCTCCTCGTATCGAAGTCGAAATCACCTTTGACGACCATTTGATTCGGCCCGACATTCAAGATACGTCCAACTGCATTTGCTTAAAAATCGAAGACATGCTGCCCGTCCCGGACGAGTGGAACGTCAAAGAAGGATCGGAGAAAGATCTAAACTCCAGTGAGTGCAGAATGCACGCGAAAGGGACGCCAACATGATAAAATACTCTGGTCTAGCGACGAGGGAGGAGTCGCAGACTCAGTTATCATTTTATGTGCGCGCAAGCTACCGAGAAGGACGGACCGATCCGCATACAAACAGAGTCTAACCAACCTGCTGTGCAATACACGGGGGCTCAAAGACATTTTTCAGTACTCTCTCAACTTTGTCGTCCCGGCAGAAAGCTCTCCAGAGCGTCTCATCAACGTAGGCGGAGGCACATTGACCGTTTCGGATGCAAGCTCCACAGGTATGCTGGCCATTTCGTAAGAGAGCTTCGGCGGAGCACATGTATTACAGAGTGCTATTCCAAAGTACAAAAGATGTTCGTTGCCAGTTGCAGCTGACGAGAGCAGCAGTTTGCGTCTAGTTGAATCGGTGTTGTATTCTCCCTCTGTGGTAGATTCAGACAAGCTGCCGAGCGATATTGACTCACTGTGCTATTTTCTGCCTTTCATAATATTGTCTTCTGAATGATCTAGCGGAGGCAAACGCGATCCAGCCGCAGCCAATTTACATTCCTAAGCCCAAAAACTCGGCCAGTAGTCTTGGCCACAATGGAGCAACCCTCTCGGAGCTTCCACCAGCAGAAAAGGTTGAAAAGACCGGGGCAGATCCATCCAACATCAACACGAAAAAAGTGCTTTGGCATACAAGTCACTATATCTGGCTTCCACCGACCGCGGTCGTCCGTCTCCGCGAGTGGGCACTGGCAAAGCGTCCGATCGAGATCGAGGTACGTGGTTACCAGGATCACGAGACAAACTGAGATTGAATGTAAAAACCAACTTGAGCTCAGTATCGGTAGTGGAGAAGCTAATCGGCTATTTCGTCAATGTCCAGTTTGTTCGAGAGCTTCAACCCAAATTTGCTCATTTGACAGACCCGTACGTGAACAAATACCGGGGCAAAGTAGTCGTTGACAGCAGTGCCCTTATGTTTCCAAGAGTTGTGGGCTTGAAAGGTACGCTGTAGGTCCGAAGCAGGTCGTCGCGGGTCGGTGCTTTCACATAGCAGCATTGGCAATTGCTCGGGGCTCTGATTCTGCCACTGCTGTCCCAGGTCGCTATCCGATGGAGATGTTTGAGCCTCCTTCAACAGCTGAAGGTCTTACTACCGGGAATCCAACTAGTGCCGATGGAAAGAAAAGCAAGGGAAACAAGGATGATGGTAACAATATGCTGCATAAACCGTCAAGATATGCAGCAAGCTATGCAGGAATCAAATTAACAATCAATGTTTATACATTAGGCGGAAACATATATAAATCACTGGGGACATCAATTTACTTGGAACTCTTGCTCGAAAAGCCATTGCTAAACAAGAAAAAGCTCCAGCCGGTATGTATGGGGTCTGCAGTCATAGTTTGAGGAGAGATACCTGTAGAGCATTGCTATATTGATGGTGGGGTATCAAACATGAACAAAGCTGTCTGAGAGGTCATACCGAGTTCAGAACGCGACATTGTGGTGCTAACAACAGTGACCTTCCCATACGGCCATTACAGATTACAAAGTCTGTAAGCGATTTCATACCAAGGCGCATAATTCCATCCCATATGCTCTATCAGCGACGATCTGTCAAGGCCAACCAGGAGTATCGGGAGCAGATCCAAGATATTGTGCGAATTTTGGTTCAGGAGTACCAAAGGGAGTTTGCCAAGGATGGCGAATTTGCGGCTGCAGTGACGGCTGACGATACACAGCAGGTAAGTAGCATGGTTTCTGGATGCAGCTCCAGAGCTCACCGACGGCACTGATCAAGTCCGCCATTTCTCTCAATTCCAGCGCCGCCGCAAGTTCATGTTTCATCTGAACAGAAGTGGCGTGTATTTTAGTTTCAAGGAGCGCCTCAAAGCAGCCGTCGTTGAGGTGGTTCGCGAGGTAAGTGCTATGGAGGGCTCACATCACCGAGGACTCGACAACAGTATTCAGCCGCGTTTCCAACGAGCTCGATCATTCGCCTATAGCAATTCCAAAAGAAATCGCCATTCTCCACAAAGGCGGAGCTTCAGTGTTTCTTGAGCGAGATATACGTCTATTTAAACGACCAAATGCACATTTCAACAGCCCAAGTAAGCGGAGGCAATGTGCTGCGCCTGACAGCCATCTTGACCAATTCTAATATAGCAGCAATATTCAGATGTTTAAGAACAGGGTTGCACTTGCAGAAGATCCAACCATCAGCCGCACTGCCGACTTCAATTCTCTCAAATCGTTTGCCGATCGCGAAGAAACCGAAAGAAACCTCCATGTCGCAGCCCTCTATCATCAAGAGCGTGTCTCTAAATACGAAGAGAGTATGCAAGCATGGTAAAGGCGATACGATAGGATGCGATACGATGGGATGCGATACATTTTGAGTCAGTCCGTGCGAGGTGTGCGAGTCAAATCCACTTCAGAAAGCATTCGAAATATTCCGACTGACTGACTATCAACACAATGCACGTCTGGGGGTGTGCGTGTCATTCGATGTGCGTGTCATTCGATGTGCGTGTCATTCGATGTGCGTGTCATTCGATGTGCAGGTTTGATTACGGCTGCTTTTGTGTCCGTACTGGCCTGCCCTCAAAAGGCGAGGAGTGCTTCAAAGAAATCCTTCAGAGAAATCAAAAACACATTCCAAGGTTGGCTAGCTCATCATCAAGTGATTCATGAATGCTTGTATTAATCCTAGGTCATGGATATGCTGAATGCTTCCCGAGCTCACACCGGATATTTATTCCAGTCTACTAGGCTATGGATCTCTCTGTTGCGTGAACGAGCGCTACGAAGAAGCACGGGTGTTTTTCAACCGCGTTACGGAAATTCAGCCCAAATATGTGCTGGGATTAACAGCGATGGTGGGTTTGTCGTGATCATTACAGCAACTTGGTCTGCTGCAGTCGTCGAGCTAGCTGCAAAATGCGACCGTCCGCTCATATTTGAACATCTATGCTGGAAAAGGGCCTCTTCTATGACATCATAGGAGAGGAACTCGAGTCAGAGAAGTATCTGGCCGATGCCGAAAAGCTGCACAGCGAATCAAGCTCAAGCAACGATATATCGATATTTATGCTGTCGGCCGAGTTTTTGGTCCAATGTCATGCCGGTCAGCTGGTCGAGAGAGCACTATCACAGGAGATGCTGAAAAACGGTCCGCAGGTTCGACCTTATCTGCTTCTGAGTCAGCTCGAAGTTCAGCGCAGCAACTTCAAGGTGGCCGAAAAGCATGTCCAGGACGCCATAGATGTGAAGCAAGATAGCCCGGATGCCTGGGCAGCACTTGGTATGACTTGAGCGATACAAGCAATATGGCCGAAGGTCCTTCATCGAGCCAGTGTGGGCGGGAGTGTGCGAGGGTGGCCGCCGATTCAATGGTCACAGCCTCACAATCCCGGCCTTTTCACCCCACAACTAGGACACCTCCAATATATCCAACAGAACTGGGACGATGCTCTGTCATCCTACGAAACAGTCATATCGCTTCCGAAGCCCCCGCACAACCTGGCCCTGATCTACCTGCGTCTCGGCCATTTGTACCTGCGTAAAGCTGGTTTTGTTCCGTCAGACAGCATCAGATGCCTTCTTGGCGAGATATCCGAGAGTCAGGATGCTCTTGGATTCAAAACACAGGACACGCACTCGGCCAATTTGGCCAAGGCGATATATATCAAATCATGTGAGCTCGAGCCCACAAGTAACGGATGGTTGGGAGTCGGCAAGGCGTGCTTAGCGCTGAGCGAGTATGCAGAAGCCGAGGATTCTCTCGCTGTAAGGATTCCCGGCCTACCCCTCATCACGACCACGAAAGCATGCTCTAGTTTGAGAGGCTGAACCAGCTTGCGCGTTATGAGGCGGCTTCATCTGTACCAGTACCATCTCCCTCCCGATACTCAGCTGTATCCATGTTTCATCAATCAAACTCCAGGAAGCCAACGTGCTGAACAATAGGGATAGCGAAGTATGGGCCTACATCACCATTCTTTGTCTTCAGACCAATCGGGAGTTTGAAGCCAATCAAGCAGTCGCACAGGCTCTTAGAATAGGCATACGCAACGCTGAGATTCTCAAGTAAGATCAGGACTTGCCTTTGATGGCTATCTGCAGCACTGGTAGACAGAGGAGCTGTTTCTCGATGCGCTCTAGTAGCCGGCGATCTGTTGGGATTTGCATATGAATCGATGAACAAGGGAAAGGCCGGCCATTGTTCGAGGTGGACGCCTACAGGCAATGGACCGGCATATCGGCCGACCTTATCGCCTGCACCGTTCCGTATCGGCGGAGCGAGCGTTGTAATCGATTTTGCGCTCCAGCAGCCGCGCCCCACAAGTGACCGCCTATTATTGCACCATTGCTGAACCACAGGCTCCTCGGGGTGGCGTTTCTTCGGGCCCAGAAAAATGGAGCTGCATCGGAGTGCTTCCGAATGTGCCTCGAGCTGGACCCGTCGGACGAGCAGACACAGCGTCTCTTTGAGCAGGCCCTTGATCCTCCAATCAAATCCGATCTACTTGCACTCGAGCGGGAGGATCTCGAAGAGTCGGCCAGCGACGAATGCTCCGATAGCAATGACGTTCAAGAGCCGGTTTTTTGAAGGGCCGTACGCCTAGGCTTTATTATTTTCGCCTTGTTAGCCAGGGTGTCTGATCAGCAGCCAAATGGTTTGTTGCATCGTAACACACACTCGTCATAACCATCTGCCGCGCATTTGACTTTTGCGTTGCTGCCTTGGGATGTTACACCATCATCTACAATCCGGGAAAGGTTGCCCATCTCCAGTGTGTCCATGAGCAGCATGGTCATTGTGCGCAGGGCAATGATGGAGACGGGGAAGCGAGTCGTGGACTTTCGCTCAGAAGTGATCAGCTATGGTTGCATTGGTTTGTTGGATGCAGGTTTTCAAAACTACATTTTCGGTTGCGATGGGACAGTTTCCTACGATTTCTGAATATAGTCCATCGACCAACCTGTTTATTCAAAAACAGGCATCAGACACACTGTCAACGGAGGAGCTGGTTCGAAGATTCGCATAAATCTTGGAGAGCCGCTCACTTGACTCCTCGCTCAGTTGCCCTTCAAAGTGCCGGCGGAATTTCGAGCCCAGTGCGCCGGCCTTCACCCGCAGGCTTCGGCGAATCTTGGTAATTGAATATACCGAGGCATCCGCGGTAGACTGCTCGATGCTTCCATTCCCAGATTGCGGCTGGTTTGCAAGAGTCGGGTGAGGCAGTGCTATCTCTGAGTCGGTGGGACTGGATGGTCGCCATGTCATGGAAGAGCCTGAGAGTGCAGCTGCTGTGGAGGCTACATGTGGTGCGGAGATTGCAGGCGCTGAGGGCCAAGTGGGCAACAATCTACCATGTAATAGGAGAGGGTGATTCGCCAACTCTTGCGCTGACACTACGAGACTGTTTCCTGCAGCTCCTATTCCAAGCGGGACAGTTGAAACAGGCATCGCCATCGCCATTGACATTGGCATCGGTACTGGTATCGGCATCGGCATCGGGATCGGCATCGGCATCGGCGTCGGTATCGGCGTCGGTATCGGTATCACCATTGGTATTGGCATAGGTACATGCATCGGTATCGGCCGGGGCCACAGTACTGTCGACGCAGAGCTGGGCATCGGGCCGGATGTGGACACTGGATCAGCAAGCATGGGCGCAAACGTATATCTCGGATCCAGCGCAGGCAAATGCCCGGCCGTCGCGCTTGCTGGGCAATACGGTGGATTAGGAATGAGTGAGAACGGATCGATTGATGATTGAGGCACTAAAGGCCGGAAGTTCGTTGGTGGAGAACTTGGTGCGAACACTGTAGGCGTGACTGCGGTAGTTACGGAAGCGACCGATTGCTTGAAACGAGAAGCCCAGGTCGGCGAGGAAGGCTCAGTTCCGATCCGGGAGGTGCATTCTCGTCCGCTTGCCAAAGGCATATCGGCAATCGGTATCTGTGGGCTGCTTTTGAGTTGCTGGAGCACCTCTTGTCCAGCTCGTCCTACTTGTCCTCCGCGTCCTCCGTGTGCTGCTTGTAGTGTCTGCTCTGTTCGGTGACGAACGCGCTGGCGCTCTTGGTGCTCAGCATTGTCGTGAAGACATTGAATCGAGATGTATGGGGCCAGCAGCGAATAGAGGTAACTCTTTTCGACAACATGCATGGATTCACGGGTAAAGAAATCGAGGGCCGCGTGGACAGAGCTTTCGTATTCTGAGTTTATCCTTCAAGCGAGGAAAAGCCAGGGGGTTATTGTGGCTCGTGATCCAAATCACTCGTTCGAAGGGCGTCTGCGATATAGGAAATACTATCGCCTACCTGGGTCGTGGTCCTTGAGAAGGCAACGTTACAGCTTTGCGGCCGGGAGGGCCTGACCTTGCATGACCATCCAAGAGCTGTGCAAAGTCACCGAGCGCCTCTCTGATGCCGTCATAATGGGACGAGTAGGAGCAACCTGAAGGAGCGTGAATGATGGGATAGGATCCAAGTACCTTCTCGGCCTCAGAATCGCCAATGATGGGCAGTGCAGTCTATCATTACGCAGATTGAGGCCGGGACAGCGTATCGAGTCAGTATATGGAGCCGGTGAATCAAATCGCCCTATTGGCCAAATTAGCCAAATCGACCGACCGCCAAAACCTAATGATACAGGCGTACCTCTTCATATCTCCATTCGCTCGGGCGAGCATACACATTCATGATGGATTCCAAGTCCAGTATCCAGGCCATGCGACACATGTGTTCGTATTCTTGCCGCTTATTAACACCAATGGCAACGATTGAATGTAGAGATGCGTGCTCGGGATCGGATACCTCCCGATTGCTGCTCTCGGCTTTGATGGTGCGCTCTCTCCTATCTTGACGGCGCACAAAGATCTCCACTGGCGAATCTTGTTCAAATAGCCGAATGAAGCGCATCGCGATTTGGTCGTTTCCATACTTGTATGCATCGATGTCGCTGGTTACGCCGCCATTTGCGGTGCTGTTCGCTGAGCATATGTACAGCTGCAGGGTATTGAGTGCTTGCCGGACATCGCAATGCTGCGTTTCACCAGAGAACTCGATGCGGAGCCATGATGTCAACTCGGCTGGTTGGATCCAAATCCCACGACGGAGCAAAACCAACTGGCAATAGAGCGCTACTTCGAAGACAGAGGGCAGATGCATTTCCAAGCGATACGTCGCTTGCTGAAGGGAGGAAAGGAGGCCAGGAGGTATAGCACCATTCTGTGGCGAAAATGGATACTCTGGTGGAAGAAATAGTGACAGTGGCCTCAGAAATCCTCTAAATATGCGCGACTTGCGCTTGCGATTCTCGCAGCGTCACGAGCTTACCGTTGGATGTCATCACAATTGGGCGCTTGCTGCTCTCCATAAGCTGGATCACAGCGCTCCAGAATCCTTTATCTTGATCGACACTGTGTTGATCGACCTCATCCAGAAGGACCAACGTTCGTCGGCCAGGGGATGTGATTGTCACCTCAGGCGAACCCGGGCGCCATTGGCGAGAATGCTCAGCGAGCGAATCCGGCTTTGTGTCAACAACACAGTCCGCGTCTGGCTCCTCGCTGCTGTCGACAGTGCCTGAGGAAGACTCGATCGGTCGCCTTTTGTTCTCTGTGACACAGCGTCTCTTGTTGCTCGTACGCTTATTTGGTGCAGGAATATCGCTGTGTTGGCCTTTCGAAGGCCTCATCGTGCCAACGCTATTGGAGGCTGTGACGCACGCAGGCTCCAGGGTGCTTCGAGTCGCTTTGGCACCGACATCCTTGAGCGGATTTGTCAGGGTGGTATGATCAGTCACAGTACTTTGAGGGGAATCGACATCGATGACAGTCGCGGAGACGTCGCTTGGCGTGAGCCCGTGGTCTTTGTTAGTCGCGGTCTTGTGCACTTTGTGGATTTGGGTGGCAGCGCTAACGGTGGCCAGGAGCTCCTTTCCGCCACGCTTATCCGACATGCTGACTTCGAGCACATCATATCCGTGCTCGCGTGCGACGGCATAGACTGCTGCTGTCTTCCCAGATCCCGAGGGGCCAGACACGGTCATAAACGGAGGCTTGGTTTCGAAAGAGTCGCCTGCATCGTATTCGTCGTCATCGATGAAATCCCCGAGAACCGTTGAGCGCTTGCGCTTCTGGGCCATTTTGAGAGCCTCGCGCTGGATTCTTTTGCGCTCGCTCCAGACCAGGTCGCCATAGACTTCATTCCAGGACTGCAGCCACGACGACAGATGATCCAAGGCAGGCTTGTTGTCGCAGCCGAGAAACTCGTTTGAACAGAGGGGTTCGTGTTGCTGCGACCAAAGTCGTTGCGCGTCGGCGAAAGATTGTCCACCTCGGCTCGTCTTCAAATCCTGCATACATTGGCCCCAGAGCTTGGAGTAAACTGGCTGGCCAAACACGGCATCGGTGTATTCCTCGAGTAGCTCCTTGTGAATAGCTTCCGCTGATTGATAAGTTGTTCCCACGTATCGAGGGGAGAACTTCTCGCGCTGGTCTGTGTTTCCAAGGGAAGAGACAGGCTTGGAGAACAATCGCTTCTTAAAATCAGTAGTGTTCGACCCAGTTGGGCGCTCATCGGTATGCATTGGATGAACAGGTCGAAGAGGAAACGGGCAAGGCGGTTCTTTAAGTCGATCTGAACTTGATGATGCGTGGTCCGGCCGGCCATGAACATGATGGTTATATGGCTCCGGAAACGGCGCTGGCGTGACCGATGCACCAGCACTCAGCGACTGGAGACGGGAGGCTCCGAGTGCAGTTTCTGTCGGACTAGAATACGTCTTTTGGAAGAAAGGGTTCGTCGGCTTGCCCCTGGAAAAGGATGACATGAGCTGGTCGGACTCGTGCTTATCCAAGAGAGCTTGCTTTCTTTCTTTCAGTTGCTGCTGCACTCGCCTCTGCTCGGGCGTCAGAAAAAACGTGTGAACCTGGAGCAGATCCGACGAACCGTGCACGAGAGGAGGAGTGCTAGTATCGGGGACGGAGGCTGTCTCGGCAACGAGGCCCAAAGTACTGCTCTCTCCGACAGCGCTAGATGTCTTGTGTCGTTGAAAAAAGGGGTGGATTTTTTTTGGTGGGGGGTCGGGCGTGGGATTTGATGGGGCAACAGCGGGGTTGCCTGGTGAAGCAAAAAGGTCAGTGGTGCCCAAGTGAGTACAATCGCTGAGGTTTACAATTTACTGGTGTGAAGGGCAACGAAGCTCTGCTATCGAGACTGCGATTTGCGCTGTACGGTTTTGGAATGTTCGCAATCACCTTTATAGCCCTGGTCAAGTTGTCTCTGGCCCTCCGCTGTATTCTAAGTGAACGCGATCGATGTATCAGATCAGAACGGATAGCATCAGCACTCACCCGAATCACAGACGCTTTGAACAGTCTCGTGGGGTGACTGCGAATACGCCAATGGTATCCACATTCCCGGGTGCCCACCTTGTCATCTGCACGAGGCTGTCGGCGCTGTGATGATAGCGACTCAACCGGCGCAAGAGGAGCCCCTTGTGTCTGCTTGGATGAGGCGCCATCCCCCCCTGCATGATCACAGGCCGTGCTTGCTGAGCTCTTGTCCAACAGTTTTCTGGGACAATGAGAGCTGTCTTTGCTTTCCTCGGCCTCGAACAGGTCCGGCGACTTGGGTTTGGAACTGCGTGTCAGACGAGAAGCGTCTCCGGGATTGTGGGTCCGAGAGCCAGCGACAGCTGAGGGCAAAGGCGCTTCGGGATCGAATCGCTTCCGGCGCCCCTTTCCTTCTTCAATGGTGCCATAGATATCATTGGAATCTGTCTCCTCGCCAAGGAAGAGCGGAATAGGGGCATAGTAGTTCTGGACACTGATAGCTCTTCCAGACCGAGTCGTTCTCCTCGAGCCAGGTGATCCTGTAAACTGTTCCTGGGAAGATGATTCGGGTCCGAGTGGAGGCGATATAGGCCTCGGCAGCAACAGACTCAGATCTGCCGATTCCGGAGGGAGGGTGCAGGAGCTGGATACATGTGGCGAGCTATTGGACTCGCTCGTTGCAGTTTGGCTGATTACCGGTCCGATTGCACAGGTGGCATTTGTTGAGATGGCATTCGACGGTTCGGGGGACTGTGACGCATCGCCACGAGCCAGGGACTTGGAGCTCGGGCTCATGGGCGACTCAGGATCAAAGCATACTACCGGGTCTTGGTCGTCGCTGTCAATATCCAGTATCTCGTCCGCCAACCGACCCGTTGGTCCCAATGGCTTCTGGGCGGTAGTGGGGATAGGCGGCCGGAAAAAGCTCTCGAGGGTGAGCGGCCGCTTCTTGGAGCCCCGCGAGGCTTTGCCCATGTTGGGGATGTCAGAGGGCGACAGATCAGGCTCAGAGCCAGGATCGTGATCTCGATTGACGAACCCGCACTGTCGTAGGGCGGACCGGGGCCGTCGGCCGGTTGGAATCGCTGGAGGTGGCGGGAACCCAGAGCGAAGCCGCTGAGGAAACGCCATTTTTGGACAAATGAGCCTGAACAGAAACGGGCCGCTTCAACACACGAATGGCCCACTCTGCTTTCGGCGCTGTCGACAAATCCGGCTTTGGCAGTGCAACTCATGCTCAAATAGACACGCCCGGTGGGTTCATGGCCACGGGCTTTCATCTCGACCCCAACAACGCACATTGCATGATGCCAACGCTCGGCTGCCTTTGGTGTGCTTGGCTCGCCACCATCGCCTCTACAATTCGAAGCACGCACTCCTGCTGCCCACAGGACTGCCCACAGGACTGCCCACAGGACTGCCCAGCAGGCCCGGCACGGCCACACATCCATCATCGCAGATCCAGTCAGCTTTGTTAACATTGAACTTCTGGGGGGGGGGTTACGGATCGATGGCGACTGCAGGGCTTTCGACTGGGTGGTGGTGGCCGCAGGCGAGCCACTTAGAAGGGCTTGCGCAGCTTCCACTCGGGCTTGCGGTCGCTGTAGTAGCTGATGAGGCGCTTGGCCTTCTCGGCGATGACATCGGGAACAAGACCAAAGGTCTTGTAGATCTGGCTGGCGGGGGCAGAGATACCAAAGCTGTTGACACCAACCGAGGCGTGGGCGTAGCGGTCCCAGCCAAAGGTGCTCAGGGCCTCAATGCTCAGCACAGGGATGCCCTCGGGGAAGACCGAGTCCTTGTACTCCTGCGACTGGGCCTCGAAGAGCTCCCAGGAGGGGAAAGAGACGACGCGGGCCTGTTGGAGAGCAGCAGGTGAGGAACGGGCACAGGAACGGCCAAAAGCGACGAGCTGTGTGGATACAATGCGATGGCACTCACATGGACACCAGAGTTGGCGAGCTCCTTGGCGGTGTTGACGGCGAGCGAGACCTCGGAGCCAGTGGCAACCAGGATGACCTGAGGGCTGGCCACGTCCTGGAGAACGTAGGCACCCTTGAGGACGCCCTCGGCCGAGGAGGTGTCAAAGTGGGGCAGGTTCTGACGAGTGAGGACCAGAACAGTCGGGCCAGTGCGGTTCTCGAGGGCGGCAATGTAGGCGCCGTTGGTCTGGAGACACGGCCGGCAAAGGTCAGTTCGACTGGATGCTGCCGAGGGTTGCCAAGCGCCTATCGAGTCTGCGAGGTCGTAGTGCCTGGTTCGTCAACTCGAGTCACAAACGAGCTTCATACCTCGTGGCCATCGGCAGGACGGATGACCAGGGTGTTGGGCAGAGCGCGGAGCTCGGCGAGGGTTTCGATGGGCTGGTGGGTAGGGCCGTCCTCGCCAAGGCCGATCGAGTCGTGGGTCATGACGTACAGGACCTGGTGCTTGGACAGCGAGGACAGACGCACGGCACCAAGGGCGTAGCTAATCAAACACGACACAGAATACAGAGTTGACACCGCGCGGCAAGTCAGAGGCGGATATCGGATCGGCCGTGGCGTCAGTGACATCCACCACAGGATATGCATGCCCAGTGGCGACAGACGACGCTATGTCGATCTCGATGCTCACCCGATGAAGTTGAAGAAAGTAGCGCCGAACGGAATCAGACCGCCGTAGGCGTGGAGGCCGTTGCAAATAGCAGCCATTCCGTGCTCGCGAACACCGAAGCGGATGTATCGACCGGCATAGGTGCCGAGACCGGTGGCGGGCTGCACGAGATACGAGAGTGTTGGTACTTTCGTCAGCAATGTACACAGGCAGACACAGACACAGACATAGCCAAAGCAGAGCCAGTGCAGTGGGCGTGTGAGAGCAGGGTCAAGCAAGCGAGCAATGTGCACATACGGGCTGGAAGTCCTTGGCGGTCTTCCACCAGCAGTTGTTGGAGCCAGTGAGATCGGCAGAGCCGCCGATAATTTCGGGGATGCGCTCAGCGATGGCGTTGAAGACAGCCTCGGAGGTTTTGCTGGAAGCAAATTGGATCGTCAGCGTTGCGCCCAATCGAGCAGGATCGGCCACCATCGAGTGGGAGTGGCGCGATCGGACAGGACGAATCGAACTGTGAACATACCGAGTGGCCAGGGTGGCACTTGCGCTGGTGTACTTGGGGAGGGCATCCTTCCATCCAGCAGGGAGCTCGCCGGCAAGACGACGGCTCAGCTCGGCATGCTGAATGTGTGGGAAAGCACGAATGCATCGAGATACAGAGCATTGTGAGCAGGCCGAGCACAGAGGGCGGAATGGCCACGATAACAGCGACGGCGACGGCCATGGCACGCTATGCTTGAGCATGCACGCACCAGCTCGGGGTGGGTCTGGCCGTAGGTGGCAAAGGTCTCGGTCCACTGGGCGTAGAGCTGCTGGCCGCGGAGGGAGAAGTTCTTGTAGAAGCCGTAGACCTGCAAAGCAAAGCCAATCGATTGGTGAGCCGCAGAAAGGATGTGTGTTGCGCGAGGGCTCAGAAGCAGGAGGGGACTGGTTGAAAGCAACAAGATGCCGCAACAGCAGAGACACCCACCTCATCAGGAATATAGAACTTCTTGTCGGTGGGGAAGCCAAACTTGGCCTTGACATTGAGAATGTCGGCCTCACCCAGAGGGGAGCCATGGACCTTCTCCTCGCCCTGGTTCTTGGAGCCATATCCGATAGTGGTGCTGCAGGGACATTGATGAGCGGAGTTGATGCAAGTGTCAGTTCGGCGACAGTGCACTCCCACTTGTCAAGGGATGCAGTAGAGGCAGACGGTGGGCTCGCAGCTCAAAGGCGGCGGCGGAACTTGCAGATCGACGCAGGCGATCCAGATTGCAAGATGTAGCGAGGGCGATGTAGTCGCGACTCACCGGATCTTGATCAGGGAGGGCTTGTCGGCGACGGCCTGAGCGATCTCGATGGCTCTGGCGATGCCCTCGATATCGTGGTCACCATCGGTGATGACCTGGGTGTGCCAACCGTAGGCCTCGAAGCGCTTGCAAACATCCTCGGTGAAGCCCAAAGCAGTGTCGCCGTCGATGGTGATGTGGTTGTCGTCGTAGAGGCAGATCAGCTTGCCAAGCTGGAGGTGGCTGAGGACCAAGCAGCGGGCATGCGTGTTAGCCTAGGATCGTCAAGTGCTCTGGTTTGGCAAGAGCCGCAGCCCTTGGATTCATGGCCCAACCATCTCTCGCAGCGCGAGAACAGCGCCTGATTGCAGGACCAATGCCCTGAAATCCAGGAATCGACAGCGGGCATCAGAGCAGAGCTTACCCAGCGAGAGCAACAGCCTCAGCCTGGACACCCTCCTGGAGACAGCCGTCACCAAGGATGCAGTAGGTGTAGTTGTTGATCAGCTCGAAGCCGGGGCGGTTGAAGGTGGCGGCAAGATGAGCCTCAGCCATGGCAAGACCGACGGCGCTGGAAACGCCCTGGCCGAGCGGGCCGGTGGTAACCTCAATGCCGTCGACACCGTGATTGGTCTCGGGGTGACCAGGGGTCCTGTGCAGTGCGGGACGGCAAAATTAGATGCTGTGCGGTCGCTCCCAACCAGCAAGCCACAATGATGGAGTGCTGTCGTGGGCAAGCGCCGCAAGTGCTTACTTGGAGTGGAGCTGGCGGAAGCTCTTCAGATCATCGAGAGAGATGTTGTAGCCGGTGAGGTGGAGGAGAATGTACTGCAGGGCACAAGCGTGGCCGTTGGAGAGGACAAAACGGTCGCGGTTGATCTGGAATCGGGACGAACGACAGATGGCCAGGGGTCAGTCTCGCGTCGGCATCAGGATTGCGGTTGTCGGCCCATCGGGCAGTGCGCGGATCCTCAGGATGGCTACGGATGAGCGGACCGATCGGGGAGCCAGGGGCGCCCGAGCAGCTCGAGGCAGCAGTCTTCTGGACGGATCCAGTGCAGCGGGCGATCGAACGACGGACACTTACCCATTTGGGGTGGGCGGGAGAGCCGCGGATGAACCGGGAGAAGAGGATGTGGGCCATGGGGGCGCAGCCCATGGGGGCACCGGGATGGCCGGCGTTGGCCTTCTGGACGACATCCGGGGCCAGGCAGCGGATGGTGTTGATGCAAGCGGTGTCGATGTCGGCCATGGCGGAAGGAAGCGATTCGAGGCGGCTGGGGAGATGGCAGACCAAGGCAGATCGAGGCAGACCAAGGCAGATCGATGCAGATCGAGGCAGAGAGATAAGACCGCTGGATGCAGCCTGGATGCAGCCTGGATGCAGCCGGGGCAATGGTGAGAGTTCCCCTCCCCAACCACCATGACCCAAGGCCATTTCGCATCGGCATCGGCATCGGCATCGCCCTCCCCTCCAACTGCCTCGAGTACCGCGCACCATCCTCTGTTCCCAGCCATGAACAGACCCAGCCCGCACCCGAGACACGCAAACGATGGAGCCGACCCCGTTGCTCAACACCACGTCAGTCTCGGCGTGTCTTCGACCACTGTCGCCACAAGTGAGCTCGCCACATTTGCCCGAGCTGCAATGATATCAATTTTGCACGGTCCTAAGGCCAGCAAGATGGATGCTCTTCTGGGTATCGAAAAGATTGACGAGAATTTTCATGTGAGTCTTGCGCCTGCACATCGTGTCTGTATGCCTTTGTTGTGAGATCGTGGGAGCTGCCGTAGTGGTCGCGTCCCATTGTCGCTGTGAAAGCATGCGTCGGCAGCCCATTCGCATCGTGGCATGATCCTGGGTATGCCAGTTCAGGCACTGATCTGGAGACTCGCGTAGAAACACCTCTTCATCCGACATCTCCGCAAGAAGCTCGAGTCTGTTGTTTCCCCCATCCTGAATGCACAGATCGCGTCCAAATCAGGGCACGAAGGATTCATAGGTGAGCAAGATCAGGAAGGAACGACAAGACTGGCGTGACTGGCGATAGAATACCTTATCATACTTTCGCTTTACATTGCATTTTAAACGAGCTGTAACACACTAAGGAGGGAGAAATCGAGCCGAAGCCGAAGCCGTCGTGTCTGCATCGCTGCAACCCAGAGCATTAAACGATAGCCCGTTCCCATTTCCCTTCGACACCGTGCACCTGGCCAGATAAAAGCACGGGTACCTTTTGCGCCGAGCCCCAGGTCCCAATGATTGTCGAGAAGATCATGGGCTCGCCAGAGTATACAAACCTTGTTGCTACGATTGTCGAAGAGACAAAGAAATCAGTCCAGGATATTGTCGCCAACCGTGGTCATCCTCAAGCGGCGCCGGCACAAGAGCCGTCGGATGACCGCAGAAGGCAGTCTATCTCCTTCGATCTGCAGAGTAGCACCACAAACGAAAGCAGCTCAGGATCGATATCCTTTCATGACTTGCGAATGAGACTTGATAGGAGAGCCACTTGCACAGCGCCTATAAAGCATCTGGCCCGCGTTCAACCGAACGGAGGAACACGGCGAGACTCGGTGATGTGACTGCATCTACCTTAACTCGACTGCTTGTGTCCCGACTTCTTTTCCTTTGTTTCCTATCAATTTTGGGACCCAACTAGCACCTGTCGCTTGGCGCCTCGCCCGGACTCGAAGAGATTCGCGTGGCTGTGTCCAACATGAGCTCCAGAAAGCCTGTGGAAGTCCGGCTCGCGGCCATTCAGGTATGCTCGTTCCTGGCCATAGTCATTCCGATAGGCGAGGCAGCTGGCGGGGTCGCCACCAACGAGATGTCCATGAATATGACTTCGGAACGGCGACCTGATTGACGCTCGGCTTGTTGATACCCAATGGTTCTCTAGAAACTGGCCTCGTTCTCATCGGTCGATCTATTATCGGGAGAGTTGTGGAACGACTCCCGACCAGCACTGGAGGCGTCAATTGGAGATGCAGATCCGAGGTTCGTACAAACTCACAAGCAGTGGTGGTTTCGCCTGGGCGGCTGGCGGAAAATGCACGAGTCGCTCGTTCCTGATTCAAGCGACATGTTCTTGATGGACATTGTTCTAACGAATTTCGGATTTCCCTGTACCTTGCGGCGGGCTTACACCAACTCCAGGATTGCAATGCACGGCCTTCGGATATACGCCAGAGCGTTCAAAGCCGCACCACCGCCCATGACAGGAGAGGTCTTTGTCAGTCTTATCAACCATCTGACGCAACTTATTGAAAGCGGCCACACACCCAAGTTATCCAATGGGTTTGATCTCGTCGATCCAAAAAATGATTTGCTGCTCCGAAAGGTACGGTCCTGGCATCACCGCCACACGGGAGGTGCGGCGGATGTTCTGAATGTGCCGACCCACAGCGTTGCGCCTGATGCAAAACCAGCACCAACATCAGATCCGCTAATGGCATGTTATGGAAAATATCCAACTGTGTGCCTTGGACAGTTGATTACAAACAACTGCACCAGAGCAACAGCCACGAGACACCGGCATCGTCGGGATATTAACTCAACACCCTTCTCTTGGACTGTTTGTTTATCGCAGTTTCGTCTGCTCAACCAGTTCCAGCACGAGCTACCATCGTGCTGGAACCGATTTCCGGAAAGTCTGCTTACCGAGGTCATCTGCGCCACGGTCCGCCTGCTCAAAGCCGGCATCGGCGACACAGCCGCCGTGGGGTCCAATGGCGTTGCTTCGTCATCGAGCATCCCAGCAATGCCGGGCGCTGGAGCAACAAAGCTCCTGCCGGCGTCGGGATCGATACACGCCATCCACTACCTTGCTTTGATCGATCCCAAAGCTGCATGGTTCGAGAAATGGATGGCGTCTCAGTTTGGCAAGACTGCGACGAGCTCGGTGCTGATCCAGGAGAACTTTGCGAGCAGCGTGGTGGGGCGGATCTTTTTTGACTATGCTGGAACCCTCACCATCCAGCAATTTCTGCCGATCGAAATGATAAAGGCGGCCACTCAAGCGGAGGATGTTTTAGTGATGGACGTCGAGGCCAACGAAGAGAGCGACGGAAACGGCAAAACACTGTTCAGAGACGACTGGAACTACCTGGCCTTCCTTCACTCGACGGTGATGCTCGCCAAATTGGCGCAATGCTTCAGTGGACGCCAGAGCTTTCCGTTCAAATACGTCAAGAAGACACTTGCCAAGAACTCGGTGCTGGACTCGCTCTTCGGTGAGAGATAAACTGGAGACTATCCCAAGCGACGCTGCATGGGCAGCTCGGTGCTGACCGCAGATTCGTCGCTCTACTGACTTGCTCCCATGCCGTGGACATGTGCATCGATGACTTTGTCAATCTGTTGCACCGCTCGCTGTACAGAAGGCGACACATCCCCAATCGTACAAATTGGCCTTCAAGTCTTCCTTCGGACACTGGTCCGCCTTATGTGCTATTGCCCGAGCATTGATTTGTCTGTCGCCTCGGATCTGATCGAGAGCATGCACAATCAGCACCAAGCCGATCGATACCACACAGTTTCCCCTTTGAACCTGTCGAAATTCGTGTGTGGCATACTGAACAGCCTGTTTTCCTGCCGTGCGCTATGCAAAAGCCATCTCCACAAGGTTTGTGCACCAACTGACCTTTGCCTTGCTCTGCGCTGACCTCGGATGGGCTTGGTTCTAGCTGTCGCCACCACTCCTTGCTGACGCATGTCTCCGACTTGGTTTTGTCTCCGTCGTTGCCCCCCAGGAACATACATTGGAGGATTTGGTGGCGCCGATCAAATTCATTCTCGGTGAAAGTAAGAGAAAGCACCAAGATCTCTCCCCAAAGGACAGCCACGATCGGCAGCTGGTTTTGTTTCACATATCCGAGAACCTTTCAAGCATTGCCGCGACAGACCTCGGACGCCATCTTCTGCTGAGAGGAACACTATCCAGGCCGGACTATGTGTATACGGTCGCGCAGGAACATTCGCCGTCGCACACATGCCACGGATCCGCATCCGTGCGAAGCATCATCCCGACAGTGGCGGATTTTGTCCAACTTGGGCTGAAAGGCGAGATCCGATCGTTCTCGCCGATCCCCCTGCGTCTCCTCGGGGCCTATATCTTCCTTCTCCGGCAGCTGTATCGAACTTGCGAGGGGCTACTCTGGATCGAGCGCTATGGACTCCATCGAACCCTTGCCGCCGAGAACCAGGACATGTTCGTTCACGATGATAGTGCCCGAGTTGACTCCATCAACAAAAGCCACAGCCGTCGGGACTGGCTAACCATATCGCTCGACAATCTGCTCAACTTTGCGGGCTCGCCGCGCGGGGTGCTGCTGCTCCACCAATCGGGCTCGATGGACCCATGCACGAGCTACATGCTCCATCGGTAAGTGGTGAGCCAAACAAATCAATGTACTTGACGGCCGAATGGAGGCTGGGTTGGGAGCAAGCAGTCCTTGTGCCCAATGTCCTTTGGTGCTGCATTTGGTGCCGCATTTGATTGGATGCCGACTGGTGATATCTGGGGTAGCAACGCCAAGTGTCGCACATGTGCAGAGTTATGCGGCGTGACAGGCCATGAGTGTCGTACCGATTCACAATCGCTGGTCGAGAAACTTGGGTGAAGTGACCCCGATTGTGGAGCAAACCCGCCTCAGTGCCGGCACCCTGACATGGCCGCAGTGGAATCCGAGGTGAGAGCACGTTCAGCTCATACCACAGCGCCTTGTTTATTTAGCTACCAGCAAAAGATTCAAGTCAGCAAGTGCGAAAAATTCGGATACGGCGTCTTGGTCTCGCAAATCTCGGTCACGCAGTCGGGGATGCGTTCTCTGCTCAAGAACAACTTACCCGAATGGCTCTTGCGCGAGCTGTGGCTGATTCTGGAATCGGACCACCCCTTCCGTGATCCACATATCCTTTGCATGAATCTCAGAGGGGCAAGCGAGAGCGGAGGGCATGCCACGGGTCAAGAGCCAATTGATCGGATCACAGGTGCGCCCTTTGGCACACCTCCGCCAAACGCTCTTGTTGTCCTTGACTCGGCAGACTTGATCCAACACAGATCGACACGGAAAGCCACATCTGTCGCAAGATCATCAACAGCATCGTCAAGGTGTTTTCATCGTTCCCGGCCCTGTGTGCGGCGATGGTCAAAGACTCGATCCGAAAACGAGCGGACGACAAGTACTCGTGGTCGTATCTGATGAAGTATGTTGCGCTCCTCGAGGAGCCACCTTTGGATTTGATATTGCCGCAGGAAGAATCGCATCAGGTCAGTGAGCTTTTTAAGGAAGAAGGTGGAACGCTGGTTTCCAAAGAAATCAACGTATGTACGGTCTCACCGTCGCGGATGACAGCCTGGGGTCCATCAGATAGCTAAGCCACTTGCATATCGCATCAGATGGGTCTGTCGATCCTCAAAGTTGCGATTTCATCGCTAGATGCATTTCTGCTGCTGCAGTCGACGTTCCACATCCAGGAGCGCCTGCTGAGGCTCCAAAGACACAACCAAATCGATTCAGGTAGGTGCGAGATAATACCAGCGTCTCAGTGTTTGTTCACAAACAAGGATCATGCATCAACAGCGCTGTGTCGATCCAGCTTTCAGAGTTCCGGGCTGACACTTGGCCCAGGATAATGCCCCGCGCCTCTGAGCCAAGAGCTAGTTGGTATTTTCCCTGGCTTTAACCCCTGTGGCTGAGCAGGATTCATCATCGATGCAAATGCTCTGCTCCGTAACTCCATCCTGGTATCGACCTATTTGACGGGCGGCCCGTCGGAGCGAGTGCTGCCGACAACATCAACCAGCGACTTCCTGCGGAGCGAGCATTTGACCTTCTTCTCCGAGTTTCCGGTCCCTGAGTGCTACATCAAAACTCAGTACCCAGCAAAGTCGCAGCCGGGGTATGTGCATCGTGTGGCAGCTTGGAGGGGAGGAACAGAAGTGTCCCTCGCTGTGGAATCAGTGGGGGTACATTGTGGCTGCCCTGATTGTCAAAGGATTCACCCTGACTGACCTCCTTCTGTCAGATCCTCGGCACTGGAGGCGTTCAACAACATCATCGGACAGAACGTGACAGATCCCAAGGGCTGGCTCGGCGAATTGCAGGTGCGTGCCGAGGGAATACTCTAATGATTGTCGGCCGTGCATTGGTCACGCTTGTACTGGACGGGCTTGACCCCACCGAATGCAAAGACTTGAAGTTCTTGAGTGCATCGTCGGGGAGCCTGTGCCTGCGACTCATTCTCGACGGCCCTGCTGCTACTCCTATGCCGATGCAGAAAGCATTCATGTACATCATCAAGGACTGCGACGGGAGCATCCCGGCAGAGTCATTTGGCCTCTGCATGACCAAACTCCTGGACACGATCCAGTTGCTCGCGACCGAGGATGCGGAGGCCCTTGGCTGGTTCCTGATTCCCAGCCAAGGTTTTGCTGGACAAGCTGCGCAAAAGCCCATAAGATGCAGAGCCATCGCGGCCAGTCAGGTTTGTTATCTGTCCATTGCAGTTTGATGTGATGCGATCATTCGAGGATAAGCCGTGGTGCGCTGTGGTGTACCCTGTTCTGAAAGTCCCTGTTTTGCGGCTCATTGATTCCTTGGCAACGCCACCCAGCGATCGCTGCCCAGCAACATCCTGGGTGCCGAGGTGGCGATCCGCTACGCAACTCGTCTCCTCGCCCACACCAGCAAGAACACTCTCCGGAAGGAAACGTTTTTGCAGGTCCTGTCGCAAACACACGAGTATCTGTGCGATGCCTTCCACCGCCACGACGATGCAAAGGAGACGACCGGTGAAAGCGCCTCTGAGCCGACTGGGCTTGAGACCACTGCTTCGGCAATAGGATTCGATTGGTTCATGGCCACAATCACGATTGCCTTTCATTTTCAGCCGCTGTCAAGCATCTCGATCCGAGACGAAACAGATGGCCGTGCGGCAGAAGCTACCGCCTTCCTGGAAAACTATGCCCAGTTCATGCATTCGATGTACACCTGGTCGTTCCGGGCCAAGGTCGCGGATATGCACTCACGAAGCGAGGATGGCGACATTCCGCTGGTGTACTCGACCACATGCCATATGATCGAGACGATCCTGGAACTGGAGCTGCCAAGAGTGTTTTCAGCCTTTGTCCTCAGCGGCTGCACGCCATCGCAGGTAGGCTCGAGGCACTTCCGATGCGACACTGCCATAAAGAATCAAAGGGTCCGTGTTCAACTCCAAAAAATGTCGGTCAGAGAGCGGGAAGATACTCACGCGTTCGGCGTCATAGATTGCTATGCGATGGCTCCGTGAAGTCTTTTGGAACGTTCTAGACTTTCCCAAGATCCTCAAGTACATTGCTCTCTTCATGATCAACGGCATCGACTATCAGATCTACTTTGTCATCAGTCTGTTCAAGCATCTTGAGCGCGGGATCCTGGTGGCCACCCGGGAACAAGAATTGCTGGCCTACTTGAGCGAGTTTCCGCTGGCACATCCCCACGGAACGGCTCATGCTTCCGAAGTCGTCGAAGAGGCTCAAGTCAAAGCCGAGAAGATGGATGGGTGGGCTGGAGATGCAAGCGACTCCAACACCCATGAGTTCAAGCTGGCCGAGTATTTGTCGTTCATGGATCAGCTCAAGGCCAAGTACCGTGGGCTCGTCCTGACCCAGATCCGGCGGGACTGGACCGAGTGCCGAGCGGACTGAGGAGCCAAGGGGCCATCGGTCACTGCCACCTCTGGAAGCGGTTGCGACTTTATCCCAAGAGGGCAGTGCTATGACGGCAGCGAGCGTTATGCGAGTCGCGAGTGGGGCAGAGGGATTGCTTCGTGTGATTGAGGGACTTTGTGCCCCGGGCGGGTGAGCTTCGACTGTGGCGGGGTATATCGGTTAGGCGATCGGGGCGGTGGCGGTAGCGACAGTTGCATTCAAGACACGCGTATCGGGGGATGTGTCGTCCTCGCGGTGTGGTTCGCACCGAGCACTTGCGACATGGGGCTTTGAGGGTAATGTATATTCCTCCAACCACACAATGGTCACTCACATCGCCAGGCATCGAGGGAACGGTGGCCAGAGATACAGACATGCCCCCCCCCATGCCAAAGGTGGCGGAACAAGTCATCGCACGAAACGGGTGACCGAATGGAACACCCCAGAAGGACTCACTAAAAAATGAAGAAATGGACGACCAAGGGGCATCCAATAAATACATATGCATGATCAAAGTATGGGCAAGGGCATGCAAGGTCACCAACAAAAGTCGACAGGTAGAAATGTGCACGAGACAAAGCAGAGTGCAGTTGGACCTGAAGCTCGAGCCAGCAACACAGTGCATCGTGATAGACAGAAAGATAGAGATCAAGTCCAGAATAGAACCGACAAAGCGCCAAAGCAAAGATATGATGCAATGGTCAAGTCGGGGATGCGGTGGTGACTTTGTAAAGTCGCGGTCCAGCGAAAGTCATTCAAGATCATCCGGAGAGATTCAAAATGGTAGACTTAGGCCGAGGCGCCTTCGGGCTTGTCGGTGGGAACATTGGCAGTGGGAGCCTCGGCAACAGACTCGACAACCGACTCGACAATAGCAGGCTCGACAGCAGGCTCGGCAGCAGGCTCGACAATAGCAGGCTCGACAACAGGCTTGACAGCGGACTCGACAGCGGGCTCGGCAGCGGGCTTAGCTGTAACGGAGGCAGCCTCGGCAGGAACGACCTCGGCGGCGACAGCATCGGCAGAAGGTGCCTCGCTGGCTGGAGCGGAAGAGTCGGCAACAGCAGCAGAGGCAGCGAGTGGGGCCTCGGTAGCGACAGGGGCGGCATCATCGACGGTCATCTTGGACGATTCGTGGGATTCGGCAACATGCTCATATGCTTCGGCACCATGGCCGTTTTCGAGGTTGTTCTTGGAGGCCGAACGCAAGAGGCGCTCACTTCGGCGAGATGGCGCACGGCTCGGGGTCTTGGGGGCCTTGGAGCGAGGCGACTTTGTCGACTTGGGAAGAGACGAGCCGTTTGCGGTTGTCTCGTCCCCGTCGGACTTGGCCGAATGGCCTCGTCTGCGCTTGGGCGAATCAACCGACACCTCAGCAACCTCGGCGAGGACGCGCTTGCCTGCAGCGGAAGCGTCATGGCTCTCGCTTGCAGCCTCAGTCGCGGCAGATTCGGTGGACACCGCCGCGGGCTCGGCAGCAGCAGGAGCCTGGGAGTGGTCAAGAGTGGGCTGTTCGGCAGCGGCAGCCTGAGTGGCCCCACAACATGTTCCAGGGTCGAGCAAGAGGTTCATGTTGCGACGTTACATTGGTGCCCAAATGAAATTGCGCAGAGCGGATGGAAAGACGGTTGGCATGCCACAAGCGATCGGGTTGGAGATGCGCGAATCAGAGGTGAAGGGTCAGGACTCTAAGCGAACCAGACACGACCGATACGGCTGAGGGTATCTCTCGACCAGCAGCAGAGGAGCTGCAAGCAGGCGCATGCCCCTTGCAAAGATCAAGAGATCCGAGAGATCCGAGAGATCCGGGGCGATGGCGCCCCACACACGGCCATGCAGAGCACCGAGCAGGCGAGCGAAACTTACAATTGAAGCAGCGTGATCGATTTCGGCGGACATGGCGGGAACGAGAGGGTGGTCAACAAGTGCGTTGATTGGCAAGAGATTGGCAGCGTGGGAGGACGACACAGGAAGGCAGCAGAAAGGCCGGCTGGGATCGGGTCGAAAGAAGGACGGGGCGGGCAAAGGACGACGGCCAAAGAAAGCGAGGATTGGCTGGCGGCATGGGCATGCTGAGTCAGCCGGCTGGAGCCGGCTGGAGCCAGATGCGATCACGGGTGTGTGTGTGGCGGCCCTGCCACGTTCCCACGGCCCTGTGGGAACTGGGCGCTCTGCCAGCGACGGTGCGCACCGCTGCCCGTCTCTCGGGGACAGACGCTGGTCGATTCGGTGCGGCTCAAGCCTTGGGAAGACTATATTACTGGGGCGAGAAGCTATGGTAGAGCCGAGACCCACAGCAGCCCCGGAGCATTCGGCGGACTTGGGGTTTGAGAGCAAAGCGAGCAAAGCGACTGCACACACACACATACAAGAAAAAATGGGAGATCCTGAGAGGCGAAGTGAAAGAGAGGGAAAACAAAAGGAGGGCCGGTGCTGGAAAGGCGAAAAATGCAGCAATACATACAAGGACAGGCGACATCCAACTCATACGTAACATCATCTCCATCGACCCAAGGGCAGACTCCGGCAGAGGACAGGTCGCCGGCAGCTCACCCTGTTGGGATGTGGCTCCACGACTGGCGCGAAGAGGTAGACTTGGGGCAGTGGGCAACATGCGCAGGCAGATCGGAAGCGTCGCCTAACATAAATAGAGTGCCGTATCGGCGAGGGTCCATCGGACGTAGACTAGAGGAACTGGGCATCCTGGGTGCTCAAGATATTGATTCCCTCTTGACGCATGACGCTCAGGATTTCGTCAGTTCGCTCGGGCTCGACGGCCGAGATCAGATCCTCAAGGACAAAGACCTCGTAGCCGAGCTTATGGGCATCCTGGGCGGTGGCGAGGACACAGTACCTATGGGTGGAGAACGAGAAAGCGGAGGGAAAGGAAGGCGCACGTGGGGGACGAGGAGCAGGTGAGATCAGCGATCGGACAGAAAGGGAATGAATCGGACGAAAGGGAATGAATCGGACAAACACACGGCGAATCGGGCAAGGAGACAGCAAATAGGGCTGGGACCAGCCAGGAGGACGAGGCGAGTGGCTTGGCGACTTACTCAGTTGCGATGCCGCAGACAAAGACTCGGCGGACGTTGAGCTGCTTGAGCTGGACGTCGAGGTCGGTGCCATCGAATCCCGAGTAGGCATCCTTGTCGGCCGTGGTGCCCTTGAGGATGGCCAGATTCGAGCCGATGTTGTACACAGGGAAGCCATCGGGGAACTCGGCGCCCTTGGTTTCGCGGACGCAGTGCGGCGGCCACGGACCATCGCGGGCCTTGAAGGAGACGTGGTTGGTGGGATGCCAGTCGCGGGTGGCGGCGACGGGGATGCTGTGGTCGCGGGCCTGCTGGATGAACTTGTAGAGACCGGGGAGGATGTCATTACCGAGGGGAACACCGAGGGCACCGCCAGGCAGGAAGTCGTTTTGGACATCGACGACGACGAGAACGTCGGTGCTGGAGTCGAGGGACTGTCCGGAGGTCATTGTGGATGCGGATTTGGCTTTGAAGCGAGCAGCGGCGGGCTTAATTGGGGAGATGGGACCTGAGGGCGATCGGCAGCAGGAACGGCAAGAGGGGAGGGGAACTTGGATGGCGAAGAAGAACGAACGTTCGGCGGGGCAGCCCTTTTTAAGGAGGGATTTGAAACCAGGGCGAGTGGCAGCGAGAGATGGCGAGAGATGGCGAGAGATGGCGAGAAGGCGCTGAGAAGGCGGCGAGAAGGCATGGAGAATCCAGCGCGAGAAGGCAGCGAGAAGGCGGTGGAACCACTCAAGGCGCCGCCTCTCTCTGTTCCGTTTGTCCGGCGCGGCTGTGCAGCGCGATTGGTGCACAACGCGCTGTCGCGTTTGTATGTATGGACTCGTTCCTGCTCAGTGGCGCTGTTATCAGCGACGCTCTCAGTTCTGTGCGGATCGATACCCGGCGCATGAACCGATACCCGCGGCATGAATCGGTTCCCGCTGTATGAGTTGGTACCCGTTGCATGGACGGTGCTCTCCACAAACCCGCCTGCATTTCTGCCTCTTGCTGCCGTCCAGGCCGTCACCGCCAGGCATCGACGCCCCAGAAGGCACCCATCCGAGCCCATGTTTGTTGGGCTGTCACCTGCGCATTCTTGCTGCAAGTCTGCAGACCCAGAAGAGCCGGGCGCCCTTGCCGAGAGACATCCTCCGTTTCTCCCGGTGCCAGCGTCCTTGCCAAAGGGAAACCCCCTGTGAGGATCGGCCGTCGAGGCCGTGGCGCATGGTGCGGATACATCGACTGCCGCCCAGCTCGGTTGGGTCCACCACAGAGGTGCATTGTGAATGCGTTTGTGCGACATGTGCACAGAGCATTTTGGATTGTTCGTTTGTGTATGACGCTTTGGCACGGCGTCGGACGGTGCAGCCAGCCGGCAATTGTCTGCCTCAAGCAGCCAGCACACAACAGACCGGCACGGCATTCCGGCGGTCGTCAATCCACGAGCCCGCCCAGCCATCAGAGACATCATCCGTGGTCGGGTGGGATGTCGCCATCGCAGCCCACTCACCCACATGCCGTAACAAGTCCGGGGTCCTGGCGGCAACACCCGGCGTCTGCTGGCTCGGCTATGTGCGGCCAATCTTTGCCCGCTTTCCGCCCGCTTTGCTCTCGGTTGCCACGGCGTGCTTTCTCTTGACGGACTCGACCAGTTGACTGAGCTCGGCCTTTGTGCTGGATTGTCCTCGTTGCTGCTGAGCCTGGCCAAATGTATCCGACAGAGTGTCAGGCGAGCGCGAACGCCGTTCCCATCGGGCCGGGCCACGAATATGCTTCGAGGTTCACATGCACTGCCCCGCGACCCGCGCTCTCTACCCCTTGCCTCCTCGGATGCGCGTGTCCCAGCCACCGCATCGCAATCCGCGCTGATTGTTCGCACATGCCCACCTTCTCGGGCCGGAGGGTCGTCGTCTCCTTCTCGGCCGCGACAGTCGAGCGCTTCTCCAGGATCTTCTGCATCGCCGTGGTTTTCTTGAAACTACACAGGAGACGCAGAGTTTGGTCAGGCATGGATATGGGGCAGTGGGAACTGGCCGCCCGTGATTCAACGGTGCGTCCTCCGAAACGACTTTGTGCGGCATCTTGCCCGTCGCTGACGGCCGGAGTCGCTGACGGCCGGGGGGGGGGCGCTGAAACACTTACTGTGGGTTGGTGGGATCGATGGCAAAGTGATGTGAATCCATGAGCGACGAAAAGCGCGGATCGGCAACGTTGATCTCAAAGTCGTCCTGTGCCGCGCTAAGTTCGGCCGCCTTGCGGGCACTCTTTTTCGCTGCTTTGCCCTTGACCTTGGTGAGCTTCTCCTTCTTGATCACCTCGCGCTGGTCAAAGTGCCGTGTCTGCCCAGCGAGCTCGTCCATCATCAGCAGCTCCAGCTTGGCACGCTCCGCCTCCGCTTCCTTCTTTGCCTGCCGTTTCTTCTCGCGCTCTTCTTTCTTGGACAGTCCGGGCTCGGCTTTGCTTGGTCGGCTAGGATCGACGTAGTCAGCGCCAAAATCGTACTGGAAGAACGGGTCCTCGTCGTCCTCGTCGACATTGTCGAACATGGCTACACCAAATGCCCGAGAGATTTGTGTGTGTCGTTAGTGTGAGGGAAGATAGAGTGCCTCGCGCGAGTGGCTACAGCTTCGCTTTGATAATACGGATGACATCTGTCTGGTGAGAGTACCACCTCTCTGACTTTGGGAGGTGGGCGGACCCACTTGCCCAAAGTTACGACTATCCGGCGCCAGCTGGCTGCTATATCTCATTTAACTTGCTGCCCCGCGCAGAGTCCCCCATGTGGACCGCCTTCTGAACTTACGATTGCTGGCTTCATCACTGCCCGATTCTTCGTCCGCCTGACCAGCCTTCTTTGCAGCTCGACGCTCCTTCTTCTTCTCCTTCTTCTTTCGCAGATACGTCTCAAACACAGTCTCGTCCTTCTGCGCGGCCTTCTCCTTCTTCTTTTCGAGTAGCTCGGTCGCCTTCTCGCTCAGTCCGGGTGCGAAGGTAATCTCCAGCTCCTCGCCCTCTCTTTCCTGGTCGCCATCGCCTCCGTCCGTGCCCTTGAGCAGGTTCTTGTACTTTGCAGCCAGCTCCTCCGAATCAGATGCATCGGACTCTTCCGAGGCAGAGGCAACGTACGCCTTGAAGTCCATATCTTTCAGCTCGTCTTTGGTGAACTTCCTTCGGGTCACGCGCACTCGATCGTGGTCGTCTTCGTCCCAGGTAAGTTTGACCGAAGAGTGTTGGAGAGCCTGAGGCAGTGTCGTGTGAGTGACGCTGGATCGTAAACGTCACCACACAGCTCATCACGCACCCATATATCGACGGCGCTTGATCCGTCGGAGCAGTGTGATCCGCCATGACAGAACCAAAGCTGATGGTCTTTGATCCATGCAAACTTCGTCCACGTCATATGGCGTGGCGACACGGCCCATTCTGAGACTTACTTGAGTGGTAAACTCGACAGCGTCGTAGACTGCAGGCGCCTCAAAAGCAGACTCCTTCAGGTTGTCTTCGTCAAAGTCCATGCCATCCGGAATAAACCGCAGATCAAAGACGTTGGACGACTTTTCGTACTCGACTCCGTCACAGTCAGTGTATATCGACTTTGCGGTCTCGACCGAGTCGCACTCGACGACAGCATAGTAGTATCGCAGCCGATCCAGCTGGTAGGCACGCAGTTTGTCCGAGTCAAAGTCCTCGCCGGTTGTCTGGCTGATCAATTGATCGTCGTTCGATGACACAAAGATCTCCTTTGGAGGACCCTCGCGGGATTCCTGCGGCACAGTTTCCATAGCGTGGTTTAGAGAAACGATGGCATGTTTGCCCAGTGAAGTCGCTCGCACCCTCATGGGCAGTCAGACGAGCATGGCAGCGAAGGGATCAGCAGCAGCTAGCGCTGCACAACTGCTTCTTGGAGGCTAACCTTCTCCAGCCGCTCTTTGCCAAAGTCAGACACGTAGATCTTGACCGAGACGACCTGGCCGTTGGCGGGTTTAAAGCTTTCAAAGAGCTTGAACAGATCCTTGGCCTACACGACCGATTGAGTGAGATTCGGTGAGAAACACAATTTTCAGCATCAACGGGTGGCGCCCGGCATTGCTTCGCGAGCGCGGCATCTAAAAGGCGGCCTGTGGGGCCAGTCTGGCCGTTGAGTCGATTGAGCGCTCCAAAGCCACGACCGATCTCACCTTGATGTAGTCCCAGTCCATATTGACGACAGCAAATCGAGTGGTCTCTTCGCCTGTTGGAATCTGATTTGTAGTAGAAACGGGAGAAGCACACCACGACGGATTGTCAGTTCCGGATGAGAGTTGTGTCTGTCGCAGCTGATGCACCGCAACTTGTTTTTCAGCTGTAGATTGCCGGGGTCTGCAGTTACCTGTTCCTCCTCCTCTTCGTCTTCCTCCGACTCGTCCTCGTCCAGATTCTCCTCGTCGTCTTCATCAGAGGACTCGACCAAGCCCTCACCACGAGCCAAGTCGAAGCCCTCGGGATCAAACTTGTACTCCCGGGCTCCTTCGTCGTCGTCATCCTCCTCATCTTCGAGCTTCGTATCCTCGTCCCCGTCCCCGTCCTCGTCATCGTCATCGTCGTCATCGTCGTCATCGGCTTTATCCACGTCGCCTTCCTCATCCTCATCTTCATCTCATCTTCATCTTCATCTTCATCTTCATCTTCATCCTCATCCTTTTCCTCATCCTTTTCCTCATCCTCCAGCTGATAGAAGCGCTTCATGTCATCTGCGGTGCTTTGCTTGGTTTTGCGGCCATATTTGTCAACCTTGGCTACTCGGCATCGAACGAAGCGATTCGGTTGTGAGGATAGGGCGCAAATGATAGCCCAGAATGGGGGAGGGCATGATACAGATTCAACACAGTTCAAGATGTATAAGCAGCAATCATCCGGAACGCCTGGGTGGCGAGCTGGTTGCCGGATGCAGTCCAGATTCAAAAGCACATGCCCCACATATCCGATCGCCCGAAGCCGAGCGTATCACGAAAGCGCCGTGGCTCAACACAATTTCCCGATGCTATTGCTTGTTTTCAGGGATATGCCGAGGAGCCGCGGCACTGCATCGTGAACAGAATGGTTGCCCGTCTGCTGACGGCACTATCACCGGCATCATCGAGCCAGAATCAGCGCATCGGTCCTCACTCGTCATCCAGCTGCCATGATACATACGTCCTTTGGATGAGCCAAACTCGCTGCTGCCCAGCATCTTCTCGAAGCGCCGGTCAATCTTGATTTTGTTATCATCTCGCTTGGGTCGGATGAAGCGAGGGTCGTTGTGGACTCGGAAGAAACGTGGGTCCATGGTGACGGCCGAAGGGGCAGCAGATGTCTTGGCAGGCGCCTTGCCAGCCGAGCTTTTGCCCTTGGACCGGCCGTTATCGGAGGGCATGTTTGCTCAATATCGTTGGTGAAGACGAAGCGCTGGCTGAATCGCGGGCACTTGGCGTCGGCTTTGGTTGCAGGGAGCCGATGGAGGCTGGACGCAAAGGATCGCTGGTGTCGGAGACTGGACGCGCTGGCAAAAAAGAAAAATAGCCCAATGCGGCCATATTGCATTCCAATATGGCCAATTCTGGACGTGCATCGCTGCACACAGCAATCATGGACTAATTGAAGCGATGTGCAAGTCAAGTGTGTGGCAGATGGTCCGATGTTTGGAGGGAACAAATCAATTTGGATGTTGATCAATACAATCAGTTTTTTTTGCTGGAATGACTGAAATGCGCATGGCCTGTTGGACGCAGGTTATTGCAAGCCGCTCGCCCGAATGTGTTCGGAACTGGCCCGCTTCATGACTACGCCGGGTGTGCCAAGCCTTGGCCGAGCGACTCTGCCTTTTCGCATCAATATGCAGCAAACGCCATTGGTTTCCAGTGCATCGTTCGTCGCCCGAGGCAGCCGTGCATTGGAGCATCATCAGAGGCAATCGCGTATTGGAGCATCACCAGAGACGATCATATCGCTGCGTGCGGCTTCTCCATAGATCCACCGAGTATGATATCCAAGACCGCGCCGCCGGTGCTGCCTTGGATTGGTCCCTGCACACAAAACCCTGCGGCCGAGGGAGTCGGCCAATCTCGGAGTACACTATGAAAAAATTTCATTGTTAATAAAATGAGCGAGAACGAAAAAACGCGCTCTCGGAGCCACCTCGGTCGGCGAGAAGAGCAGTCTCTGGCGAGAGACCCCCGAGGGAAGGCGAGAAGCCTCTCGCCGTCACACACACACACTTTGCACACACACACTTTGCACACACACACTTTGCACAAGGGAGTCAAACACCTCCCATCGACCATCCCAAGAGGGATGGCAACCCCGAAGTGGACTGCCCAGAATATGGGCGACCCGGCATCCACTGTCGAAATACTCAAGGAACAGTGCGAGATACTTACAGTCTATCCAGAAAGAAACGGGACAGTCACTTTCTGGCTTCAGATATCTGAACCCCGCTGACTGACTGTAGGCCCAGCGGGCAGGCCATGGCATTGCACTCCTGTCTTCGTTGGCAATCTCTTTGTTTTCGTTGATTTCGGGAGCATGGTCTTGAATACACCCGGCCGATCTCCTGTGGCGATGATCGACTGGCATACCGAGATCATATTCCTCGAGGCATTGATGTCTCGATCCCACAGTGTATGGCAGCTTGCACAGCTCCGGACAAAGTGTGGTTTCTCGATATCAAGATGCTCGGGTGACTCAAGTCGCTTGAATTCCCGGCAATGTGAGCACACCTGGGACGTGTTGAACTCGTTCACCGAGCACACACGGATCTTGGAGACGGGTCGGTCTGGTGGTCGTCTCTGGTGGTGGTGGAACTGCTCGAAATACTTGGCAAACCTGAGTCTCCTGGGACTGGAAGCATATCCCTTCCCCTGTTTCCAGGATGCATTCCCAAAGGCAATCACAATATCGGTCTCCCTTGGTGCCTGGTCGATGACTTGCTTGCACATCTCGTGGACAGTGCGCTGTCGCTTGCCGTAGAGATCGAGTCGCTTGAATCGCCGTCGCCGGGTCAGGCTGAAGTACAGTTGTTTCTCCAGCATGTCTCCATCGAACACATGGCGAATGTATTGCAGGAAGGAAGCCAACCCAGGGATCTTGGGACTTGGTGTGGTGCTCATCCATTGCTGCAGACCAAGGATCTTGTGGGTGCTCTGGATCCACTTGGTCGCTTGGGTGGTGCCACATCGATGCTGGTACTCCTTGTTGGAGAACGACACGATCTTCTCGTTGGCACGCTGTGCCTTGGTCACCTTGACACCGTCTTGCTCCTGGATGGATGGTTGACCGGGTGCTCGAATGACAGCGGTGAAGATCGATCCCACTCCAGGGTCGATCCCGATCCATGTGGATCGAGAGTCGTCAATGGGACCGACTCTGGTCTGGATCTTCTGCTCGGGAGTGAGTGCGCTCGCCTTGTCGTCCTTGTCTGTGGATTCTGGTTTGGCATCAGGGTCCTTCTTCTCCAGGATCTTGTACTTGAGCGTGGTGATCGAGCACCCGACCCCATCGGTGGTGATCTCGCAACCAAAGAGCTGCTTCCCCTTCTCCCTGGCACCAAAGAGTCTCGGATCCAGCTTGAAGTTGGTCTGCCAGAAGGTCTCTTGCTTTGTGGTGTCATTGACCTTGGTCTTCAGGTCGTCCCACTTGAGACCAGTGCCAGTCTGGTATCCAAGGATTTCCCACAGTGCTTTGGTGTCGAGCTTGACATACTTGGCTCGGGCATCGCAGAGTGGGACCAAGGTGCACTGTGCTCGAGGGATGTTGAGTCTCTTCTTGGTCTGGGCAAGCCGGTCGGTCAATCGCTTGATCCGCTTCGTGTTCACAGCGATCTGCTTGCACACCTCCTCGTGCTGGGTCTGGAGTGCGTTGTATTGATCCGACTGCCTACGTTCGATGGCGCGACACATTTCCTCGTTCAGCCGTCCGCGCTCTCCTTTCAGATCATCGGTATCCCTCACGAGCCTGGGGATGATCATCTTCTGAAAGACCACCATGAAGAGGGCCTCCTTCAGGTGGGTCAGGCGAGAGACCTCACTGACCAGAATTGGTACGACTTTGTACAGGTCCTGGTGGCTTTCGTACCGAAGCTCATACAACTGGTCGGCATGGTGGGCGAAGGATTTCTTCAGATCACCGAGGAGTGTCTTGGAGAGGGGGTTCTCCATCAGCTTCATGCACTCATCGACGTGTGTGTGCCGTTTCACATCCCTTGGGAGCAATCAGGGCCAGGTTGCAGAATCGACGGAGGAGAGACCAATACCGATCGAGAACGTGTGTCTCGCAGTTGACTGCATAGGTCTTGACAGCCAAACCAAGGACCTGTGAGCCAGTGCCCTTTGGGAGGGACACTGGAGGCAGGATACACGATCCACTCCATGTACTTCGATACAGCTCATAGGTCTCGAGGATGTGCCTGTCATCTTCTGGGGTGTTTGTCCTGACACCCACTGTTCCTGTCTGCACCATATTGAAGCATTTTCGAACAAACGCGGGTTCACTCGACGACACAGTGGGGAGGGTGATGCCCTCGTCCAAGCACCGCCTGAGATGCAGCTCCAGGAGACGAGATGCTTCGTACTGCACTTGAGTCATGGCTCGGACAGTCTCCTCGATCTTGTCGTGCAAGGCATCGTTCTTGATGATGGCATCGAGGGTGCACTTGACGGTGGAGTAGTCGGCCTTGACTTGCTCGTTTGGGCCACAGCCAGGCAAGGTAGAGCTCCAGAGTGGGTTCTTCTTGGTACACAATGAACTGCTGCTTTTGGCATGACCCACTTCCCCGCACGTGGCACATACAGGGACCTTGGGTGCTTGGCTGACCATTTCAGCGACCGAGGCAGGGCTGCTGTCGATTCTGGCTGTGCATTTCTTGGTGAAGGGTCTAACATGGTTGGTCAGGCCACAGGAGGGACATGATTTGATGACGGGCTTCTTGGCCACAGGAGAGTCATTGGGTGATCCTGGGTCGGGGTCGGGGGGTGTCTTTCTCTTGGGAGCCATCTGGCGAGAAAATAGCGACCATGGCTGGTTCTGCCCTTGGGGAAGAAAAATTATCCTCAAATCCAGCGCATTTTGGGCTGGCAGAGATACTGCGCAGTGGCGTCCTCGATTCAGATCCAGAAACGCATCGCTCGCTCAATCAGTCGTGGGAAAACATCTTGTCAAGGTGAGTCTTGCCTGATAGTCAAACGATCATGTCATCTCGCTGACACACAGCCACGCTTGACTAGGTTTCCAACCAGAGAGATTCAGATGGTGGTGGTTCTTGTCCGCAATCGGAGTGGAGCTTCCAACAATGATACAATTGGTCACTCCTCCACACCAATTGCCCACCACCACCGTCAATCGGCTCAAGGTGATACCAAATGCCGTCAACCGACCATGGCCGGATTCCAACTTTTGCTGTGCCACATACAACGCGACTTTCAGGTGACCGAGATGAGCAGCCGCGAGGGGCCGGAAAAAATTGATAGTGATATGGTGCCCGGGATCTTTGGTTTGTCCAAGAGTGCCTCGGGGCCAATGGACCCAGCTCCGTGAGTTTCATGCCATTTCCCCAAATAAAACGATGGATCTATTCAACATCGGCAATAACATCACTCCTCGTTGAGCAATTGGAGGTACCATGGTTATTTCCGGAGATACTGCGACCCAAACCTGGGTCATATATAGTGGCAGCCCTCCAATTAGATAAACCGAGATTGCTAGCATTTCCTTTTATGGCAATTTATCCACCCCGGCAAATGCGGTCGGCTGTCGTTTTTCTTCGGTCCTTTCCTGCTCCTGGCGCCTCACACCCTGGCCCAGATCTCAACAAATCCGCTGTTGCACCCTCACGATGGGTCTGCGAAAGAACAGAGCGAGAACACAGAAGGCCACCGAAGCTCACATGGCCAACGCTGCTCAGAGGCGCAAGCTCTGTGATGCAGAAGGCTGCCCCGGCCCAACCGAGCCAAAGCCGCAAGTCAACCGCGCCGAGAATTTGTCGATCCATCACGATATCGGCCATAATCTGTCCAGTGAATCTGATTCCAGCCCCGGTCCGAGTGGTGCGATCGCACCTGTCAAAGGTGTTCAGTCAAGATATCATATAGGTCCTCCCCAACCCATAGCTCCAGAGGGTCGTCCTGTCCAGCAGCCCGGCGGCCCCAGCCGTTCTGAGCATGACACAATGGAGGACGAGCCCGATATTTTCGAAAATATGCCCCCAAAGGCCCCAACAGCCTGGTCCCATCACATGGAAAGAGGGCGCAAATAGCAACAAACGTGCTGCCTACACAGGCCTCTCAGCTCCATCCAAGGCTCGAAAGCTTTGCTCAGAAAGGAGGGCCCTCAAAGTCCACAATTCGCCTGGCATCATGCATTACCTGCAACCGAAATGCGATAGCATCTCATCAGAATATGATACCGCACAAGCGACTGCCTCCACAGCTCTCGAACCCCTGGACGACGGTGACGATAGCGCCCCCAACGAGCCACTTTTCACCCCGGAAAAGCTAGAGGCGGCCATCGAAACACTCAAGGCCATCACCAAGGTGAGAATTACAAGCGAAAAGGACAAGAACATCTCACTTTACAACTACCAGCGGTACACGTGCATCCTCAAGTATTTTCAGTTCAAGCTTCAAGGAAACGTCGACAGCGATGCTGTGTTTTGCCAGAATTTGGCAAAGGACATCTTGGGGAGAAAGTCGCTCAAGTACTACAGTGCCCAGATAAGAAAATGGGCTGCAGCATTCCTCACAGAAGGCGAGCTTCCCCCGGTTCGAACAGGGAAGCATAGCAAAGTCAAGTCGCTCCTCGACGAGGAGGACATACGTGAACAGTGCCTCCAGTACCTCAGAGGTGATCCCAAACGCAACCCAAAGAGGCTTGCCAAGCACCTCAATAAAGTCATCCTGCCCAAGCTTCAGAGAAGCTCACCTTCGCAAACGAGCGATCAATCCGATGATCAATCCAACGACGAATCAATCACTGTATCTGAAACTACTGCAAGGACCTGGATGGCGAGCTTAGGATTCAGATACAAGAAGGATAGCAAGGGGATATATATGGACGGACACGAACGCCCTGATGTGAGAAGATATAGAAAGAAGTACTTGAAGAAAATGTTGATGTACCGAAAGAGGATGGTTCACTATTCAGGCGAAACAATGGAAATTGAGAATGGACCCTTTTGTACCAAAGGGAAACGAATGGTCCTGGTGACGCACGACGAGTCCACATTTTATGCCAATGAAGACACCGGTTTCTCTTTGTGAGTGCCATGGCATGCTCAAGCATCCACAACTGGGTGACTCCACGGTTATTATTCATCCAGGAAGAGGGAATTGGTGGAAAAGTTCAGACATGGTAACCCAGCTAGAGGAGAAGGCTATCCCGATTTTCAACGAACTCCATCCCGGCTGTGTGGCTCTCTTCCAATTTGACAATTCATCAAACCACAAGGTATGGGCGGACGATGCCCTCAGAGCTGAAAAAATGCGCCTCAACTCTGGCGGAAAGCAACCCAAGCTACGTACCACGTATTTTGGCCCCTCGAAAATAAGACAAGAAATGCAATTTACGAGTGAAGATGAGCTGAACTACAGAGGAGTAAGTGTGCTCTGACAACCGAACCCTTGAGATACTCAGCGAGTGATTTTAACGAATGATTCCACCGGCCAGGATCAACGGAATAAGCCGATGGCAGGCGAGCCAAAGGGGATCAAAGTTGTTCTGAAAGAGCGAAATCTATGGCCTACTACTGGTAAACTTTCAATGAAGTGCACTCGATCAACCGTTGGTCAATCTGAATCGCAGAGGTTTCAACAGGTGCCTTGTTGCGCCCCTCATCATCTGGCCGCTCAGCCTGACTTCAAGGCACAAAAGCCACTCATCGCCGAAACAGTTGAGAAATATGGACATAGGTGCATCTTTCTTCCCAAGTTCCATCCTGAGCTAAATTTTATTGAAAAGTTCTGGGGAGCTGCCAAACGATTTGTTCGAGCAAATTGCGACTACTCCTTCGAACACTTGAAGCGAATCGTCCCTGAAGGCCTTGATTCTGTTCACCTCGCCACAATCAGAAAATTTGCAAGAATCTCGTGGGAATACATGGAAGTATACCGATACAACGTTCCTTCGGGACTGACTGAATGGGCACGTCGATATCTCAAGTCTCACAGACGAATTCCAATGAAAGAGCTGGGGAAAGAGCGTTGGCGGGGATGACCCGATGGCGCTTTGGTTCGAATCGGTTCGAATATATGACTCATTGGTGGCTGAATGAAAATTGATATGATTTTCGGTCTGGGCAAACCGAAGACCGCGCGCAACATATGTCACGTACTTTCTCTCTCTCTCTCTCTCTCTCTCTCTCTCTCTCTCTCTCTCTCTCTCTCTCTCTCTCTCTCTCTCTCTGCCTGCTCGCCTGTCCATATCGAGGCCTTTGCAGCAACCAGATGGCAAGCAGGCGGCCAACGTTGCGAGACGATCTGTTTTAATCACGACCCCGGACGAGTGGATCAGTAATCCTTCTTCATCGTCAAGACGCCTTTTGCGACCCCACCGGATCGTGACTCGATCCTCGGCTTCTGAAAAGCACATTCTGGACTCGCTCTAACACTGGGAAACGTGTGGGAACGGCTCGATTCTGGCGATACTGTCCACATCCAGCTCCGCAGCCGCAACGTCACGACCTCCGGCGCCATCATCGGCGCTTCAACTACATCATGGGGGCCGTGGTCTCTCGAATACTCTTCCCATGCTGCTTCCGAAGCGAGTTTCGGATCATCCCACTGAGCGAGTCGGAGGAGTCGCAGTTCCAGCATGGCGAGGACTCCAAGGACAGTGTGCCAACATCGGCGTGGGAAGAACGCACGGCAGTGATTTCGCCTCCACGGAAGCGACAACCCCGCCAATCCCGGCAGAAGCGAGTTTCGGTGCCCCGAGTTATCCCACCGAGACGGATACTCGAAAAGATCCTGCCCACTGATTCCGAGGGGCCTCATTCCGAAACGAGCTTGGAGGTTGGCTCTTGCGAAAGCAAGCTTCCAGACCATGGCGACGAGCAGCAGTCCGCGGCAGCAGCAACAACCGCAGCATCAACAGCAACACCAGCATCACCATCAATACCAACGGCGGCAGCAACAAATACAGCAGCAGCATCGGCCATACGCAATCGCCCTCCTCCCGGGCCGGACCATGTCCCGTCGCATCCGCTCTCGAAGCTCGAGTCACTTCCATCCGCCGTCCTTGTGCGGATACTGCAATTCCTGCCTGCATTCTCGCTGCTGACTGCAACCCACATCTCCAAGACTGTCCGGGCCCAGATCGAGGCCACCGACCGAGAGCTATGGCTGCCGCACATCAGCAAAGCGCTGCCCCTCCTTCCGAACTTGAACCCAAAGTGGATCACAACTCCAGACGAGTCGATGAAGAAGCTCTTCTTCCTGCACTGGCGGTGGTCGCGGCCGATGACCTTTGCGAAAAAATGCCTCGTTGTGCAGACCTTTGAGCAGATCCGCCACTGCCTCCCCGACCGCCGGCAGAGTCTCCTGTACGATCTGCAGCGGCAGCGGCGATTGCGTGGCGACAGCGAGAGCGACACGCTGCTTGCTGGAGAGCCCAAGAAACCCACGGCGGTCAAGCTACTGTCTCAGTCGATCATCAAGGCCGTCGATACATATCAGCCGCCCATGTCGTTTTCGCCGCAGGCTCGGATGTGCGACAACTCGATCCTGATCAAGATCGGAATGCGGATCTACTTTCTTGACCCCAACAAGATCTCGGGTGGGCTCAAGCCGATCCACATCGAAGACTGGGCCAGCAAGGGGGCCTCGCTCCTGTCCTTTGAGCACCCCAATGCCCCGACACACGTAATGCGCTCACGGAGCTCGGCGCTGGAGGGCACCGAGTACTTTTTCGACTTTCACGCTCGGTCATCGTGGCTGCCGATTATCCAGGTTGAGCCTGCAAAGACACTGCTGTTCTCTGACCCTACCAAGCCGGTCATACAGCTGGACTACCCGCCATCGGCCGTTCCCACGGCATCGTTCCTGGCGTGGCCATACTATGCAACATATACCACCACCACCGAGAACGAGCCCTCCAAAGTGAACCTGTACATCCTCTCGGAGCCGTCGCCCACGGTCGGGAACAGTATAATCCTCCAGGATCACGGCAAACCTATCCAGGATCACAGCAAGCATATCGCCAGCCAGTCGCATTCGACGTCGGTGACATTGCAGCTGGCGACAGCGACTGGCTCGCCGTCTCCGATGTTAATTGGGTCCTTTGCCGACGTTCCGCCGGATGTGCTTGGGCAGCCTGTGGCCCTGACGCCGCAGTTTCTGGCCTACCAAGCGCATGTGAGTCCATTCTCGTTCTTGAGCGAGCGCGAGACAATGGACGACATTGCCAGCTCGATCGTTGTCCGGGCCATCACCGACGACTTTCCCTCGATTGGAACCCTCTATATCCCCACGACGTCGCCGCTGCACCTGTGGCTCACACGCACCCACTTGCTCATCGGCAGCCGAGAGTTCATCACGGCGATCCATCTCGGCTCGCTCAAGGCATCATGGAGCCTTGACCTCGACGAGATTTTCGGCGTCGACGATCGCCGAGACGTCTCCTCGCTCTCAGTCACAGACGACGACGAAGCGATCCTGCTGTGTCTGGCTGATGGGCGGCTGTTTGTCTACGACCTCTGGAACCATACTTCCGTGCTGTTTCAGTCGAAAGAGTTTTCCGAGCGGGAGAATCCACCATCGCCAGGAAGTTCCGAGGACACCGACCCCGACACCGCGACAGAGGGCTTTTGGGTGGTGTGGAGAGACACATGGCTGCTGCAGAACAAGCACATTGTGACAAGAATCGAAGCTGCGTGGAAGACCGTTGCGATACCACCTTGATTTGAAATGGCTGGCTCTGACGCGGAAACGACCAGGTCTATCGACAGAGACATTGCCGTCTGTTGTTGGCTGCGAGTGTGGTCCTTGTTGAATACACCGAACCAATCTCCCCAGACAACGATCGACCTGCCGATGTCCCCAAGGCTCTGGCTGAATTGGGATCGGGGCCAGCGGACGGCAAAAGCAGCGGCGGCATGGGATCGGCTGAGAGCCAGGGTCGAGTAACCGGCGACAAGTGGCCGCTCCAGAGGCACAGCACCTAATCGGATACCGAATCACACGACTCGCAATGAAAGAATGGCATGTATTTGGAGCTGCCCGGATAACCCAGCAGAGTTGTATGTGCCGGGGCTCGAAGAGACACACAGAAGCAAACGCCGCTGATGGGCCGATTCGGTGAACAAAGCAACCATGGGTGTGCCACAGGAGCAGCGGTTTCTACACCAACGGAGCCGCACAGCAGGAGACCATCCACACAGCTTCTGAGGCTTAGAACTCGAGCGAAAGAAAATAGTGTCAAAAGCGCAAAGTGGGGGGGGGAGAGACGTTGGGGCAAGACCGCCGACGTGGTTTAGCTTAGTCGATGGCGAGCAGCTTGACCTCAAACTCAAGGGTGGCGTTGCTGGGAATGTCCGGGGGAGCGCCGCGCTTGCCATAGGCCAAGGCGGGGGGAATGGTGAGCTTGCGGGATCCGCCGACCTGCATACCCCTGTGAACAGACGATGATCGGCCAAAATTAGTAAGCAAACTCGCGGATCATCAATTGAAGTCTGAAAAGTACAGAGCAGGGGCATTCACCGCTAGCGTCTTCATGGCCAAACTTACTGAATGCCAATGTCCCAGCCCTTGATGACCTCGCCAGCGCCGAGACGGAACTTGAAGGGAGCACCCTTGGTGTTCGAGTCAAAGACCTTTCCGTTGTTGGGGAAGCGGCCAATGTAGCGCATGGAGACCTTCTTGCCGTTCTTGGCACGGGCGCCGTTGCCAGCCTCGATATCTTCGTAGACAAGGCCGGAGGGAAGGCTGACCTTTTTGGAGTCCTTCTGAGGAGTCTCTTTGGGGGCAGCCTCCTTCTTCTTTTGCTCATCCTTCTTCTTTTGTTCATCCTTCTTCTTTTGTTCATCCTTCTTCTTCTGCTCGTCCTTCTTCTTCTGCTCGTCCTTCTTCTTCTGCTCGTCCTCCTTCTTCTTCTGCGCGGCAGCCTCCTTGGCAAGGTCCTCGTCGGTCAACTCGACGATCTTGGCCTTCTTCTGGCCGCGGGAGCTCTCGGCAACGCCCTTGCGCTTGCCCATGGCTTCTTGGATGGCCGCGATGAAGGAGGCCTCGTCGGGAGTGTCCTCGACATCCTCATCGTCGTCCTCATCGATCTCGTCAAACTCGACGTCTTCATCGCCCTCATCGTCCTCTTCATCCTCTTCTCCATCGACCTCTTCGTCGTCATCCTCCTCGTCATCGAATTCGCCAAAGCCGTCCTCTGTGTGGTTGGGTCGATACGGGCCAATTAGAAAGGTGCGGATACTTGGCCGTCGCGATCAAGAACCGGCGAAGCGGCACAAGCTAAACCTACCATCGTCAAAGTCGGGCTCGGGGACATAGGTGCCGGTCAGATCAATGGAGGACTCGCCGACAGAGTGGAAGGTGATTTCGCTACCATCGGGGATGACCAGATCGAGAGTGGCCTGCTCGATCTTGCCGGGAGTCAGGTGGCAGAGAGCGTATTCCTCGCTGTCGACGACAATGTAGAGGGAGGTGCGGCTATTGCCCTTGATGGTCTTGCCCAGAGCAGCCTGTGGACAAAAGTTGGAGCTTGTGAGCATGTGAGCCACCAGCGCAGAGATACTTGTCTGTGGATGCATGGCCTTTGATCATGGCTCTGCGGTGACTGACTGGGTTGCAGCGTTGTGGATGGGATGGGATGGGATGGGATGGAGTGGATTGGAGTGGAGTCGAGCGGACGCGACGAGTGTATGCCATGTCAAGATCGGGGAACGCAATCCTACATTCGTGACCTGGAAAGCCGACTCGACAGTCTGGCTGTAAGTCTTGCCAGGTTCAACGTTGAGACCTGCTCAGAGCCGGATCGGCAGGGATTGTGTTTGAAAGCAGCGATCAGCAAGACGGACGGGGCGGTGCGCGGTTCCGCTCGCGCGGCATAGAGCCCCACAGACGCACCAGCGGCGGAATCAGACGAGCGGAAGCACAGCGACAGAGCGATCCGTGCTGCTCCATCCGGCAGCAGATACGATGCGGCAGGCGCAGACACATACCCCAAAGACCGTTCATGGTGCGCGTGTTTGGATGGTGGCGAGATGGATCGGTGGGGAGCAGAACGGCCAGGGAGCGGGCTGGGAAAAGCGGGATCTCGGACGGCGTGCTTTGATCGACTGCGCAGCCGCTGGGCGGCAAAAAACAACGGCGCATATGCCCGCATCGGGCCATATGGCCAAGCCACACCGGCGTGGCTGGCTGGCTCGAGTGGCTCGAGTGGCTCGAATGGCTCGAATGGCTGGCCAGAGCGCGGCCGGCCACGCCCCCGCTCGCGGCTCCCACGCCTCCCATTTCCGGCGCTGCTGCCTCACCCGCTGTCGCTGCGCAGCCGGCGACGCGCTGCTCCTTTGATCTGGAGCCAGGGAACTCTGTGCGTCACGGCTGCGCACCGAGCGCAGCTGGCTGGACTGGCCTGCCGCCGTTGTCGGTGTGGGCACGGCGTGCTGGAAGTCCCCAGCATTATTGTGGCAGCGGCCACAGCTGTGTGGGCTCACAGCGACACAGCTCCGCGTCGTTCCCCGTCCTTGCGCGTGTCTCGCTGGGATCTCGCTGGGATCTCTCGTCGGTGTCCATCACTCACTCTCCCTCTCTCCCTCTCTCTCTCTCTCTCTCCCCGTCTCGCTCCCGTGCGGGAACACTTCTGCGACGGGCCGAACTCACCCACATCGACCGGAGCGCATCCGTCGGCGGCCGTCGCCGTCGTCACCTGTATGCGCTGCCTGCGCTTCGGCCTTGCCTGCATCCGACTCCCGCAGCCCCAGGCCGGCTCTTGCGCCTTTCCTCTCGCTTTCCCGGGAGCCACCTCGCTCGTCCTCCCCCGGTGCGCTCTCCCCCGCGAGATTAGATTGCCCTCGCCGGGGATGCGGCTCTTGTCTGTTATCGGAACCGCGCCCTCGTCACACCCTGGCGCGCCCGTTTCCCCGGTCTGCTCCTCGCCAGTCCCTGCCTCGCCCCAGCCTTCCCGCAGCTATTTAAGCCCCGCTTCCCGCATTACTCTTTTTGCATATATCCTCTCTCGCTCCTTTCGTTGGCTCGCAGTGCAACCAAGCTCACGCTCCGTCTTATCGATTCCATCATGACCGGTACTTCCAAGCCCAAGGTTCTGCTCGCCTACTCCGGCGGCCTCGACACCTCCTGCATTCTCGCCTGGCTGATCGAGCAAGGCTATGAGGTCATGGCCTACATGGCCCAGATCGGCCAGGAGGAAGATTTCGAAGCTGCCCGTGAGAAGGCCCTCAAGATCGGCGCGACCAAGGTCTTCATCGAGGATCTCCGCCAGGAGTTTGTCGAGACGCTGATCTGGCCTGCCGTCCAGTCCAACGCCCTCTACGAGGTATGTCACTGCTACATGCCGATCTGCTGCATGCCGATCTGCTGCTTGCCGATCTGCCGTGATCGCTGCGCTGCTGTCGTTGTTTCGATAGCCCGATACGCGATCGCGGCAATCCCACTCTCATGCTCTCCCGATCACCCTTGCTCATTCGCTCTCTGCGTCCGCCTCACTGATACGTTGTTGTAGAACGTCTATCTGCTCGGCACCTCGCTCGCTCGCCCAGTCATTTGCCGCAAGCAGGTCGAGATCGCTGTCCGTGAGGGCTGCGAATACGTCTCGCACGGCTGCACCGGCAAGGGTAACGACCAAGTCCGTTTCGAGCTGGGCTACTACGCCCTGCATCCCTCCATCAAGGTCATTGCTCCCTGGAGAATTCCCGGTATGTGGGGGGGCTCGGTGCCCGCTTTGATGCGCACAGTCCTGCGTCTTGTCAAATCCCGACTAATTACTTCGTTTTCTGACCTGTTCCCGCCTCATCCCCTCCAGAGTTCTACGAGCGCTTCCCTGGCCGCAACGCTCTCCTCGAATATGCCGCCCAGAAGGACATCCCTGTCTTCCAGACCGCTGCCAAGCCCTGGTCGACCGACGAGAACCTCTATCACATCTCGTTCGAGGCTGGCATCCTTGAGGATCCCAACATCACCCCTCCCCGCGATATGTGGAAGCTCACTGTCGATCCCGAGGATGCCCCCAACACTCCTGAGCGCATCGTAAGTTCCGTCTGCCGCTGTGCCACCAACATTCAGTGCTGTGAGACTTGCTCGGTGCACTTCGCGCCGATCTTGGCCCTGACCCGTTCTGCTGGCGTCTTAGGAAATCCACTTTGCCAACGGCAAGCCCTGGAAGGTGCTCAACACCGATACCAAAGAATGTAAGTGCCATCGATGGATGCTCTCGCTCAAAGAACGCTCTCTGTTGCTTGTCGACCTGGTATTCCGAGTATTGTCGGCCGGTGCCTGACGGCGAGTTTCCTCGACGCTGTTCCCTTCCAGCGATCACTTCCCCTCTGGATCTGTTTATCTACCTGAACTCGTTGGGTCGCAAGCACGGTGTCGGACGCATCGATATTGTTGAGAACCGCTTCATCGGCATCAAGTCCCGTGGGTGAGTCTGGCTGCCCTGTCCGTGCTTCTTGCGCATTGCGATGCCTCTACCTGCTTCCTCGGGTCTCCGGAATCCCATCGATGCATATTCAGCCTGGTGGTCTGCGACCATGCCCTAGAATCCACCCCGCTCACCCGTTTGGTTTCGGCTCGGTTCGGCAGATGCTACGAGACCCCCGGCGGCACCATCCTCCGCGCTGCCCACGTTGATCTCGAGGGCCTGACCCTGGATCGTGAGGTTCGCCGCCTCAAGGACCAGCTGAGCTCGCGCCTGGCCGAGATCATCTACAACGGCCTGTGGTACTCGCCCGAGCGCGAGTTTGTCATGGCCAGTGTCGAGCAGAGCCAGAAGGCCGTCAACGGCATCGTCAAGCGTACGTGGCTCCCTATGCATCGTGCCCGAGCGTGTCCATTCAGCGTGTTGCCGGCTTGGTCTGGCGTCGTCGTCCCACAAGCTCCATACTCATCCATCTCCCTTGATCTTCATCGTCTCTCCAGTCAAGCTCTACAAGGGCAACGTCATCGTTGAGGGTCGCTCGTCCCCCAACGGCCTGTATGACCAAGACATTGCCTCGATGGACATTGCCGGCGGCTTCAACCCCAGTGACTCCGATGGCTTCATCAAGATCCAGAGCATCCGCCTGAAGGCGTTCGTCGCCCAGAAGAAGAAGCTCGGCCTTTAACTGTGCAGCCCAATCCACCCAGTGATGGCTTTGTTTCCTCGGGGCTGGCCGTCAGGCTCCTGAGTGTTCGGGCATCGCCCTCAGACAGCCTTGGCCGCCCCCCCTCTCCCCTTCCCAAAGCTCCCTTGCATTCCATGACGTTTCATGGCACAATCCCCCCCCCATTTACGCATCAACCACCGCCATTGTCGTCCTGTACTGGCTGCGTGCCAGCAAATAATCCCACCCACCATCGTAGAACTCGCAAGCTTTCGTTTGAGCTTTCGCGGCGCTCGCAAGACGAAATGGGGCACCCTGTGTTGTCGTTTTTGTTTTTGAATGGAATACACACGCATCTACAATATGTTTCAAGTAGCTCGACCACTATCAGAGAGGGACCTGTATGGGAGTGTGTGCTCGATCGGCGTGCTCTCAATGCATTACGGGTGTTCTCCGCACCAAGTTATAGTCACAGTACAGTGAGCCAGTCACTTGAATGCCATAGCTCTTGTGTTGTCTCGTCGGGATGACAGGACCGACACATCTATATGACACCGGGGATGTCCTGTTTCATTTTATGAGTCGCTCAAAGGCGACAGATTCAGCAATCCGGATGCGGACCAAATCTCTCAGGACGGCTGACAAGTGAGGGGGATGGAGAGGGGAGGGAGTAAGATGGATCAAGAACGAGCGACAAGATATAGAAAGTGGAGGTATATGGTGTACGAGCTGCGTTCAGATGAGCAATAGAGGTCAAAGCACAACTAGTCAAAATGAAAAAGGCAAAGCTACGATAGTTGGGGTGATAGCGCCAACAGGCGGGAAGGCGAGGGAGGGGGAGAAACAAGTGACGCTCAGTATTTTTGGAATGTGCCCGAGGCATAGCTGGTGCGTCGGCGGACGCTCCTGGTGCTCTTGGTGCTGTTCCTGCGGGCAAACTCCTGAGCCTCGACCATCGAGAGGCGGCGAGACGCAACTTCGGTCGCCATACGCTGGTCCTCCTCAGTCATCTCAACACTTGCGCCGGGCCAGCCCTGCCAGACAGAGCCGTTCTCGACCAGCTCGCCGCTGACCACGAGGGTGTGCTCCAGCAGCGTCGAGTCCTCCTCCATCTCGGCACCCGAGAGGAGCCGCGACTCGGCGCGAAGAACACTGCCGTCGCCGATGACCAGCGGGTTGAGTGAGAACTGGCCGCGGCTGTTGATGTGGCAGACAACACTGGCAACGTCAATGCAGACATCGTCGCCGATGCGCACCAGGTCCGGCTCGGTCATCATCGGGTCGCCGCCGGTCGGATAGAGACACACCCGACTGCCGATCTTGCAGCCCAGGGCTCGGAAGTGCGCCACAATGTACCATGAGCCACGCAGGCAGTCCAGGAGCTCCTCGCGCAGGGTGTTGACGGTGATCAGGATCTGCCAGCGCTGGCAGTACGACGACTGGTCCCAGTTGTACGATCCGGGCTTGCGGCGGCCAAAGAGAATCCACTTGGTCACGACCTCGATCCACAGCGCCACGAAGACTTGGACACTAAAGATCGCCATGACCGAGGCGATGATGATGAGATAGCCGGCAACATCCTGCGGCATGGGGCTTGTGTCGATATCTTGAATGTAGAACTGATCTGCCACCAAGATGGCTCCGATGATTGAGAGGCCCCAGTACATCGACCGGAAGATCTCCCAGACGATGCTGTAGAGCACGCATGCCCACATGGGGATCACATGGAAGGTGGCCTTGCGGTTGTAGAAAGCCTTGCCAAAGGGTGTGGTTGTATCGTGCGAGAGCTTGTTGGGGTCGCCTTGGTCCCACAGCACGGCACTTCCGTTTCGACTACCGATCCAGACCGAGCCGGCGGGATACTCGGTGTGGGGCTTGGAGAGCGCTCCCGATCCCATGACACACTCCTGTCCAACAGTTGTGCCAGGCAGGAGCACGCATCGGTCCGCAATCATGGCGCCTGGGCCGATCCGGATGTGGGCCGATTCCTCGCTGTCGGTGCAGATGACATGCGTGCGCGAGCCAAAGACGACGTCGTCGCCGACCTCAAACAGGTCGAATTCGTAGAGGTGAAGGGATGTGCCGGGCCAGTAGATGCGCTTGCCGATCTTGGCGCCGAGAGCGCGGTAGATCATGCTGGTGAGCTCGTAGTGGCGGCCGATGAGATGGTAGACACCGCAGAGAGTGCCGTCGGCAAAAAGCTTCTTGCACAGCCAGTGGCGGAAGGCATCCCAGTTGGTGTTGCTGAGTCGTCCGGCCTTGAACTTGCCAATCAGCAGGCGCTTGACTGCGATGCACAGGAATAGATAGATGAAGGGCGAGACGATCGATCGAACCCCGAGGGCAAAAAAGTGGTACATGATACGGTACGGCGACGCAAAGTAGTTGACAATCTGGGCAAACGAGCTCTGATCGGCCGAAACCGACCCAGAAAATGGCTGTTGTGTCAGGAGATAGATCATTCCCATCCACGGCACCATGGCGATCAGGTTCAGGATCACGACAATCGGCCAGCCGACGAGCAGGACGGTCAGGAAGTGCGGCGAGCGAAGGCGCGACCGGGCGATGGATTTGAAGCGAGGCGAGGTGTCCTTGAGCTCGTGGGAGCTGCCGAGTGGAGGGAAGACCGTGCCCGGCGAGACAACATGGCCGGGGGCAACTGTCGTCTTGACGTTCAGTACCGAATTGTCGCCTGTGCAAGTGGGTCTGTTAGAACACAGCGGATAGACAGCACTGTCCCGGCCACTATGTTCACCACAGCTAGGCAAAGGGCACAAGGCCATCGCGGCTTACCAATCAGAATCTCGCCGAGGACCATTCTGCCTGTCTTCATGCAGAAGCCACGGACTCGTGCGCTTTCCAGGATACAGTTGTCGCCGATATCAATCAGATCAAACTCGCCAATGTTGGTAGCGGTGTCGACGGTGGCATTTCGTCCGATCCGGGCTCCAAGAAGACGGTAGTAGTTCCGGAGGAGGGTCGGGCTGGATCCATATACGCCGCGGCCCGTCAGATGGAGCACTTGGTCGACAAGCCACCAGCGGATGTAGTACTGTCCCCACAGCGGATAGCTGCAACGCAGGCACATCAATGGTACCGAGGCGCAATAATAGAGGCTCAGAGTCAGTATTGCATTGGGGCTGTGACGCTGGGCATTCAGCAGTGCTGTTCATTCTCACGGCAGTGCTGCACACTCTCATGGACCGTCATCCCGCTGACCAGCAGACTGACTCACCTTCCGGCTTTGTATCGCCCGATAACGATCCACTTGAAAATGATCGCAAGCAGTGGCATAACAATCCACATGATCAGATGCGCCACCAGGATGGCGGCCGTAAGTTGACCGACACGCGCAAAGCTGTCCGCGACGGTGGTGCTTGAGCCCAGAATGCCGCCCGGTGGAGGGGTGAAGATTGTGCCGTTTCCGGGGAAGGGCGAGGTGCTGTTGTCGGGGAACGGATCGACAATGGGTGACGTCGGGCCGGCGTCGGGAGTCGTTGTGTCATTGCCGATCACATCAAACATCACGAACGCGCTGCTGCCAATGACGGGGTGAGTGACGGGCTTGGTCTGGAGCCACATGTGGCGGAAGAAGCGGTCAAGGACAAGCAGGCAGTTGACAAAGACAAGCCAGGTGATGGCTTTTTGCATAGGGCGGAACACTGTGATCGGCAAAAGCTGGAAGATCAGGGCACCAAGGTTGGTCGACGAGCGGCCCTTGACTCGCGCCTTCTGGCTCAGCTTTCGCTTGACAGCTCGGTTGGAGGCCGAGTTTTGGAGGACTTGCTTCTCCGTGACCACTGCAGCAAGGCTGGCGATGGTTCTGTGCTGGAACATTTCCATGGCAGGGATGTTGACGTCGTACTGCTTTCTGCAGCGTCGTTGGTGGAGGAGATGGATCAGGAGCGATTAGTAGGATGCAAGGAGTATGTGCGGCGGGTACGGTGTGATATGACATGGTGTGGCGGGTATGGTGTGGAGGAATGGCATGGCAAAACGTTGTGTGCTGGGTGGAATCACTCGACATTCCCAGGCCCGCTGCTCAGCGACCGCAAGACATGGCCTCGGTAGTCTGCCATTCAGCCAGGCCGCCCGCAAATGGTGCCGAGCTCTATCAAGAGCATGCTCCACAGCGGGATGCACTCGACCCAGGGGCATTGGCAGAGCCAATCCGTGCATCACTCGACCCGATCTAACTCGATGCGTACCTGATCAAGCCAACGACCCGGCCAGCCTTGAGCGACCCGCCTCCGAGCTCGAAAAAGTCAGAGTTGATGCTCGGAACCTTGTCCACTTGCAGGACCTCCTTGAAGATGGCATAGATGCCCAGCTCGACCTCGGTGAGCTTGGACTCGTCGATGCCCTTGTTGCGGATGATCTCATGGAGAGCCTCGGTGTCGAATGAGCCGTCAGGGTTCTTCTTGAGCGCATCGACGACGATAATGTCCTTGGGAATCTCGTAGGAGTGAACCAGCGGGGCGAGTGACTCTCGAATGTCCTGCTCGCCAATGCTCAGCGAGGTCTGCACAAACATGGTGATGTCGTCGTCCTCGGGGCTGGTCTTGACATAGACGGCGTCGACGATGCCGGGGAAGGCCTTAATATGCTTGAGGCTGCTTTCGTACGAGATGACCACCGGCGTGGTCGGAATCGGCTCTTGAAGGGACGCTGTCTTGGGTGGGCAGACGGCATCCCACAGGCGACGGGTCATCGGCACCTGGTCGGTTTGCTCGGGAATGCCGCAGCGCTTGGCCAGATTGATGCGGAGGGGCTTGTTGTTCTGGTTCTTGGGGAGGGCATCCATGTAGACGATGAGCTGAGGCCACTTTGAGGGATGGAGGCTCTTGGAGACGAAGCTGCGACGAACGAGTTGCGCATGAGACGGAAGTGGGCAGCGAGTCCAATGCAGCGACGGTCAGACACTGCTTCATGTCGATGGCACCGCACACACAAGTCAGCGACGACGAATACCTCTGCAGCTGCACCAGGTCGACTCTGGAGGCTGGGTTGGTCGAGACTATGACCACACCGATGGTCTCTTGCAGGACATCATGCGGCACGACAAAGGCGATGGTTTCGCGGACCTTGGGGTGCTTGATCACGGCGTCCTCGACCTCGACGGGAGAAATGATCTCACCGCCTCGGTTGATGACTTCTTTGGAGCGGCCAGTGATATCTGGATGAAGGGTACGGATGCAGTTGCGTCAGGAACTGGGGTGGCGGGAGCCAAACAAGCAAGGGCGGCAGGAGCCAGGACCGTGGGAGGCACTGGTCCGAGCCACCGGTTGTCAGCGCTGACGCCGGAATCCCTGCCAGCGTCGAATACTCACACAGATAGCCATCGTTGTCGAGGTAGCCCATGTCGCCGGTGTTGAAGAAGCCGTCGCGCGTGAACGAGTTGGCATTGGCGGCGACGTCGTTCTCGTATCCGCCGAAGGTGGGTGCGCCACGGACCATGATGTTGCCGACGACAAACGGCGAGCACGGGTTGCTTTCGGAGTCGTAGATGGCAATCTCGGGACCTAGGAGCGCCAGAGGAGGACTGTTGGGACTCGACCATACAATCACACTCGTTTGTGGTCCAACCAACGGCGACAGAACATGGACGGCGCGACCGGCCGGCAAGAGCACCCGATGCTGGTCTGCACTCAGCTACATACCGACGGAGACGCCAGATGTTCCAGGCCGCTCGAGGGCATATCCTTGTGGCGGAGTGGCGATGGGCATGCACTCGGTCATGCCGTAGGAGGGTAGCACCGTGCAGGCAAAGAAGCGACGCAGTTCTTCAGCCAGCGACGGCAGGAGGCCGCCGCCAGCATTGGCGATCATGCGGATGCCGCAGCTGGTCGCATCGCGGCTGCCGCCCTCTTGCAGAATGGCATGGTGCATCGTAGGCACGGCGTAATACCATGTGGGGCGAACGCTGGTGTCCTTGCCGTCGACGAGCTCCCAAAAGACCACGGGGTCAAAGCCCTTGGTGATGATGACGGCGCCGCCACTGAGGATGGGGGCAAGCAGGTTGCGGACGATGCCGCCGACGTGATAGAGGGGCATCATGTTGAGGTTGACGTCGGATTCCTGGTGTTGAGCGTGGGGTTTAGTGGGCAGCTCATGAGTGACAGCAGGCCGCCAAGGACACGAGAGGACGGGATGTAGCGTACCGTGAGATTCCATGAGCTCGAGACGCAGCGGGCACCGACGATCAGGGTCTCCAGGGTATAGGGGACGGTTTTCTTGTTGCCGCTGGTGCCGGAGGTGGCGAGGACCATGCCGTAGTCGGTCAGGCGAGAGTAGTTGTTGGTGCGGGCACTGAACATGGTCGAGAAGCGCTGCACAACATCAGCAGATACAAGAGGTTACTGGGAGCCGAGACATGGTCGGATGCAGCGGACAGATGCCTGAGCCGACGGGACAGGCACGCAAATAGGAGTACTGCGGACACGGCCGAGCGAGAGTGCAAGCGTGGGAGACGGCGATGCGGGAGACACTGGACGAACCTTGAGCGGATCCTCGTGCTTGGATCCCTCATGGATCTGCAGCGTGAACAGACCGCAGACCTCGGTGGAGGGCGTCAGGACCAGGACGGAGAGATTGTGCCAGCTCAGCTTGTCGAGGAACTCATCCTGGTGGAAAAGCATGAGGCAATGGGGAGGCGAGACGTTGCAGGCATCGATAGAGAGAGAGTGAGCACACAACAGTGGTGGCCATCGACTGCAGCGAATAACAACGGCGCGAGACGGATCACGGTGTCGATGCAACAGACACGGCCCATGCTGATTGCCAGGGGCGATGAGAGCCAGAGCCAAGATAAGGGAGGCGCTGCCCCAGGTAAGCCGCCCGGGGCGGACGAAGACGGCAGCCACAGGCGTTGTGTCTGGTGGGACCAGCCAAGGCAGCGCCAACCCCAGGGCCACAGCTCATGCCTGCAACACAAGACCAACCAGCAGCAGCGCGCTGCATCGTCCGCAATCTTACCGTGAGGCGAGAGGCAGGCAGCACGATTGCCTTGGAGCCCAGCCGCGAGACCTCGGAGCAGATCTCCTCGTCGGTCATGTTGAAGTTGACAGGAACGGCAGTGGCATAGGTCATGACGGTCAGGAGGCACACGGCGAGCTCGGGGCCCTCCGGCAGAGCAATGCCGATGCGGGCATTGGGCAGCAGGCCAAACTTTTCAATGTCGAGGCCGCTGGAGATGAACGACTTGAGCGCCTGGTGAGTGAGGGTTCTGCGGCTGGGGTCGGCCGTGGCGATGGCGACGTTGGGGGTATCCCGGAAGAGCTGGTGGAGGGTCTGGACGCCTTGGCTCTGGAGCTCGTCTTGGACCTGGACACCCAGGAACTGCGTCCCGGGCTTGGGTCTGCCAAGGCTCATCTTGCCTGACCGTACCGAGCGGATCGATCGGCGGGTGAGGGAGCGTTCTGGCCGAGACATGACATAGTCAGAGTCGAGGCTGGCTGTGGGCTCGGCCACGGGCACGTTGATCTGGATGTTGGGAGGCATCCCGAGGAAGTTGCTGGACTGTGGCCGCAACGAAGGATGTGATCGCAAGCAGCAGGGGAAGCCAGCAGAGCCAGAGGAGCCGGAGTTGGGATTGAGGATGAAGAAATGTTCATAGCGGCGCCGAAGACGCAAGCACCCGGATTTTATAGCGACCGGCGCGGACAAGCAATGAACTGGGGGGGGGGCAGCACAACAAAGCGCTGGGGGACAGGCTCGGAGCGGCAAACAGAAGGAGGCAAGGAAGGCCGAGGCCGTGCGGGGTGGTGGCGATGAGGCGGCAAAGGCAGGAAAGCGAGCAAGGGTGTGCTGCGGGTGCATTGGCGAGCGAGGTATTGAGTTTGCAGCGAGTGTGTTTGTCATCCCAGGTGCAGTCGCAAATGTCATTGCTGTTGTTACTGCTGTTGTTACTGCTGTCGATATTGTTGTTGTTATTGTTGGTGCTATCGCGGCACCCAATGTGTTTGCCTCGTGGTTACTGTGCCGGCGCAGACTGTACACGCCCAAGGGCCCTGGACATCGACACTGGCGGACGGGAAACAAAGTGGCAGGCAGAAATCCATGGCGGTAAAACGGCGTGATCGGCAGTTTTCCGGCTCGGTTGCATTGGCGCAAATGACAGAAGGCATTCGAGGTCGTCGCCAACATCGAAAAAAACCAATCAACAAGAGACAGCGGCGACGGCTGAGCGAAACCCGGCTGCCCATTGCATCGACGTCGAGTCTGCGCCGGATGAATCGGAAGCGCATGCAAGTCCTTGGTAACCACATCCGCTTCAGCGGATCGCGGTCGTCGATTGGGGTTATGCGGGTCGCATCGATTGCCAACTGACACACGCAGGCATCGATGGCAAGTTGAATGAAGTTGAATTTGAAATTGAAGCCGAAGTTGACGTTAAAGTAGTAATAGCAGCAGCAGTAGTACAACGAACATTCGCTCTGTCGGCAGAGCCTGGGTCAACCACGAATCCATGACCGTTTGCGCTGCGTCCGGTGCTCGTCGGTCGCCAGGCTCTTGTGCCGGCCGTGGGCTTTGCCGTCTTCGCCAATGCCGTGTCCAGTTTCGTCCTCATCGCACCCGATCAATCCCCTTCAGAATCGATTCACACCCGAATCCATCGCCATGTCCCAGCCTGTGCCCAGCACCGATTCGGCATTTGTCCAGAGGGAAAACTCGCTGCTCCTGTGGTCGGCTCTGCTGCGAGCAAAGCCCCAGGCCGAGCTGGGACTGTACCAAGGGTAAACCTCGCCTGAGCCAGCCTCGATCGCTTGGCCTGCACTTGCATCGCACGGCCGTTTCCTCGAGATTAAGCCTGGCTGAACCCGCCACTCCCCTCTTCTGATGCTCCTCCCCCTCTGTCCTGGGTCTCCTTGCCGGGTTCCCTTTCCACTAGGACAACCGTGAGTGGAGTTCTCTGCAGCACCAACGCCGGTCTCGATGGGTTCGTTCTTCGGGATATGCAGAGCCCGTTCGGGACCTACAAGGCAGCCGAGATCCGCTCTCAAGATGTCCGCCACATCCAGATCGACCGATGGTGATGCCGCCCACCTCCGCAACAGATCAGCGTGCATTCATCCTCACCCATGTCCGCGCAGGCCGTCCCCGTATCGCTTGTCCCGAGCGGACAATCCTGCGGCACAACAGCATACCTCTCCATTTGGTCGCCCCAACGGCCCCCAAAGCTCTGTTCCACCGTGCATGCAACACGACTGTCTCTACCGACTGCCTCCATCGCGAACCAGGACTTGGATCATGGCTTTTATCGTGAAATTTCGTAGTGTATTTCTGGCCACGCACGCTGTTTCCACGATGTCAACGGTATCTTTGGGATGGTCGAGCGATTCATGGCGGGAGCCTTTGGGCCATGACCTGCCCGGCGAGTGTTTCTATTGCAGACGCACACGCTTGGTGGGAGCTTCCGAGCCGTATCCGACGGGAGTGCTGGTCGATGATATCGACTTGCGCTTGCTCCGCAATTCCAGAGAGGTATCTGCATCGATTTGGAGAACACCAGGCCGGTGAGAATGCTTTTGAACCCGCACGGCATTCACCGGCGATAGTCTCGTCTCGATTCGCATGGTGCCGCAGCATCTGGACCGGGGTTGCTCGGGCCCACCGATACTTACGGTTCTGGTGGCCGTAGTGGCCATGATAGCCGCCTGGATGCATCGCCTGGATTTCTTGTTCAAAACAGCGACTGGCTGTATGTCCCGACACCGCTGCAATGCCTGGGCCGTTGAGAAGAAAGTCGATCGACAGCCGGCGCCCTGACCAGCGGCCGGCATGGAGCCCGTCGACAAAGTCCAGGTCCCGGACGATCTCTGGGGGATTCTGAGACAAACGCCTGTGAGCCGGCGGCACAAATCTGCCTGGGATGGATACCCGAAGGTGCCCGCCATCCTCGCTGGACGACAGATGACTGCGGGAACGCTCTGCTTACCGATGCTAGCGACGGTACTGTGGACAAGGCCGAGCCTACTCTTTCCATAGTCTCGTCAAGGAATGAGATCCAGAGGGGGCGGATGGGCTGCGGCCCGTATATCAACGTAGAGACCATCGGTTCCGGTGGTTCGCTCGATGTCGAGGTGCACGCAAACGACGGCAGATTCCCAAAGGCACCTTTGGATCGCTTGATGCTGTATGCCGTGGCGGTTGTATTCATTGTGAATATGGCTCGATATGCGAGGGAGGCAAATTGTTCAAGAACACCAGGGTCGCGCAAGAGGCGACTCGTTCGTGGAGGGAATGGTTTAAGCTGGGAGTAAATGTGTTTGTCGGTAATGACGGATACGGCTCTGGTTCTGGTTCTGGTTCTGGTCTGGTTCTGCCAGCGAGGGTCGCTGAAGAGAATTGCTGGAGGGTAATACTGATCGTGAAGAGCGTCGGCTGCAGAGCGCCGCTGCCGTTGAGCCGATAGTACTTGTGGTCGATGGCACCGACGGCCGAAAGTGCTTGTTGTCGAGGGTACTGATGGCCGATAATTCCGTTTGTCGATGGCTGGCTGCAACAGCCGGTGACTGGCACGGCTTTCTCAGAGCTCCTCGGTGCACTGAGCCATCGTCGTCAGAGCCTGCTCCGTTGCCGTTGTCTGCGAGGATGTGCATACAAGGACGGGCTGCCGGGTTGAGATCAGAGCCAGAAGTGATTGAGGACGGTATTGTTCTCCTGAATCCGCATTTATCGACCAGCCCCTCTTTGCCCTGACATTCGGGATTGGGGAGGGTCGAGCGGTACTCCAGACGACTTGTCGCTCTGCTGCTCACCGCGATCCTGCCGACGCAACGAACCAGTAGGTCGAGAGGGTGTCTCTCCCCTTGTGTCCGCGGCAGCAGATCAATAGCGGCATGAGGATTGTCTGTGGGGATCGTCCGTGAGGATCGTCCGTGAGTCAAGAGACCGTCGTTTGGCAGCGAGCCTCGCATGTTTCGATTTCCGCGGCTTCGGGATCGCGGATGCATCTCTGCCCAAGATCCACCAGCATCTGCCCAAGATCTGCCCAAGCTCTGCACAGCACTGGCCGGAATCTGCTCGTCATTTGTACAATTCTCCAGACCCACATTCACTTCCATCACGGCAATGAGCCATCGCTTCCGGCTCGGCTTGGTGCTATCTGGGACTCGACATCTGCATCGAATCCATGTCGCTTCCGGCTGGTCACCGCCGCACTGGATCCGATCGTCGTCGCTCTCGACAGCGTCGACACAAGACTGGATTCCGGTTATCGGCCTCGAGGTCCATGCTCAGCTGGACACCCGAGCCAAGCTGTTCTCAGGTGAGCATCCTGGAGCAGCGCAGGCGATTCCATGTTCCGGACTTTACCAAGTATCGCCGTGCCTGCTGACCCTATGGCAATGTCTCCAGATGCCCTGAACGTTGGAGTTGTGGCCGCCAACGTCAACGTTTCGCCGATCGACGCTGCCTTCCCAGGCACTCTGCCCGTAAGACCACATCCTCGGCATCCGACTCGACACCTTGATCCTGCGCCCGACCGCCGCCATCAGTCTGGTCCCCATATCGGCGGGGCTTTGGCTTCCTCGGTTGATCGGCTCGATGAAATTGCATCCTTTCGTCGGCTCCCCAACCCCATCAAAATGGCTCGCTTTCCCCCCCCTCACATGACCGACAGCGCCGCTCATCTGTTGCAGCTCGCTTACACGTATATGGCATCCTACAGAGACTGAATCCCGAGTGCGTCGAGCTGGCGGTCAAGACGGCGCTGGCGCTTTCGTGTTCAATCAATCCGCATTCGTCGTTCGACCGCAAGCATTACTTTTATCCGGATCTCCCGGCCGGGTTCCAAATCACACAACACTGGGGTGAGCCACGGCTGCAGTCGATGGTCGCAATCGATGGTCGCAATCGATGGTCGCAATCAATGGATGTGGCGCCAGGGCGCAAGATGCAGTTTCGGTGACATGTACCCGCTCCGCATCGACAGAACCCATCGCCCGGGACGGCCATCTGGTCCTGAATGAATACGATGGGGTCGCGCAGGCGAAACAGATCGGCATTCACCAGATCCAGCTCGAGCAGGTAAGCCCTGTGTGAAGAACTGGAGTGCACGTTGTTTAGGATGCCTCCTGCGTCTTGTCCTCCTCTGCATCCTTCAAAGAGGACACTCACAACCGAAATCAACAGGAGGGCACTGTAACTCACTACTACCATGGCCGATAGGACTCTGGAAAGAGCATCCAAGATTCAGGCGACAGGACTCTAGTTGACCTCAACCGGGCTGGTGTGCCAGTACTCGAGATCGTGACGACCCCAACTATTCAGTAAGGCTCATCCAAGATGGCGTCGGACACGAGCGAGCTGTGTGCACCGGGGCTCTCCAGGCCCGATCGCTGAGCCCGGGCGGTGCAAGTGTGCCCCTGATGCACGTACTGAACGGAATGCCTGTTCTTTCACATTGACCAAATGCTCGTCGCCCACCCCCATCAGCTCATCAGAAGATGCCGTGGCGTTTTTGAAAAAACTCCATCGACTGCTCTGGTATGCCGGCATCTCCAAGAACGACACCAGCGAGGTATGTGCGGCCCCAGACCCGATTTCCCACCATCAGGACACTACACTCGGGCCACAAATCTCCCTGAGCGCGAGTGGTTGTCATAATCGCTTCTCTGCATCTCCGGTTCGAAACACAAGGGCTCGTGGCGCTGTGACATCAATGTCTCGGTAAGACGCAGAGATGGTCCCCTCGGAACCCGAGCCGAGGTCAAGCATGTGTCGACCTTCAATGGTGTCAGGCACGTTATCGGTATGGATCGTGATCGCCATCATCGCCGCTAAGGAAGCTGATGAGCAGCAGACCAGCCATGGGATTGAAAGGCCGCCTGTCAGCCGCGAACGCTGGTTGCCTCGAAGAAACACTCCTCGATCCTTGGGAGCGGGTGGGAGCACATACGATCACATCGGACCGACACGTATACGATCGCGGCAGCAAGCCGCCAAGTGTTCGGTTGACAGGGCCCCGCTTCGGCTTACCCTCGCCTTTCGGCCTCTGCTTGCATCAACGCCACGAATGCAGACTATGAAGTTCAGCGACAGATTCAACTGCTCCAAAGCGGCGCCCCGGTCGCCCAGGAGACGCGTGGATTCAACGAAAAGGACCAAACGACATTCAAGCTGCGTGGCAAGGAGGAGGCAAAGGATTACCGGTACGGACCCAGCCAACAGTGGACCTCGGGCCCGTATCCCTGTGTGTAATAGTGCACCGTATTGGTATTTACTGTCTCTGTTGATAGATACATGCCTGAACCGGATCTCCCTCCCATCACTCTGTCATCGGTGAGTCACCAAGAGTCTGTCCACACCGTTCGTCTACGCACCGATGCGCCAACTCTCTCCTTCAACCCGGCCAGCTCATTCGTTGTGCTCTCACCGTCCTAGGAGTACATCTCGGCGGTCGAGGCTACCCTGCCTGAGCCACTCGACACCCGGCGATCCCGACTGCTCCAGGAATACAAGCTTTCCATGGCAACGGTTGAGGTTCTCATGGACGAGCCTGGCGCCGTTGAATACTACGAAAAGGCAAGCAGATGTAAACAAGCACTTGAATGCTGCGCTGATGTTTCTCCTTGGATGAGCAGGCGTGCCAGTGGTGCTTGATATGCTCATGGCCCACCCCGTCCTTGACTCTAGGTTGCCGCCGGTAGAGACAAGAAAAAGTCTGCGAGTTGGTAAGCATACCTATCTCCATTGCCACTGGTATTGCCACATAACTATGGTTTCTATTAGATTCGTTGGCTGCATTGCCGATGGGAGGCATCATCGGTGGCGCAGAAACGATCATGTCGGGTTTGACTACCACCGACATGCCCAGCTGATCATCGACTGACCTGCGCTGCAATAGGGTCACAAACGAGCTCTTTGGGCTGATCAAAACCCAGGGAACGCAGTTGCGGGAGTGCCGTGTCTCGCCCGAGCTCCTTGGCTCAGTCATTGATCTTGTCGAGACCGGAAAAGTCAGTGGTACGTCAGTGTAGACCCCTGGGGCGGGGCTGTAGAGTGCAATGTTTGTCGCGTAGAGCACATGGAAAGGAGGCACGAGGTACCGTTCTGCCCTCTATGCGATTGCTATCCCCGATCCCATCGACAACCCAGCTCTGTTTGGGCCACATTTGCATGATCGCGACGTTCCCTCACTCCTTCACTCTACACGGCGAATCGTTCAAATTCCTGGTTGATCCGAAGGCCTTCGAGGGAAAGATATCGTTGTGGCTGTTCTCAGTGGCGAGGACGGTGATGCCCGGACAATAGCCGAGCAACACGGCTGGCTCCAGGTCAGCGATGTGGATCTTTTGGAGCCCCTCGTTCTCCAAGTGATCGATAAACACCCAACAGAGGCAAGTCAGATGGGGCGCTGCTGACGGTGAAAGCACGATCCCGATGCACGATCAACGCGGGAGTCGACACACAATTGATGCAGGGCCAGTATCAAATCGACAGTTGAAGATGCAGACCCGATAACGCAGATTCCCGCTCATTGCTATGGTTTGGTGGGCCAGGTCGCTCGAATCAAGGCCGGCAAGGACAGACTCCTCGCCTTTCTGGTGGGCCAAGTCATGAAAGCAACCAAGGGCAAGGCGAACCCCGGGCTTGTCGACCAGCTGGTTCGGAAGCATCTTGGTCTGAACGCCTCCAAAAAGCTCTGAGCGATCGCCACGAACGATCCCTGGTTGCTCGACGTTGAGTCTTGCAGGACGATGGGTCAGTCCTGTCCGAGACCGGGGGCTAAACACGATATGTCGATCAAGTTGCTGGGGAGAGTTAGGGATTTGAAATGAAGCTCGCCTATCATGGCATGGCGGCGATCGCTCACGCCTTCGGCACCATCACTGTGACAGGATCGATTTACGCCTCTTCCAAAAGCCAAATACACTGCACGTGCTGGAGTAGCGGTCGCCCATGGTCTCTCATCGACTCGACAACACCATCTTTGTTAACAATGGTCGTGGGTCGCAAGCGTGGCGATGTGTGCGCAAGGACGAGTCCTGTGAGCAGTGTCGTTCTGACCTTGAGTGTCCTGTATCAGTGTCTGGGCGGTGCAACTGAGCGGCGATTTTATTCCGGTGACTCAAAATCAAAGCAGCATACCATGTGTTTGAGACAAGCGATCCTATCGAGAACAAGGACATTCTCACTCTGTGCCCACGAGCACCCCCCCCATCCACTACATCTCCAATTACTGGACCCTGATTCAACTGCTGATCGGTTCGCAGAGGGGTATTTGCGACAAAGACTCCAAACATGTTGGGATAGTCCCTTACTTTATGTCGGTGGAGGAGTTGTCCGTCAGGTCCAAAGCAAACATCAAACGGAATAACAACGATGATAGAAAGAAAGAACTGCCAAGGAAAGAGCGCCCGGGTTTGACTGAAGCGGATATAGTTGGTGCGTTGTAGCGGTTGTTGTTGTTGCAGCCGTTGCTGTTGTTGTTGTTGCTACTGCTGCTGGTGTCGATGTCGCTCCAGGGCGGTTGTCCGCTATGATATTAACAAGGCGTCCGAGAAGCTATAAAGCAAGAGACTGCCTCTCGCCAACGTCTTTCGGACGAGTGTGGAACTGATCGATGCACTCCTTGGAGCTAACTCCATACGATCGCTCGGCCGAGAAAATATAGCTGGGAATGTGTCCACGATAGCCTACCGCATAGAGATGGTGATACCGGAAGATTTGTCGGGTCGATGCAATGGATGTGTCTCGTAAGCAACCAACTCGGTGACAGGGCATGCACTTCTGAGGATTGGATGAGCAAGCACGAGCACCAGGGTGGGGGGCAGACTCGGCTTCCTGCATGCCTGGATGGAGATCTCTCCTGTGGCTGCCCTCTCGACCGAGGGAAAGCAGCGAACACACAAACCTGGAATCGGGTTGGTCTTGGATAGGTCCTTGGACGGCAACGGCGGGTGGACGTTGGCCTCAACCCGACCCTTTTCCTCTCGGTGGTTGAAGTTGTCGTATGCAATCTCGGTGGTGCGGCCAAAGGTCGTGGCGAAGCCGTATTTGCTGCCGGGGATGAATCCGGTGAAGCCTGTGCAAGCAGGAGAGAGCAAAGTGAGAAACATCATCTGCATCGAGAGCGAGAGGGTGCAGCAGATAGAACAAGGGCAATGAACCCTCCCCTCTCAAAAATGAGAAACGAGAGAGGATAACGACCAAAGATGAGGGTCGCCAATGCCTGCGTCTGCTACTTGTCCATCGATTGACGGTACCTGGGATTGGATGGGTGTGGACGGTGCCCTTGTCACGGCTCCGAGAGCTGTCCCGCGATGACGACGGGGCCGTGAACTCATCGATTGCCTTGCGGACGCTGTTCGAGTACGGCTTCCGATTCAAAAGTGAGTGCACGCATCAACAAGACGCAGAATGTAATCGCATGAGAGACAGGTCATGTTGCTCCATGTCTCCACTCGTCTGATGGATACATTTCATCGAGATTTTCGCTTCGATTCGCATCAGCGCCGTCCTGAGCATGGACCGACATACCTCGCCAAAGTGGTTCTGCAGTCGTGGGACAAATCCAGTGTATCCCGAGATAAAGGTCTTTTGTGAATGCTCTTGAGGCAGTCGATATGGGCTGATGTCATCGATAGGGCTGCAGTCGGCCGAATAGGCAAAGCTTGGCTTGGACTTGCTCTGGCGAGCCATCGTGATCGAGGGCTTGGGCTCGTCTTTGATGGCCTGGATGCGGCCCGGCAGTTCGTTCTTGGACTTGGACATGCGCTTGAAATCCCTCAAGGATGCCTTGGTTGTCTCGACGTACGGGCGCCCAAAGTACTCCTCCGACCTGGGAATGTAGCCTGTGCAAGTGGTTATGTCGGGTCAGCAGGGCATAAAGGCACGGCTGCGAGTTGCCCATGGACAGCTGCGAGTTGGTGACAGAGCACCCAAGTCAACGATATGCCTCCGCCTCCTCTCGACCCTTGCGGTCCAGATCTGACACAGCTACCTGTATACCCCGGGACGGGTGGGAACGAAAACCTGTCATCGCCAGTGGCATACAGATGCCCTCGGGACTTCCACAGAGTCGTGTCGTCGTCGGCCGACATGCCATTGGAGGGGATCTCCTGGCTTACACTTGCCCGCCCACCTCGGTTGGTGACCCGAAGCTCTTGGCAACGCTTCTGCAGGTCCTGCTGTATGCTTCCCTGCTTCAGCGACGGATCGGTCGAGAGGATATGGCGGGTTGCGTTGCCATAGGTCAGGCCGAATTGATACTTGAGCGAAGGCACAAAGCCCGCAAAGCCAGGCGTAGCAATGCAGGTGGTTTCTTCCTTGAGGGTCATGACAGTCTGCGAAGCCACTGAGGGTCGAGAGAGAGATGTCTTGGGAGGTTCGGCGGTGGATGTGGCCGGGGGAAGAACCAGGCTGGGTGCAGAATGAGCGTGGGAAAGAGAGCAGACACAACTGGGGCTATCGAGGGCCGGATGCCGATGATCCTTGCCACCGCACCACCGGCGTCACTGCAGCTGGCCGGTATGCAGACAGCAGCGGCTCGTCTTTGTGTTGAGCAGAGGAAAGCACAATCCTCGCATTGATTGATGTCATTTGATTCGGCTGCACACCGTAGCCGGCGATGGAGCAGCCCATTCACACCCGCCTCGGCCGCCGTCAGCTTCCGGCAGTGACGACAATCATAGCCGCCCACGCACCGCAAATCAGTGGTGTGCACGGATCAAGACGGTCGCGCCGTATAGTGTCGGGGCAGAGATAGATCGATGTCAAAGAAAGCAGCAGATGATGTCGCCATCATTCAAGAGTAGAGGCAAAGGCCGGGTGCAGCCGAGGTCGACCTTGCATCCCATCCCACATGTCTACCAGGGCCGCCGAGCTAACATGTCGGAGTAACTACGAACATGGCCTAGCTTCCCAACATCGACCAAGCGCCCTTGGCACGGCTTGCGAACATCTGCCCCAAGCATGGCAGCGACATGCAAGCCCTTCACCAAACACTCCTAGGACGATACTCTCGAGTCGGGTCAAGATGCGCTGCTCGGGCCATTCGCAGTTCGTGGACGCTTTGATTGCCGTCCTCGACGCAACATCGCCTGACGGCTTGCTACCCATCGGTATGAGCCCCCGGAATGCCAATTTTCATCTCATCTCCAGTATGCCTCGGAGGCTCGATGAATGCCGGCAACTGACGCACGAGACCTTCAACCAAGATACTTGGCTTGGGCGATATACGGACCACTTTGGATCATATATCCGCGGCTGCCTCCCTCAATGCCATATCGATGCGGGTCAAGCAACACAGCTCAATGCTGGAAGCCCGTGCGGCCGGTCCACACCTGTCTGCGTGTTGTCATGCGGTCCTGGCAACGCAATCCGATCAGCCGCTCAATCCCGTATTGGCCGCTGCCGTCTACAGCGCAGATGGCATCCTTGGCTGCTCGCTGGATTCGCACTGGACCTCGATGCGCTGTGGCGCTTGCAGCTCGATGCAGCACTGAGCAAACACACGGGGCTCTGTGCTTGATCGACGAGAGCGGCCTGACCGACGGGGCGAGCGGCTATCCAATGGGATCAGTCGCCACAGCATTGATCGACACCGACTGGGGCAGTGTGTCATCCTCCTGAATCAAGATTCAAAGAAAGCGACATATGTGATATCATTTCTGCAGTCATCCCCCCCCCTCTCGCACTCGTCCAAACAGGATGCGACGACTCCTGGACGCACGTAGGCCGGACTGCCCCGGCTGAGGACGTTGCGCCACCTTGGGAGAAATCCGTCTGCAATGTCGCGGGAATCGTCCCTGGCTGGTCGGGTGGGCGATTGGCAAGTCTCATCGGCGACCGCCTCCCCCCCCCATCCTCTCGCTAAATCCCGATGCCTCCAGTGTCCATCTATATATACTCTACTGTCGCGCGGGCGAACGGGCCTGAGCGCCCCATCTACACCTTGAGCGACTGGGCTTGCTCCTCCTCCCGCTCCCAGAAAAACTTCCTGTCGGTGTTCGTCAGAGCCCTCCGCTGCAGCATCGCTCCCTCTTGAGACGGCCTGTCCACCCATCCCGCTCATCTCCTCTTTGCTTGTCGTTTAAGTGGCTCCTCTTAGTGCTCCCACTGTTCCGACGAGCACACGCCTCCTCTGGCACTGGCCTTCTTCCCACGGACTCATCGTCCCAACCGAGAGACCACTCCTCTTTCGAGAGAAGGTTACTCGCTCGAGTCTCCTCCGAGCCAACAGAAGCGCTCTTCGTCCACTCTCCTCTCTCAATTGTTCCCCCTTTTGGCGCTTGATTGCCAGTCCTGGCGCCTGGCTACCGAGTAAAGCGAAATGGACATTGACTCGCTCACGTTACAAGAGGAGGCCCCCTCTACGAGCCCCGTTGATCCGCCAGCTTCACTAAAGCATCAATGCGATGCCTCGTCTCCGAAGAGTGATACTGATGCGACGATCATTCAAGGCTCCGAGCCCATGCAAGACCCGGCCTTGGCTCATCCTGCCGAGCTGTCAGGGGGTGACGCTGCGCCAGTACCCCAGCCGGAAACAACTTCCCCTGAAGACCCCTGCCGGGACAACCTCCCGGCTCCACTCCAAACAAGCAACTCATGCCAAGACACATCGTCTTCTGCAGACGAGACCCTCCACTCAGGCTCAGGCTCAGGTTCTGCCTCTGCCTCCGCCTCTGGCTCGAATACCTCGGGAACCCACAGCTCCAGCTGCGTCTCGGAAATGTTCAACCCTTCGCTGGACCCCAGGATCGCTGAGGCCATCGCCCAGCTCGATCAAATGAACGAAATAAAGCTCGTCGACCGATACAATCCTCCAAAGCGAAGGAGTCACACCAAAGCAGCCAAGGGGCAGACCCATCCATACCACCGCAAGGACACCGGCGATTCTCAGGCAGCGCCGCAACCTGCCTCACAACGTGCCTTCCCGGGCTCGGCCATTGCTGCCCACGACCAAACTCCAGCTGATCCAGGGCATGAAGGACGAGCGTCTGCTCCTGCGCGTCCCCAGTCGCTGGATGCCCTTACTCAGGCTGACCGATTCGAGTTTGTCCCAAGTGACTCTGTCGATCCACATGCTGGCATGACAACCTCGCCGGAGCATTGCGGTGCTGGGGTCATTCCCATCTTGGGGCCCTCCATGTCTAGCGAGCTCTCGCCAACAGGCATGTCCCTGTCGCGCTCACACAGCTTCCGCCAGGATCAAGTTCTCTACACCCGGCCGTTGGGTGGCGACACATTTCCTCCCCGAGGTCTGGATGCTAGTCAGTTTACCCGCAGCATGGCCAGATCCAAGGGACATATACCCATCCCAGGCTTCGACTACGGCCTTCAGCCTATGACCAAGGTGATCAATAGAGTCGGCTGTGATATACCAACTGGTCCAAACCGACTGGTTCATTCTGTATCGTCGCTGGTCCATGTTCCGCCCGAACGGTTATCCAACGAGCACTCAACGTACGATCCGCAGCTACTGCATCCCATGTCGATGCCGGTCGGCTATCGCCAGCCTTCGCCACACGCTCAACGGCTCGACGGTCTCGCTGGACTTTCTCACGATCTTGGCTTCTCGACAAAGTGTGCAGACGACGATAGGCTCCGCGGACTTGGGGGCGGAGCCGAGTTCCCCGATGAGCAAGTGCTTCGCCAAAGCCACTCCATGATGGCCGACATCCACCACCACCATCAGCATCGCGGCGAACTGCATGGGCGCGGCATATCAGAAGTGGACCGACAGCCGCCGAGCGTGGATAGATCTGTCATCGCTGCCTTGACAGGACATGCTCCTCAAAACCTGTCCCTGGTCCCCAACGGACCGAGCGTACCCGGTGGGCTTGGTGCGATGGTTATGCCAACGACCCAGCCCTCGGCGCTGCCTCCCGGTACTGGCCCGCCGATCGGCCTGCAATTCGGGCCTCACCACGGCGGAGCCTTCCCGCCCAGCAAGTTCACGAGCATGGCACATCCTGAGTTCCCACAGGGCTGCCCGCCGTACGCAATCGCACCAAAGCACGCCTCGCATTTTGTTGAGGAGCTGTCGGCGATCCGCGCAAACGCCGGCTCCATCGCCGCAGGAGGACTACCCTTCCACGGCGAGCCCATGATGCATCCCCAAGCCCAGTTTCACGCAGTAACGGGGCATTTCCCCTTTTCGGTTCATCCGCCACGTCTCCATCTGGGACCGCTATGGGAAGAGCCGATGCCGCCGGGCAATCTGCACTTTTATCCAAAGGGCCATATGCTACATCCAGGCCCTAGTCCGCGCCGGATACCAAGCGATTGGTGGTATGCCGACGGCATATTCCAGAACTACGACTTGAGCAACTTTGAAAGGGTTATGAAGGACCAGTACTACGAGATCGAGACGATAACGTGTCTCAAATTCCGATCATAACAGGCTGGCCGAAGCTGGATCCATATTTTGCTGTCTTGTACACTATACACTATGCTTTACTAAAACCAACCGATATATATATCCCGCCGAATACACACTTGTTCGCACCATCTGAAGGCATCATCTGCATCCAACACGAGCGGTCTATCAAACGTCTCTGTTGAATCGCCGTGACGCAATTGATCCGTTACTGCTGTTGCCGTCGGTTTCATCCACCCATCGTAGCAGAGAAGTCGCCTTACACCATTCTGCATTTGCACTTCTACGGCTCCATGCTGCGGGGACAGAGGGGAAGGGCGTGAATGTATGGTTGGCTGGTTCAGGGCTGGTCGCATTGCGCATGTATTGTTCTTGGCTGATGTGTGAACTAGACTTGTACTCTGTGGCCAATTCGGAAGCGAACTTCTCGTGACTGCCATTGAAACGGGCGGGAACCTCTCTGCCAAGCGACCGGCGGCAATGTTGGGCTCGGGCGCCGCTGTTTTGCCCAGACAAGAGCTCCAAACGCACTTCCCAACGAATGAGCGAGCGAAAGTCGGTACGCGAGCACTTGACCGAAACAGTCGGGTTCTGTCCGAAAGGTAATCTGGAATTCAGGAGTAGCTTGGTCGAAAGCGAGCCGCCCGTGCGAGTCCGATGGCATGCCATTGCAGCATCTGGCATTGACTGATGCTCTGCAATATGCCGCGCGCACGACACGATGCACTGTTTTCTCCAGATGCCATCGGATGGCTGTATGCTGCGAGAGGATACTACAAAATCAAGGACTACCACTCCGTCATCGAGTGCGTGACGCCAGCGCTCCGAAACGAGCGCACCAAGCGGGAGGCCCAGCATCTGCTCGCCTTCAGCTTTCTCCTGACGGGGCAAATCGAGGCCGCCGCTGGAGCATTCTTCAAATCGATCAACTACGGCAACGACACCGACTGGCAGCCGCTGACCGAGCTGTTTCTTGACAATCCCAAGCTAAAGCTTACTTGAATAAACAGCGGGAATCTGCGGCTCTTCCCTGAGGATCGCAGCAGTACTTGCTCGCTGGGATGCGCAGAGGACGCCGAAACTGCCACAGCGGAAAGCTGCCTCGCGGGTCAATACCGTGGGCAATCCGCATGACAGAGTGACGCAGAGAGTCGTCTGAGGTTGCATCTTGCGGCTCATAGGAGTCCGCAGCGGCCCGGAGCAGTTCACATCCGCCCGGCCTGGAGTGTCCTGCGCGAATGTGCCTGGGGACGCAAATCCAACACAGGCGGCCGTTGGATTCAGGGTCGGAGATCCAGACGCTCTTCGCCGGCCGGTCGCTCTTCTCGGCATCTCGCCTGGATCGCATCGAGTTCTGGCGATCGAGCCCCCACCATATCGTCTGCTGCTTCCGGGGACTGGATCTTGGCATTCCCGCATCCATCGGACCTCGTCCCACCGATCGACGTCTGCGCTCATGTCCCGCCCGAGCGACGGCAGCCCTGGATGTCCCTGCGACGTCGATCGCCCCAACGGAGATCCGCATCCAGCTCCTCCCGAGCCGCCGGCGACGGGCCATCATCTCGATCGCCGCGACCCAGCGACTGCAACTGGCGAGAGCGTCGGATCGATGGCTATGAGCTGGTACCCCTGCTACGTCCTGCCGGTAACCTCATCGTTGCCGTCGATTCTGCCCGGCACGGCCATGTCGGGAGAGAGCTCGGATGCGGCCCACACTTTATACCCTGCTGATCACCATGGAGAGCACCCGCATCCTCCTCGCAGCTACGGCGAGCTCGTCGAGAGCCTGCATCTCCGAAACGAATTGACGCTTGTGGACAGGCAGCATTCGCCAGCCAAGCGAGAGGCGTCGCTCAACGCTGATTCTCAATCGACCGATCCTCGTCCGGGGCTCGGCACTCGATCCGCACCCACCGGGCCTCGGCACAAGAAGCAAAGGACCCTCGAGATCTCACGAGCACTGGTAGATATGGACCAGCATTCGGCTGACCCCAGAATACACTCAGTGCTCGGCACTGTCCTTACGAGTGCATCGCATTCCGGCAAGCCTTCCTGCGATTCACCACAGCCGATCCAAGAGCTTGCCCAAGAGCTTGCTCAAAAGCCTCCCGCTGGAGCTCCTTCGCAGCTCGTCCAAGAGCCAGCATATGCATCCATCTCTCCCGTTGCTTCAAGTCAATCGATTAGATCAAGAGCAGCATCCATCCAGCCTCAATCCACGGTGTCGGCCGGGCGGCCATCCCTCGATCGACTACATCTCCAGACACAAGTCCACCACATACACGAGCCAACTGCAGCAGATGGAGGCATTGAAGTGGCGAGTGCCTCCAATGTCTCCGATCGGTCCAGCGACGACGGCAGCGGAGACGACCACGTAGGCAAAATTGAACCCGGCACAAGATCCAGGCGATCGAAGGGACTCAAATCCAAAGGATCGGCGCTGACATTGGCCAAGCCCCGCACCAGCTCGTTGTCGCCTCCAAGTTACTCAAGTATGCATTTGCCACGGACAGAGGCCGGGGATTCATGCTACGGTCCAGCGTATGACAATGTAAGCAGCAAGCCTCGATGTTGGGTGAGAATCGGGGTTGCTCCCGAGAAACCATGCTCGGCGGCGAGCGATGCCGACACTACGGATGCCGGAGAATCACCCGCTCTGGCTTCGATCCTTATATTTATCTGCTTCAATAGGACGATGGTGTCGATGGATATGCAGCTGGCGACAAAGTCGGACAACCAGAGATACAAGTGGCAGTACCCGATGCGGCCACGGCTCGATCCCAAGCGTTGCAGAAGCCAATAGCACGGATTGCCTGTCGAGACGGTAAGCCTCCCCTGGTTCCCTGTGGAGTATCGGCATCGAGGCGGGTACGAAGCATCCCACTCGTCCATCTGTGCTAATGCGGTCGGCATCATCGGCTCCAGACCCGTCCACACTCGATAGAGTGCGGAAGATTCTGGTGGACCAATTTGACTTTGAGATCATGCTCAAGCATCGCGAGCGGCTGGCTATCCGCAACGAGATGGAAAAAACCGAGAGACTTCTCTCCCATATCCAATTCCTGATTGTCAACGGTAGGCTTGGCAGTCCCGTAGCCATGGATAGTAGCGCATATCGCGGGGCTCACACATGTAATCTCTGCTTCAGATGGAATGCCAATGGGGTCGTTGTCGTCGACCGAATCAGGCACGGCCCCTCAAGGCGGTCGGTCATCTCGCCTCAGCTCTCTGCGGAATCAGGTTGCTCCCCCACCTTCGACATTCATGAGCGAGGACCTATATGCTCGCCGCGACGACGGGGTATTCGTGCGGTAAGTTCGGCGTGCATGTCGCAGCTGCTCTCGTGGACAGCGGTGGAGCTTTGATGGCGCTGTGCTGACCCTGCTGGCCTACACGAAGCATCGTCTGTCCAGGATGCGACCGCTCCGACTTTGCCAACATACAGGGCTTCTTGAACCACTGTCGCATTGTGCACCAGCAAGAGTTTTCGGGCCACGCCGAGGCGGCGCGGAGATGCGGCGTACCTGTGGTAAGCTCAATAGTGCGATATGAAACCGTGGCGAGACGATGCCAGAGACGAACGAGCCCGCGCCGAAGAAGGGGGTACTGTTGCGTGGGAGCAAAATGGATTCCGATGTTACGAAGATGTTCGAATGAACCCGGACGAGGCGATCGTACGCGATTCTCGACAGGATTGGCATCCTTCGGTCAACTAAGACCGTGCTCATGCTAACCTGACTCTTGCTTCAAAAAAGGACGACAGCGAAATTCCGGCAAACCATCCTGCGAGGCGAATGCCTATGCTTGCAGTCGAGTCTTGGATGAGCTACGGCACCAAGTAAGCGAACACAGACGCCATGACCGTGTCTATGCGATGGTACTCTTTGCAGTGAGGGGGGCGGCGATGTCGATACCGGGGTCTCATGCTCTCGTCTTGGCCCGATGGATAGTGAGCAAGCAGATGCCCTCAAGTTAAAGTCTCCCCCGCGGCCGGTCAAAGTAAGTGCTTGCCAGTCATCCAAAGTCAGTAACGCGTACTCGCAGCTCATGCTTGCTGCCTTGGTGTTGATTTGCTGTGGAAAACGACTCCTACAACAGCCAGGAATCAAGGAGTTTGACGAGAATGTCGATCTGGACACCGAAGACCAATCGCCAATAGGAGCAAGTCTGAGAAAGTGGAGAGCCAGTATAAAGGCAGCTCCAGGCAGCAAGTTCGAGCCTGAATCAGTCCCAGATGTGTCCGGGGCTAGTGACCCGTCGAGCATGGACTGGGAGCCCCACAAGGAGGACGCCGGGGCTACGGCAAACGAACCCCAGGACCCAAACAATCATGGTGTATCCGCGAATGGAGCTAGCGATCCGTTGAATGCCAATGCTGAGCATGCAGGTCATCTCGACGATGCAGGCAGCAGTAACGAATCAACGGCCGATATCGAGACCCCTCAAGCCGTCCATGCTGACCCCGCGACAACAACATCGATGTCGACGGAGCCTACTGTCCGAAGCGATAACAGTATTGCGAAAGCTTTGACTCAGACAGGACTGAATAGCAGAGAGTCGGTCCCGACCAGCAACCTAGCTGGCTTCATTGCGCCGAGCGCAGATCAGGAAGCGAGCTTGGAGGGGGCCGCTCGGACTAGTCATGTCGGCGACCGGCATCAAGATGCGGGAGGATCTCGATTCTACATCGAGCGCAAGATCATTGTTGGCAACAGCTCCAAGTTTATTCCTCCGGGTGCGGACACGCTCGTGCCGGTTCCAGCGATCGCACGCCAGTGCCTTGTGCTTCTCTGCAGGAGCTCTAGATGCCGCTCTGTGCTTCGTCTCGGCTCACTACTGACACGCAGCGTATGCTCCATTGACGCACAGATACTCGCAAAGCCGACTTGGCCCGGTTTCAGTTCAAATGGATCGCGTATCTGCGTGGCCCCAGAGAGGTGGGCAATTCAACGTCGTTTAAGCGGCACCGATGGACTCACGCCAAAGTCGTTGGCTGGCTGGAGATGCTGTGCTTATACCTTGCATCAATCCAGGATCCAGACATAACTGCGTATGTCAAAAAGGTGCGGTTTTATCTCCACCCAGACTATAAGCCCTACGACGTTGTCGAGATCACCGAGCCGCCGTTTCGCCTGGTCCGATATGGCTGGGGCGAGTTCCCTATCCGCCTTCAGATCCACTTTCTCGACACGCGGAACAAGCCCCTCGATATCATCCATGTTCTCAAGGTAAGCGGCCAAGCCAGATCCGTCGCTGGGCTGGACAACCGAACAGTTGGCACTCGGCAGCAACTGCCTATTCTCCCTGCATCGCCAGGCTTGACCATCTCGACCATCTCGACCTCTGGCTCCGCAGTTCCAAACAACCGACCCTGAACTCCACGAAAAGACCTATGACCTTGAGCTCGACAGAAACACAGTATTCGAAGCACCCCGACCTGAGCGACCACGAACCCGAAGCGGCCCAGCTGCCGCCAGTGCCTCAGATTCGACTGTCGACATATCGCATGCCTTTGCGATATCGGATCAGCTGCAACAGCTTCTCAGTCAACTCATGCTGTCTATCGATGGCCCTGGTACGTGCAGTTTCTCGAGTTTCGCGGAGCCGCAGGTGCGGGTGTTGGCCACTCACAACTCGTTGGTGCCTAAGCTAACATCAGAGCTGCTACCTACACGACCAGCCACCACCGGACCAGAATCCAAGGACATCCAACCTGCACAAGAGCAGCGACAGTGCGACCAGACAGATGAGGCGATAGCTCGACTTGGTCAGCCCGATGCGGCCGCGGTGCTGCAGCATCTCAAGGGAATCGCGAATACGCTGCCTGATTCCATCCAGAAGGAGGTCGGAGCCATGTCGGTCGAAGTTCTTGAGAAATGGCACGGCTCCAAGAGCCAGGATAGCGATGGGACACAGATGGGGGCAGTGTCAGCGAACCGAGACATCCGTTCATGCATTCTCGCCGAACTTGAAGAGTCCTGGGATATGCAAAGCCCCAGGGGCCAGGGAGGTGTTGCTCCGCTCTCGCCTTCCAGCCAACCCCTCATCACCAAGAAAGCGGCGATGACATCGATTTATTGCTGTCTATGTGGGATGCCGCATCCACGCTCAGAATGCGCCAAACCACTCCCCGGTTTGCGAAATGGCAAGGTCAGCAGCGTGACAAAGTTCGAGGAGCTGCTGCGACGTCTTCCCGTGCCCAAGGAAGAGGCCGAGACGCATCTGGCACTACTGCACAAACCTGTGACCACGGGCGATGCCTCGCCGATACAGCGAGACGCTTACGATCCGTCATCGCCCCTATCCGAGCAACACGACGATCGCTCCGAGCATCGACCCGACACGGCTCCGGTGTTTGCTTCAGACAAGTGCGCGGATGACAAACAGCTTCAGTGGATCTGGAGCGAGATCCGGTCGCTTGGACTCCCGGTTCCCCAGAGTCGCCAAGACTATGTCCAAGCCGGAACACTGGCATTCGAGGTGAGTCTTAGCCGATCCGACACCGACCCTGTGCGCCTCCTTGAGGCAGACTGTATTTGATACCGAGACCGCATCTCGTCTTGTCGGGACAACCACACCAGGTCACCAAGGCGTTTTTGCGCGAGCTGCTGGCAGCGAGCCTATCTGAGTGCGAACTGGACGCGAAGCGTTATTCAACTGCGTCTGATCGAGTCCCAGGCAAAGAGAGAGCTGAACCGGATCAGGCCCGTCGCTCCGATGAAGCTCCCGTTGCTCCTGGTGAGGCATCCAGGCGCAGTGCAAAGCGGATGCTCGTTCCACTGCATGTATTTCGAGCACTGCACAGCCCGTCGCTCGAACATCTGGATTTCCTGACGAACCGACACATGGGGATATAGCCGCGGGAAGACCGACTGGGGCACATCGACATTGACGTTACTATTACAATACAAGTCTCTGCGTCCATGACGATTGTTTGTGCATGTAGAGGAGGAGTGCGGACGACCACCAGGAAGTGTGCAGTCGTGCTCGCATATCTGGGTTGAGTCATCACAGATACGACTTTTTGCCGTGAGAAAACCTGTCGCCAAGGTCCTGGTAGTGCCATTGAGGGAATGCAGGGTCAGTAGATGGACAGATATTGCCGAACGAACTCTGGAATCTCCCCCCTCTCCCCAGGTTGTGATCCTGAGGGCTGTTGGGCGAAGCAACCCACATCAAGACGTACCTTTGACTTGTCGATGATCTCCTGGCGCTTCTTTGGGTCGATGCGGTGCGACTTCATATCCCGTTCGCGATCGAATCCTCTCTTGGACACATCGTCCTCTTCGAAGCGGCGCTGCTTCATGTAGTCCTCTTGATGCCCCTGGAGCAGCGACTTGCTGCCGCGCTGCGACTCCTGCATAAAAGGGCCAAGCGGAAGGATCAGCGGCGCCGAGAGTCCACCATCCCACACTCGGCGATAATCCCTTTGTGGATCGACAAGGGTAGCGAGTGGCATTCGGCTGCGAGGCCGAGACCCTCAGGATGGCAGTCAAGCCGTTAATCGTACATTGTATCTGTGGACAAGCTCGGCTGTCCGAATTTCTTCATCCGTTTGCGCCCTGGGTGAAGGCTGTCGTTTTCGCTTCTACATTATACCGACGAACGCGGGAATGAGAATCAGCACAGGATGGTGTATCAGTATTTGTGGTGACTTGCTTCAACAGCCCGCTGGATGTGAGCCATGGCGGGAGACTGTCGCAACGTCAAAATCACCTTCTCGGCAAGATCGAGGCGCCTCTTCTCTCGGTCGGCGGGAGTATCGGTCCACACGGAACGATCTTCGTCTGCATCCTTGGTCACCTTGGAGAACTGACGGGACTTCATTTGCGGGCCCACTGAGGCAGGCAGCGATACAAGTGCATGTGAGTTGCCAAGAAACCACCATCCCCACCGCCCCAGCATTCCATCCAGATCGTGAGGGGGGGGGGAGCGCCGGGTACATCAGGCCGATCCAGTTGATGAGGCGGAATGCGGGCGCTCTCTGGAAATGCATTCCATTGAGCAAGATGTGACATCCAGAGGGTGCGACATCGGAGGGACGTTGCTTACAGTCGAGTCTCTGGGCTTCCGGAGGAACAAGCATCCATTCGCCTCGCTGCGGTGCGAGAGGAGCGCTTTGGCTGTCGGCCGCACTCTTTGCCTGCTGCATTCTCTCTTCGATCTCCTGCTTCTTGAGCTCCAGCTCCTCTTCCTTCGGACAGGGGCGAGTGGACGAGGCATCTGACAACGTGAGCGATGCTGCACTGTTCTGAAAGCCAGCCTCGACATGAAAGAGACGCTGGATCGAGCTGGAAAGCTCCTTGGTGAGCACCCACCTCGGTGATCTCATAGCCCTGCGGAGGCGGCAGTGGTCCGTACAGATCGTCATCGTCATCGGCATTGTTGCGCTGGTGCCGAGCAGAATTGCCACTGGTCTGATCGCGGTTGCCAAGAGGCAGAGGCATGGATGGCCCGATTACGGACCGCCGCATGGGAGCCATCGCTGCTGCAGTGCGCCGCGGCTGCCGTAGATGCGGCGGCAGCTGGGGTGTGAATGGGTCGACGGCATCATCAGCGGTGTTGGTGTCGTTGTCGGGCTCGGCTCGGTGGGGAGGGGCGCCAGCCAGACCTGGCGGCAGGGCCGGTGTGAAAGGGTCGACTGCCGGCTCGTCGCCCGAGTCTCGATCAGGCTTCGGTAGAGTGAATCCAGGAGGGAGCTGAGGGCCGAAGGACATGGCTTGGGGGAGGAGGGGAGCAGCGGAACAGATGGGGGCAGAGCTGGAAACTGGCCGCTGCAAGCAGAAGCAGCTCGGATCACTGGCGCCGCTGGGCTGTCACTTGCATTCCGAGGTATCTCAGACAGATCAAGGCAACTCAGATCAGATCAGATGAGAATATCGCTGTTCAGGGCCAGCCACGGTGCTGGTGTTGGCCGCCATTTTGTGCTGCGAACGCTATGTGATGTATTTGGTTCGGGGGTTCAAATATAAGAAACAAAGAGCGGCGAGGAAATCAGGGAGGGGGAGGGATATGCCCCCGTAAGGAAGGACAAGAGGATGGGGGAGGAGCAGCTGGCGATGAAGTGCAAGTGCTGGGCTGTCCTGTGGCTCGTCAGAGCCGGGAGTCGGCGGTGGTCAGTTGTGTGCTTGGTGGCGGAGGATGGAGGAACGAACAAGCCGTTTAGGCGAGCTTGGACAGCGCCTCAAGGACCGCCTTCTTCTTGTCGCCCTCAAGGTGCTTGAAGACGCCGAGGAAGCCGTCGAGGGCAGCGTTGGCATCCTTGCGGACGAGCTGCTCAATGTCCTTGTAGGACCGAGCCGAGGAGATCTTGGCCAGGCGCTCGTCGATCTGGACGCGCTTGGTGCTGATCCATCGGACGACATCGAGATCGGAGCTGTCATAAGCCTGCAGGGTGTGCTGGTCGCTCGAGAACCACGAGGCCAGCAGCTCGCGGGCCTGCTTGCGGTCCAGATCCGAGTCGGCCGAGCGCATCTCCTTGATGAGGTGGTCCTCGCTGACCCGGCGCAGCAGGCGCCAGTAGAAGTGACGGCGAGACTCGCGCCAGGGAATGGACTGGTTGATGACCTTCTTGGCGACCATGCGGCCGGGCTTGTCGTGCAGGTCGGCAAACTGGACAGCGGCCTGGTGGAAGAGCGGCAGCAGCTCCTTCTCGCGCTGCTCAAACTGGGCCTTGAGGGCAGGCTTCTCCTCGGCGGGGGTGTCGGGGCTGGTGAGCCTCTGCTTCAGGTTGCGGTAGGTCTCGTCGAGGCGCTCGATGGCAGCCAGCAGCTGGGGCTTGCGGAACTTGATCTCGACAATGCCCTCGGGCTCCAGAACACCGCCACGGGCATTCTCCTCGGCGTACATCTCCATCATCTCAGGGTTGATGGTGGGATCGAGGACGACCCAGGCGCCACCACGGAGCTCGCCCACAATGTAGATAAAGACGGGCTGCTTGTAGTCGCGGAGGGCATCGACAATGTAGGCACCGTACTTGAGGACCTCCTTGTACATATCGCTCTGGCCGCCAGAGAAGCCACGCCAGTTGGCAAAGATGATCAGCGGGAGCTGCTCGCCCTTGTTGAAGTCGTTGATGGCCTGGGCGGTCTTGTAGGCCGAGTTGGGGTACCACACCTGGCCGGCCTCGACAACGGTCTGCTCGACAGAGTTCTCGTTGGCGGGATCGGCCCAGATGATCTGCTCGGTCGTGCGGGTCTCGACGGCGACGACACCGACGGGGATGCCGCCCAGGCGCGCGCGGCCGACAACGACACCCTTGGCCCAGCCGGCAAGGGTCTCGGTGAACGAGTCCTTGTCAAAGAAGCCGGGAATCCACTCGCTGCTCTCGTTGGCATAGCCGGCAATGAGCTGGCGAGGATCGTAAGGGCCGTTGGGGATCACGGTCTCGACGTCGCGCTCGATCGAGTCGGTCGCCGGGATGATGGGAAGGGGGGCGTTGAAGTGCTTGGGCACGTACGTCAGCCAGTTGAGGATCTCACCGACACCAGCCATGTCGTTCTGGGCCACCAGGTGCGAAACACCGTTCTTGAACATGATTTGGGTGCCGCCGAGCTGGAGGTTGGAGGTGTAGACCTCGCGACCAAGGACCTTGTTGAGGGCACCGGCGCCCGTGAGGATGACGGGGGTGTACTCGACCTGGATCACACGCTGGCCGAGACGGACGAGGTAGGCGCCAATACCGACGGAGCGGCAGGTAACCAAGGTCAGCGTGAACGACTCCTCATAGGCACGCGAGGTTTCGCCGGCAATCATGCCGGAGCCCTGCAGGTTCTCGACACCGAGGCCGTGGACTCGGCCAATGATATCGACGATCTTGTAGCGGATCTCGCCGTCGTCTTCGACACGCTCAATGTTGCAGCTGGGAGAGTCCTTGCTGTTGACAACAAGAGTGTTGTAGTCGGTCTCGTCGAGGTAGAGGTACTTGAAGCCCTTGGAGGGGACGTTGGGGTCGACCCAGGCAATCTTGAAGCGGTTGGCGACCTCGTCGGCCAGGCCGATACGGGCGCCAGAGTTGGCCGAGATGTAGATGCGAGGGATGCCGTGCTTGCGAGCATACTGAGAAGCCAGGTAGAAGAGCTTGTCTTCCGCAGTGCCAAAGGAACCGACGTTGAAGGTGACATCGTTGGCGACGATGATGATCTCGCGGCCCTCGGGGTACTCGGGAGTGAAGAGCTCGGCCTTCCAAGCAACCATGCCGATGGTGTTGGAGCCTGTGCAGCAGAGAGGGAGAAAACGCAACCGGATCAGCGGGATGAGCCACGCGGTTCGACAGCCAGCGCTTTTTTCGTCTCGAATTTCAGTAGCTTTGCCTCGCTCCCCCCGCTGTTATCCTCGACGACTCTGTCCTCCTCGTCCATACACGCACAACAGTCGCCCTTTCGTACCCGCACATACATGCACATACATGCACATATATGCACATACATGCACAGCTCACTCCCCACCCCTATCGTTTGCACGCCCACACAGTCGCACGCAGGCAAGTAAACCATACCAGGAGCACGGAAGGTCTCGACCAGGTTCTCGCCAGACTCGTCCAGGACGAGCTCCGTCAGGTTCATGATGGTGTTGGGGATAGGGGCGCCCTCCATGTACTTGATCCAGGTCTTCTCGAGGCTGCGGCGGAACAGCTCGGGGAAGTCGTAAATGTAGGTGGTGTTGAGCAGGTGCGCCTTGTAGCGCTTGGGCTGGATCGCCTCCTTGGGGGCATAAGGCGAGTGCACCAGCTGGTGGTGGAGGCTGCCCGGAGGAGAGGTGAGCGACATCAGCTTCTGGGCACCCGTGGCGTCACGGACCTCCTGGTAGATCTCGACCTTGGTGACAAAGCCAGAGACCGAGGAGATGTTGACACGGATGGGCTTGGGCGAGCCGTTGGGGCTCTGGCGGATGAAGCGGATCTCGGCCGTGGTGACGCGGAGCTTCCAGAGGCGGGCGCCGTGGCGATCAACAAAGTCTCGAAGCGACTGCTCGATGGCGGCCGTGTCGAGCTCAAAGGTCGGGATGAAGTTGATGAAGAGGTGGTTGCAGTCGGTGTTGGGATAGGTGGCGCCAACGATCTCGAGGGCGTCCATGATGTCCGTCAGGATGCGGTTGCCCTCCGAGACCAAAAAGTCGTGGGTGCTGACCTTGGAGACCACCTGGCCGGGATAGACAATGGCGCGGACAAAGAAGCGGATGTCGGACGTGTTCTTCTTGCCGACGGCGTGGTAGATGTGCAGGCGACGGTCATCGATGAAGATGGGCTTGATGTCAAAGTTGGTGAGGCGCTGCAGCTCGAGCTGGTAGGCCATGGCGGGCTCGATGTGGCGGATGACCTGGTCTTCGTGGTAGTCCTGCGCCTCCTTGAAGGTGAAATAGCGGGGGAACTGGTTCTCGCGGATGACCATGAAGGTGATGCGGCGGATCGACTTTGCGCGGAGCGGACCGCGGAGGCTCTGCACAATCTCGCCGAACTTGTCGTGGGCCTTCTGGTCGTTGTTGATGGCATCAGAGTCGTCCCGGACAGCGACGCTCAAGACGTTCATGAGCGAGCGGCGGATGTCGAGCTTGCCCTCGCCAAACTCCTCAATGACTGCCGGCAGCTTCGAGACAACATCGTCGAGGCCGTCAAAGGCGCACATGAAGCCCTTGCGGTGGGTCTTGGAGTCGTAGCCCAAGGCCGAGAGGTCCGAGAAGCTACCAAGGGTGGTGGTGGTAGGCGAACGCAGGGAGCTGACTGGGTCGCTGGACTTGAAGCTGGGGCGCAGCACAAACTCCCACTGGAAGACAACGGGGGTGACGTTGGTGTTGTGCTTGACCGAGGTGATGCTGTAGGCCTGGTGGGTGTGGACAACGTAGGTGTACAGGGCCAGCGAGCTGATGCCGGCGTTCTCGTGGTAGAAGAACGACGGCAGCACATCGAGGATGGCGTGGTTCGAGGTAATGAGCTGCGAGAGGCGATCGTAGCTGAACGAGGCCGTCTTGGGGTCCTTGGGGTCGAAGCCCGGGCGCATGGCGCTGTTGAGGACGCTGAAGGTGCTCTGCGAGCGTTCCTCGTAGGTGGCCAGCTGGTTGTAGATCAGCAGCTCGCGGGCGCGCAGCGAGACCTTGGCGATGGAGCGGCCAGAGACGTTGGCGAGGCGGTTGATGAAGGGCATGTACACAGCCTTCCAGGCTTCACCGTCGTTGTCGGAGCGGATCAGATCGAGGATGCTCAGCATCAGTTCGGCGCGGATGTTGCCCTTGGACTGGGCCAGAGCAATCTGGTGGGCGAGGCCGAGGTCACCCTTGTACTTGTCTCGGAGCTGCAGCAGAACATCTTCGTAGCGCTTCTCGTGGAACAGCTCCTCGACGGTGAGGAACTGCTCGATGAGCTCGGCGATGATGGCGCGCTCGTGGTGCTTCTGGCCCTGCTTGTAGAGATCCAGGATGGTCTGGAAGGGCGCCACCGAGGCCGCGAAAATGGACTGCTCCTCCAGCGGCAGACTGGCGAGGGTGGCTTCGATGTGGGCAGTGAAGCTGGTGGAGCTGAAAGGCTCGCCCGACTCGCGGAACTTGTCCAGCTCGGCGTGGAGATCGGCATCGAGCTTGCCGGGGATGCGGCCCGAGAGCGACGACAGGACATCAAAGAGCTCGTGGTAGGGCAGCTCGTTGTCGCGCAGCAGCTCGATGAGGCTGCGGATCAGGGTGGCATAGTCACCTTGGTAGTCGTAGCCGGCCAGGACGCTCTCAATGTTCTTCTTGATGCTGCGGAAGCGGTGGTGGGCCTTGTCGCCGATGATGCTGGGCGGGCCAAAGGCCGGGAAGACGCCCTCGAAGAGAACAGCCTTCTTGACGAGGCTGGGGTCGTCCAGGACCATGCTGCCGATGATGTCGCCGTTGGAGAGGACGCTGCCGGCAGGTTTGGTGAACTTGATGTGGCCGCTCTCGGAGGCAACCAGCGGCATGTACATCTTCATGACCTCGATTTCGGCAAAGGCCTCACCGGCATTGATGTGGCTGCCGTCCTCGATCAGGTAGCGAACCAGCTTGCCGGGCGAGGGCGAGCGCAGCTTGGTCGGGTCGTTCTCCTTCTCCAGCAGACAGGTTTGGCCGTCAAGGATCAGCTGGGTGCCGTGGGGCTCCTCCTTGGAGTAGACGACGTGGCTCTTGCCATCCAGCAGGATCAGCAGACCGCCGTCGGCCAGCTTCTTGGCAATCACAAAGATGGCCGAGTTGTTGACAGTGAGGCGGAAGGTCTCGGATCCAACCATGGCGGCCGAGATCCTGTACTGGATGCTGTTGCAGATAAAGTCGACGACGTGGGAGCAGGTAAGCAGGTGCTTGCCGGGCGACTGGCCCTTCTCGAGCATCTTGAGATACTCGTTCTTGTTGTGCTCGAAAAAGTTGTGGGCCTTGACGAGGGCACCGCAGACCGAGATCAGGACGCTGTCGGGCTGCCAAATCTCGACCTTCTTTGCGATGATGCCATCGAGCCACGAGGTAGTAACGCCGTTGTCGACAAAGGTGGGGTCCTCCAGGAGTTTGATCAGGTACTCAACGGTGGTGCGGAAGTCACCACGGATCGAGAGCTCCTTCAGGGCCATGACCAGGTTCTTGCGCGAGTTCTCGCGGGTCTCACCGTACGAGAAGATGTGGCCGAACTGAGAATCGGCAAACTCGTGGACACCGCCCGAGGAGTTGACGGAGAAGTAGCCCCAGACGTTGCTGTTGGATCGGAAGTTGAGTTCCAGGACCTTGCCGCTGTTGGGCTTGAAGCCGGCCTCGGGGTTCTCGGCGGTGATACGGGCGGCAATGACGTGGCCCTTGGGCGAGGGCTTGCGCTGGATCTGGAGTGAGCCAGGCTTGCTAAAGTCAAAGTCGATCTCGGAGACACCGGTGGGGGTGAGGCCGTAGAGGATACGGATGTCGCGGATGCAGCTCAGGGGGATACCCATCGCCACCTGCAGCTGGGCCGCAGGGATGTTGACTCCAGAGACCATCTCGGTGGTGGGGTGCTCGACTTGCAGCCGAGGGTTGAGCTCGAGGAAGTAGTACTTGCCAGAGGCGACATCGTACAGATACTCGACGGTGCCTGAGGGGCGGCATTGGGGTTGAGATGAGCGCTGTGAGTTGGGCTGTTGGGCACGATAAAAGCTGGCCCAGATATCCACCAACACCCGCCGTGGTGCGATCGTAACTTACCGGCACTGACGTAACCGACGAGCTTGGCGAGACGGACAGCGGCCTGCTCCATCTCGTGAAGGGTCTCTTGCGGGGCGACGGTGACGGGAGCCTCCTCGATGATCTTTTGGTGGCGACGCTGGACAGAGCAGTCACGGCCAAACAGGGCAATGGCGTTGCCGTACTGATCGGCGAGCAGCTGGACCTCCAGATGGCGAGCACCACGCACAACCCTCATGATGAAGATGGGCGAGCCGGGAATCTCACGCTGGACCTGAACAAAGGCCTGCTTGAAGTTCTTGGGATCGTCGACGAGGCGGATACCCTTGCCACCGCCACCCTCGGAGGCCTTAATCATGACAGGGAAGCCGATGCGCTCGGCGTGAGCCAGACCCTCATCCACGTCGACGGTGGTCGCCTGTCGGAAGATTTCGGACGGCACATACACGCGGCCGTGCTCGTCGTAGGCATCGGTGACAAGGCCGTCACCGCTCCAGGAGACACAGGGAACCTGAGCCGACTGGGCAACCACGGTGGAAGCAATTTTGTCGCCCAGAGCACGCATTGCGGCCGGAGGAGGGCCGATGAAGACAGGCTTGGACTTGAGGGCGCTCAGCTTGTCGGCCAGGATGGGGTTTTCGGAGGCAAAGCCCCAGCCGACCCAGACAGCCTGAGAGAATGTGTGATTAGCAGAGCACATTAATTGAGAGGGAGAGAATGTACAGACAAACAAAGCGCACTTGGCGCAGCGCAGCGACCGAGCCGCGATTGCTCGGGGTGCGAGACTTACGTGGACACCGGTTCTCTCGGCGATATCGACGATGAGGTCCACGTTTGAGTAGTTGTTATTGGATGTTCCACCGGGGACTTCGACATACTGATCAGCCATGCGAAGGAACTCGGAGTTGACGCGAAGATCCTCGGGAGTACACATGACAGTGAATTTGATGGCGTGCTCATCGCCAAAGGTCTCGTAGGACCATTTTCGGATCGACCGGATGGCCTTGACGGCAGCCATGCCGTTGTTGGCAATCAGAACCTTGGTGATGACAGTGTTTCCTTTTGAGCGGAGCACAAAATCTCGCACGACAGAGGGAGGTGAGTTCAAAGCCTGGACTTCAGCCAAGCCCTGGGTGGTCTGGGCATCGACGACACCTGCAGCGGCCGAGAAATCGACCGTTCAGGCGGGGGAGTTCAGGGAGAAGATGGGAGATGGAGAAGATGGAGAAGATGGAAGCAGAGTCAGCAGCCGAAGGACGATCAAGTAACAGATCCAGCGTCCCAGCAATCGAGGATCCCAACAATCGAGTATCCCAACATCCCAACATCCGACCAAGATTGCATGCGGCGCAAGGTCCAGAGCCGTCGATATGTCAATGCCTGGGGAGTGAGGGGAGCGCCGGCAGCCGCCGCAAACGGAAAGACACCAGAGCCAGAGGCAAAGGCAGCAATCCGCGATCACGACGAGCCCAGGACGGAACACACAGGCATGCACAGGCACCTTCTTCGGACTCCATGATATCTCCAGTGGTCAAAAGTGAGGAGGAAAAACAATGCAAATGAACAGAGAGAGAGAGAGAGAGAGAGAGAGAGAGAGAGGAAAGGCAAGTATGTATAGGCAAGGTCACAAAATCGTCCGCGGGCAGAGCAAGAGCGTCCCGGCCCAGATCGCCAAAACGCAGGACGGTGTTAAGTATGAGCCCAGGACGCCGCTTGGGGCAGAAGCCAGGCCAGGAACGCCACAGCGACAACGCGGCAGCGAGAAGGCGATGCGGGAGCGAGGCGGGGGGCGGGAGGGCACGGAAGAGTGCAGGATGCTGTGTGCGCAGCTAATCGGAGCGAGGCGAGGAGCAGGCGAGAGCCGGGAGAGGACACGCACAACCCCAAAAAAGCTGGCCAGTCGCCGCCGGGTTGCACAAAGGGCAGCTCGCGCGGCGACTGGTGGGAGGCGGCGACAAGAAAAAAAGATGCCATGAAGAGAAGATAGAGCTCCCCCGACAAGGGCGGTGCCGGCCATGGCGCAAGAATCGGCCGCGAGAGAGAGGCGGAGCGGCAGGATTGCAAGGGCGAAACGACATGGCAACGGAGAGAAAGCGCCAGTCAAGTAGGAGAGCCGCAAGGGGGTTGGGAAGATGACCACCGGAGATCCAGAGACGGCATCGACATCGGCATCGGCATCGACATCGGCATCGGCATCGACATCGACATCGCCATCGACATCGACATCGCCATCGACATCGACATCGACATCGACATCGACATCGGTGACAGACGAGGCGACTAACCTGTTTCATCGTACGAGGAGTTGTCCTGGACAATCGAGTCTGCTTCGGTGTCGGTGGTCATGGTGCGGTGGTGCTTGGGAGCTTCAGGAATACGAAACGAAGGTTGGCCGAGCCAAAGGGGAACAAGTATAAGAAGGATGGAAAGGGCCCAGGTCAGGGGAAGGGTAAGAAACAAAACTAAGAGGGCGAACGAATAGACAAACAGGAAATCGGTGCCGCTGCTGCTATCGTTCCGTGTTGGCGCCAGTTTGAGAGCTTGTGGTGGCGACGGCAGGGGGAGAGAATTGGGTATGGCAGGTTACTTGCGGGCCAGAAAAAGGGAGGTGTCTCACAGATGGGTTCCGGGAAGAGCGAGGCTTGATGTCGTCTTGGATACTTGGGTGCCTGGAGCGAGAGACGCGCAAGTTGGACAGATCGGTTGGTGCTGGTCCTCAGGTTTGATGTGGGAGGAAAGGGGAGGAAGCCGCAGTCACAGTTCCAACAAGGCGACTGGAGCTGGCGTGGAGGAGGAGAGACGAGGAGGGGCTGGCTGCAAGTCGGAGGGAGATCCAAACTGATGAGGCCCAAGGAGGGTGCGGCGTGGCCGGTTTTTATAGGGCGCGGCTTGCGACGAGCAGACAGCGGACGACTCGGATGAATGGCGGACGGAGAAAGAAGCGGGGCCGGCGCTGGGGAGAGGGGCGACCAACAAAGATCACCGCCGGCGATGGGGTTGGTCTGCAGCCTGGGCTCTGCGCGCGTCGATAGGATCGACAGGGCGAGACAAGCGCGCCGGACGGGGTCCTGCGACGACATGCAACACACAATGATGGCAAGACGCAACAGCAAGCAGCCACAGACAACGGCAGGCCAGCGACACCGTTGGGGCCAGTGGGGCGTGTGGCCAGAGAACAGCCGCCGGCGATGGCACGCAATGGCGACAAATCCAGTGACCGCTTGTGGGCGGGGGTGGCTGCAACCGGCCTTGCATGGATGGATGGCGGCTGGGTCGAGGTTCGCAACATGTCCGCGGCAACATGTCCACAGCGGCGGGAACGGCAACAGTCCGCATGGCGCATCTGCGTCGGAAAGCCAGGCCAGCATTCCAGCTCTGCAAGCAATGCAACCTCTCCCACGCGATCATGCGGTCGGAGAGGAGCATGGCGGCTGTCTCGACGATGCACATCGTCGATCGGGCCCAAGCAACCAGGCTGCAGTAGCAGAAGGCTCATGTCGCAACCTGCAACCCATGTCGACTGCCGAGGTTCCCTTTCCCACACGACATCCAGCCGCACTTCATGCACAGCAACCGCCGGCTCCTGCACAGTGCACTGTCGGTGTCTCGGAGGCACAGACTCGCCCCAAAAGACTGTGTGTCGCGGCGCCAGCAAGGCCGCGTCTGGGCACGCTCCATGACGCCATGTCACGACGGACCCCCCAAAACCGCCCTGATCCCCAAAGCGGCCCCACACCGGCCGGCCAATGGCGTGCGTGCCACTTCTTCTGTGGCCTTCTGCGGGTCTGCTCGAGAGGGCTGCAAGTGCCGATGAAATGCTGCATGTGTCCATGAGCTACCGAGTTCCATGAACTACATGTGTCCATGAACTGCTGAGCTCCATGAGCCATTCGCTTTGCATGGACTCGTTGCCTTGCATGGACTTGTTGCCTTGCACGAACCCCTCGCTTTGCATCATCCATTCGACCACCATCGAAAGGCACTTGTTCGAGGGTTCGTCCACAATCGCCATCGCCGCCGCTGCCGTCGGCAATATCCAAAAATTATCACCAGCCAGAACAACGTCGTCTCTGCCCAGAACTTGCTGCTGCTTCTCCATATCGGGGAGCCGCTGTCTGCTTGCTTGCTTGCCTGTGCTGCGCGAGCCGCCGTTGCTGCTCCTCCGCCATCCGCGGCTCTTCAATCATCCCCACCAGCACCATCGCCCCTTCTTCCATCAACCCCATCATCGCCATCACGCCTCCGTCAACTCCACGATCTCGGCATTAACCCCAATCCCAGCATCGGCTCCAGCATCGCAGTCGTCGTCTTCTTCTGCTCCGACCGTCCCGACGATGCTGCCAAAGCGGACTCATGGGGACCACCTCGGCTGCCCCAACTCAAAGAAAGCCAAGGTGGCCGCTGCATGCATCTCTCCCGCCGCTCTCCGGCATCATCCACACGCCCTTTCATTGCGTTTCTCGATTCGGTTGTGAGTCAGCCTTGGGCCCAGATCCCGTTGGCCTCCGCCTCCTATCGCAATGGCTCTAACCTCCGTTTGCACTGCTCAGGTTCAAGACACCCAGACATTCGCTTCCGCCGAGCTGCTTGTCCCTCATTTCCCTTCTATTGGTTCGCCTGTCTGTGATGGCTGCGGTGCTTTCCACCGTCCCGCTGCCCACGCCGATCTCTTTGCCATTCTCGTCTGCAACACAGCTTTCCTCAGCATCATCGATCTTGCGACACTTGCTCGACTCTCTCGCCTCAGCCTGGCCCACAAGGGAATTCTGTCGCTCGTCCCGGACAATCTGTGGATTGATCTTCTCTATCAACATCTGAATATCCCCGCCCGTACTTTCGACAATCTTGATACATCCATCGATCAACGAGCTGTGCTCGAAGGCTTATGCCACCATCGCAAGCGCAAAGCTGGCAATCCTTCCTCCTTCGCTGGATACCAGAGGGAACTTGAGCTATGGTGGGCTGTCTTTCGGTCCAAGACTCTGCGTCGTGCTTTGAAACAGAGAGCGGTACCAGCCGCTCTGCCAAAAGATCCAATGGACCCTGTTCGACTCAAGACCATTTCTCCGGCCGATATAGATGCCCTTAGCCCTGAGCAACAGTTTGCCCTCGTGGACAGCTCAAGCATCCTGTCTGATCAACAGAACAGCAACCAAGAACCATCGGCACCATCAACACCATCAGCACCAACGGTCCATTCAAGAGTGATCCGCTTTCCAAGCCACCCTTACCACACCGACGAGCAGTGGTCGCAATTACTCCCACATGAACTGCACGCTCTGTCAACTGCTTCGGCCCAGGCACTGCATCTGATCGGCTGCTCGTTCTCGTCCGTCTCGGGATGGCCGCAGACGCTCGATCGAGTCTCGGAGCTTTACATCAAGGGCTCGCTACCCAGCACCGCCTTTGCCAGCATGGCCGGGATGCCAGAGATGCCTAATCTGGCCGTGCTGGTCCTCTCGAATGGGCCCTCGAGCCTCGAGGGAATGCCCGCATGCCTTCCCTCGCTCCGTCGCCTCGATTTGTCCCAATGCGATCACATCACCTCGCTCAAGGGTATATCTCAAATGCCAAGGCTCGAGGATTTGACCCTGCCGCTTTCGATCGAAAGCCTCAGGGACTTCCCTCCGATCCACCACCGGCTCATCTACTTCAACCTTGCCGAGTGCGACAGGCTCGTCTCGCTCAAGGGAATGCCTGCGATGCGCTATCTGACCACCCTGATCCTGCCAAGCGGGCTACGGGGCTTCCAGAAAATGCCACGCTGTCTGCCCTCTCTCCGCCGCCTGGATCTATCGCGCTGCAGCCGCATCACCAGCTTCAAAGGAATGGCCCAGATGCGCAAGATTCGAGAGATTGCCCTGCCGAAATCGACCGTGAGCTTTGAATGCCTCTTTCAGCAGCTTGAGTATCTGGGCGAGCTCCGTAACTGGGAATATGACACCGTCGTGTCCAAGCTCAACATCCTGAAGCTTCCAAAGAACTTTGCGACGCTCGAGGGCATGTCGGCCGGATTCCAGTTGCTTACCGAGCTTGACCTGTCCGAGTGTCGACTCCTCTCTTCGCTCAAGGGGCTTCCGCCTCTACCATCAGTCAAGACGCTCCGCCTCCCTGATGTGGGCAACAGGCTCCAGGATTTGTCGGACTGGACCCGCTGGATCCGGGAATCGCCTCGATGGAGGAGCTATGTCCGCCCAGACGGTCGGCTTGCCACGCTCATGCCGTCCTTGATTCGACTCCATGCCTCGTCGGCGCTCGACGGCCTGGACGATCTTGCCTTAACGCTTGAGTCTGTCAAGACCCTCAGGCTCCGCTCGCTGGGGGCCAATAACCCGACTATGCGGCCGCCGCCAATGCCGAATCTCGAGGATGTTTGGATCGTGGGCTCGGTTCGGAGCCTGGAGTGGATCGCCGGATTCTCGGACTGGGCAAAATATCTGCATCTGGAAGAGTCCAAGGATCTCAAGTCTCTCGCCGGCATCCCCAGGATGGCTCGGCTGCAGTCCATTGTCCTGCCCTCGTCGATCCGAACCTTGGACGGAATACCCGAGGGCCTCACAGCCATGTACTATCTGGACCTGAGTCGCTGCGAGAGCTTGAAATCCATGAGAGGGCTGCCCAAGGCCGCCCATCTCGACATTATCCTGCCCAACTCTGCGCATTCTCTCGAGCTGCTGCCTGCAGTCATCGGCAGAGTCAAAAAGCTCCAACTGAGCGGGTCTGTGCATCTGACCTCGCTAAAGGGCATGCCTCTCATGGACTGGCTCAAGGAGCTCAAGCTTCCTGCGTCGATACAAACCCTCGAAGGAATGCCGCCGGTGCTTCCTGCGCTTGTCCGACTCAATCTCTCCATGTGCACCCATCTGCAATCCCTCGCCGGACTTTCTAATCTTCCTAGCATGGAGTTTATTCGGCCTCCGTCCAACCTCCGGTCACTCGAAATCGCGTCCGTACACTGGGACAGACTCACGAGCCTATCACTCCAAGTCTGCGAGAAGCTCGAGTCCCTTGAGGGCTTCCCAGTGATCCCCAATCTGAAGACGCTGGTGTTGCCGTCATCGATCCGGAGCTTGAAGGGACTCCCACCCATCCTGCCGCGGCTCAGGACTTTGGCGATACTTCCATGCCGGACTACCCCTCACAACCGGACTTTGCTCGAGGGCTTTCCACTGATGCCTGTCCTGGAGAACCTCGATCTTCGTGCCGACATCGACAGCTTTCAGGGCATGCCGCCCACATTGTCGTCCCTCCGAAACCTCGTCCTGGGTCCAATGCTGTCCGTGGCCCAGCCGATCGGACTGTCACGCATGCCGAACCTGGAGCACCTTTCACTCTCAACGGAAGGAGGGCCCCAGGATGCAAACAGTATCGCTGCGTTCATTCTGTTTCATCTGCCAAATGCCCGCATCACGCATGTCATCCAGTCTGGATACGATCTTGAGCCGACTCACGAAGATGGAGGATCACTATGAAACGAGGCCAGTCGGAACGCTGGTCTGGTCTGGTCTGGTCTGGTCTGGTCTGGTCTGGTCTGGTCTGGTCTGGAAGCAACGAAACTCCTTGGGCTAGGCTGTATCTACCCCCACCAAGTATTTCATCGCATGGACCACTTGCACCTGATCTCGAGGAGCACAATTGTGTTCGCCCACAGCGTGCTTGAGTCAAGTGCTGGCTGGACAGGAGGTCAGGGACATGCCACAAGCGCTCGTAGAATGAAATAGGCCATCCGCAGTGGGAGGTGGCCGCTTCTAATATGGCTTTCACGGACCTGCCTGTATTTTGTATAACACTAGGCCGTTGGTTTCCTTGTTCGACTTTCCCGGCGACATGATCGTATTGATTCAATACATGACTAAGATTGAATTGCGGCTTTCCAGCATATCCATGGTTCTTGTATCGCCGCGCAGTGCCCAGACAAACTGACGAGCCGATTGTAGCGAATAAATGCAGATGCGCTCGTCCAGAGTGTCCACACTCGGATTTCATGCTGGTGGGAGGCATATCGATTCGATTCGGCAAACTCGTGTTTGATCGAAAAAAAAAAAACAGGTATGCCCAACACATCGCAAACAGGTTCGGGCCGCGTTGGTCCGATGCCCGGCACATGCAGCACAGCCGATATCCAGAGTACCCAGCCGCCCGTGTCTATCCCGATGCCACGGTCTTTGATTCTCCCTCAACATCGGTGGGAGCGGCCTCATCGACGTGATGTGATGAATGGCCCTCCTTGTGCTGTAAGCCAAAGCCATTTCGACGTCAGGGCAGATATTCACCCCGTCGATATTGCAACGCCCCTCGATGCCGTCCGCTCTTTCGATACGACTCTATCAGTCACAAAGAAAGCGCATACCTTCTTTTTCTTTTTCTTGTGCTTCTTTTCGCCGCCATCAGCATCATCGCCGTCTCCATCGTGATGCTCTCGCTTCTTCTTCTTCTTCTGTTCAGTAGATATCAGGGAGGGGGAAGAGGGGACGTCGGTTGATTATCAGTCAGAGAGTCCCAGAAATGGCTCGTCGCAGGAATAAAAGAATGGAAGGCGTCCCTTGCCAATCTATCCTCTTCTATTGATCGCCGATACGCTGGTTGACTTACCTTTTTCTTCTTCTCTGACGAATCTTCGTGACCGCCATCTGAGTGGTATCGAGTGTCCCGACCCCCACCCAATGCACAAGTTAGCGACTCCATACACGATCGATTTTGTTCGAAGAGGTTTCTATCGCGGTCAAGGGATCGTAGGCCGTTTGGGTCTGCAGTATCGAGCTGTATCAAACCTAGCCACAAGTATCCCTCTCTCTAGCTCTGCGCGGCAACAAGCAAGCCAAAGCCACCCTCAACCCCACGGACAGACATTCCTTCACAGACAATCGGCCCAGGAATTGGCGGAGGCTCATCCTACCCAGCGGCGGACCTGTTGGGGCGTTAAGCTTGATGATGAACTTTTCAGGGACCTTGGGCTGTGTCGGTCGGTCGGTTCCCCGATTGGAGTCGGACGGTTGTGCGCCCGGCTGGGTGTCTTCCAAGCGGCTGACGTCGAGTGCGCCGAACAGCTCTGTCTTGTCAAACTACAGAGGGCAGAGGGATCTATAGTGAATGAATGCGCTGTGGCGAGCGTCACGATCTCGGAAGATGCTGATTTTCAGCGAGCTCCTTGTCCATCGGTTCATCTGTCCATCAAAATCTTGCTCTGCATGCTGGTCCGTTTGGTTTGAACATGGAAACTCACCCCGGGGATATCTCCAGGCCGAAGGGCGAACGCCGAGTCGATCACATCATGGTCCAGCACCGAGATCGGGACGGGGTCTCCGCGTGGTGGTTGGCAGAGGATATGGAACAGAGTCTTGTGCTCGTCCTTGGTGATTGTCCGGTTCCCTGTTGATGAGGAGCGCGCGGGTGGCAGACGAGGAAAGGGGCGGTTCAGCGACAGGAACGGATTCTTTGGTTCGTCTTGTCAAGAAGCTCGTCGGTATCTTGCTTTCATGCAAGTGAGATCCCATAGATGGCCTCCGATCGGGTCCTTCCGCCCCTTCCTTTGCATGCTCTGGATCGCCCTTCGAGGGTAGCAGACGAACCCGATACGTCCGCGATATATGGCAAATATGACGGCTCGAGGATCTTGGCCGGTGCCGAGCCTTGGTAATCGGGCATGAATGGCCGCACATGTCGATCATACGCCGATTTGAGGTTGAAGTATCTGGCTCAGTGATCCAAACGGAAGATCAGTCGAGAACCAGGCAGCTAGCACAGATGCATGCCATCGATGGAATGAAATCGATCCCAAACGGTCTTGTCGACCGCCCGGCCAGCGAACCGATTTCGGAGTGGCGTTGGTTGACTCGAGCAGACGAGGGCAATGGCAGATGGTATAAACCGCATTGGCTCAAGCATTCTCGGATCAGCAAATGCTTACGCCAAATAATCGGTCTTGGCCGAGAGCGACGGGCCAGCTGCAGATTGGCGATTGAGAACCAAGAGTCGAAAGCCGAGAGTTGGTATTCGGGAGTCGATTATAGACAACAACGCATGATCGAATGGTATATCAGCATGGGCGATCACAGCCTCGGCCATAAAACCGAGGAGCAGCCAAGTGGAGTCACCCGGTCGGTCGGGACATCCAACCAGGGCGAGGTCTTCGTGGTCTGCCGATGATAGCCAAGTTGCACGGGATACCGTTACCATGTCGAACAGTGCCAACGAAGTGCACAGGCCCCTGAGGAGTGATACCTGTAGTATCAACCCCAGGCTGTGGTTGCGAAATCATGGGTTTGCCAGGAATGAGGGCGATGGCGGAGAGAGCGCACCAGAGACCAAACCGCGACAGAGCAGTGGGTTTGGGTCTGGCTGGCTCGCTGCCTGGCCGACAATGACCTCGAGAGTGGCCGACCAAGGTTGCATCGGCCGGCTGCTGCTGTCACTCCTTACTTCCCTGAAGGAGTGCTCACGGATAGATATGATAAGTAAACACATGATTGACCAGCCACGAATATGTACTCTATGGCCATACTCGGTGTCGCACACACTCCCGAATGCTGCTCAAATGCGGATTATACCACAGCCCGAAGGCGGAACACGCTCTGCATTGTCAAAAAAAAAACAAAAATAGGAACAGCCACAGAGGAGGTTTTTGATATCTCAAAGAGTTGCGTTGGGCTTGCGAGTGTGGATACCCTCGGATGGTGAATACTGATACCCAACTGGGTCGTTGGCAAGAGGACGAACAAACAAAACAGACAGCCACACCACCGCCCGAGGGACAAGGACACACACACACACGGGTGGCACGGCGGGCGCACAAAATGCCGATTTCGCTCCTGCGGGTTTCATCTCCCACCACCGTCTGGGTTGCTCTCCTCTCGTCCGCTCCTGCAACTCCATCTCGGTCCCCGAACCCAGCACCACCAGCACCAGCACCAGCACCGCCAGCAACGGAGCTCCAAGGTAAACCAATACGGCAGACCGCTCGCATCTGCTGGACTGTGTGGGGGGCTGAGCCGCTTTGCCTCGTCGGGCTGGGCTGGACCACCAGCAACGAGCGTTTTCGCAACGCTGACGAGCACCGATTCCTATCGCCACTGCTGCTCCAGGATACCAAGAACATGGTCGCCCGCAGGTCCGCTATCGATGCCTTCGGCATGGTCATGCTCGAAGACGTCCCCGTCAGAGCCAACGTCCGACGGCAAACACAGCAGCGAGAACAGCCCGTTCTGCCACCAGAACCCATTCGTATCACGACTCCTCGAGTTGGACAGCATAATCACCAAGAGTTCGACGACGGCGACAATCAAGAGTTGCATGACATCCATGAGCCCAACTATGACAATATCGATCGCGATGATTATCTCCCGGAAAACGAACAGGAGCTCAGCTTCCTTCGAGAGATTTTCCCGGACGCCCACATCGAGACGATCAAACAAATAATGCACGACTGCAACGGCAACGTACCGGCCGTCATAAGCTTTTTGGAATCCGCGAGAGCCCAAGAGGCACGACACGAGCCAGCACCCGATGAGATGTAAGCCGGAAGTCCCGGTGCACGAGTCCCTTGAGTGCATCGGCTGCAAGAGCAGTTCATTCCACATCTAGTGCCGTTACCACTCCGCCGACCGCCACCAGGACTGTTGTTACCAGTGGCCCAAGTCGTCCTGCGAACATGCCTAGTTTTGTATAGTTGTCTTGTTTTCATGGTATCCCCCCAACCATCTCTGGCCTGGACTGACCTCTCCTTCGGACTGTCTCGTCCCGACAATCCGACCAGACCGGACTCCCCCCGTATGTACTTCTCACGACAGAGCCCAACAGAGCAACATGTGCAATCACGCTGCGCTGCCGTCCACATTGATCCAGCCGACGCCATGAGAGTGATCGCGGCATGGCCTCCAAAGGCATTCCGCCAACGGCACCACGGCGCGAGTCGACCATCCCCTGACTCCTCGCTCTGCCATCCTCTCTCGATGCAACTTGACAGTGACGGAGCCCGAGCCCGAGCCCAATCCAGAACACGAATGCGGATGCTGCTACAACACTGTCCCGATGGACCAGGTGCGCTGTGCCAACGCTCTTGTCGGGCTGGGTGTGGCGCCATGATGCCGATCCATCAGCAAAGCCGATCCGACTGCCCAGGCACCTGACGATCCTGACACTTTGCACTCCACAGACGGTTCCGTGCGAAGAGGGCCATCTGTTCTGCGCGGACTGTGTCCGTCGAGCCGCAGAGGAGGCAATCGGCATGCGTAAGTCGCAAGCAGTTGTCCTGGGACGGAGGGCAACCTGGGACGCAGTACAGCCAGAGGACATCGATTGGTGCAAGGGCTGGTGGACAAGCGCTGACCTGTGCGCCATGTCGACTCGATCTGCATTCTGATGGCACACAGGCAGATCGGTGGTCAAGTGCATGAACACCGATCCGTGCGGATACGCATTCCACGAACGAGAACTCCGCCAACTGCTTCCCGAACCCTCGTTTGATGCACTCATGAGACTCCGTCTGGCGGAAGGAATCGGCATTGTAAGTCGGCTGTCGGCTGTCCGGCTATTCTGCTGCTTGGCTGTCCTGCAAATCGTGCTCGGAGACAGGTCCTGTTCTCGCCATGTCCTGTCCTCGCATGTCCTCGCATGTCCTCGCCACCTGGCCGTCGCTGATCTTGCAAACCGCTGTCCCTGTTCACGATTTTCGGGCGAAGCTGACGGATTTCGTCGAGTGCCCCTTCTGCAACTACGGCGCTGAGATCCTGGCGCCTCTTGAGGACGAACCCTTGTTTCACTGCCAGAATCCCGAATGTGCAGTGGTGTCGTGTCGGCGGTGCAAGAAGGAAAACCACTCTCCACGCAAATGCGACGGTATGGCTGTTGATTCGGGGAGCCTGAGTGGTGTGCATTTGGCGGACGATCGCCCAGCGGCAAGTTACAACGATGCCACAGTGACGCCAGCCATGTCGAGCCTGTGCCGAGCGCAAGTTGGCCCATGCTGGCCTCAAGCTGGCCTCATATTGAACCCACGAGGGCGATGCACTCACTTGCCCGATGGCACCGGCTCACAGATCTCCAGAAAGAAGATAACCTCAATGTGCAGCACAAGATCGAGGAGGACATGTCCGAGGCACTGTTCCTGACGTGCCCAAAGTGTCGCCAGAAGATCATCAAGGAAGACGGGGTATGTCTCTGAGTCTCAAAGGGAAGTGTGGGTGTTCTGCCTGACTGGATGGGCAGCATTGTTTGGTTCTCACCCTGGCTTTGTGTTTCTCGACGATCCAGTGCAACAAAATCACCTGTGTGTGCGGCCAATGTGAGTATCGCCGAGGGTCTGTGGGATGAACTGCGGTCCATGGCATGCTGAGCAACAGGAGCAACAGGAGCAACAGGAGCAACAGGAGCAACAGGAGCAACAGGAGCAACAGGAGCAACAGGAGCAACAGGAGCAACAGGAGCAACAGGAGCAACAGGAGCAACAGGAGCAACAGGAGCAACAGGAGTGCGCCTGGACTGGTACACGGGACATGAACAAGCCTGCCTTACATCCAACTGACCGCCGCTGCGGCTTTGCAGTCATTTGCTATGTTTGTCGACAGGCTATCCAAAACTACAGCCACTTCAACAATAACGGCGGTGAGTCTGCTTCCAGTCCCTCGCATTGCACCACAATCCTTCCACCATCACGATCCTTCCACGCACCAGGATCCTCCCACCACATCACGATTCACCCCATGCTAAACCGCTCCATGTCCAGGTCCCTGTCCGCTCTACGACGACGCCACCGCCCGACTGGCCCAACAAGTGCAGCAGGCATATCAGAACGGCGTGGCGAACAACGCCATTGACCAGAACGACCTGCTGATTGACGTCCCAACGGCCCAAAACATTCTTCGATAGCCAACGAGTGGCCCGGGCCGACGGGCTCTTTGTGCGCTCGGCTTTGATGCTCCCGCGACTGTGAACATTGTTCCGCAATGGCGCATGGCTCTGCACAGCTCAGCGCAGATTCCAGCGGATCGGCAGCCTGGTCTTGTGGGCTTCCTTGATGACACAACCGCATGTCCAGGTGCTTGATCGTGCGGCAACACAGGCTGGGTCTGGTTGGGTCCACCACCTCGCTTGATTCGATTGGATTGGATTGGATCGGATCGGCCAGCGCCAGCCGGGCCAGGCTGTGTCAGGACAATTCGACGGCCTCCCAGACGCACTGCATTGGATTAGATTGGACTGCATTGGACATCAATACATCGATATATTGCCACAGCTGGGGCAGGGGAGTGGGGACAGGGTCTGGGGCCAAGGCTCAAACAACTCGGGGTCTGCACCACCAGTCGCCGCGCAACCAGCGACTGCACTAGACACTATTACGTTTGCCAGGACCCTCAAACCAGACAGCACCCGGCTGCCGATCCCTCAGGTTTGCACGAGCATTCAGGCATACTGCTTCCAGACATAGTAACCAGCATAAGCCAGGAGTGCAACCGTGGTTGAACCCATGACAAAGTTGACATTTCTGATCAGTCGGGAATGGAACTGCATGTTCTGATTGAACTCGACTGTGTCGTTGACTCGCGGGAAGGGGACATTCGGAACAGGGACTTCAAGGAACTTGCAGAGTGGCTCCCATCCTTCCGAAACGGAAAAGACAAGCAGCTTGGACGGAGGAACGTGCTGCTTGACGGACTCGATGTGCTCGCTGAAGACACGCTTGATGGCCTCCTTGTCTTTATGCGCACCCTTGAAGGTGGCATCGGGAGCGTACATAACGAGGCTCAACATGCGACGGAAACTGACCATGGTCGAGATACCGGGCAAATAGCAGAATGGAAACAGGTGGAAATAGAAGGGGGGAACGGGGACAGCAAAGATGGTGTCGGAGGCCGACTTGTACCACTTTTCAGGGTCGCGAACGGTCAAGATGATCTTGGCATCTGGATATCTGACCATGAGGTCTTTGTAAAAGTCGGTGGAGGGATGGTCGACGGTTGCGGTGTATCCGTCAAAGATGCGGTCCCAGTCAGGCTTGCCTGGGGGCGACGGGGAACGAGCGCAGGGTTATTGCGGGAGTTGGGAAATGGAAGGTTGGATGGATCAGGAGAGGCCAGGAAAGACACGAGAGGTCAGGAAAGGACAGGATGGTCCGCTCAAGATTCAGGGAGTGCAGGGTGTTTCCTTCAAGCGAGTGGTGGACACCGAAGCGCCTGGGAGAAGGCACCGATGGGATAGCGCTCGGGACTGCACGCTCGGAAACAGACAGACTTACCCAGCTTGGCATCGATCCAGTTCTGCGAGTCCCTTGGTTCTTGACTAACCTCCCTCATATGATAGCAAGGGAATCCAAGGATATCCGAGGGCGGTCTTGAGGGATGTGGTGCCGGTGCGGCCAAAGCCAGCGCCGATGACCTTGAGATCTGTGGAAGAGGTGCTCATTCTGGTGATAAATCGGAGAACTGATAATATGTGATGTCGGGAAGGGTGCGAGAGAGCGATTTTATATGTGGTGAATGCCAAGAAAGCGAGCTCCACCAGCAGTCCGCGACCTGAAAGGAACAGCAAGGCGGAAAGACATTTCGTGCCTGCGAATCCCACGGGATCATGTTGGCTGTCCCAATGGGATGGATCGGAACTCGTGGACGCGAATCGAGCTGCCACGTTTGCGATAGAACAAGCACAGACGCTGTTGGTGGCCAGCCAGGTGCGGCTCTGCCTGCGATTCCCACGAAAGCCGGCCAGTTTTGCCGCCAGGAGACGAGCGGAGGCGCTGCTGGGCTCGGATGCCCACAGAGCTGCCATGAAGCCGCCTGGGCTGGCGGCATGGCTTCTCTGGCGGGTCATGGTCGTCTGGCGTTGCGATGGATATCTGCAATGGATATCTGCGATGCGTCGCTGCAGTCTCGATCTCTGTCAGCCGCCCAGGCAGCGGGTGTGCTGGGTTGTGGATGTCTCCGACGAGCCCTGTCCACCACGCACCAGGCGATGGATCTCCGAGCCAAACCCCACAGCCGCCGAGGAAGCCGCCCAGGATGTGCCCTGCACATGGATCGGCGCACCGCGTGCTGGATCTCGGCCTCACCCCTGTTTGCAGGGGTGATGCAGATGCTGGATCTGATGGGGGCGTGGCTGCCTTGATTGTCGGCAGAATCGAATCGGCAGAGCCTCGTGGCCGATGGCGCCATCGGCAGGCCAGCCCTCCCGGCTTTGCTGCGCTCACGGGGGCGTAGTCAGCAGCCGGATCGGGAAGGCAGACAGCACGTGCGCCACTCGCCCCGGTTTCGGCCCGCGTGCGATTGGCCCAACGCGTGCACCGAGTGCATTTGTCGCGCATTTGTCGAGCATTTGGCATTGTCGGGCCAACGAACCGCCACAAACAGGCCGGCTGGGTGATTCTTCCGTCGCCTCAAATACCGCCGCTGAGAGCCGCTTCCGTCGCCATCGATCGCCCATCGATCGCTCATCGCCCACCGCCATCGTCGGGTGCCCATCCGCTTTCCCTTGGACATCTCCTCCATGGCCCAGAACCAGCAACGCAAGCACTCCAAGCTGGGCGAGGTCGTCCGGGCATATGCTCCGCTGGGCTTCATCACCTTCGGCGGCCCCCAGGCCCACATTGCCCTCTTCCACGACTATTTTATCGAAAAGTTCAAGTGGGTCAGTCCCAAGGTCTTCTCGGAGCTCTTCTCGATTGCATCGGCCCTCCCCGGCCCGGCCAGCACGCAGATGGCATATGCATTCGCCCTGCTGTATGCCGGCCCGGTCGGCGGCGCCGTGTCGTTCCTGATGTGGACGTGAGTATCGCATGTGGGTGCGTTTGCATGTCGGTGTGGTTTGCATGTCGGTGTGGTTTGCATGTGGGTGTGGTTTGCATGTCGGTGTGGCTCCGCATGCTGCATCTGATGGCGGAGGGCAGCGAGAGGATGCATCCGGAGCATGCCATGGGGTGCATCTGGAGCATGGCCTGAGGACAGATCCAATCAGCCTGGCGGGTGCCCAATCAAACCGGCAGCGACGATGCAGCCACGGCACAAGTGCAGCACATCCAGCCGGACAACGACAGCGCTGCCGATCGGTGTCTCCGATGCACTGCTTCTCACCACTTTCGCACCATTGCATTGCATTGCACTGCATCGTATCGTATCGCATCGCCGTGACAATCACCCACATCCAACGGACCACATCCAACGACCTCGCCCCACAGCTTGCCCGTCGCTTTGATCATGGCTGCCGCTGCCATTGGCGTCTCGTATCTGCCGGAGCAGCTGCCGCTCGTGGTTCTCAAGATCGAGAACGGCTTGACGTCGTCGGCCATCGGCCTCACCGCCCTGGCTGCTTACAAGCTCGGCACCAAAATCAACGTCGATCCCCTCACCCAGATCCTCGGCTTCATCTCGGCCGCCGTCGCCATTAACTACAGCGCTGCCTGGCTCTTCCCTGTGCTGATGATCTTTGGCGGACTGGTGACCTATCTCGAGCACTACTACACCACCTGGAGGGCCCGCAGGAGCGAGGCCAAGGCCTTCATCACCCCTGCCGCCGTGGCCGTGGCCGAGGACGAGACCGGCGCAGCTGCGGCTCCGGCGGATGAAGAGGCCCGTCCCAGCCAGATCGCCACCGAGGTTGTTTCGAATCGGGCCGAGGAAGAGGAGGACGAGCACATCGAGTTCTCGTACTCGTCCAAGATCGGCCTGGCTGTGCTGGGTATCTGGCTGGTCCTGCTGGTCATCGCGATTGTCCTCAAGACCGTCCCGGGCATCCCACTCCCGCTCAACATCTTTGGCACATTCTACTTTGTGGGCTCGATCATCTTTGGCGGCGGCCCTGTCGTCGTGCCGCTCCTCAAGGACTATACGGTGTCGGTGGGGTGGCTGACGGATCGCGAGTTCCTGATCGGCTTTGCGCTGATCAACTCTGCTCCCGGTGAGTGGTCTGGATGAGGTGGATGGCAGCATTGGATAGAGTATTGGATGGCAGCATCGGATAGAGTATTGGATGGCAGCTGTGGATGGCAGGGTTGGATGGCAGCTGTGGATGGCAGTGTTGGATGGCGGCTTTGGTCGTGGGAATCGGGCATCGACAGTCCCGCCATGTTGTGGCGACATGATGTGGCGATTGCCTGGATTGCGCTTCCACCACGATGATTAACTATCACAATTGCCCATCATCCGACCACCCGCCACCCCGACCACCCAGGACCCCAGTTCAACTTCTCTGCCTTCCTCGGCGGCCTTGCCCTGCGTTCCCTCGGCTGGGGCGGCTCGATCGCGGGATCGATCCTGGCGCACATCGGCATCTTCCTGCCTGGACTGCTGCTCATGTCGGCCATCATTCCGCTGTGGACCGAGTTCCGGAAGAAAAAGTACATCCAGGTGATCTTCCGCGGCATGGGTGCCTCGGCCGTCGGCCTGGTCTTTGCGGCCGTCTATCTGCTGTGGTCCAAGGCCGTCAACGACGTCAACAACGCCAACAACGCCCTGAGCATCTCGCAGTTCCCGCTTTACGTTGCCATCGTCGGCTTCTCGTTCCTCAGCGTCGGGTTTCTCAAGTTCCCGAGCTACGGCGCTGTCCTGGTCGGCGGCCTCGTTGGTCTGATCGAGTGGGCTGTCGTCAGCAGGCAGTGAACGGACAACGGCCTGCCTCCATGTTCCACTGCTTGCCACCATGTTCCACTGCAGTGCAGTTGCAGCCAATACATCCTTCGATCTTGCCCATGCTGTCTCTGTTGCCCCTGTTGCCCCTGTTGCCCCTGTTGCCCCTGTTGCCCCTGTTGCCCCTGTTGCCCCTGTTGCCCCTGTTGCCCCTGTTGCCCTGTGCCGACCCTGGTCTTGGTCTCGGCTGCCACTGCACCGACCCTGGCAGTCCTTGGTTCCCATCATGGCTCGACCTCAACCCGCCGCCGGCTTCGTTGACCAAGAGCTTGCCCAGGCCCTCGACGAATACTCCTTTGGTCTCCGGATCCGCCGACGGTCTGGCGGCCATCGCCGACTGCCGAGCCAGCGTTGCCCCGGATCAGCCTGGCACTCCTGGAAGGTGTCGATCTTGTTGTTTCAGTCTCCAATGCAGGCTTTACGGTGAGAGATGCTGTCGGCATGGTTGCATCCCGACATATTGAATATCCCTCGAGCAACGACTGTCGACACTGCCAGATGCCTGCTGGATGCCGGGCGCCGCTCATCCGCATGCTCCTCGCTTGCCTGTTTGCCTGCTGCCTGTTTGCCTGTTTGCCAGATCATCCAAGTCGATCCTGCATCCGCCGAGGACCATTCACTGGCAGAGGCTCGACCATTCAACGCAGACCCGTATCTGCTCAAGACATTCGAGAGCCTGGATGCCCTGCTGAACGAAGCCAGTCCGCTCTTTCGCGGCAGATTCCAGCAGCGGCTGTTTGCACGATTGGCAGAAATCCAAGACGAACAGAGCGACGGCAGCGACGGCAGCGACGGCAGCGACGGCGATCGAGACAGGCCCTGAGACCACCGATGCAGCAGGCCGTCGTCTGCATCGATATGATCAGTGCCATTGCCATTGCCATTGCCATTGCCATTGCCATTGCCATTGCCATTGCCATTGCCATTGCCATTGCCATTGCCATTGCCATTGCCATTGCCATTGCCATTGCCATTGCCATGCCCAACACGCTCAGCACTCGCCCATCCCATCTTGCCCTCGATCTCCACCTCCCCTCTCCGATCGCTTTGCTGCATGCCGCCAGTTCCCGACTCGGGGTTGTTTGCAGACCCCAGATTTCTGCAAGAGCTGGTCGGCCAACCCGTCCATGTCGCTCTGGCCGACATCAACCAGGACCCACTCGACAGCCCTCGCATCCTTGCTGGCATTCTCATCGTCGCAGATCACCAGAACCAGAGCCTGTTCCTGCTCGTCCCAAAGGCCGAGCCAGTCCATCGCCTCGCCGAGGCAACGCAGCTGCCGAGCAGCGAGACGCACTCGCTGGTGCTGGTGATGGGCCATGCGATCAGGTCGATCGAAGTCGACGAGTATTCCGATCACCCTGCAATCCCCCTCGAGCACATCAGCGCCTTCATCCGGCGGATAGCCGACCCGCCCTTTTGTCCCGGCAAGCGGTTTGAAACAGAGGCCCAGGCGAGGGACTCGCTGCTGCTGTTCCTGCAGAAGGTGGGCATCATGGCCATCGTCCGCCTTGTCACAACCGGCGATGGATCGCTCTGCATCAGTCCATCGCCCTGCACCGACAAGTGGGCGGCTTGGCTGTCTGCGTCCTCTGGTCGGCTGCCTCATGCTTCTCTGCATCGGGGTGAAGCCGTCAAGTATCTGCCAATGTCGATGCTGTCGCCTTTGCAGTGCGGCTCATTCGGTTCTGTCCTATCTTCAACCCAGAGCAACATCCCATGCCGCCTCGCTGCCGACTCAACCCGCATCTCGGTGCTCAACGGCGCCGTCCTGATCGGCTCGCCGTATCTCTCGTCGTGCGTCCAGTCGGCGAATGAGATTCTGCTGTCGCAGGTGGTCGATGTCGTTGAGCGATGGCAGGCGATTCCGTCACATCCGGCCGACTTGGCCGACAAGAGTCCGGGATCGTGAGAATCGAGACTCGGCAGGCATCCAGGTTCGAGACTCGGCAGGCATCCAGGAACCGAGACAATATATCCTTGCTCTCGTCGGCCACACACAGCCCCATGTCCCTGCGCCGGGTTGATTGCCATCGATGGCGCATCTCCTTCGTCATCCCACTTGCACATCATGCGGCGCGGAGTCCTCTGCCAGACGAGAATATTGATTTGTATTTGTAGGACGACGATATGGTGCAAGGTGAGCTGCGGTAGTGGAGTGCCTTGAGCAAATGAATGACCAATTGATCGAGTGGAAGTGAATCGACAGCAGGAATATGCAGCAAATATGCTTTCTTCCGAGCGATATTCCATTCCCGGCGAAGGATTGCTGACCGGATTCACTCGTCGAGATGGAGAAACCATGCAAGAACAGTTCGCAAGCTTGGTCGCTGATGATGACCAGTGGATGGCCAATATACTTCGACAGCGGCATTCTGCCGCCGCACTCAAACCTTGGGTGATGGTTGAGCAACCAGTGGCAGCACGGTCGAGACTGTCCCTCTACTCGCAGGCTCCGATGTAACTGTGGTGCTTGCACCTCGGCCGCCGGGACTGTCGATCATTGTCAACACTAGCATAAATTGAGCTGGCGCATCGGGTGGTTAGTGTCAACTCTGTCACTCTGGCCCGATAGCTTCTTCGATCGGTTGAGAGTCACGGACGCAAGATACTCACAGAGCGTAAAGAGGCATCCCTTAAGATAGAGATACTTGCGCTGATTCACCAGCTCGGCTATGGCACATCCGGACACTGTCGATTCCAGCAACGTTGCCCAGCAGATGCGCCAGGTCTCTTTGTACAGCACCCGAGCCACAAATCGATTTTCCTCGGTGCCGTGGGCCAAAAGTTCGATTTTGACCCCCATTCTCAGAGTGTACACCATCGCGATTGCCGAGGAAACTTCAATCGAGAACCAGTACATGTACAGTATCACCAGGCTGATGGCGGAGCCTTGAACACTTTCGGTTCCGGAACAGTCTCCTGTGGTAATTCCCGATCCCCCCCCCCAGCGTTAGTACCCATCGCGGTGATCCAGTCCTGCTCCATTGTCAGCGCGGCGGACATCGAAGGCTCATCGCGTGCTTGATACTGACCCGAGAAGCTGTACGTTGTCCAGATAAAGGTCTGATATAGCAAAAATGACAGAATCATCACCGTAATGGTCAACCTGGAAACGAGCTTTGGAGTCATGTGTGGCTGCGAGATGAGCAGGGCTTTCCAGGCAATAAATCCGCAGCGAAAGGCATCCTAAAGGGTTTCGGAGGATCGGGTTAGTCCAGATACCATCAAGTACTCTTCGCCCAGGACAAATGAACCGAATTGTCGAGATGCAACCCCGTCACGATCGAACATCCACAGCGTATCCTGGTCAGAGTGATCCGAACACACCGGCCCCTATTTCTGGAGCTGTCGCCTCAGGAAGTGCAGTTACAGCCATACCTTGCCCGAATATATCATATCTCCCACCCAATTCAGCCATGTGGACTGGCATATTGTCGCTGTTGCCCACATTGGAGTTGCCCAGTTGACCAGCAAGCCAACGCAGTCAAAATAGACCATCAGTGTCACCAGGAATTTGAAGTCATTGAATTTGATTTTGTATCGGTCGAGGATTATGATGATGATCAAAGAACAGAAGCTGGGAAACCCGCCATAGTTCTCGGTTTGGCTGAGGACATTCAGCGTGGCAGCTAGGTTTGGATCGGTGACGTTCATGGCAATGAGCGGTAAGGTGGAAAAAGTCGTGAAACAGAACTAGCAGTAGATTCGTGCTCGTTGGTTTGCCTTGACCTGCGGCTCTGGCTCCTTGGCTCCTTGGCTCCGAACAGCAATGGCACAGATGTCCAAGCAACTCCTCTGACAGCGGTCTGGCTCGGCCAAGGACGTTGGAAAGCAAATGGCAGAGCGTACACGCTGCGCCGGATTTAAATGCGGTCGTTCGCTGGCTCATCGCATCTGGAAGGGCAGCAGCATACATATTTCGCGCAGAAGTTCATCGCAGACACAAGTTTGGTCGTAATGCTCAGCGATTCCCTCGACAACCGGCCTCATAGCCACGCAAGTGTAACCAATCTACCGATTCACTCCGCACTGTTCGCATGCCGCGAGATGACTTGTACAAGCCGCAGCAGAAGTAGTCCTGAAAGTCAACAACAAAACATATGAATGAAGAATGTCGGATCCGTGAGTCGCCGGCAGGCGGCGGCAAGCCCCGGAATCAGTCGGATTAGTTGGGACTGTAACCGTGGAACAATGGCTGACATGGACAGACACCAATCTGTTCGGAGAGGTGGGTGGGGCTCTTGATAGGCGAAAATATATGTATTCTGTTTGGCCACGCGACCGGCAGCCGAACAATGTCACCGCCTGGGATGAGCCACACGAGCACGATCGAGATGCAACCTGAATCATATGTCTGTATCTCACAGGGAGGAATGCGAGAATCGCTTCCGTGCAGCTGAGGGCATGTTGGGGTACGGTATTGTGGTCACACGCCGTTCGAGCAGTCCTACATGCGACACGAAGCACGGCATATCCCCTGGCAGATCTGTTTGCCTGGGCTGTTTCGACGGATGTGCTTGTCAGGTTTTCCGGGTGGATTGCTCCCTCAAGTAGATGTGGAATTCGCTGAGGCTCCGAACTGCGATTTGGGATTCTCGCGCAATATCCGAAAGCTCGGCATTGTTGGTGACCAAAGCAAAGTGTAGTATATGATCCGAGTCGCTCTCGATTCGCTTGGAGAGTGCCTGGTCTTGGAAATATGCGCAACACTGGAGGATCGACTGTACTTCCTTGGACAACCGGGGCAGCTCGAGGTCCACATCTCTCCAGGGATTGGAGGACTCGTGGCTCTGCTGCAAATGCAGCGAGCTTGTGCGGTACTTGAACCTCTGGTGGCCAACAGACAACATGCGAGTTGAGTTTACCGTGTGCCTTTGTCGCCATTTGCGAAGGGCGTTTTGCCAGTGCAGACGATATGGGCGTGTGGGGCGGCGTATATCTGCAGCGATGCATGTGCCGATTCTGGGGCGTACCTGCTCAAGATATCGGATAGCTTCGCGCGCACGGGCACTGGTGGGCGTCACTCCTTTCTTGGCGCGATCCAGGTAGTCGATGGCTGGTTGCGAGGCGATGAAATCAAATTACAAATTTGTGCCCGTCGTTGAGATGAGTAGAGCAAAGTCAGGGTCAGGAGATGCGTGCAAGATTTTTTGGCAGCGACACAACACGCGAGCGACAAGCACAACGTCTTGGCTGACTCACCCTCAATTGACAGAACGATGATGCAAGACTGCGACATGAGCCATTTCTGCACCGTCTTCAAGTGATACACGAAAACCTCTGCGTCGAGCACGACGACGGGCTTGGAGGCCTTTGCAAGCGCCACCTCCAATACCGAACACTCGAGCTTGAGCCGTTCTGCAGCCATAACCTTCATCAGCTTTTGCAAATCGCGTTTCTGAAACCGACGAACGGGAATCAGCGGTGCCTCAAGCCAAGCCAGTCCAGGCCAAACCAGTCCAAGTCAAGCCAAGAACGGCCAGCATAGGGGGTGTAGGTCTGCGATACCGGGATACCCATCCAGCTGCCTCCGTCCACAGACTCACCTTGGTCGAGTCGTCCATCACAATGAATCTACCCTCGGCCTCGGCATATTTAAAGATGGCATTGCCGTCGTCTTCAGACAGGACCTTGACGACGTTGGCGATTCGGGATACGCGGTTCGCAACACTTTCGGCAAAGCTTCTCAAAGTGCCGCTTCCGGATGGGCAAGCCAGCAGCTTGGCGATCGAAGTCAGATCGAGGTGGTCGTAGAAAGCTCGCAGCGGCGCCAGGCCCAGCAGCTCTTCGTCTTCGGGAAGGGCTTGGGTGCATCCATCCATGTCCACGAAGGCAAGCAGCTGGTTGGTGAGATCTGAGATGGATCGCCCAAAGTCAAAGATATGCTGGGATATGATGATTGAGGATAGCAAGGTCAGGATCGCCGTTGGCGAGGGCTGGCTCCAGACACTGCAATGCCGCGCAATGCAGTGCAATGCAGTGCAGTACAGTTGGCGACAGGGACCCAGCTCACCTTGTTATAGCGCTGTGTCAAAGCAGCGTCACCCAGGGTCTTGGTGTAGTTGAGATACTGGGGGATCAGATGGGGGTTTTGAGCGATCCACATGCAGCCAAGAGCTGCTGGAATCAAAAACTTGAGGACCGGGTCTTCTTCGTCCACAAGCCGAGAGAACCCGTCGATCTGAACCGTATCGTCGGCGCCAAACGATGCCATACGCTCGATAATAAAGCCAAGGGATCGGCTCGTGAGATCGAAGAGAACACCAAGGATCACCGTCTGATAATGGCGTGCCTTTTGCCGGACATTGGACTGGGCTGGAAATGAATGCGTCGAGACAGTTAGTGCCGAGCTTGAGCCATGGATCTCCGACGCTTTGCCGAGCCCATACAATGTGCTCGCAGCATTGGAAGGGAGGGCATTCTGGACGGAATGCCGCCGGGATAAATCAAAGGAAGCTGCCGAGGGGCTGCATTCGTTGTCACGTACTGGTGCCATTGAAGACTTGGTTGAGCTCGTGAACCGAGCAGACAATGATGATGACGCACTGTTGAATAAAGACAGAGGCTGCATCCAGGGCAAGGTCTTGAAGAGCCTCTGCTGCTGTTTCTCCGAAGGCTTCGGCCGCGGCCAGAAGATCGCTGCCCAGAGGAATATTACACCGTGATAAGGAGTCTGGGGAGCTAGCGGAAGTGGGGGACAGATGCGCTGGCTTACCTGAGGCCATGTTGCTGGAAGCCTATCAGACATCGGTGCATGGAAAGAAAGTGCTTTTGGAGGCTGAAAAGCGCTTGTTCTTCACCTCTAATCAGCCATGATCCAGCCGAGGGAGATGGCGATCCAAACAACACCGCAAGGTTGGTGAAATGTTAGTGGTCATAATGCGATTAGCCGAATGGACAGCGCGAATGGGGCTCCACGAGCAGCTTAGCCCATGACACGCATCCGAGGATCTCGATCAGACAGAAGTTGGCGGGAATATGGACAGGCCCGACGACTCCACGGTCAGCGAGGCGAGCGAGAGAACGTACTCCTTCACTGTGGTGGGTCTCCGTCCCAGCATCGTCCGAGGAAAGACAGACTTGTAGTAAGTATTGAGATTTTCCTTGGCGATGCCGTAGGGTGAGTTGTTGGCATTTCTGCGGCACATTTGTGGCAAACGGCAGTTTAGTTCCGTCAGTTCTTTGAACGGGAGGCGCTCGGGAGTGGGAGTAGTGCAACGGTAGCGCAGCCACGAGCATCCAAGAGTCTCGGGGCAGATCAGGATACGCACGCAAGTGAGTAGTAGTAGACGCCTTCGAACTCGGACTGGTTACTCATCGCAATAATGGCGAGCTGGGAAGCAGGTTTGCCTGAGGCGTTCAGGGTTCGAGAGCAGCGGCCGAGGGCGAGCGATTTCAGTAGCGTTAGGACCTCATATTGTGCAGTACGACTGGACAGCGGGAATCGTGGGTGCCCGTTGGAAGCACGAGCATGTACCAACCGTGATGCGGATTGAGCTTCATTGCATGGCGATAGTGTCTCTGCGCAACGCTGCAAAGCTGGCGTGTGTCTGTGCTGAGCATCTCCTCGTATCGGGCTTTTAACGGGGAGGGGCGATGTCAGTATGATGTATCGTGCTTCATATCTTGCAAGCCAGCAATCGGTCCAGAGATACGACAACATGCAACGACTGAGCCAACTGGGCTGGCAAAAATGCTCGATACCTATGTCGCCGAGGTTCATAATGCATCGGTGCACGACCGAAATACGGGCTCGGGCTTCCTTATCGGCCTTGGTCAACTCGCTGCCGGGCTCCAGAAACCTGGCTGTAGTGGGACGCAAGCAACAGCTGAGTCGATCTGCCTTCTGGCCTTGACCCGCTCTTGGCGATGACCCCATGCTGACGAGGCCGCTACTTACCAACGCCAACAGAGGCGCTGTCCTCAAGACCGAGCTCCATGATCAAGATTTTGTAGAACCAGGCTGCTTCTCTGAGGTGCCCAAGGTATGCGCTGCGGACGGATTCTATGTTGTCTGGGCCGAGGTCTCGCTGTCGAGGTCATTCGATTTTGGGGTTAGCGCAAGCTCGTTGAAACAACTGACGCCGCGGGGTCGAGTATCGACAGCCAGTGGCTCAAGGCCCAAACATCCAATGCAAGCATGGGGATTGCAGGACGATCAGCAGCACTACCTTTCGCATCGCATTGCGAAGCACCTCGATCCTCGAGTAGAATCCGAGGTTCCAGATCCTGTCGTTCAGCCCCTTGGATGAAGCTGAGGCTGGATCCGAGGTCACAATATCTTCGTAGATCTCGAGGAGACAGAGCCGTGCCATGCGGATCGGATCGGGCTCGGCTGCGTCGACAACGCCATGTACGATGGACAGGGCGCCATTCTTCTGGTAGTGGTCTTTGAGCTTCTGCTCGTATTCTTTGGATTCCCTGGGTTCGCAGCAGCCAAATGCATGCAGAACGTTGGTGGTCGACGTTGGGAGGAATCGGGACAAGGGGGGAGGAGAAATCCAAGAAATCAATTAGCAGCCGATAACAGAGCAGCAGCCGTCAATCGGCCTGCGGCATCAACCACAGGCCACAAACTCCAGACAGCGGCATATGTTGATGCGCCAGCAGCAGACAGCGACCATCGCCCCGAAGCCGTATCAAGGCTCTCGACTGAACATACTCCCAGAGGCCGTTGAGATGCGCTGAGAGCGATTCTGAGGTCAGCGCCATGAACAGCTATCGATGGCTTGTCAAAGACTCGATCCAGGTTGGGTGTGGTGCGGGTTGAGTGGCAAGCGAGAGTCTGAAGAGCTTGCACAGGGGTCTGTTGACGGATTGAGGACGAAGTCACTGGCGAAACCACTGATGAAACCACAGACAAAGTCACTGACAAAGTCACTGGCGAGCGATCCGCCGCGAAAGAAGCGCTGGAGGCCGCCTGGCGGGAGGCAGAGCAGGTGGGGCGACCGAACGACGATGGCTAAGCTCGGTCGAGGGCGAAGGAGCCGGGTCCGGATATTGATGTGTGTACAAAAGATACGGGGATGGTCAGCAGCATCACTCCGCGCTCGTTGGATAGCCGGTGATGCTCGGAGACGGGATCGGGGGAGGCGGACAGTGCAGCAGGAGCAGCGCCCGGGCGGTGAGATTCGAGAGTGCGAGGCTGGGCAAATGCAGGGCGGACGGCAGCCGGCGATTGCTGGAACGGACAGCGAGGGCAAAATCGATGCAGGAAACGGCGCGACCCCCGACAAACGACCTGCATCTGGCACACTCTCCGCTGCGCCATCGGGCGGTATCGCTCCTGTCGCTTCGGACCCATCGGATGTCCATTGGATGTCCATTGAATGTCCATCGGATGTCCATTGAACGTTCATCGGATGTCCATCGGATGTCGCTTTACAGCGTATCCACTAAAAAACGGGACACCCAGGGTTTTGACCATCGCGCGCTGGCCATGACCATTCGCCACACAACCACTCTCCAGAGGAAAGTATCACTCTCACTCTGCCACACTGCCATCCAGCGAGCAGGTCTCTCACACAAGAGGGCAACACACCTCTACAAGTCCAAGCGACTGGATGAGCGAGTGGCACAGTTCAGGGACCAGGTCCGCTCCATCGACCCACGACGATTCGTTTTTGTCGATGAGACAGGGATCAGGAGATCCATTTTCCCTCTCTACGGATACTCACCGAAGGGTGCTCCGCTTCGCCAGCGCAATCACATGAAACACAAGTCTGTCTCGGCTGCATTTGCCATCAACCACTCTAGTGTGCTGCATCGCATGTACATCCCCACATCATTCAAGACACACTCGATGGTCGAGTTCTTTGAGCGAGCGGCCTTCCCAGACGACTCTGTGATTGTGATGGACAATGTCAGCATGCACAAGACAAGGACTGTCCTGGACTGCATCGAGCGCCGAGGATGGTCAGTGATCTTCACCCCACCTGCCTCGCCCGACTTCAATCCCATCGAGAACTTCTTTGGGGTTGAGTCCCCACCGATTTGGGGTTGAGTTCCTCCAATCAAGCCGCCATTTTCGCGTTCACATCCCTGGCTTGAACCTCTCGGCGATTTTTGAACAGGGTCACTTCCCCAACCAACCCGCAAAGACGGGCTCCTGCTCTCGGGTATAAATGCCACACCTTCGTCCTGCTACTTTCTTCCCTCATCCTCGCCTTGATCTGATCATCGCGCCATTGTACGATAAAAAAGTCTCTGCTCTGACCAGTACCACTGGCAGACATCCAGCATTCTCTGCCCCCATGCCTCCGAAGCGCAAGGGTACCGGTGATGGCCAGCCTCGGCCACCCAGGCCCAAGAAAGCCAAGTCACAGTCGGAGCCTGTCTCTGGTTCGTATTCTGATCCCACGCATGCTTGGTCGTCTGTTGCTCCGTTGCTCACCACCACTGCTTCTGCAGATCCAATGGATGTCGATCCCACCGAGCCTGGTTCATCTACTTCCTCGAGTACTGGCAAGCGATGTCCCAAGTGCGATGGCACCGATCACGAACGTTGCAACACCAACAGGTGTCCCAAATACCGGCCCCTCAAGAGTTCTGTCGTCCCACTCGTGGATGGAAGGTCATCCGCCCCTCAGTTCAGCTGCTTCAAGCAGACGATGGATGGCTGTTGTCTCAATCCCGCTCTCCGCGACAAGATCCAGGCCACCGTCGAGGCCATGACCCAGATCCAGTTCGAGGCATCCAGGCTGCTCAACCTGCACATCCTCCGGTGCATCGAGCAGGATCTTCCCGTCCCCGTCATCTCCAGGGCCACCCCTGCATTCATCCGCCAATGCTTCAAGATCGTCCAGGACGGTGCCCTCTCCTCGACCGGGGACAACGAGAAATACAACGAGCATCTGGTCGCTTCCTTTCGCGACTACCAGACCACTCGGCACGCAGACCTGCCTCCGGCCCCTCGTCTGCCTGATGGTGCTCACAGTCAGCTTCTCACCCTGGCTGTCAACGCCTATGCCACCAACTGCACCACCCACCTCGACCTGGCATACTGGCGACTTCTTCGCCGCTTCTGCGCTGCTGTCTTCCCAGCCAACAAGCATAAGCACGAAGCCATCGAGGCCTGTCTCGAGCTCTTCGAGAAACCAGGGCAGACTCCACCCAAGGCCGATCTCGAGTTCCTCTATCCAGACTTTGGCCACGTCCTGGACGAGTTTCGGTACAGCAACGACCAGGACCGCTTCCGGGCCCTCCATCGCCTCTCACACCATGTGGGAATCCTCGCCCGAGACAAGATGGTCGACAATGTCCACAAGTGGATCGACTGTGACATGCCCGCCCTCCGAGTCACCGAGTTGCAGCGCCAGGCCAAGCTGGACAAGCTTACTGCCCAAGGCATTCTCTCCGACGACAAGAGGTTCACCACGGCCAAGTCTGAGCTCGGCACCACCAAGGCCAAGATCAACAAGCTGGCCGCCAGGATCAACTGGGCTCTCAAGCAGCTCGCCGTCGACACTCCTCCGGCCGTGTGCACGATGGTCCCTCTCTGTACTGCAAGGGCCAAGTATGTCAAGATCGACACGGTCACTCTTTGGCAACTCCTGGGTCCAAAGAAGCGCCTTGTACTCACCCGGGACAAGCTCAAGGAAGAAGGTGAGGACGGTGTCAACAACCAGGATCGTCTCTGGCGCAGTTGCTTCAAGCTGCGTAGTTCCCTCTTCCGTGACCGGGATATCAATCACAAGCTGTTCAACTACGAGATCAGCACCGATGGCATTGGATGCACCATCGGCCTCGTCAAGTTTGTGCCTCGAACCGATCGCACCGAGACCTCCGAGCCTCCTCCGACTGCCGAGCAGCGCATCCAGGCCCACATCGGCAGCTCAGACCCCAACCGTACCACTTAGATTGGCATCGATCCTGGAGTCGGCTCCATCTTCACGGCGGTCATCCAAGCACCGGGCCACCAAGACGAGGTGGTCTCATTCTCCAATGGCCACTACCAGCACATGTGTGGCCATACGTCCAACACCAAGTGGCACAATATCATGAAGTATCGACTCAGCATCGAGACCTGGATGTCGACCACCCCCTCGCCCAAGGTGTCGTCCTCGGAGGCTTTCAAGGTCCATCTCACCCATGTCCTGCGACCGGAGCTGCGAGTGCAGCTCGACTTCCACCTTGGCAAGAAGGCCCGTCACCATCGCTTCACGGGCCACAAGAGGCGCCAAGTGGCCGTCGACAAGATGTGCAAGGCCGTCCTGAAGCACGCCCCGATACGGACCGATGTGGTGATCGCCTTTGGCAATGCGTCATGGCGGCAAGGCAAGGGCTATGCATCCAGCCCTCGGAGGCAGCGGTTTGCTCAGTACTTTGAGCAATTCGAGCACCACCGACGCCGTCCCAATCACCATCATGGAAGCGTCAAGGTAGTCTCGACGAACGAGTTCAACACCTCGCAAGTGTGCTCCAAGTGCCTGGAGCCAGTTCGGTTGGAAGGACTCGATGCGCCCAGTATTGCGAATTCCCACTTTGTCAGGAGCTGCAAGAATCCCAGCTGCCGGACAGTGTGGAATCGCGACGTCAATGCGGCGCGCAACATGATCACAGTATGCAGGTCGATTGTGGAGATCGGAGAGCGACCGGCGGTCTTCACTCGGAGGCTGCCAAAGTGATCTGTTTTATTTCTTGTGGCTTTGCTAGACGCGAGCACAGCACATACTACTGTTCATGGAAACGGCTATCTTGTCCCGTTTTTTTCTGAATAAAGTGTAGGTCTGTCGGGCTCGGCGATGGCCAACCAGGCGGGCGGGCGGCATCCGCTTGGATCAAGGGCGGGTCGAGCCGCCTATTTCCGCAGCCGACAAATCCGGGGTGGTGCTGTTGCCCACCATCACACCAGGCAGTCCATTCCCGAGTCTGCAGATATCCCAGGGGCCTCACAGTGCTCTTGGCATCTTTGGGCATTCCGGTGACCAAGCCAGGTGTTTGTTCTCTCAACCTCGCGGGCGAGGCACGACACAACTCTCTGCCCAGTATCTGCACACCCCGGCGCGGCTCTTGAGCAGGGTCGGCAAGCCTTTCTGCTACTCTCGACTGGACGGCCCTTGCATCGCGATGCTCAACCGGCGGCCGTCGCAGACAGGGGTCAATGCGGCCTCGCAGTCCAGCACGTCTCTGGCGGCTGCCCAACACGCAGCTCCCATTCACCACCCAACCTCGAGTTACTCGTCCAAAGTCGCGTCGTCTCGGTCGTCGTCGCAAGAGTCGCTCTCGGGGCTGCTCAATTCGCACGACGATGGCTCAGGAGCGGAGGAGTCTCCACTGAACATGAACAAAGGCAACAGCGCCTCGCCCTCCAGCTCCGTTTACGGCGACTCGATGCTCAAGGAGCTCATACACGGAGCCTATTCGTAAGCACGGCCGTGGCTGTGGTGTGGGAAAGTGGAGCCAGGGTGCCAAATGCTGCCTCATTCCCGCTATGCCAACGAGACCTGACCGGCTGTAGCGGCTTATCCCCGCGAGCAGACAAAAATACAGGGACCATCAAAAGCGACTGCTCAAGGAGGCTGTGGATCTGCAAAAGATTGCGCATCGAAACGCACGAATCTTTGCCAAGGAGACCGAGAAGCGGCGAAAGTACGCAGTTATCGCAGAGGCAGCCGAAGCGCGGGAGAGGGGGGTCATTCTCTGTTGGATTTGCATCCAGCGGATCAACTTTCCGATTGTCCAAGCATACTTGTCGGACTGACTCTATCACACATGCATCTGACCGTGACAGAGCCGCTATCGAGCAGAAGCGCCGGGAGAAGGAAGAAGAGGTCAAGCTGCACTCGAGCTCAAAGAGCAAGAAAACACATTCGCCGTTCTACCGAGAGATACCCAACCAGTTCCTCGTCCAGCCTCAAGCCAAGCCAAAGCCGCCGTCATCCCATCATGCGCAGCGAAAGAGGCCGGGGCCACATCCCGAGTCAGGTGGATCTCAGAGAACTCTGGTGCAGAAAAACGAGAGCGTTTACAAACGGCCCGACACGGCTTCGAGCCGGGTCGCATGGAGCTCTTCTACCAAAGCCTCGGCTGGCAGGTCATTTGATTCTTCGGACGATGACGACGAAGCAGACGAAGATATGTGGAATTGGAAGAGAACAGCTTCGGCTCGATCTGAGTCTCGGGCGAGTTACAAAACCAGCACCAGCGCGGGATCAGGTAGGTCATCCAGTCACAAGCGAGTAGAGAGCGGAAACGCTTGCGATAGACCCAACACCTTGGTCAAACGGGCTACTGACAACTGACTATCGCATTGCCATTGCCATTGCCATTGCCATTGCCATTGCCATTGCTATTGCCATTGCTATTGCTATTGCTATTGCTATTGCTATTGCCATTCAAGCAAGGAGCCAGGCTTCATTTTTGGGGCTGCACAAAGGCCGCATGGTCCGCATCATGGATGCACAGGCAGTCGAAATCTTTCCCGAAGGCAGTGATTCGCGGCAGCGATCAGAGTAATACCGCTCCTCAAACTCTGCTTCTGGCTCGATGTTTGCTCTGCTTCTAACCACACTCTCTGTTCTGTTTATAATTTCGTTTATATGCTCTCGCTATTCCTCTCGTCCATTATACGATCCATGTTCAGTTCGCAGTCAGAGTCGCGGTCTCCATCGACAGCGCCGTCCAACATCTCCACAAGACCCGCCAGCGGTCGACCCATGTCAGCAAAGCCCGCTTCAGCCCTTTCGGCCGGGTCTTCGTCGACGCTCGGGCGATCGTCGATGGCGCTGCCGCAAAAGCAGGATCCCAACATCATCGATCTCACTCCTGAAAAGTACGAAGAGTTTGGCGAGAACGATCCGTATCCAAAGCGAGTACTTCACCAGCCCTACCTGAAACCTGGCACAGATTCTTGGTTTGCTGGAGGACTCATTCGCGGCGGATCGGCGTCGCCCAGGAGCTTCACGGCGAGCCACAACAATGTCAGACAGAGTGCCAGATCCATGGTCAAGGAGCTGGAACAGGAGGATCTTGCCAAGGCACTGATGAAAGCTGCAGAGGCCGAACGATTCATGCCCGTGAATCTGGAAAAGAGTATCGAATACGTGATGCCGCGTCGAGGGTCGTCGCCCAACTCCAGCGAACCCGATATCCAGGTCGACGACATCAACATGAATGATGCAGATGTTCAAGAGCCCGCCGGTCGCCCGCCCGACGGACTCAAGCCCTCAGTGCTCAGCAAGAGTGTCCGCAATCTCTCGAGCAAATCCAGCGAAGGGCTGATGTCGATGCGCTACAACTCTGTTCGCGACATGAGCCAGCTGAAGCCATCCGTCCTGATGAACCGGATGGCAGTATCATCCGAGCGGCTGATTCCGTCGAAAGTCTCGACCGTTAATTTGTCGGGCGCCACTCGAATGGCCGCAGCAACGACATCGGACTCAAACCGGTCCCTGACGGACTCGCTCGGATCGAATCCAGGTACCACCGACCAGACCAAGAACCCGACCGCATCAGAGCGCCGCCCCACAGGGAGCAGTGATTTGGAGCGCAGCCCTGACTCGGCACGACCAAGTCAATGCTGGGAAAATGAAAGGAGGGCCTCGGTGCTGGAATCTGGCGATACAATTGAAAGGCATGAGCCCGTGGATCCCCTACCACTCAAGGCACCGGCGCCGCAGCCAACACTGGCCAGTGACGCCGAGCCTGTCTCGGAAGTGACGGGAATGGCTCGGGCGGCATCCGCTCCGGCACAGAAGAGTAACTCGAACGCTCTGCTCAAGCTGCCAGCCATCGAACAGGAAACGGCGGGTCTGCTCACATCGCGAGCCCCGCGGTGTAAGAGCGCCCCGGTTGCACGACGCAAGTCCCAGATCCCGGTGTTGCCAACCATCTCCCGACCCGCGATGACATCGGAATATCAAGGCCCCAGATCCTGGAAGCTCGGCGAAGTGCGGAAAGGTAGGCGAATGAGCACTCCTTCTCGGTAATGCACACAGCGATGGTTCTCCGGGCACCGAAGGCGAGTTGTATCTGGAACCTCGAAAGCGACAAAGCTGACTGGCCATTCTCACAACAAACGTCATAACAGACCAGCGGGCACTTGAAATCCAAGTTTATTCGGGATCCTCCATGGTACGGAGAGGCAGATCGCCAGTGGGGACAATCAGCATGTACTCAAAGTACGACCCCATGATGTCGAGCATCGAGTTTGAGGCAGCCGACACAGGCCCGCCTGGCAAAGGACACTCGCCTCAAGCCCCGCGAGGATACGGTCCCAGGCGCGAGGTGTATATCGACAGGATGGCGGCGGCAGTGGGCCCGACGCTGCAGGAAATGAAGCTCATCCAATCCATCGAGTCCCTGAACAAGATACTGTCTGCGAAGATGAACAGAATACCGCTGAAGCTCGAAGGGGCGAGCTAGGGCTGCTCGAGGCTGGTGTTGTGTCTTTGGCATGGTGGTGCCACCCTCACCCCATCTCGTGGCTGGTGCAGTACTCTCAATAACAGCTGTGTGCTGCCCGAGAAACTTTGAATGCTGCCGTTGCGCCTTGCCCAGATGGTGGGCGATGTGGTTGTCAGGGCAATGTGGTTGTACCTGAGCGACACTCTCATCCTGGGTCGGTGGTGTTACAGGCAATCCAATAAAAAACGGGACACCCGGGTTTTGACCATTGATCGAATATTTTGTTACCCAATGTTATCGCGAGCTGGCCATGACCATTCGCCACACATCCGACTTTCGCACCGCCGCATTGCGATGCTACGACCTCATCCATAGCCTGCGTAAGGTTGCCTCCATATTCAGTGTGTCCAAGAGTATCATCCATCGCTGGCACTCCGAGACCAGTATGCAGGTCGATTGTGGAGATCGGAGAGCGACCGGCGGTCTTCACTCGGAGGCTGCCAAAGTGATCTGTTTTATTTCTTGTGGCTTTGCTAGACGCGAGCACAGCACATACTACTGTTCATGGAAACGGCTATATTGTCCCGTTTTTTTCTGAATAAAGTGTAGACTGTATTCAGGGGGAAATGGGACACCATCCATATGGTCAGCGTAGTATGCGATGGCATGCATCTAACTATGCCATGAGAAATATAACAGATCACTTTGGCAGTCTCCGAGTGAACACCACCGATCGCTCTCAAAACGGGGGTGTCCCATTTCATTTTGGAAACGCTGCATGGTGCCTCGCTGTGGTCCCAATCCAGAATGGCCGAACATTCGCGGCCAAAACCAGGACGGCGTCGAGGGCGCCGCCGCCACAACGCCCAAGCGCGGCCGCGGTCTTTGGCTGAGCGGCGCCTCCGCTGAGTCACCGGAGCATATATCAGGCCGCACCATCGCACCCCGCATCGCTCGCAGCATCGCTCTCTGCATCCCTCGTATCGATATCGGCATCATGAGCAGCTTCGAATGGCGACACTGGGCCCGTCTCCAGTCCTACTCCTCTGGATTCAGTGAGTCCTCGGCCGCACGCATGTCCCCTGTCGCTCCGTGGCCCTCAGTCCCCCGTGCCGACTTCGTGCTGACTTTCTCTTGCTCCAGTGATTCTGACAGGCGGCATCATCTCGCTTTGGTATCCCAATCTGATTGTCGCCATCGTGAACATGTAAGCCTTCACCGCACACGCCGATCGAACGACGCAAGCGACAGAGCCGGTTCGGTGCTCCGTTGTCGCCACGCCGGTGTGGCATCGCAAGCTGACGTTGCTCCACGAAATGCAGCTGCCTGGGGCTTATTATCATGGCCTGGGAGCACCCCATTCCGCCCTTCAACAAGCTCGGCTTTGTCAGCTCCAACTACTACCTCCGGGCCGTCTTCTATGCCGGCGTGGTCGCAGCAAGCATGTTCCAGGCGCCGACCATGACTGGCGGATTCTGTCTGGTCTGTGCCGTCTTCACCTATCTGCGGGCAGCGATCAACGGTGAAAAGGTGGGTGGATCTATTGACTTGCTCGAAGCTTCCGACACAAGCGACAGCTCAGAGTCGGCCGTCTGTCAAACTTGCAGCCTTTGAAAAGGCAGTGCAGCTGTGCATAGGCGTTCCTCCTCAGCGGTATTCTACTCAGCCAGACCTGCTCGCTAACCCAACCCACTCCGCATGCTTGATTTAGTGGGAGGCACCAAAGCCCAAAGGCGGCCGGAACGCCAAGGGTAACGGATCCAAGCCTGCTCGCCAGTAACAGCCGTAGCACGTCGTTGGCCACTCGCCTCTCGTCAGCTAGCTCCAGCTGGAGTTGTTGGGGCCGTCTCAATCGTCGACGAGCCAAGCATATTCAGCTTTGACCTCCACGGCCCATCGATGGATGCAAAATGCCATCGACGTCGTTGCTCACTCAAACCACTCAAATCACTCAAATCATCTTTGGCACCAACTGTAATATTTCAACTGGCAAGATATGGACGTCGCACCTCTTCGAAGCGAGGCAATCCCGAGGCCACTCAACCCGACTCTGTATTTTATCGTGAGCTCTGCTGGCTCATATTCACTCACTGCCGCCCCTGGTCGTGTTGCTTCGGCCTGTGGAGAGCCCACGCCCTCGTTGGGTGAACTCGTTCGTGAACACGCTTGGTTGATCTCTGCTTGCAAACCACGATCGCTCGCCCCAGACGACTCTGCCGTGGCTCCACCACAGGCAGCGTCTTCGTTGCTGTCATTGATGAATCGTGTCTCGGATCTGGTGACGACGAGTGCCGTCCATTGCGGGCTGCGGATCAACGTGCAGCATCGCATCGCAGACCGGCGCCACGGGATCCGATGATGGGACAAATGCGAGCTGTGGCAGATTTGATGCATCTGTATTCAGACACCAGAAGCTGGCCACTGTTGATTTGTGCAGGCTACGACACATGGTCCGTCCACTTGTACGCACAGTCGTCGCAATCTATCGATCGATCTCGTCGCCGTCGCACAGCTTGAGAGGCCCAGTCGAGTTTGCCGTCCGGATGCACCTGCAGATCACGACTCGACCTTCATGACATATCCGACGCCTTCCAGAGCGTAATAGCAGTAGTAATTGTTGAAAGGCAGCTCCTTCTTGGATACAACCTTCAGGATCTCTTGCGCCAAGAGCCCACCGACGATCGCGCAAACGGGCATGACTTCCAAGGCAGCCATCCGAGCCCATGTCCTGAACACAAGAGGCATCATGAGCAACTTGACCCGAGATGACTCCGCCACCCTCGGCCACGCAATCCATTAGGCGGGGAATGGCAGAAGCCTTACCGCACATAGTCGTCCGTGAGAAACGAGGAGGGAATCTGGTGCTCCGAGACATAGGCATCTCGCAAGACCCGCATCTCTTTGACGTCTGCATCCGTTTCCTGGGGCAGACGCCCGAACTTGGACTGGAACTTGAGCAGCACTGGGGTGTGCAACGTGGTTGAAGAAACACAGCGGTTACGGACTGGTTAGATCAGTTGCCCGGGCAATGGAACCCCGCTCCCAATTCGACCGCCCACAGAAGTGCGCATCGACTCGAAGCAATACGTACGGTTCCATCCAAAGTACACAGCCGAGGTTCGCTTCAGCTCCTTCTTGGACAGGGCGCCCCACTTCTTTTGCAAGGAGTGCTCCAGGCTCTGATAGGCCTCTGTGTGTTCGCTCCGGGTGACCTTGGCAATCTCGTCCGACTTGGTCGTGATGGACTTGGTTTCGCTGGCATGGGAAGAAATCGGGTCGAGGTTAGAATTGGCATTGCCGAGGTCGGCGGTGGAGGCGTCCCCCCAGAAGCCTGAATCCTCCCAACAGAATTGTCTGACAACGTCGCAAACCGAGCAGAGGCTCGCCGCCAGCGGCTACTGATGTCAGCCCAGCCTTGCATCGACCCGCATTCGCGAACAAGTGCGCGGCGATGCGATGAAACTTACACGGCATATTGATGCTCCTTCAGATCCGTAAAGAAGTATCCGAACATTCCCGAAACGCCGCCGGCCCAGAAGCTGATGTTCTTGTCCCGACAGATCTTATCGAGTCGCAGCTGCAATATCGGCAATCGATGGGTGGCACGAATGAGCCAGCAATTGCGAAAGGAGGGTGTTCACGAGCAAGGCGTATCCGAGTCCGACCCGACCCTTACCATAAGACCCAGGTCCGGAATCGATGTGCAGATGACTCCAAACTGCTCAAAGAAGCTGTCGGCTTGCTCGCTGGCCACGACTTCGAGGACCTCTAGTTCAACTCGGGGATTCAGGTCCCTCAGGCGGGCGAGTACGGCTTGGCCTTTCTGTAAATCCGCCGCAGGAACAGAGAAAAAGAGGGTCGTAAGCACCGAGTTTGGAGCAACCATTCCACTCTTGTGTACAAAGCAAGAACCCTTTCGGATCATGGATGCAGAGCCAGTCCAGGTCTTGATTGCCGAGCAGCGGACAGCCTACATTGCGGCCCAGATCTGACTCGGACAGGAAGAACAGAGAGCCCAGGTCTCTGTCCGTGGCCACTTTGTCCTCGACGATGGTGATCGATCCAAGTCCAGCGAGCGTGAGGTTCTTGCAGATCTCAAGCGTCAGGCCGCACATGCCCAGAACCAGGGCTTTGGTGTTGCGCATCCTGGTTGGGGCAGAGTATTGGTTATGGGGTGGACGGCCGAGCCAGGCGAGCGACGAAGAAAAGGGACACTATGTTAGCCGCAAGCTGCATTCAGTACGGCTGTCTTGCCCAAGGTCGCCAGAAATCTGGCTGTTTCTTGGCTCGCAGCCGCCATGAGCAGAGCAAGCAGAAGGGGGGGGAGCTGGGAAACGCATCCTTGCCTCTGCTGGGCCTCGATACCCCAGAGGCGGATCTGTCGATCATAGAGCTTGGCTTCGTCCACCGAGATTTCCTCCTTGACTCTTTTGGCCGGGGTTTGGGGAGACAAGCTCTCGGCCGTCGAAGCCCGCTTGCGACCCAGCGGCGTCGCTGTTGCTGTCGAGTCGTTGGTATCTCTGCGCTTTTGAGGCGTGCGGCTGCCCTTCTTGGCGGTCATGGCGGCGGTTGCGGTCGAGAGTCGGTCCGTGGTCAGTTGGCCTGGTCTGATCGGTTGGTCTGATCGGTTGGTCTGATCTGCACCGAGCCTCTGGAGGGTTGGCGCTGGGCCGAGGCAAACCGAAGAAGCAGACGCGAGTCACATTTCCGGCTGGAGGCGCATTTGCGCTCGTGCGGCTCATGATTACTGCGCTTCCAATGAAATGAGACTTTCACACGCAGATGGCTTGTGGATCGGTTGATGCGGATCGATCTGGCTGAACAGCTTTGATTGGCACCCGAACTAGGGATATTGCTCTTTGCCCTCCTCATTCCAGGTATGTCTTCTTGCTCCGACCTGCACTGGCTACATCTGCAGCGACTCGCTGGCTCCGTCGTGTCCACTCAGTGCATCTCCCTCGCACAGGGCAATGACTTGACCCACTTGGCCGGGTGTGATATGATCCGACTACGCCGTGCTTGTCCGAATGAGACAATGTGTCCCATTGTTACTTCAACACGGTGTACTGGCACTGCGCTCTGTTCACTCGCTCAAGCCATCTGCACGCTCGGATATCTCGTTCGGGAGGACAAGCCCGGCGATTTGTCTCGGAGGGATCCACGTCTATCATACAACAAGCTTCTACAATCGATGAGAAGGATCAAACACAGAGCTGGAAGGGGAAGGGAAGCAGTAGGAGACGCTATGAGGGCAGCATCCAGCCCGACGCTGTCCAGAAAACTACACAATGCGCTCAAACACAGAGGCCAAGCAGCCAAGGGAATCGACAAAAAGCTGAGCAAGCGAGCTAGGAACCTGGAGGAAGGAGCGGCGGAGAGCAAAACGAGAAGAGATCAAACAACAAAGGAAGCAAGAACAGGGAAGAAAAAGGACAGAGGAATGGAAGGGTTTGACGACGAGGCCAAGGAGGCAACATCGCATTCATACCACAAAGGACAATGGCCGTGCGCAAGTCGCTGGTTCGCTGTGACGGTGACAATGGGACTGGCACTTGGCTCGGGCGGGAAACAGAGTCTTCATCCGCGGCCGCTCTGTCGCTGCTGGGCCGCAATGGTAGCAGCAAGCTCGCGCAGGCTGCCGTCGCTTCGGTTGCGGGCTGACTCGGACAGCCGCTTGGGTATCGCCGAGGCTGGTGCTGCGGACGCCATGTCCTGGCCCTCAAACAGCAATTCCAAGCTCTTGGGCATGGCCGATTTTTTCGGCACACTCAGGTCAGAGCTGGACTGGGACGACGACGACGATGCAACAGATGGCCGTGCATCCAAGTCGCGGAGCGACGAGTCCGACAGCTGCTGGCCCAGCAGGGACGGTGAAGTCGTATCGCTCGCACGACGAGCGTTCGTCTGCACCTTGCTGGTCCGTCGGCTCGCCGACCTGTCATCGGCGTGGGCACGGGCATGTTCCTTCAGCTGGATCACGTCGATGTCGCCCTTTTGCGATACCATGCGGGAGAACTTGCCGCGTGGGTTGTTGAGGAGGTTGATCGGGGTATCGAACTCCACGATTCGGCCGGCATCCATAACCATGATGCGGTCGGATCGGATAACGTTGTGGAACCGGCTGGCGAGCACAATGACCGTCGCATTGGCAAAGTTTTGCTTGATGGTTTCCTCGACGAGGGAGGTGGACTCGGCATCAATTGCATTCGTGGGCTCTGTTGGGGCCAGATGCAGCAATGTCGTGCGTAAGTCTGCTGCGACCCGTGCGAGAAACCACGGGCAGCCCGCGTCCTCGACCCGAGTGCATGATGGCTGGAGCTGCAACCGTATGCCCATGCTCGGAGATGCCGGAAGGCGAGGCCGCAGCACGGTATCCACCTACCGTCAAGAACGACAACGCGGGTGTCCAGCAGAATGGCACGCGCGATACAGAAGAGCTGGCGCTCGGAGACACTGAATGTCTTTCCATTTTCTGCAATCGGGGTATCCAGGCGCTCGGGCATTTCTTGGATCTTGGCACCCAGGTGCACACTCTTCAAGGCGTTCCAGATTGCCTCATCCGTCCGAGAGCCGAACGGATCCAGGTTTGACCGAATGGTGCCAGTCAGGAGGATGGGTTCCTGGGGAATGACGGCGATGCGGCTGCGGAGATCGGCAATTCCGATCGTGGAGATGTTGATGCCATCGATGATAATGTCGCCCTCAGACGCCTCGGCGATGCGCAGGAGAGCAACTAGAAGGGTTGGTCGAGTCGCAAAGAGGGTTGGGCGTTATAATCTAACAGCCGCAATGAGCCGGCGGCTGAACCCGATGCCGATATTCCGTCGCATAAGACGTGGATATGCTGTCGCCGCGCAAGGTGCAAGTGCTCTCATAACAGATTCCGCAATCGCCTTGGGGGGGGGTCAAGGATCGTTCGCCAACTGAGACTGCTCGCTTACCAAGAATGGTCGTCTTTCCGGAGCCGGAGCGGCCAACGATGCTGATTTTCTCGCCAGGCGACAGCCTGAACGAGACATTCTTGAGCACCACGACACCGTACCGGTTATATCGCAGCACCACATTTTTGAACTCGATCTGGATCCACAAGGTTGGGGAACCGAGGGATGATGCAGGTCAGCACTCACAGTCTCCCCGTTGGATCAAGGGTATTTCAGTGAAGCGATGACGAACGCTCTGTGCAGCAAGTCGCTCATCGGGGAGCAAGATCAGGCACATACAGCTCCTTCCTTGGGCCAGCTCGAGGGCGGGCGGTTCGAGGTGATGATCCGCGGGGGCTAAGCGAACAAGTGCGATAGTGCGGGAGGTGTGTCGTGCAAAACAGTTTGCGATGTTAGCCCATAAGCCTGCCTGGTACTGTTCCGTCAGGGCGTTGTGTACATAGCAACGGCCATACCGAGTGCGGAATCTGTTCCTGGAACTTGACAACGGACTCCACGCTCGAGATGCTGGAGTGCACGTCGCTCATGGTCCGCGTGAGCCAGTGCACAAATAGCAGGAGCTGAAGGGCATTCGAAAGCGCCAGGCCGGCCTTGGACGATGGTGTCTCGTAGATGACCAGGAACAACACCGTGACGTAGATGAAGAGGGCGCAGATGATATCGATGTAGAAGGACATCATCGATTTCACTGTGGTATTGTGCACGACATGCCAGTCGTAGCATGGGGGGAGGGTCAGTTGGATTGCGTGCTGCCTATCAATCATGTGAGCGATGGGCACGCAAAACAGCCAGAGCCTACCAAGCATAAGCGAGTAGAGTGCCTTGTGGTCTGCATCGATCAACGTTAGGTTGAACGAGTCGAAGCGATCCCGGGCATTGTAGAGCCGGATGCTGAACAATCCCTCGAGCGTTGCCGACAGATGCGAAAACATAGGTGCCTTGTTGGAAGCTGTGGAGAGAAGAGGTGCCAGGGGCCGGATCAGCGGCTCAGTCTCTCAGAGGTGCTGCGACATACGCCCTGAGCGTAGTCGAGACGGCAACGAGCACGGCAGGAAGAATGGCCAAGCAAAACTGACCTTCCAGATTCTTGAACTTGGTCTCGGCCTCTTGGCAGTACATGTACACTGCCAGGCCGAGGATGAAGTAGAGCGGGAGCGTGGCCCAGAACCACGGGACAACAATCGACACCAAGATGACGGTGCCGATGGGGATGGGCGCAAACGACAGAATCTGCAGCAGCGACTCGGGCAAGATCTCATCGACGACGTAGAGGTGGCGGGCAAAGTGCGACAGGATCTGACCAAGAGGAGTGATGTCGAAGAAAGACATGGGAGCCTGCAGTACCGCCTTTCCAACAGAACCAAGTCGCCCGGGTTAGTAACAGCGGTGCCCGGACCTGCAGCTGAAAGACAGCGGATGTAACTTACTCGAAGCGTCCGGTCGTGCAGCGAGATGCTCTTTTCCATCACGGCCCAGGAGAACCACATGCCGCGGAACAGACCGCCAAAGGCAACGGCTGCAGTAAACACGGCATAGATACCGAGGTAGATGTCCGCGCTGTGGCCCTGTTGGATCTCGTCGACACCGATGCCGATCCACGCATCTGAACAAAGTTGGTCGTGTCAGTATTTGGCGATAACTGCAAAGGCAGCCGGACACAAGTAGGGTCGGGGGGGGGTGACAAACGCAGTTGCACACAAGCTGACACCACCAGCACCCAGCACCCAGCACCCAGCACCCAGCACAGGCACAATAGCCACTCGGCAGGATACGAACCGCTTGCGAACCGGATGGCGTGAACAGCAAAGAACAGCAGCACCAGTGCCACGCCGAGGAGCGTGCCGGAGCCCTCCTCCAGGTAAAGCGCATATGATCCGAGCGGATGGTCGCTGCGAAGGAACTTTCGCCGCGCAATGCCGACCTCCATCAGCGTGTTGGTGCGGAAGTCCAGGTTGAGGACCGAGTGGACGGTCAGCTGGTTGGCGTCGACGGTGCGGGTGACCACGTCCTGGTTGACAAAGTTGACGGGTGGACGGTTCGTGGAGCCCTTGAGGATCGACAGGTTGTCTCGCTCGATCATCATGGTGATGGTGGCTTCGTCGATCTGCGCGCTCTGGATCGACTGGCTGTTGAGGGTTTGGATGGCCTGGATGGTGGCCTGGTTGGCTTCCAGGTTATCTTGGGCCTCGCTGCCCTGGGCCTCGAGATCCTGGGTGATAGGCTCGGCCGTGGCCAGAGGTGAGGAGACATGAGCCACTGCCGAGCCGCGCAGCCGGCTGTTTCCGGCCCGCGGGAACCCGAACCGGCGCGCCTGGAAGGGAGACACTGCCGATTCGTTCGGGTTGATCGAGACCTCCAGATGGGCAAGAGGGCCCTTGGACGAGCTGCGGGACTCGCTGTCCGACACCGGCTCTGGCGGATACGGGGAGACCGGGGAGCCCATCCTCGTGAGGTTATTGAGTTCGATGTTGAGAGGGTCCAGGCGAATCTCGTTCACTGGTGGAAGCCGATGTTATCAGAAGATTGTAACAGGTGGGGCGGGGCAGCGTGTGGTCCCTCAGCGTGCAGTTAAGGTCGCGGGATGTATCCGACAAAAGCAGCGGTGGCAAATTACCCACCCTTTTCGAGAACGCCGTGCGGATCATCTTCGATCGAGTCGGGCTCGACAACCCAGGACGAAAAGTTGACCTTCTTGGCTTTGAGCTCAGCAAAGGAGCCCTGGATGACAACTGAGGAGAGGACACAGGTCCGCGTGAGACAAAGTCAGGCAACGATGGCGACTGCAGGGCTGCTGTTGAGCACCATCCACAACGGCACAGGGCACGAGCGCACCTCGACCGCTCTTCAGGACCAGGATGGTGTCGCAGTCCGGCAAAAACTGCTTCTGCTGAGTGACCATGATCATGGCCTTGGTCTTGAGCAGATTGTTTTTGATCAGTTCCTTGAAGATCCGCTTGGCCATGCTCTGGTCAAAGTCACTAGTGGCAGCAGGCGGAGCGAAATCGACGTGGACGGAGGTCAGCGCGGGTCGACGCACGTCGAGGCCGGGACAGGTGCGCGGACGCGAATGAGTGAAAAGCCGGACAGATACTCCAGTCCGAGTGCGGTGGATGAGCAACGGTGGGAGATTGGCACCTGAGGCAGTCTTCAAGGAAAATGATGTCGGGATCGTGATAAACACAGCGGGCCAGAGAGATGCGCTGCTTCTGGCTGTTCGAGAGGTTCAACTCGGTCGTCAGAGACGTGTCGCCGTTTGAGAGGGCCAGCAGATCGTCCGTCAGGCCACAGAGTCGAATGACATCAACGTATTTCTGCTCGTCCAGATCATGTCCAAAGAGGATGTTGTCGCGGATGCTGGCATTGATGATCCACGGCTCCTGCGGGACATAGCCACATGTACTATCACACGGAGAGCACACCGACGGGCAGAGGCGATTGAGCAAACAGCTGATGTTAGCGAGTAGGGCTACACCGCTGTCGACGCCCGTGTGCCGCGCTGAGTCTCGACAAACTGCATTTCCAGCACCACGTATCCACAGCAAGGGTGGGGTTGAGAGTCGAGCTGAGAAAGCGACAGGCTTGCCGACTGCATGGCACATACCCATAAGTTTCAAAGACGCCATCGGTGAGCTTGATCTGCCGCATCAGTGCCGCCAGTAGGGACTTTCCAGAAGCGAGATCGCCAACGACGGCTATGATTTGACCCCGACGCAGCTCCAGCGTAAGCTCGGAGATGTGAGGATGGTCCAGATCGCCGTCCCAGATGAAAGAGGCGTTGATCTAGTAATGCGACACAGACGGGAGCCCAAGGAGTGAGCCAGCCGATGCGTTTCGAGGTGCCCTCCAAGCACGCCTGGACTGAAACATGGAGCGTCACTGATCCCACGATTCTACGATCCAGTGATGCCATGATCCAGCGATGCCATGACCCAACGCTCATAGGTTCCTGTGTGCTCCCCAATTGGCCCATTGTGCAGCGCTAGACGTCTTACCGCCGAAACGGCGAGGGAGCCAACTTCGTCCGGAATATCGCGATGGACATGAGCTTGTTCCAGGGCAGCCACGTCGATTTCAGGCAGGCTCAGAAAGTCCTCGAGTCGCTTGACGGCAATCTTGGCTGCCGAGAGTGTCTTGACGGCAGTGGGCAGAAGCAGCAGCGGATAGCGCAAAGTGTTGAACAAGCTGAGGAGAGTGAACACGTTCACGCTATCGAATGTCTTCTTGGCGACATAGTAGTAGATCAGCAGGCCCGTGAGGGTCGACAGGAGTGGCGACGAGAAGACAACGACAAAGCTGGTGACTTTGAGCAGCAGAGCCTTCCTCATCAGCCGAAGCTCTTTCTGCCGAGCCTCGATCATGCGCTTCTCATAGTAGCGTTCCCATGCGTAGAACTTGATGAGCTTGATGGTTGTCAGGACTTCGCTCATGAGATGCACACGCTGCGTCATCTGGACCGTGGATTGATACGAAAAATCGGCCACGCGGGTGGCCAGATAGTACTGAATCGGCAGAAATACAAGAATCACGAGCAGGAAGGACGGGATCCCACTCCATCCAATGTCGTCGTACGCAAGACCCACGATGACTGTGATCCAGGAGGGAGTGCGGAGAGGGGATCAGTTTCGAGCACCCATGGAGGATCATGCGTGCCAATGTTGCACGCTCTCCGGCAACCATGCGGAAGAGGCGACCACGGCCGCAACAACGGAAGACCGAGTGATACGAGGCAGCAGTGTGCTCCTCGGGCAACTCGGGATGCGAACGGAACAGCATCTCGGACCGGCTGTGCCCGACACTCACTGAGCGACTCCAGGATGGCGGACCACAGCGCATTCCAAAAAATCGATGCCTCTGCGATGCGGTTGCATTCGATCGAGATCAGATTGACCACATCTCCGATCCCACCCTTGACATAGCTGAGCTTGAGGGACTTGCGATACACCATGACCATGAGTGCAGCACGAATCTATGGTCGTGACGGGTGAGTGGGTTGGAGGACACAGTCCAGCAGTCACGCAAGAGTAAGTTGGACATGCGTGGTCGCCAGAAGCATATGCCGACCAATCAAAGTCACACACAAACAATTGCCTACCTTCACGCCGATGCTGGTGCAGTGGATCGTAAGCTGGTGGAAGCACACGGCCGAAAGCGATGCACTCAGGAGCAAGCCGAGGGCGAGCAGGTGGCCCTTGAGCGGATCGCGGTCGCTCTTTCCCTGGCCGTCCTGGTTCCAGATGAGGATCCACTTGAGCAGATAGTACGATCCAAGCCACGTGAATATCGCCCATCCAACCTTCCACAGCGAGAGCAAGGCATACTGGCGACCAAAGGCCTTGATCAGGGCCATGACGAGCGAGGGTTTTCTGTGGGATACGAGAGAAACAGGAGTTCAGAGTATGGACGAAGATGTACACGGAGAGAGCGAAAGCGACTGAAAGAGAGTGCGTCCGGGAGCCTCCAGTATACGCCGCGAGGGTGTAGACATATGCGGCTGCTGTGTGGCTACAGCCGACATCCAGGGCCTCGCTTTGCCAGACAGATTTGTATGGGTCGTCGCAGGCGCCGTCGCAGTTGTGCTGGTGTCTCATGCCACTGCTGCCTCATTGATGCGCAATCTCTCCAGAGCGGTCGAGCTGGCCGGTCGCATGCAGGTTGAAACACAGCGATGCCCAGTGCAGGCCCCCGAATGATGATGCTAGGTGCTGGTGAATCTGCCAGGTCGAAAATGCCACAGATACAGTGCCGGCAGCGCGGTCGCATCCGAGCCAGATGCACTGTCTGTCGGGGAGTCCGGACATGAAATCGAATACTGCGGGGCCGAAAGCGGTCGGCTTGATAGAGTGTTGTCCACAAACCACCCCGCGACTTGAGGGCACTGCCAATCACAGCGCTCGCAGCCCATGGTACGATATGCAGATCGCGCCGGAGGCTGTCTGCTCTGTTGATCGCGGAATATCACCGACCGACCTCGTCGAGCGAGTATCTGGCCGCCGAGACAGCACCGAGACCACCCGACATCCACAGAAACAAGCCGCCACCAGCAGTTCCGATAGCATATCGGCTCGGCCATACCAGCCACTGCCTTGGCGACGGCAGCGGAGGCTAGGACCGACAAAAATAGCAAGGATGCACCGAGCTATACAGAGTCCGAATCAGCGACAAACATCCAGGAGACTTACGAGCTGGGCGACCGAGGACTCTGGGCTGCTGCAAGCTGGTCTTCCCAGACGGCCTCGAGGGCATCGCCATTGAGGCGAGCCGTCTCTTGCTGCCGAAGGCCGAGGCTCACGTTGCGGATGTCTCTGGCTGCTCGGGCAAGCTGCACGAGTTGGAAAATCCAAAAGAAGAACAGTCGCGAAAATACGTTGGCCGGGGCAAGAATGAACTTCTTCTTCCGCTTCCGCCTGGAGCTTCGCTTGGATCGCGGGGGTTCGCTCTCCTGGCTGCTGTCGGCCGGAAGGCCAGGGTCACGGTCAACGTGCTGAGGATCGAGGGCCTCGGGTACCAGCTCTTGTTGCGAGTTGGAGCTCGAGGCGGCTGATCCGTCGGCCGAGCAAGTCTGGGCTTGGTCGATGAGGGGCTCCTGCGAAGCGCGCATGGAGGAGGACGGAGAAGACGACGACGACGGCGGCGAAGGTGAAGGCTGGGCACTGTGGTTCGGAAGGATTATATCGGAAGAGCTCGACATCTCCTTTATGCTGAGGTGGGGGCGCAGAGTAGTCCTGAGAGCCAATCCGGAACGATCGAAAGCGTACACGGATGTCGAAGGGCGATGAGACGCAGACGCTGTGGACAGACCGAGGGATCAAATTCGGCGGCGGCGTCCTCTGCAGAGGCGGTCGGGGCGAGGAAGAGCGGGAGGCAATTCGATGCCGGTTCTGATGTCGATTCCGGTGTCGATGTCGGCGTCGGTGTCGGTGTCGGTGCGGGTGTTGCTGTTGGTGTTGGTGCCAGCGTCAAAGCCGTGCAGGTTGGTCTGGGTTCGAGAGGGGAGAGCCAAAGGGACCTCGAGCGAGAACGGAGCGAGATGCCCTGGGCGGCTCTCGGTGGCTCTCGCTCGCCCTCGGTGTCCAGACAGCCTTTCTGTGGCCAGCCGCGATACACCCCTAAACTGGCGGTGGCGCCCGAGGCAATAACAGAGTGGGCATCCGCCAACTGTCGCTGCTGTCGCTGCTGGCTGGACACATTGTCAACGGCGCGCGTCGGCGGCTGGTCATGCTGATGATGTTCGGCTGCAGCCTGGTCCTCCGTATCATGAGAAGAGGCAGCGACGGCAGCATCGGATGGTGTCGCGAAAGCCAGACAGATCAGGCGGCCATGGAGGCGTCTTGACATGGCCTTCCTTGGTTTGGTGTCTTGACATGGCCTTGGTGCATCGGCGTGGCGGGTTGTCGGGATGGATGCCACGTGATCGGACGGCGACCAACCAGCTTTCGCGCCCGCGCAGCCAGGGGCGTGCGCAGTCTGTCCGACAGTGGGGATGGTGGCACGCGGATGCGCTCAGCCAGGGCGTCACAACAGAAACTGAGCGACCGGCGCGCGTGTGCCTCGTGGGGAAGGGTGGCGGCCGCGTCGGCCCCACCCGCCGCGAATGCCACTTGCGACCCCAGGTCAAGCACCAGCACCGCCGGCATCGGCATTCCGCGCCGCTGCAGGCTCCAGCCATCCCAGCCCCGTCAGCGACCGCCAGTATCGACAACCAGCGCTGTCGCACAACCAGCGTCTGCACCGCCCTGACCAAGCAGCCGGCCCTGTCCCGTCCATTTTGCCGTTTTCGCTGTCTCCCGGCAACAAGGGTCTGCAACAAGGCGCGCCTGGCACTCACAGGCGGCGTGTGGCGCTGAGCCCGTTGCTGTCGGTGCCTGGTTTCCTGCAACCCGACTCGGACAAGACGCGCACGCGGCACTGCTGATTGGACAGGCGCGGTGCGACGGGCTGCGGATAATCCAAGCACAGCAACAGTCGCTGTGTGCTGCACCGCAACACAGCGGAATTTCATTTGGTGACAACGCAACGCATTGCATGTCACAACGACACACAACACCACAACCACACACAACCACACAGACACACAACCACACAGACACACAACCACACAGACACACAACCACACAGACACACAACCACACAACCACACAACACCACACAATACACATTCGCACAGCCGCCCCAACACAACCTCCTTTCGACCAGCCCGGGCTTTGCCGTCTCGCTCTTCCTCTGGTCCTATGCCGGTTGCTGCCCACGAATCTGCTTGCACATTTGACATCCTGGCGTGCTGATCGTCGATCATCGCACTCGGGCTCGTCCATCCATCCGTCAGCATCCACTCGGCCTCTGTCCATCCATCGATCGGTGCCTGTTCTCATCCACCCGCCTGCATATTTCATCCACCCGATTTCCGCCTGGCTGTCCCCCCCCCCAGTTCGCGCCTCGACATCCAGCACACACATCCACATCCACATCCACATCCACATCCACCCTCGAGACCCGGCGACGTGAGCTTCGCGGCAGAATGGAAGCAAAGTCGCTGCAGGTCACCACCAAGGAAGGCTATGCCGACCTGCTCCGCACCCTGATCCACCACCACCAGACCCAGCTGGCCGTCACAGCCTCTGGCAAGAGACGATCGACCGGTCTGCCAACACCCTCGATCTCCAGTGACTCGAGCGGGGACACCGACACCGATCCCGACAGCGCAGGTCCCGCCCGCAAGCGCTCGCACTCGCTGCTGCGTGCGGCAGCCCCCACCCACGCTTCGTACAGCTTCACCGGCATCGCACCGGGGCTGAATCCCGTCCATCTGGCCGCCTCGATTCAGCCAGGTACCACGGCGCAGTGGCCCGGCTGGCTCCCTGGCTCCAGCCCGTATGAACTGCCGCTGGATTACGAGCGCATTTGTGTCGATAACTTCTTCAACGTAGGTGTCGCAAATCTCTGATGGCGTTCTTGTGGTTGGGGCAGCGCTGCCGGGGCCGTCGAGTGCGAGATGCTTCTATGTCGGCCGCTGATTGTTTCTTGCCACGCTCGCACCATTTGCTCGCAAAACCTCTCTGGCATCGCTGGAATGGCTGCTGCCTGGGGCTGCAGTACATCTCCATCCGACATTTTCCGTGCGCCCTCCTTCGGCCCATGGCCTTTGAAGAGCTTCAGCTGCTTCCAGAGTACCTTCGCTCCATCGTGATTGCCCTTGGCCTCTGGGGCAGCTCCATCCAGTTCATCCGTGGCCGGTCGGTGCTGTCGAGCGCCTCATTGAACTATCGCACGTACTACTACGAGCGATGTCGGTGCCTGGCCCTCAAAATCCTCGACGAGCCGTCACTGGAACTGCTCCAGACCCTGATCCTGATGTCGCACTACACTCTGCGTAAGTGTCTGTTGATCCAGCTCTGTTGATGCAGTTCTGTCGATCCCGTCCATGAAACAAGCCCGTTCTCGGCCCCACTTGAGCGGGAGCGGTGCCAACATCGACATTGATGGCTTTGGCTGTGATGACGTTGCTTCTGTGTCTCGTTGGGCATCAAATGCGAGTTGCTGACTTGTTCGCTCACCGGTGCTTCAATGACGGTGCTCTGGCTGACATGAATTGCACATTCCCATGCACATTCCCATGCACATTCCCATGCACACTCCCAATGCGCATCCACATGCACATTCCCATGCGACCATGTGAACGCCGGCGTCCTTGGCTTGGTAGTCATCAGCAATAGTAAGTTTTTGCTCGCTCCTCCTCCAACACTGCCCTCGGTCAACACAGCACCCGGCAACAGTGCTTGTGCTGTTATCCGCATGTACTCTCCACAAGCGACATCCTCCACACCGGGTGCTCACTGATGCCATCAAATGCTCTGCCCTCCAGTCAAATCGTCGCTCAAGTACTTGGACTTTGCGATAAGAATGGTCAAGCAGCTGCGGGTCCATGTGCAGGCACGGATCGGACCCGGCGAGAGCCTGCCTTGGCACCTGGTCGAGATGCGCCGCCGTGTCTCATACCACTTTGTGCTGCTGGGGTACAAGCTCCAAAACTACGCCCGTGAGCTCTATCAGCTTGCCGACGATCACTCCAGGGCCATCGCCGGGGCGGAGCCCTCGCTCGAGAACCTGTGGAACAACAGCGCCGTCGAAAGCGCAACTCTGGATCGCACCCTCTACGTCGACACGGTTGTGCCCCGCTTCTTCTCGTACAACATGTATCTGCATCGTATCTACCACTCCGGATACAGGTACCTGGCTATCTACAACGATGGCCCGCCGGAGGGATCGCCGTCCATGTACGAGCAGCTAGCCCTCGTCGAGGAATACAAGGCCTGGAAGGAGGAAAAGCTGACCGAGCTGTGGTCCTGGTATGCGGGGCTGCCGATCTGGCTCAAGAGCGTTGCCGACCTCAAGGACGGCCGTGACCTGCCACTTGGCGTCAAGATCATGGATGTGATTCTGCTGAACATTATGTTCTACTGCTGTCTGAACATGGTGTACTACCCTGCAATGATTCAAGGTGGGTTGCTGCTGGCTTTGTTCTTGCAGGTGGAGGGCCGGCACTGGCACGCCATGTGTCATCCGCAACATCTCTAACGCCGGCTACATCTTTGTAGAGCTCTGGGACTATCCTGACGCGCCTCTGACCGAGCTACCCAACTACCAGTCCTGCGTCGCCTACCAAAAGCACATCACCAACCTGATGATCTTGTCGTGTGCGGTAGATCCGCTGCTGCAGTCCCTGAACTTGTTCATCACCTTTGGCTTGTTCCTGAGCAGCACACACGTAAGCATTAGCATCGGCTATTGGAAGCGAGAGAGGGAGTTGAGCGATCGGGTCGAGTTACCCCGGGTTACCCCGGGTTGCCTCAGGCTGCCTCAGGTTGCCTCAGATCGGCTTGGCTCAGGCTGAGAGAGAGAGAAACGCCCTTCGTCCTCAGTCTGATCGGGGTGACTGAGCCACATCCGGTTGGCATGTTGCAGTGCCAATTCCCCCTCAGCCTTGCTAACGCGCCTCCTCCGTCGGAACCCCCCCCCAGACCTATCGGATCTATCTGTTGGCTGATCCCCGATCAAGCATTCGGGAGGTCATTGGATTGGAAATCGAGCAAGTCCGTGTCGTACACAGGGACGGCGAGGCAGAAGAGGGCAAGTGGCATGGGTGGGAGTTCACTCAAGGACAGAAGCTCCAGGATCTGCCGCACCCGGTGCTGCGATACCTGAACCGCGACAGCATGGTTCTGCGCGAGGATATCCACATCTGGGCCGACTACTTCAATGCTGCTGTCTTCAAGCAACTGGTCCGGATACCCAAGGAGCTCGATCTGCCCCGCCAGTGCGCCATGGCCCGCAGCTACCGCGAGATCGGGGCCAGGTTCTACCATATCGCCCTGGGACCGTGGGTCCCGCCGTCGTATCTGTGAGCCAGCGACAATACACTCTGACGCCGCCTTGCTGGCTGTGGCATTGCCTTTTTTTCGCCGTATCGCCCTTGCCTCGGACAGCTGCGGAACATGCCGCGCAACCGGGTGCTGGGAGCGAGTGCCTGTGTGCGGATGTGCGTGCAGAGAGCGAGCCCCCGCTGTGCAGAGCCCCCAGCAAGCCATTTTGCAAGGAAAAAAACACTCCGGCGACATCATCGTGAGTCACGGCGATAACGAGCGGATTGTCTCTTGGCGGGTCTCGCTGGCCGAGGAGGGTCCTCGGTGCGCTCTCGGCGCGCTCTCGTTGGCTGCAAAGGCTTGTCCTGGCCGTCTCGCTCCTCGGTTCGCGGCATATATCAGCGCTGCCCTCACCCCGGCTCTGCGGAACCCACCCCTGTCTCTGACTCGGATTGCTTCTGCATCTCTGCCTTGGATCTGCCTTGGATCTGCCTTGGATCTGCCTTGGATTTGCCTTGGATCTATTTATCTTGGATCTATCTGTCCGGGATCTATCTGTCTTGGACACCTTGGACCTATCTATCTCGGATCTGCTCTTCGCCTGATCATCTCTGGATTTGATTTTACCCATCCATCTGCCTTCTCGCTGCTGCGATATCCACCGCTTCCACCACTTCATCCATTCCTGTCCGGCTCCGTATCCCCCTCCTTCGTCTCGCACCCCCCCCCGCGCCATGTCTCAAAGCAACACCACCGCCCAGGACTGGGAGATCGAGTCTTTCGGTCCTGCCCAGATTCCTAACCCGTGCCCCTGCGTCTCCTATGTCGAGGATGATGTCTGTCTGCTTCTCGACCCTCGGATCCACACCCACCACACCGAGTCCCGCTCCCCCGACATCGCGTAAGTGATACCACACCAGCACCGCATGGGTGTGCGCCAAGGCCGCTTCGCTGCATCGACCCCCTGCTGCCTCCTCCAAGCCTGAGACCTGCTTGTCGGACTCTCCGAGCAGCAGCCATGATGAGCAGTCTCTGGCCTCCAAATACTGACCTCCGCCGTCCTCGCAAACCCGCTTTCCAACAGCACCATCCCTACCTGCATCGAGCGTGCTGGTCCCCGCAAAGAAATCTTCTTCAACCCCAAGGAAGTCGTCGCTGGTGTTGTGGTAAGACTCTGCCTCCGTTCGTGAGAACTGCGTTGGTGGGCAGCACGAGGTCCGCCGCATCCACAACCAGGAACCGCTGGAATGTGCAATTGCGCCTCCAACAAGCCTCTCGCTGTGTCGCTTTGGAAGCATGCCATCGCCAGCCCACCAATCTGGCGTGTGTATCCTCTGCATTGTGCTGAACCTACTATCCTTCCCATCGCCGTGACGACTCGTCGGCGACGACATCTCTCGGTGCATCACGGCAATCGTTCCACTGGCAGACCTGCGGTGGTCTGTGTCCGGCCCTGAACAACGTCATCCGTGCTGTCGTCAACTGTCTGCACTTCCGTTATGGCGTCAAGAAGGTCATTGGCTTCCGCTACGGCTTTGAAGGCCTGATTCCGGAGACCTCGGTAAGCCGTCCGCCCCCCTTTCACATGTTTTGATGCCAGCCCTCGCTTCGGCACAAGCGGGCACAATCCTTTGTATCGCTCGGGCCTGTATCTAACCCATATCCCTTGTCTCTGTTGCTCACGCCACGTTACACTCAACCGGCCAGTCTATCATCGAGCTCACTCCCTTCGTCGTCAGAGACATCCACCAATTCGGCGGATCGATTCTGGGCTCGTCGCGTGGCCCTCAGGATATTGGCAAGATGGTCGACTATCTTGTCAGCCTCGGCGTCAACGTCCTCTTCACTCTCGGTGGAGACGGAACCCAGCGTGGCTCTAGGGCCATTGCCAACGAAATCCACCGACGCGGCCTCCACATTTCGGTCGTGGGTGTCCCCAAGGTGAGCAGGGTCGATATGCAGGGTCGATATGCAGGGTGGCTTCAACCACTACCGAGCCGTCAAAGGCGAATAGGATGTGGCATCGAGAGCACCCGGATCTTGATTGCATCATCCGCCTCGGCCGTATAGTACTTTGCCGCCCCCAAGCCCACACTTCTCACCCCCCCCCACTGCTTCGATTCCTAGACCATCGACAACGATATTTCGTACGTCGAGCGAACTTTTGGATTCGAGACTGCTGTCGAAATGGCCCAGGCTTCGATCATCGCCGCCCACGAAGAAGCCCGCAGTGCCCGCAATGGTATCGGAATCGTCAAGCTCATGGGCCGCGAGTCGGGCTTTATCGCTCTTCAAGCTTCGCTGGCTTCGGGCGACGTCAATCTGCTGCTCCTCCCCGAGATGTCGTTTTCGATGGACGCCATCGTGCGCTTTGTCCTCGAGCGCTTCACCGAGCGGAGCCACTGCGTGATTGTGGTCTCGGAAGGCGCTGGCCAGGAGCTGTGCGCCCCCGCCAGCGGCCTTGGCAAGGACATTTCAGGCAACCACATCTTTGCCGACATTGGCCAGTGGCTCAAGAAAGAGCTCGGCAACCGACTCAAGCAGCTGGACGTCGAGGTAGGAGACGAGGACAATCGCGCTGTCGAGAGCTGGGGCTGGGGCTGTGAATGCGCAAGTTTGCAAGCGTCGGCGGGCTGTGCTTGGCATACCATCGGTTGACTCACCATCCCTCTGCCTTTCCATCACCCGCCTCACAGCACACCATCAAGTACATTGATCCCTCCTACGCCATCCGCTCGGCCGTTGCCATCTCCTCGGACGCCGTCTTTGCCCTCCAGCTCGGACAGATGGCTGTCCATGCAGCCATGGCCGGCCGAACCAACATGATTGTTGGATGCCTGCATAACCAGTTTGTCCACGTCCCGATCTCCAAGGCCACCGCCTTCCGCAAGAAGGTCGACATCAAGGGCGCAGCCTTCCAGAGCTTCCTGGACTCGTCGGGCATGCCTGTCGACCTCGTCCAAGCCCACTTGGGTCCCCCTGTCGCCTCGCCCAGACGAACCCCGACCCCTGCGGTGGACGTTCCTCGAGCGGTGGTCTAAATTCTGCGCCTCGGTCCTGGGCGCACGATCCCACCACGCTATCAATATGCGACGGCCTAATCCCGCACGACATAGTTTGCTGATTCTTGGACAGGCTCTCAAAGACCCTTCAATCCACACACAGATACTCTTCTTCCCTCACTCACTGACTTGCTTGACTTTGTCCAATCCTTTCTTCTTCTTTTCTTTCATCTTTGCTATCTCTCTCCTCCGCACTGTGTAATTCCGGGCCATTGATGACTCTACGGCCTAAGACATACATCGCAACAATACAGCGTATACAGCGTATACAGCGTTCACAATCCAAAGCAAAAGACCATGTCTCTGTAGCTGCGTAGGGGGCGAGGGTGTGCACATCTATCATTCAAGGGCCGCGCATCCAGTACCAGAGGATCTGCGAGAACCTCCAGAAACCGGCGGAAAGAACGCAAGATTTGCAGGATCTTCAGTGTACGCCTACTCTATTCAGAAAGAACAGGACACCCCCACGATCCGTGTTTCAGCGTAGCATGAGATGACCTGCGTCCAACAAAGTCACATGCAATAAATCAGATCACCTCGGCCGCCTCCAAGTGAAGGCCATGGGTCGCTCTCCGGTCTCCACAATCGAGCCGCACACATCAGTGTGCCTCGGGGCGTGCGTCAGGACGGCCTTGCACATCTTGTCGACGGCCGCTCGGCGCTCGATGTAGTCCTGGATAGCATTTGTCTTGTGTATGCTGGCACTGCCCATCACAAACGGTGTCGTCTGGGAATGACGCTCGCTCGAAGTGCCCCACCACTGTGTGTGTTTTGGATGGTGTGCGGCGAAAGATCATGGCCAGTGCGGATTGGTCTCGGGTGACAACGAAATCCATCAGTGCTCGTAATCTGGGGTGTCCCGTTTATTATTGGTTCGCCTGTATTTGAGCCGACCTGGACGGTTACAACAGCTCACAACTCGCTTCGGTCGCTGTGGCCCGAATCGCCGCCCCCACAGACAACCGGGGTCTGGACCTTCATTTCATACTCGCACTTGGAAGGCTCCGTAACGGCCACAATGGTGTTGTCGGGGCCGCATTCGAGTTTGACCTGAGAGGCAAGGGCGTCGAGGACAGAAAAGGGTTGTGGTGTGTTTGAGATATCGCGGGATGGAAACGAAGGGAGAGTCCGGACGATTTGAAATCCGACGCTCTGCAATATCGATATCGATATCGATATCGGAATCTCATCCCCCGATCGTCCGAGGACCTGGGCTCGCTTCTGCGTCCTGCTCGCTGCTCTTGGTAGCGACTCGGTCTTACCTCAACGGATCGGGCAGGACCATTCCAACACGTTTCGCCGTTCTCATACATCATGCTCGAGTAGGCTCCGGCAGCAGTGTCCGAGGGCTTTCGGCCGCCCCAGCGCGTGAATTTGCTATCGATCGCGGTCGAGATGGCGAAAGTAGGGCAAACGAATGCAGCCACACAGACGGATGTGGATGTCAGTAAGTGGCCTGGAGCTACAGCATTGGCCGCACCTGAAGCGATGCAACCATGGGCGAGATCGCAAGTGCTGGTGCCGATGGAGTCACTCACCCGAGATTGACAAAGCTGCCTCCGTTCTTGCTCTTCTGCGTGACCTTCTCCAAGTAGCACAGCTCGTAGGTGTATCTGGGCATCCGATATGTGTCTTAGTGAGTGACTGGCTGTTGCAGTGCTCCCGACCCCCATTCTTCAGTGTGCCACCACCCTTGATTGCGGCGAGCATGCAACTTACTCGTGGCTATCTATCGAAAAGCACTTGCCGTAGAGAGACTCCCAAATGCGCTCGCTGCCACCCATATCCAGCTCGTTTCTGGTGTGGACGTCCTTGATCTTGTTTTCGACCTCGCTGCGCTTGCGCTCCACCTCCCACAGCTGGCTCTGTGCCTTGGACGGGTCTCGGGCCAGGTCGCGATCATCCTCCGAGAAGCTCACCAGCCGCTTCGGAAGCAATTTTGCCCAGCCTTGCCAGTTGATTGTTCCATCGACGGCTTGGACGAGACTCTGCTTCGTCACAGAGGCGGAGTGCCAGAGGCAGGCCGAGAAGCCGACTTCGGGGTTGCTGCACGGATCCTCTGTTGCTACGCTCGCGCCGCTGTCGTCGCTGTCCACGGCAGCCACATCCTCGGGGCTCGAGCTGTCCTCTTCGACAACTTCTGGCGCCTCGGTTGCAGATCGGACGCGCTCAAGGACCTTGACGATCCCCTCGCTGGTTTGGGCCTCGTCGCCCTCAATCGACTCGAGTTGGCCTTGAATGTCATGCAGAGCTTGCTCCAGATCGAGAATGCGCTGGCGGAGCGAGCCTTCTCGGATTTCACATTTGGAGAGCTTGGAGGGGCACTCGCGTCGACTCTGACGCTCACTGACCTCGGATTCGACTTGCTTGTTGTACTTTTCGAATGCATCAGCGTTTTCTTTGAGATCTAAGTGGGTTTAGGGCAAGACGCCGTCGACCATGTCAGACTAGTCATCAATGCATCTGCAGGACGCCTTGGCCGATAAGGCTACATCTCTCCCTGGGCAAGGCTGTCGAGCAACATTGCACAAACTGCAGAGGCTTGCGATGCTGATGGCGACGGCACGAGCGGGTCCGGCAGAGCACATACTCTTGAGGACATCGATGCGGGCAGTCAGCGACTGGAGCTCGGCTTCGTAGTTAGCAAGATCCACCTTGCGCTGTTTCTGGATGGTCTGGGCCTCGCGCACATACTGCTCCCTCAGTTTGGCAGCCTGGAAAGGGCGAACAGATCAGTCGTCGCCTCACAAGAGTGCACAAGAGTACACAAGAGTAGCTCACTGCCGCCGGCAGAGAGATTGTCGGCAGCCCGAGATGAGAAGTCTGTCTCGACCATCGTGTGATCCGGACATCAGACGACTCAAAGCTGGCCAAAAGCCCAGAGGTAAGAAAGGATGGTGAAAACGGCGTACCTTCTGGCGGACCTTGTTTTCTTCGGCTTGCTTCTTCTTCAGCTGGGCTTGCAGTTCCTTGCAGCTGTTGGTGCACTTGATGATCTGGCCCCACTCGTCCGAGCCGTCGCAGCAGTCTGCCACAATGAGAGCCCACGGATGCAGTGCAGTGCGCATACGAGAGAGCCTGCGATTAGCTGTCGGCGACGTGGTCGCAGCGTTTTCGCCAAACAAAGACGACTAAGTGTCGACATGTGCTTCGTCCATCCGATCCAGTCCGGGCTCCTCAGGCCAAACGTACCGCAGACGCCGTCGTTGACTCGGGAGCTCGAGAGGGTCACGCCGATATGCCCTTCGTTCCTGCAGTAAAAGTGGCCGCCGTCGCAAGCCGAAGTTCCTGGAGCACCCCGGCCCCCAAGTGTTGCTGGATCAGTACGAGATCCGATGGCAGCGATGCGGTGCCTAGCATAAGCCTCTGCGTCGACACGGCTCTCGGCTCTCGGCTCTGGGATCGTTGCAGACCCCGGCCGGCAGCGAGCAACAACTCCAAACCTGGTTCGTCCGAGCCATCGGGGCAGTCGCAGTAGTCGTCATTGACCAAGCTGAAAGCAATGGACTTGGACCCATCTAGACACTGGAAGAGGCCCGAGCCCGAGTCCACATAGCTGGATTGCTCTGCACGGCGTTGGATCCAGTTCAGCCGGTCGGAGCGAACCAGAGACAGGGAGGGGGCGAGGCAGTAATGGACGAAGCGGGATTATTGTCAGTGCAATCCGCATGTATCGAAGCCCAGGCAGGTGGTGGATCGCATGCCGAGTAGGAAATAGCTGGCTGTAAGGGACCAGCGCGGAGCAGAGATACTGACGCTCTGGCGAGACTCCGTAGAGCGAGTCGATGGCGCTGGCAGCAGTCGATGGGCTTGTCAGCGAGAGCAGCTGGACAGCAGTCAGCGAGGCTGTTGCGAACAGCGATCGGGTAGTGAGCATGGCAACAAGATCCGATGCAGCGGTCAAGCAGAGTTTGCCGGATGTGGACAGAGGTGGTTTGGATGGAAACCCTGGGCAGATGGGAGGCAGAAGAGCAGCGGGCGTTTCGGGACTCGCGGCTGCAGAAATCTCCCCCCCCCCGGACGATTCGGTGCGCACTCCACGGACCGGCCCTTCTCTGCGAGTGATTGAACTTTTCTCGGGACAGTACCCATCGTATAGCTAGTGCAAGGCCACATACGGCCGGCATGCGAGCTGCTGGGTCTCATGAGCGACGAGAACGACGCTCCCGCTCTCGACTTGGGCTTCGATGTCGTCTGGCTCTGTCTCTGCTGTCTCGACGATCTGTGCTTCTGTCTCGACGATCCTTGCTTCTGTCTCGACGATCCTTGCTTCTGTCTCGACGATCTGTGCTTCTGTCTCGACGATTCCTATCGCTGCCATAGAGGTAATGATGGCGATGTCGCGGATCGTCGTGCTCGGATCTGTTGGTATATCCCAGACTGTGGTCTCTCCCAGACCGGCCACTGGATTCGGTTGCTTGAGACCGGCGTTGGTCGTAATCCCTCTGGTTTGGCTGCCGTGGGTGGTAGCTTGCGCCCTGGAGGTCGGTGCTCTGCTGTCGATCGTTTGAATGGCCCTTGGACCGGCGAATGGCATGCTCTCTCCAGCAATCATCGTTTCGCTGCTCAGGTCGAATTGTCGTGTCGCCGGCATTGTCGCCTCTGTTCGTGCACGACGGATCATCAGTCAAGTTGGGTGGATCGAAGGTCGACACTCTCCCGCTGTCAGTTGTTCTCGAGCACGGGCATACAGTATCGCCCAGCCATTCGCTGAGAGGAGCCCCACACTCTCAGCTCGGCCAGAGCATTGGATTTCCGCTTACATGGGCATCCGAAACGGCCGTCCTCGGCCACCAAATCGCAGCTGGCCCGACTCTTTCTTGCCCCCAAGCCCTCCTCCCAGACGACGGGGAATCCAGCCTTGCATCAGCCGGGCCCGCTCGTAATCGACCAAGATCGTGCGATCGTCTATGATCAACCGCTGCGAGGCCTGTAGTTGCGACTGTGTCAGTTTGTCGAGGAGATGCAAATGTGCATCGGTGGCCGGGCCGATACGATGGCTCGCTTTCGGCCATACAGAGTCAGAGCCATACCTGATACGCCCGTTCGCAGTCCCGCTGCGACTCAAACTCGACGAACCCATAGCACCGACTGATTCCCGTCACTGAAGTCGATATCAAGGTGGGTGTCGGCGTCAGGTCAGCAATCGGAGGCCCAACTCGCTTGTGAACGAACGGAGCGATCAATCGACCAGCTCAACGAACCTACATCCCTGGCAATGCTTATATATCGCACAGGCCCATGAGTCTTGAATACAGCACGGAGCTGGTCTGTCGCGGTCCAGGTGAGAGGCGAGGAAGGTTGAAACGGTGTGAGTCCGGACGGGTGAGGTGGATCGGCTTCGTTCGCCAGATGCACTGAAGTAGCGGCTACTGCAGGATGAGCATCCACCTTCCATGGTCTGGGGCGACAGCCGGGCCACAAAGAGGGTCTTGTATGGGTTCTTGGACCGAAGTTGCCCAAGGAGCGACGCAGTCGTCGTCGCTGTGGATGTCGATTTCTGAAGCGTCTGCTTGGCTTGATGTCGAGCAGCTCTCAGAACCCCAGAGTCATGGGCCGTCTTGGCCGAGCCATCGATGTTTCCGGCCCGGATGGGATCGTACTCGATGGGATACCACATAGCCAGCCGCTTGAGGAGATTTGCGGGGCGTGTAAGCGAGGCAAGCTGGGGATGCGATGGACTGCGAGATCTGTCGCTTGGGAAGATCGATCGAGAGCGATGCTGGCGGAGACGAGGCCTGGTAATTCTCGACCCTTGCTCGCGTTGCATTCCGCACGAAAGATGCACTGAAACGAAACGAAGCCCCATGCCTTGCTTGATGGTATTCTGTTGGTTTGGATATGGGTGCACTCATCCATCCCCTTCACTGGCCATCCACTCTGCGAGGGCAGGACCGGACAGAGGACATGCCTCATAACCCTGGATACTGTGCCATCGATGAGTCCCCCACATGCCCGACAACCACTCTCGCTTCTTGTGTTCATGTACATGGAAATCGATTTTATTCAACGTCTTTTTTGCTCTTTTTCTGTTTTCTCGGACTTCTTTTTTTTTGGGGGGGGGGAGGACGATGGCCGAGGCGGGGGCAGGTGGCGATGGAGGTGGTGATGATCGGTGGAGTGGGCAGCGACGGCAGACGAGCGTCGAGGATGCTCCTCACTGGCCCCTTGGCGACGAGACAGGCGCCAGCGACACACTCCGTGGAGACCCAGAGCCAATGGAGGCCCGCAAACGTTCGAGCTTCGATGTGGACGACGACAGCGGGGGGTGGCCGCGGGATCTCGTTGGCGTGGTCATGACTCCGGAGATCGGCTCACCTGAGCCCGAGCTCGAGCCTGAGCCGGATGCCGGGCTGGACAGCATGGATTTGTTGCCGCCGCTGCGCTTGCGTGACGACACCAGGACGGTCCTGGGACTGAGCTGCACGTTCGACAGGTTGGGCGACTCGTGGCTCTTGCGGATGCTCGAGATGCGAGCCTCGAGCGACTGGATGGTGGGCAGGAAACGAGGGCAGTGCGGGGAAACCGGGTGAGCATCGATGCGCTGAACTTGGGCGATGGCGAGGAGAGCGATGTATCAAGCCAACCGGCGATGAACGGCGCTTCCTGGTTTCGCTCCGGCCTAGTGAAACCGGCTCCTCATCGGTCGAGGACGAGGCCGAGGTTGATCAGAGCAAACAGAAACACGACACTGTGGTTCCTCCTTTGCCCACTCACAGCCCGGAAAGACTGAATACGCACCTTTGCTCGCTCGAGCAGGTCGGTGAGGGTAGAAAGAGCCGAATGGGTGTTCCGGTTCCGCACTGGCCGAGGAAGCATCGTGCGTCCGGGCGACAGGCGCCCCGTGTCGGGTGTGTACTGCAGCAGCGACGGAGACGATGATGACCGGGTAGGCGAGTTGAATTGCGAGTGCTGCGGAATAAAGGCAGCGGAGCCGTGAGGCTGCGGCATGGTAAGCTCAGCCTCGCTCATGACTGTGTCTGCCTGGGTCTTGCTTGGCACAGCGGGCTCTTGTTCGGGCGAATAGGCCATCTGCGGGATGGACGGGCTTCGAAACAGGAGGGGGTTGCGGTCGTCAATCTCCGAGCAGGTTTCAAGCGTGGCGTTGGTGTGGGCGCCGGGTGACGGGGGAGCAGAGCCGTACCCGACTTGCGACTTGAGGATGGCCAGCTCGATCTTGGTGTCTGCGGACAAACGCATGGGATGCATGGAGCACGGGCGCGTTAGCGAAGGACGGCACTTGCTGGAATGACCCTCAGGCAGTCGAGCTCTGAGTGGTCCACAAGGGCGCTTGGTACTGCGGCCCCAGAGCCGTGTGAGGGAAGGGGAGGCTGCAATAGGATTACCTCGCAGCTCGTCCCTCAGGCGCTGCGCCTCCACTTCCACCGCCTGGGCGGTCTCGAGCTCGAACTCCAGCATGATGTTCTTCTCCAGCAGCTTTTCGCACTTGGACTCCCAGTCGTCGGCCGTGGACTGGTACATTCTGAAACCGCAAGACGCCATGAGGGGGGCGAGTCGTGTCAGAACGAGTGAGCTGGATCCATGCCAGCTATCCCCCTTGGAACGAGCTGATGCCCTCGGCCGGCTCGCTTGATACAGATGCGATGGTCCACGCTTCAATCGAGGCCGCGACGTAAAGCCCAGAATGTGACTGATCGACTTGGACCACACGCCCGGGCTTCTGGTGGACTGGGGATACCAGCGGCGTTGGTCATTCCAGGGATGCTAAGCGGTCGGCTGGTCCGTTGGCTGCCTACCTCTGCGACTGTTCCAAGCTCGAGTTGAGAATCTCGAGCTCTCGGCATTGGTGACGATACTCCATCTCGATGTTCCTCAAAATGTCGACTTCAGACTGTAACTTGTTGATTTGACGGTTGGACTCGTGCTTTTCATGCAGTAACTTTTCCTGTCATGGGAGCGGAGCAATGAGGAGACATGACACCGACAGATGATCGATCAGGTCCGGTGAGTCAGCGCACATGAAAGCGGCGACATTGGCAACAACAGGTCCTCGACGGCATCTCTTACCTTGAGCTCGGCAGCCTCTCGCCTCAGCAGCTCCCTCTCCTTCTTTAGGGCACTGGTCTCCTTGTCCAGCTCCTGCTCATACTTGGCCGACTCTTGCTGGTATTCGGTATAGGACTGGTTGAGCTCTTCGAGCTCGCTCTTGGCTTCTTCATAGAGAGATTTCCAATGAACTGCCTCATCCTGGGGAGAGCTGAATGCCCTGTTGCAGAGCAGAATCATAGATTGCATGGCAAGGCAGAAACGGGAGGTGCCGCAGCCGGGAGGACAGGGGAGAGAGCAGAAGGCACAAGGCGGATGAGAAAGGTGGGTCGGGCAGCCCGATTCGGCGGCGATAACAGATGACCGAGGAAGGTACGGCCGAAGTCAGGATGTACATCGAGGGAGGGTTTTATAGGCCATCGGCATGCGATCGTCAGGAAGCCGCTGAGCTTGTCCGATCGGCCTCGGGTGCAACCGCTCTCCCGCCTCGCTTGCTTGTTCCGGCGGTGCGCTGTCGCTCTCGTCCGTGAGCCTGCTTCGACACCCGCCGGACCGCAAGTTTGGCCCTCGGGCTGATGCGCTGCCTCCTTGTGCCGAAGGTCCGGTCGACAGAACGTACATGCTGTCCAGGCGGAATAGGGCGGTGGCTGGAGCGGGAGGGTGTCTCTGAAGGAGTGGAGGGGGGGGACCTTTGCTCGGTGGCCGCTTGGTCTGGTACAGACGCTGGGAGCAGCTGTGAGGGGAGAATGGCCGGTGCCCAGAGCGACAGCAACGACGAGGCCCGAAAGCAGCCGGCGGCCCAACAGGCGGTCTTTTGCAGAGACCCATGGCGAGAAGCGCGGAGGGTCGCCGAGAGCGTGGCGAGGGCGTGGCGAGAGCGCTGTGCGACGCCGTGTCCCCAAACGCCCGCTTTTGGCAGAGCAGCAACACTTTCAGCGCCGCCGTCCTGGACAGATCGGACTGATATGATGTGCGCCTGGACAGGACGCTCTGGGGCTGAGTCTGTAAACGGCTCTATTTCAGCTCGCTCGGCTTTCGCTCGGGTTACTCGCCGACCCGATCTAGACCGGCTGTATCGCGGCAAATCCACAGACAGCGGCGGCGCAGTCACACCTGGTCGCAAAGGCTCATGGCCCCTGCCTGCTCAGACGCGCTCGAAAGCGACGAAATCCATGGTGGGCTCGACCAGGAAGCTGGCAGCAGTCACCTTATCGGAGTCCACTGCAAACTTGAGAACGACCAGGCCGTCAGCCAGCTCGCCGAGCTTGAGGTCGCCTTGGAGAATATACTCGTCGTACTGCCAGTGAGCCAGTTCGGCCTTGAAGTTGCCAAAGACCATTCGAAGGCTCTGCTTGCCATCGGCAGTCTTGCTCTTGGCAATCTCGATCGTGCCGAGCTCGCTCTGGTACTTGCCCACGTATTCCTTGAGCGGCAGTGTGGGAGTGGTGCCGCTGGCGCGTTTGCTGTATCGCTCCTCGATTTCCTTCTCCAGAGCAACACGCTCGGCAGTTTGGGCGGCAACAGCCTGGTCGATGTGTCGGGAGGGCCTGAGATGCTTCTCACCAAAGAGCACGCTGGAAGGAGGGAGTGGTGCGGCAGCAAATCGTTGCGAGAGCGAAAGAGAAAGTCGGATCAGTTGTGCGATGCCAGCGGATCAGCAGAGCAACAGGGATATTCAGCACGCCTCCGTCCGAGGACGAGGAATGGGTGCTCCGGGATCGCAGAAGCGTACCGGTCTGCGGCCATGGGGCACACGACGACGACGGAGCGCTGCAGCTGATTCGAGAGGACCACAACCGAGGTGTTGTGGGCGGGATAGAGGCACACGGCCGTGGTGAAGCCATAGGCTTGTCCATAGTGGGACCACACAGGAGTGCCTCGGTAGGTAGAGATTTGCCAGCCAAGAGCATCTAGCAAGCGACAGTTCAATACGGAGGACGATCGGAGGACGATCGGAGGTGAGTATCAGGAAAAGCAGGCACCGAATATCAGGCAGAGTTTGGGCGAGTGCACAGGCCAGACCAGAGTCGGGGGGTGTCCTGGCGAGCCAGACTTACAACTAGTCAATGGGCTGCCTGCATCGACAGGGACGATGTTGCGGGGAGTAAACAAGATCTCCAGATCCTTGGGCTTGACCAGGGTCGAGCCGTTGGCGAGGCGAGCCCCACCCAGCAGGAACTGGGCCCACCGGGACAGATCAAGAACATTCGACGAGATCGCCCCCGCGCCACCGGCCGTGGCAAGTTCGTCGTTGGCAGTCTCGGGGAAATAGGTTCCGTTGGAAATGTAGGGGTCGGCGCGGTTTGGCAGGGCATCAAACTCGCTGGGGCTGGTGCGGGTATTGTTCAGCTCAAGGGTTGCCAGCAGCGAGTCGGCGTAGCTCTTCCAGCTGTCGTGACCCGCGGCCTTGGCAGCAATGGTGCCGGACAGGGCGAACATGATGTTGTTGTAGATGTAATCGGTGCGGAAGTCCGCCTTGAGCTTCAGGTGAGGCACCACAGCCAGCAGTTCGTCGGTGTTGCGGGCAACCTGGTTGAAGATGTCATAGCGCGGGAGGCCCTGGTTGGCGGCGACGATATTGGAGCCAGAGTGAGTCTGACAGGAACGCCGTCGCAAGGGTCGGGCAGCCATATCTGTCCAGTGGCGAGACAATGCGATAGGGCTTACCGTGCGATGAGAAAGAAGATCGAGCAGTGTTGCGCGCTCGGTCAGGAACGGGTCTGAGAAGCTGATGTGCGGGGCGTAGTGGTGGACGGGCTCGGTCCACGACAGGTTGCCGTTCGAGACCTGCAGGGCTGCAAGGAAGGATGTGAAGGCCTTGACGGCAACACCGAAATGCGAGGAGGACAGTCAGCAACCCGGCTGGGCGGGGGGATCGGCGGCAACATTACCATATGGGCAGAGCCAATGAGTCACCCGGAGCCAGAACTCGACGCAGGCCGGCTGAGGTGGCCCTGGAACTGGAAAGCCGGCTACGCAGAGAAGCCCGATGCGTCCGGAGGAGCCCGATGCTGCACAGAGGAGCATGGCGCCGCACGGATCCGAGCTCGTACCTTGGTGGTCGAGCCAATGTAGAAGGCTGTTTCGGCGTCGACCGGATCGCCCTTGGCATTCTTGACACCGAGGCCCTGGGCAAACTCGATCTGGCCGTTCCGGGCAACGGCGACAGCCAGGCCGGCGCTGTCGACACGAGAGCGCAGGATCTCGAGATCAGAGCTCAAGCGAGGGTATGGCGACCAGACCTCGAAAGGAGCCGCGGCCAGGACAACGAGGGTCACCAGGATGGTCCAGCCCAGGACAATGACCACCGGCTGGTTGTAGCGGTCGTCAAGCGAGGTGTAGCGGACAATGTCGTCGAGGGCCCAGTTGAAATGGTAGCGGATCCTTTCCCAGAAGGACTGGGGGGTGTGCCGCGACGGGTGGAAGGGGTCGTTGGAGCGGCTGGCGGGGGAGCCCATCTGGAGCAGCTCGGCAGAAAGATCGAGGGAGGGGCGGTTGAGGAGACGGAAGAGCGATGCGAGCCAAAGGACGACGGGCAAGCAGGACGACCGCAGGACGGAGATGTGTCGGGAAGCGCCACCGGCCCCCCACCCACCCATGGCGATGGCGACGGCGCCGGGGGAGGAGGAGGTCGTGCGGGCCATGTGCGGCCGCTGTGCCGGTGTGATTGCGGGTGCAATGCGGTTGTGCCAATGCGGTTGTGTCAATGCCGGCATGGTATCAGACATGACATGCACAGTGCCATTGACACTGATGCGGCACGTATATTGACATTGACATTGACATTGATATTGATATTGATATTGATATTGATATTGACATTGATATTGATATTGATATTGATATGGCATGCATATGACATGTTGGATGGCATTGGCGTGGCATCTGCATTGGAATGCGGACATGGCCAAGGGTCCTTGTCCGTGCCCTTGGCAACAACGCCCATGCCCACAGCGAAAAAAGGTTTCGTCGCATCCCATGCCATCCCTCTCGCCATCTCGCCATCGCACCATCTCGCCATCTCGCCATCGCACCATCACATCCTGATTCTCCGGCCCTCATCTGTCGCTTCGATCGCCCCTATGCCCTCCGGAACCCCCTACAAACGCACATCCCTGCTCTCGGCCCCGTCCTTCGACCCCCCCAGTCGCCGAGATGAACCCGGCCCTGAGAACCTGCCGCCCATTTTCCTCACCACCCCGCAGAGCAGCCGTCGCCAGAGCCAGGTGCTGTGGCCACGGGTCGTTTCCAGCGAGGCGAGCATCCCGCTGTTCCCGGTGCCATCGACGCCCACCCAGGGCTCCAAGATCTTCCCGCCCGAAGGTGGAAGCCCCCTTTCTCAAGCGAGCCAAGCATCTTATGAATATGGGGACCGGGATCTGTCCTTTTCCCAGCGGCGCCGCTCGATCCGGCTCGACTTCTTCTCCGACAGCGAGTCCGAGTCCGACTCGGAAAGCTCGCAGCTCAGCCTGCCGCAAGAGTATCCCGTCGACCTCCGCTTCGATGAGTCCATTGCCCAGTCTTCGCTCTCGTTGGCTCTGTCCGGCAGCTCTGAATCATCCGACTCGATCGAGGACGACGCCGAACTGATCAAAACATGGAATCTGGACCATCTCGAAAGCGAATTCCAGAAGCATGTTCGTTTGGGCTGGCCCATCCCGTCCCTCGATATCCAGGGGCACATCCCCTCCGAGTCCAGGATGAAGCGATCACCGTCGATCCTGTCGATCCTGCAGCCGCGGTGCTACTTTTACTCGTCCGCTCTTGGTGTGGCTCAGACCGATGGCCTTTTGGTATGGTTCAGTGCCGGGGTGATCGACGGCCCTGTCCTGCATTATTCTGGAGAACGATGTGCTCCGATTTCACCATGGACCCTGGAATGTCCGTCCCTCAGCGATCCTCACACTATCTGCTTTTTATGCGTGGCTGCACCCATGGTCGTCGATATGCACGCTGGCTTGGCTTCAAATCCACAGGGGCTGGCTGGAGACGATGGCACCTGGCTGAGAAGCCGGGCCGACGAAGGAACCTTCTGGATCGACATTCAACAGCCCACGCCCGAAGAATACGATCTGCTCGAGAAGGTCTTTGACATCCATCCTCTGACTCTCGAAGACATCCAACAGGACGAACTGCGGCGAGAAAAGTGCGATCTGTTTGGTGAGCTCTCTGGGAGGTGTTCGCAGGAGGATTCAGGCTTCTGGCAGGGGAGGGGCAGGTCGCTTTGGATGGCTGCCTGGGCTTGCTTACTTGCCAGGACACACCTGGAGCGATTGCTGGCCAGTTGTCTCGGCAGGCAACTCGATCGGAACAGCAACTCACCCTCGATGCTCTCGCGGACCCAAGACAACTACTTTGTCATCATCACCAGAGTCATTGATCAGTACGACAGTCGGCCTCGCCTTCTGAAGCCAATACCCGTCGCGATCATCGTCCTCGACGGCTGCATCATCAGCATCCATCCGGAGCCAATTCCGCACTGTCAAAACGTCGTCCAGCGTCTGGGCATCATTCACACACACAACCAGAACCTGGTGAAGGACCAGATCACAGCATACTTTGAGCCCACCTGGATTGCATACCTGGTACGCATGCGCATCGCTGAGGCTTCCAAGTCCGTCCCCATTCGGTCGATGGCCATGAAACACCCTGCCCGTGTGGTGAAATGGATGCACATGCACGTTTGTCACTGCTATTATCCCTGACAGTCGCCCAATTGCTCCCATCACCTCCACCGCTCCCATCACTTCAACGGCCGCGATCGTCCGTCAAGCTTCTCGATCAAATCCTCAATTCATTCGAGCCACTGATTCAATCGCTCGATGTCGAAACCGACGCTATCGAGGAACTGCTCGCGCGCGACACTCTCCGCAATTCGAGCATCCTTCTCGTACGAATTCACTCGGCTCGCAAGCGTGCCACTCTGCTCATGCGCCTCTTTATCGAGAAGGTGCACATCTCGCGCATTGTCCGGAAGAAATGCAGCGCCGACTGGTTCCAGGACGAGCTAGAGTTGTACTTTGAAGGCGCAGAGGTGAGCTGGAGCTGCATCCCGAGCCGGTTGCATTTGATGGTCGAGCTGAATCCAAGCGGATTTGTCGCCGTGGACAGACAACCTACGGCTGAGCAGGTCATGGCCTCACATTGTACTAAACCAACGTGCGTGTGTTCTTCAGGACCGAGCCGCTTGCATGATGCAGTCTTTGATAAACTACGACGACCTACTGACGGCGTATGTATTCTCTGTTTCTGTCTTGGCTGTTGACTCTGCAGCGGATGGGGCTGCTCCTCTGAGCTGCGCTGGCTCGACATGGGATCTGAGCCATTCTGCCTTTGACCACACAGCCACTACAGCACATATCTCTCGCTGCTGAATAATCATATCACGGCATCAGCACAGCTGGTTGCGAGGACGATGCAGAACCTCACCGCCGTTGGCTGCATCGTCGTTCCGCTCACACTATTCACAGGGATAATGAGGTGAGATAGGTCGCCATAGGTGTTGTTCGCCAATTCGACTCACTCTGCCTGGGTTCGAATGCTCGTGCCGATTGCATCTAACACCGTGGCTTTCTCACCACCTCCCCACCTCCGGCAGCATGAACGTCTATGTCCCAGGCGAGGAGGAGGACACACTGGTGCACTGGCAGATGTGCATCGCGCTTTTGGCCGTTCTTGCCTGCTTGCTTTCCTTCCTTGCGCTTTGGGCGACTTGGGGAATAGGGAAGAAGCGTCGGACGCTGTAGTTTCGTTGACCACTGCATCTCGGTCGAGACGAGGAGGCACATCCGTCACTGCCGAGAATCCAGAGGCCGATCCTGTTCGATCGAGCCTTGGCCGATCAAGACAAAGTATATATATTTTGGGGCTCCATAGGACACACATGGAGGCGGGCTCTTGATTTCGCAGATGCTGCCCAATTGCCACTACCCTGGCGAGACTGGTGGTCCGGCTCTGAGAAGCTGTTGTCACCCAGAACACGCACGGGTCGATGTCGAGCCAAAAGTCCTCCCGGCTTGCCAAGCCACAGCCCGATTGTCTGATCACCGACCTCGCCTTTGCCTTCGCGATCGCACCCCGACATCTGCCGCCTTGCATCCGAGATCCCTCATCGCAGCAGCAGTCAGCCATGTCCAGCATCAAGCTGCTCGCACCGCCGACCAATAAGGGCATCAAGACCCTCGAGAAGCTGCTCTTCAAGAGGTCGATCGAGCTGGCAGCTCTACGAGTCGACGTGGCCACCTGTCCCAAGGTTCTGCCGGCGCTGGAAGGGTCAGCATTCTCCGACGATGGTGGAGAGAGCGATGGTCGGCGAGATCGAGCAGCCAAATCCAGAGAGCACTGAAGGGAAATATGGCCCCGAATGTACCCGTCCCAGGGCAAGACTCCTCAGTTGCCCGCGAGATCGCAATCTTTCTTTGAGTCTCCCTCTCTCCCTTCTCCCCCCCCCACATAACCCGGAACAGTCTCCCGCTCTTGCCCGATCTCTTCTGAAAGCAATTCAATTTTATTCCGTGGTTCTGGTCGTACAGGAGCCTGCTCAACATCCCCAAGCTCCGGCATCTGATCGAGGATCCACAGGATGTCGAGAAGGGCATGACGAAGCGCAATGCCCGTCGCCTGGTCTTGCTCTCGCCCGAGATCCAAGCCCGCAGTAAGTACTGTTCGGGGAGCCTGGGGCTCTATCTTTCGGGCCACTGAGTACGTGAGGACATACGGCGACAGCTGAATAAAGGTCTGGTCGGTCGTCAGGCTGAGTTGGACTGGCGGGATGCTTTGGTTTGTACTGACGCTGTGGTATCTCTGCCAGACATTGACAGCCTGCCCGACAATGTCAAGCAATTCGCACTCTCCGAGAAGGCCGAGCTCGTCACACACTCGGTCGAACTGGATTACGACTACTGGTCTGCAGGTTAGGCGCGATTTGCATCTTGCTCCAGCAGCTGTTGTGGTGGGGAGGCAAGCCCAAGCCCAAGCCAGGAGCAGACCACCTTCCGACAGCGGCGAAGGGCGATGGCCAACAGACAATGGTTGGCATCGGACACGACGAGGTTCATCAGAGGCAGGGTTCTTTAGCGGCAAGGAAACGGACGAGTGATCGGTCTCCTGGATACTGATGCCAAGCTATTGGTCACCAACCGACAACTCAGACCAGATCCTGCGATCGATTCTGCCGGACGACTTGGAAGTACCCTCTGCCTTTGAGATGGTCGGCCACATCGGTAGGTCCGGGCTGGCAAATGGATAGTATGAGACTAGTATGGATCGCTGTTGGATGACGAGCATGGGCGGCAAACTTTAGCCTGTCGAAGCGCATCGGACCGAGTTGATCCAACGGAATGCACCAAACCGAGGGCATCAGGCTATACATCGATCGATCGAAATATCGAGTCTGAACTAGCGACACAGCCAAGGGCAGCCAAAGAGGCCGCGCTGTCTGACGTATTGGTTGATTGCGTGGACTGTAGCCCACCTGAATCTTCGAGAACAGCACATGCCCTACAAAAACATCATTGGACAAGTCATCATTGACGTGAGTGTCAAGGCAGATGCTCAGGGCGGATGGCGATGGGAGCCTGCAAGAATCAACGGTTGAGCCATGCGTTCAAATCGATTGCCAGGCCTCGTCTTTCGTGCCTTGCCCAATCTCATGTGTTTCCATTGCCATTCCCTCGTTCGTTGACCAGAAACACAAGTACATCAAAACCGTCGTCAACAAGCTGGACAGCATCGACCACACCTTCAGATTCTTCAAAATGGAGGTTCTGGCTGGAGAGGACAATTTTGTGACGGAGATGGTCAGTGGATGCGCTCTGTTCGTATGCCGGGCCCTATTCAAAGAGAGGTTGATATCGATGCCTGCTGGCGCAGTGACTGGGAGTCGACAGTGTCCAGGTCTGACGGCGTTGCAATTTCTGCTCTCTCCAACACCTCCAATCGACAGAAAGAAGGGGGATGCCGCTTCCAATTTGACTATTCCAAGGTTTACTGGAACTCTCGTCTGCAGGGCGAGCACGAGCGCTTGGTCAAGTCGTTCGGCTCGAGCGATCTGATCTGCGACGTCATGGCGGGCGTGGGCCCGTTCGCCGTTCCGGCGGCCAAGACGCGCGGTGCGGTCGTCTTTGCAAACGATCTGAACCCGGACTCTTACTCATCGCTTGTTGGAAACGTTGGTCTCAACCGCGTAAGCACTGGTTATTCTTGATGGCGATGGCGATGGCGATGGCGATGGCGATGGCGATGGCGATGGCGATGGCGATGAAATCGAGCGTTTGGATAGTTGTGTTGGTCCAGTGAGAGCTGTGGTGGCCATCGCTCCATCATAGCCCTTTCCGTGTTATGCGCAGGGGCTCCGGGCTCCTGGCTCCTGGCAGTACGATTCGCTGACACGAAATCTGTACGAGCAGGTTGGCCATCTGGTCCGTCCTTACAACATGGACGGACGGGCTTTCATCCGCCAATCGCTGACGTATCTCAACGACCCGGCCGTTTGGGAGGAGTTCCGCAAGAACGTCCAGGTTAAGCGGCCGGCCCGACACCCCAAAATTCCGCCAACCGAAGCCGAGCGAGAGGCCGAGCGACTCGCCGAGGTCCAAAAGACAAAACAGCTTCACCCGCCCGAGGGCTTCAAGATCTTTCACCACTATGTCATGAATCTCCCGGCCACCGCGATCGAGTTCTTGGGTGCGTCTTTGGCTAGGGGTGATGCAGACTGGTCTCGGTAGACAGCTCCGTTGGTGCTGTGATCGATAATCTGTCAAGCCACACAGCACCAGAATGCAGGCTATTCGAGTGATAGACTAACTCGCGGACTTGCGCCGCCGCCGTCCTGTTACCCCCTCCCTCCAAAAGATGCATTCCGCGGGCTACTCCATGGAAAGGAAAATATCGTCCCGGACGACAAACTTCCTATCGTTCACGTCCACTGCTTTTCCAAGGCCGAGGATCTGGACGCCGATGTGATTGAGGTACGGGTGCGAGCATTTTTGCTGGAATCTGGCCGGTCGATGAGCACGTCGAGGAAGGAAAGCCGTCGCGTCTGCTCCCGGCTGCTGTGCATGCAAGCATTCGCCCACCGCTCGGGAGCTAATTTTACATGGCGTACTTACTCTTCCAGAGGGCCGAGCATTATCTGGGAGCTTCCATCAAGGGCTGCGTCGTGAACATCCACCGGGTCCGCGATGTGGCGCCCAAGAAAGAGATGCTCTGTCTCAGCTTCCGTATCCCGCCTGCGGTGGCATATGCCGACCCTGCAGGCGAAAGCCGTCCTGAGGAAGCAAGGTGAGGTGAGCCATCTGCAAGAAAGACCAGGCGTCCCCACGACATGGGCCTGGAGGGACATACACTCCTGTCTTGGGGCGGCGTTGTGCGATGGCACGTTCGGCGTCAATGCAACTCGGTGTTCCGACACGTAGCCTTCAAGCGGGGTTCCATCTCTATACCTCAAGAAAGCTGACCGCCGACTTATTTTGCAACGCAGCAAACGCAAATCGGATTCTACGCCACCTCCAGAAGCCAAGCGGCCAAAAGGGCAGACGGAAGACAGTGCACACTGAAGCACAGCAAGCATTTTCGCACAGGACACACCCGGAGGGTGAGGAAGACGCGGGGCAAGGAACGGTGTTGCTTGATGAACGATCGACGTCCCGCAATCCACAACCTTCGCAACCCACAAGCCATGCATGTGTAGCAGTGTCCCAGTTCGATATGGATATATTGCAGTGCCGGTCTTGCTTGCGTGAACTGCGGAATCGGCATCACCGAATATGAATTGGGCCAGCGGATTCCAAGAACGCTCCACCCCAGCGGCCGTCGAGGCGACGCAGAGGGCTGGCAGATCTCAGAAGACCGACAAAATTGGGGGAAAATGTGCGAGCAGAAAAGGAATGTTCCCGCGGTATCGATGAGTGTTGGGGTGTGGACGAACAGGAAAGATAAAAACAAAGCTGTCCAGGGCCAACTTGGCCAGTCTGGAGCCGATGTGAATGAGATCCGTTGCCGGCCCACCGAAACAGACATAACACGAAGTCTGAGGCTGGAAGGAAGCAATGCGGCGCGGCCGCACGCTCAGCGCTCGAACTTCTTGCGGAGCCAATGCTTAATCCCGGTGAGGCTGCTCAGCGAGGAGGAGCTCTCACGGGTCATGGTCTTGGCCAAGGGCAGCCCCAGTGGATTGGGAGCCGCCAGATCTTGGGACGCGATCTGGGCGTTTTCGCCTCGAAGCAGGGTGTGCTTTGAGGCAAAGGCGGTAATGTAGGCCGGAGATCGGTGTGATTTGCCAGAGGGCATAGCGACGGGGGCACAGGATGGTGCTGAATGAGCTGCTGCAGCCGACGGAGGCGGGGAGCGAGGCAAGTTGGATAGGTAGGTTTCTATATATCCTGTGCTCCATTTGTTTGTTTGCGAGCCCGACCGCTCTGTCGTAATCCGTTTGTGGGCTGGAAGACAATGGACTGGAGGCCAGCCGAGCCAACACAATCACGTTCTGTTTGCGCAACAGCGGGCTTGAGCCGGGCTTGGCCCGATGGAAGGCGCTGGAAGCAACGTGGCAGCAGCGCAGGAACGCATTGGGGGGGGGGCAGCCAGCGCGATCGACACCGAGAGCGACATGATCGGATGGATTGCCCTCGACGCAGACGCAGCTGGATCTGGCGATCTGTCTCTGGCCGTCTCGATGCCCCCGGAATCACGATGAAAAAAATAGGACGTGACCCCTCTACAGTGGCTGTGTTCGGCTCGGGACCTGGTCAGCAGGCACATTAAGACACAGAATGAGTCACGTGTGTGCCGACAGTCTGGTGCAGCCTCGTCCGAACGATGCCATTTTGGGACTGCTCGCTAGCCAATCAACAGCGTTGCTTCCCACACGTGCTCTGGCCCGATTTGGCATTCGCTTGCCGTCCCGCTCCGTCCCGCTCCGTTCCGGGACCCCTCCGCCCCGGTTTCTCCCGGCCCCGAACCTCTCATATCCTCATTCTCCCTCACCATGACCCGTTCTGAGAACTGCCTTTCGGACACCCCAGTTCCGACCGCCGTTGGGCGGCACCGTGAACTCCTGGGGCAATCCTCGGCCGTTCTAACTAGTCCAGGATTAGGTCAAACCCGCGGTGGTCACTGCTCCACCAGCCAGTTTAACCTCAGAGTCGCAAACAGAATGCGGTATGATATGCCGTGTTCAGTAAAAACGCAAGTGATAACAAACCCGAAATGATAATAATCAAGATAATGTCCCATGGGGGCGAGGATATCTGGAGGGAATGAGCGATGCGGTTAGTTGAAGCGTCGCCTTCGAGCTCTCTCAGATGATACTCAATCGTCATGAAGGGACTTACTTGGATTTGGATGGCTTCCTACATTCGAGACATATTCAAGATAGTGAAAGAGGAAGCGTTAGAGTTAAAAACATTAGAGACATATTCATGATGCGGCTCATCCTCAATATGCATGCGTTTAACGGCACCTATGTCATCGATCGGCTCATGGGCCCGCCGAGGAAGTTAGGATAGAGAGGGCCTGAGGGGAGTATTGACTTGAGCCTGACGACGGAAGCGGGCAGGAAGCGGTGGTCGGGGGGATATTTATATTCCAAACCTTCCGACTTGACCTGTCATTACACTGATATGGTCACTATGGGTCAAGTTCGGACAAACTCCCTTCGTCATCAAGCGGCCTCAAGCACTTTTTGGCCCAACTACCTGCGACATTTGCATCGACTTGTCAAATCGGAGGATCTTGCTCGATAATATAAAAGCCACCTGGAATGGTTGATATAAGTATCAGCCTGACTTTGCCTCTCCAATTGCAGCAAAGCTGTACCCACCGCCTTCCATCTCGAAGTATCCGACAGTAGAAACGATTGTATCGACTGGGACAAAGATATGATTCGTTGACTCCATGCTGTCGAGGTGAAAGGTAGCACACTCTTTGCATGGGCGGTATCCTGAACTGTCATCTCCATATCTGATGTTGATCTTTGGAATCACACAGTATGCCCAGTTTGTTGTTTCTCCATCAAAGGAGTGGCTGATGAAATATTGGACTTGATAGAAGCGGACAGAAGAATATGGGTGATTGCTTGCTGATGCATCGGGCATATTGGTCCAAACCTGTAGATTCAGAATGCATTAGCTCATATGAGGCTTCGCTATCGCGCGCTGCCGAATGCCTTACCTTCACAACAGAGTTCATCCGATGATGTGCCGTGCTCATCCGATGTGATTGAGATATGACATGTAGTTCCCCCGCGTCCATCTTGGTGTGTTTGGAGCAAGTGTCCGAATTCTGATCCCAAAGTGAATGGACATATTGCAAGGCTTCACGATAGCCGTATGAGGAATTGGCAGAAATCGTCCTGGCATAAGCGCTCTTTAGCTTCGCGACTTGTTCAGAAGGTAGTTTCAGCTTTTGTTGCTGGCCAGACAAGGTTCCGCGGCTATCTTGATTCGAGGCCCGCCCATTGTTTGCAAAGGAGGATGGCCATATCCCAGGGTCTTCGCCCAACCTGGATGTTCCTCTCAAGGTCAAGTTCGGAGCAATGCTTGGACCGCTCAGAGAGCTTTGGAGGACGAGCCGATTGGCCATATTGTCCACTGGATGGACCTTCGATCGCCCGATGAGCTTCAGGCGACCACAGGTTCTTTCCATTTCAAACTGCCATTGATATACCAAGGGTCCAAACAATCGGATGCACCTGGGCAAGTGTTGGAGCTGATGCACGTAGGTTTTCATCAAACGAAGTCCAGACAGGTCTGGAGCTCTGTCTGGAGGAGGTTCGAGTGACTCTGGGAGATTTGCGATTGACCTGGTGAATACATTTCGAGTATACGTGGTTAGATATTGAGAATTAGTGAGCTGCCCAACATCCTCAAGTGAAGGGACTGCTGTCTCGTGCTACTTGCTCTGTGTAGTACTCCTGGAACCTCTGAAGATTTCTCTCGATCTGATTGCATTGAGCAACATTCAACTGGGGAAGCAGCATCAATCGAAGGGCATAGACAAAGCGCCTCCATCCCAATCTAGGCACAATAGCATCACTGTTAGGATCAATTCGAATCAAGTATCTCATCGACCGTAGGACGGGCCCCGGTTCGAGCAGGGTACAATATCAAGAGCTTACAAGTGTTCTAGTGGAAAGCCCGCCGCATTGAGCAGAGGTAGGGAGTACATGATAATCCAATTCTTCCATTCTTCGGTTTTGAAGCTTTTGTATGAGACAGGGTCCCGACAAGAGGCACCAAAGCCTGTTGGAATCTGAATCCTGCCTTCGCTGATCCATCTTCCGATCTTTTTCAGGCACTTGGACGTGATCTTTTGGTCCAAACTTGAGGATGAGGGAGCCTTCCGCGTTCCATTCCAAATCTCCATCATGAGTGGACCGATGTTCGAGATCACATGCATCAGATCGAGAGGAAGACAGAAGCTGAGCTCGATGGACTCAAGTTGAGTTACACCTGGTCGCCCCACGATCCCTGATCAACATAGTTAATGTTAACATCGGAGTCGAAAACAACGCCCTGACTCGTCTCGTTAACGTACCGTTTCGGGGCATGCCGTCTTGATCGATGGCCTCCCATATTCTGTTCAGACTCTCTTCGGTGCGGTATGGACTGGGAGTGTCACGCTCATAGAAGCACATGGCACCCCCGGCCCTCGTGGCCGTTATTTCGCAGAGACGACAGCCCTTCGTGGCGGTGTGCCCAGAAAATTTACCGAATTTGTTGGATCCGGGCATGTCACTCTGGCAGTACAGCAAGTGACCTCGGAGAGTGAAAGAATGTTCCACGCCATTTTTGTCGACCCTTATCGCCTCAACACCTGGGAGCGAGAGACATTGCTCCGTCAGCAGCGTGCTCTCGCGAGGATTATGTGGAGTGACCAAGTGATCCACACCAGAGGGGCTTACGCACCGGTCTCAAGTCTCTTCATATCTTCGAAAAACGGCTTCAAAAATGTATCAAAGTCACGAGGCGATCGTGGACCAGGCGTAAGCAAGACCGTAATGAGATTTTCCTTTTTGTAGCGCAGAGCAGGTGGAAGATTGAAGTTGATCAAGATGAAGCCCCACGATTGATGGCTTTGCCTACACCAGATACAAAGGTCAGCTGTGGTTATAATCTGATTTTGAAACAGAGAGCGGGCGTACCTCTGATTGATATTGAAGACATCAAAATGCAGCCCGAGAGCAACGTCGGTGGGCTGCTGGAACATTGAGCGACTACAAAGGTGCTGGTAATATTCGGCATCGAATATGTCGTTCATGATGCCTGAAGATTCAGATTTGGTGAGTTCAGAGCACCATATAGCAATATAGTATTGGGAAATAATACGGGTGGAAAGTACCTGGTTCGCTCGCTCTGTTTGCTCTGTACATCATCAACTCTGCCATAGTTGGATTTCGGTAGAGTGTCTGAAGTATCTGAACAAAATCGAAATACTTGTAGGTCTGAATCGGCCTCAGTTGTGGTTGAATGCCGCCATTCAGAAGTTTTTCGTTCACCGTCGCATAAGCATCCTCTCCACAAAACGTGCATATTCGACTCTGGTTATCATTGATGTCGAATCCCATGCAGCTGTTTGGGCAGCAGGGAAGCCTCTGAAGATACTCGTTCCACTCGCAACAAATGATCTTTTGGATCTTGTACAGACTGGGTGCAGCTGGTAATGACAATCCTTGGAATTTGTTGCAATGATTAAGGACAGATTTGATGGCTTTGTCGGTAACATTGCACTCGGTCAACACCTTGACCAGCTGCGAATAGAAGGGCGGGATATCTGGGGGAAAGCCGCGGGTGAATACATCAATTCGGATGCTACATCGGATTGCTATCTGTCCTTTGAATTTGACTCACCATCTGATATGCGGGGCTCTTCGTCACCAGTTTCTTCATCATCTTCATTCATTTCAAGCAGTCGAAAGTGGCCGAGGAAGCTATCCGGATACTGTCCTGGAAGGTGAACCGTGGCATTTATATGAGTCAACCGGACTCTGAAGCAAGACCAGGAAGATTCGACGATACGATCAGGCTGGGTGACGTTGATATCTCACCCGAAATGTCATCGAATTCTCTCGGTGAGCTTGAAGTGGTGTCTTCTGAGTCTATCGAAGAGTCTTCAGAGTCTTCGTAGTACATGGACGCTTCTTCAGAGTCCCGCGATGCCCACATGCTTGGCGACCACGAAGGGCAGCGTTCAAATTGAGCTGGAGCAGGGCCTTCGTTGTCTTGGGTGCATTGCTGAATAGATGCTCCTGTTTGGATATCCATGCTCTCGTGCTCAAATGCGCGGGGTGAGCCTTTGGGCCAGGCCAAGGATGAAGAAACAAAGTCGGACAAATCGAGAGTGTATTGGTCATTTCGTAGTGAGCTCTGGCAGCGTCCAAGCACAGATCACTGATTATTGCTCAAGACTGAAACCGTGACGCACACAAAAATTTAGCGAGAATGTGATATCAGGTGCTCAGTCTTACCCAATGAAGGTCGCTGCGATGTTATCCCATGTGGTCGCAGTTCATCTACCACCAACACTGGGGGATGAAATGTCGGCGAAGTTCGCAAATTGGGGTTATTTTCGCATATGCTTGTAATAGGACGGTGAGGGAACGAAGAAAGATGGCCAGCTGTGTTTTCTTGAGGATCTTTGAGCGAGTACATGTGAACAGGGGGGACTCCAGGTGGAAAGCCATAGCGATAGAAGTGGTCGTAGTAGGTCGTTCTGGAGACAATCCTGAAGCCTTGCGAATCGGTGCTACACTTGCGACAACGACAGATGGATCTGTTCTTGGGAAGCCCATCGTGAGCCCTATTTATCGAGGATGGTACCCTGGTCGATGATATTGGATATGGAGTATGCCTTGGGTGATCGTGCCCAGATGGTTGAGCGGCTGAACTCATGATTAGAGTCGGATGAGAAGGTCGAGGGGAGAAAGGATCAAGAGGAGATTGACGAAGCAACTGGGGGCGGAAATGCCCGGTTTTTGTCCAAGTCCGAAGGCTCTGATGACCCATGAACACAGATGAGTCAGGAAAGCAGCCGGGGGTCATGGACAGTGAACGAGTCGCGGAAGACAGTGAAAAGCCGGGATGACTCGGATGCCATGTCACGTGAACGGAAGCAGCCCATTGGCCGAGGGCTCCACGGGATGTGGCAGTGCGGGTTCGGGGACACCCAGGGAGCCAGCAACCTGGACGAACAAGGAGAAATGCGGGTGACCCGAGCCCGTCGCGGTCGCTTCAGTGGCCAGACGCGACCCCCAAGGCAAAACAAAACGCGAGAAGACGTGTTTTTCCTTGTTATGCTGAGTCCGGTGGGGGATTTGCGAGGGAAGTATTGGCCAACGCGTAATTTACACGTCAGCTTTTTTTTCATAGTGATAATGCTCCTGGAATTCCCCTGGGAATCGCAACGCGGCTGCCGACTTGCTGGATTGCGCAGCAGCCAGGCAAAGCGCACGTGGGCGTCTGGGCAGAATCGAGGCGGGGGAGACGCATTCTGATTGGGCGGCGGCCGCAGTGGCGATGCAGGGCTGGGCGCGCCTGTGCGTCGCTGTGACTCGGCGTGACTCGGCGTGACCCAGGGCCGGTGCACGCCCCTGGCGGATGATGTACATGTTGTCACAGGTGCGCCTCCACCCCCCTGCACCGACGACACATGTTTGCTCACCGCCTGCACCGTCTGCACCGCCTCGCAGAGCCGGGCCCATAAATACCCGGCCTGGCGAGCTCTCGTCCCGACCACCAGCTTCCTTTGCTATATCAACACCTTCTCCGCCATGGCCCGTCCCATCAACCGCTCGCCAGCCCACATCACCGCCTTTGCCGCCAAGCATTCGCTGCTCAAGGGTGAAAACGCCGCCGCCGCGTCGCTCGATCTAGAGTCCTCCTCCCCGATCGGGCTCCCGCTCGCCAAGCACCTCACCAAGGACTCACGTACCAGCGTCCACTCCATGGACAAGATCAAGAGATGGTTCAAGTGGTCGCACTAAATGTGCAGCCCCGGTGCTCCAGTGCTCAATTATATCCCTGATTTAGGTTGTTTCTGGCCGCTTCTCTGGCCATTCTTCGTTTGACCCCAACGCACGCCCTATGCTCCGCACACTCGCATTTGTAACGTCATTCTGCATCCAACCATCGACGCACGCACTTCCATTACAATGTGTACTTCCTTGTATTAGCCAATTGTCCTGTCCCAGACACGGAGGTTGGACTCTGTTGTAACGAGCTCGGCGTCCTTGACGCGGCTCATTTATCAAATAGATTTTTGGCCCTTGGCCTCAGTGACAGTCTCCACAAATCAAGCAAACTGCCTCGTTTTGAGGATCTTGGTTGGACAGCGAACCCATTCCGAGATGGGACATCGCGACATGCGAGTGTGCGGATTCAAACGATATCAATCGGCTGGCACTGCTGTGAGCACGGCTGATGAATACACTTAATTCAGAGGGGTAATGGACACTTGCCCACAACCCATATGTCAGCGAAGTCTGTGATGGCATGCGTCAAGCTAAGCCATAGGAAATAACACAGATCACTTTGGTAGCCTCCGAGTGAAGACCGCCGGTCGCTTTCCGGTCTCCACAGTCGACCTGCACACTGGTCTCGGAGTGCCGGCGGTGAATGGCGCTCTTGGACACACTGGCGAATGGTCATGGCCAGCGCGCGATGGTACTGGGTAACAAAATATTTGTTCAATGGTCAAAAACACGGGTGTCCCGTTTTTAACTCGATAGACTGTAATGTGATTCCGCTCTTTGCCCTGTCTTCCTTCCCTCTCCGGCTAGTCGTCTTGCTCTGACTTGCAGCGACGGCATCTCCTGCGACTCGCTGGCCTCGTCGTGCTCACTCACTCCATGCATCTCCCTGCCCACCCAGGACACACAAGGAGATGGCTTGGACCACTCTGTCGTTAGCCGAATGTGATATGATCCAACTGCGGAGTGATTTTGTCCGAATGGGACAATATGCCACATTGTTGACCCAGCATACCCGCTGATCCGTTGGACTCAGATCACATCCGCGCACGGAACGATGAGAATCTCTTTGAACCGCACTATGTAGGTACGGTCGGCGCGGTTGTAGCATTCCTCGGCGGCTGGATCCCCAAGCTTTCGTATTGTGGAGGTCGATCGTCCAGCGACGACCCGGGCTCGGCGAGGCATGACTCGCACGCTTGGAATCGCGGCAGCCAGTACCCAGCGTCGGGGTCGTGGTATTCGACTCTCGAGCATGTGATCTTGTGAATCTCTTCGTTGACGGCATCATTGAAATATGGAAGGACCTTATCGATGTCGGTCCTGTCAAACTGAGCAACACTTATTGGGATGCGATAGCGCACAGTCTCGGAGTGGCTCAATGTGAACGTGAAGGTAACGTAGTGGCTGATGTGGAAGAGCGTATTTCGGACGCTCGGGTTGCTTCGAATGTCGGTTCCCTTCGGGTGGGCGCTGCCAAATATCCACGGGATATGGAGCCGTCGCGACTGCATCGGTAGTTGTAACGATTGGTAGGTGGGTGTATCACCGCGATATTAGCCAGTGTAAACACAGCAGGAATTGCGGTGGTCGGATTCCACGGCGAGCGCAATAAAGATCACGATCAGGAAATGACGGAGGCAGTAGCTGAGGAACGGCGGACGCGCAGGACACCCATCCACCCTCATCCAAATGCAGTACATGTTCCCATGAACCAACGCGGCCTGAGCCACAGCGGACCGAACCGAACGAAACGAAGGCATGTGCGGAAAACGAGCCACATATCGCGATAAAGAAGTAGAGTACTTGCCATATCCCAGACGCCAAGGTCGGTTTTGTGCTCCTGTTCGAGACGCACATACAAAATGTTGAGGGTGTGCTCCTCGCACTTCTTCTTGGGGATGCCCCACGGAAGAGAACCCATCCAGCCACATCCATGATCAGAGCTTGCCGGAGCTTCGTCCTCGATGACTTCGATGATCGACATGAACACGGTACAGGACGACATGCCTGAGCCCTGGCCGTGCTCCCACGGGCTCAAGCGGAAGGAGAGCTTGAGCGAATCGCCGGGAATAGCCCGAGGCTTCTCCACCGAGCAAGTAATTCTCATCGATGGGCGGTCGGCATCCCAGCTGTGATGCTCAAGCTGGATGGTGGGTTGGGGGGCGAGAATGTGTGCCAATTCGGAAAGCGGTATCGGTCGGATATGATCCGCTGGGATGTCATAAATCTCCGAGCAAACCGTCCGACCATTGGACCAACCCAGGGCGCACCAGAGTCGATACCGGGTTCGGACTCTCAGCGACCTAGCTGCCGAGACGAGCGCCTGAGACTCGAGCTCGGCCAGCTCGATCCTGAATGGTACAAATCCAGGTTCGAGATAGCGCTCAAAGTCAGACGGAAGCAGGCCGACGGACCTCTCGATGAATGTGGTGGCCTTGGGTCCAACCGTGTGCTGGCCTACGAAGGTGATGCGAATGGACGTGATGCGATGCGAGTCGTGGGCCGCTACTGCATTTTGGAGTCGCACCAGGCCACATACACGTGGGAGAAGCGACTCATAGTCAAAGGGGTTTGACGCCTCGAGCAGCTTGAGTGGGATACCCGCGATTCCCAGGAAAAACGAATGCTCGCCGGCAGCCGGAACAAGAGTAGTGCGTCGAGGACGTGTTTTCGATCCTGGACCAAGCAGACGGAAGATTGGCATCGTGGTGGTGAGGATGCGGCCAGAGCGGGCTGGTCCAGCGGCGTTGCGATGGATGGGAGCAGTGCCAACGCCGAAGCGGAGAGTGGATTTCGGGCGAAGCTGGCTGAGGTCTGGTCGGGCGTCGGAGAGAAAGATTGGGGAATCGGAGCTGGAGAATCAGTTTCTGTGTTCAGGCTGACCACTGATCCGCAGCAAGGATTCGAAAGCAAGACGATGACACGAAGGGGGGGAAAAAATGCAACAAGGATGGCGCCCTTGCACAGTGGTTCACCGGGCCGCCATGAGCCCGAAAGGCGACCAGCGGCCCGCTCGGCCTTCATGGGCGCCCACTGCCTGCGGTGCGCAATTGCGCGACCCACCAAGGCATGCGCATGCGGAAGTGGACAGATATGATACACCGCAGTCCATCGATATGACACACCGCAGTTCATCGATACGATGCACCGCAGTTCAATATGCGACACCAACACAACCGGTGGACAGTTCACCCAAGACGCCCTCGGCAGCAACATCACCGGTGGAGTGATTCAACGAGACTGCATCGCAACGAGACTGTATTGCAACGAGACTGCATCGCAACGGGCAATCTATGAACACCACCCTCTCCTCGTAGCTCTCTCTCTGCCATGATCCGAGTGCCCCCCCCCCTGTTCCTAACGGGGGGACTGTGAATGTAGTCAAACAGCGACTGCTTCGACACAACAACGAGGCCCTGGTTCTTCAGCTCGCTATGGCAGTGGATGCTCACTGTATTGGCTGTGGATCCTATGCTTATGGTGCGATTGCCATCCACTGACATCCAGTAGGTCATCAGGACGACATCGCGCTGTCTCGTCGCTACTTGAGCTGCTCGCTGACCTTTGCAGTCGTGCGTACACACGGCGCAGAACATTGCCAAATACCAGTGCGGATAGCGTTAGCGACACGGCCATCACCACACAATGCAGACAACATCGGCAGTCACAACATGCGCAGAGCAATCGAGGACATCCGGGGAAGGGCTGGCGAAGCCAGGGCACCGCCCTTACCCCAATTCAGCATAGTCATTTGCGCAATAAGTGGCCAGTGCCTGAGATCCACCCACGCGAGCCCATCCATGGTTCGCGCACACAGGGTTTGCTTACCTGGACGATTGTATCCAACAGCGGGCTGATCTTGTAGTCGCCTTTGGTGCTCGAAGGCCGGTCGTTTAGTCCAGGGTTTGACTGAGCACGAAGCTCGAGACCATACTGACTTGAGGCCCTGTGAACCGTTTGCGGCGACACAACAGGATGATTCCTGGTCAATGAATGGTGCTGTGCGTTCTTTGGCCACCATGAAGTAGTCACCGCCGACGGTTTAGCTCTCTTGAAGAGCCGCATGTTACAGACGATGGAGTGCCACAATCCATTCGTCAGACGCTATACAGTTGCTCACTCGCGAGGACAGACTCTGACCTCTTTGGATGACCGTCGCCCGCAATGCTGCGATCGACTCGTGAGAACCACGGCGGAGATGGAGAGCGGTCCCTGTCGAGGCTCAAACTCGAGATCGGAAGGGCAGAAGAGTCCTGGGCTTTTGACGTCGTTCCGCCCTCTGTGGCGCTATTCGTCTCCCGTGTCCGATGCAACGCGATTTTGTGCTCGTATTCGCGGAGTTGGCGCTGTGCATTCTCAATCTCCCCTTTTAGCCTCTGGTCCATACCGAGGCTTGTGCTTGTATCCTGTTGGTAATCAACGTCCAGCAGGCGGGATGAGCAAGACAATCTGGCGACAGCAGCCGCCGAGCAGGTAGAGTCATTATAGCAAGCACTCTTCGATCGAGCATACCGAAGTTCCTGGATTAAGTAGGCCGTCAATGATCCGATCCTTATTGGACATTTCCTCCAGAAGTCGCTGCACGCGTTTTGTCAATTTGGAGCATTCTGGGACGGCAGCAAAACGATCAGTTGGTTTGTTTCTTGCCCATTCCCGTTCGACCGAGATCCTTGGGCCAGCGGGAACCCAAGTATAAGCATTGTTCAAGACCTGCTGACAATACCGAGCTTCTCCGAGCCCAGCAATGAGGTTACCTTCTTCCTTCGACTGCCAGTCCTTTTCGAGGCTCAAAATCCGCGACGCGCCTTCGCTGGCCTGCGCCTTGGCCGCAATCAAGTCCTTGGTCAAGGTCAGGATGCGCTCGGCCTGTTCTTGGTTCACTTTTTGAAGCTGCTCGTCCAAGTTTTCTCGAGCACTCTGGAGCTCCTGCACCCTCGAGCACACACAAGCAGCGTTAGACCCGCAGCTGACTCGATGATGTGCTTATTTTAAACGCCCATTGGGGTTTTGTTGGATGCAAGCAACAAGTCAACTCTATCGACTGGTGCAAGCCCAATATCGTGCGCCGGATAGATCATCGCGATTACTTGCCTGCGCAGACTTGTCGCTGTTGATTTTCTTGGTTCTCTCGAGCGCGAGGAGCCGCTCAAGTCGCTCGACCTTCAGCTTCTGTTTCGGGATAGGGAGGTGAAAGGCAGACCATGAGAATGCTTGTAAATTGGTGACTTCGGCAAACGTGCCAAAGCATTCCCGGGTCCAGTGCTTTGTCAAGCTCATGCCACCATGTTCTTTAGTGCTCATAACTTCACGTCCCTAGCCCCGTACGTACGTCGGATCTGGCTTGATTCAACAGCCCTTCCTTTTCAACCTCAAGCGCGCGCAGGGTGTTGGCGAGTTGCTCCATCTCCATCGAGAGCGTGGTCACTTGTCGCTGCGATTCTTCTTTGGCCCGTTCGATGTTCAGAGAGAGGTCTTTGGCAGCACCGATCTCTCTCATCAGGCGAGCCTTGTCGGACTCGACGTGGCGGATCGTTCGTTCGGCTGTAGCCAAAGCTCTTGTGAGGTCTAGGCCGTTCGATAGAGGCACCGGCGTAAGCATTACGATGGCATGATGGCACAGGATTAAGACGAACGTGTCGGTAGTCCCCATCCACACTGCTGGGTGGCTCAGTCTGGCGCGTGCCAACCAATCTCGCCCGGTATCCACGGTTCGAGGATCGAAATCGGATACCGACTTGCACACTGCTTCTCGAAGGCATTCAGATCTGCTTTGTACTGTCCGATCTCGGCAGCCGTTTGGTCCAATGCCTGCTGTAGCTGCTGGATCTTCTTGTCACGGAACACCATCTCCATTCTTTCGCATTTACAAGCACCCACGGGTCAATAGCTGAAACGGAGATATCTGGCAGAACAGCATCCTGAACCGCGGGTAGGTATCACGGGTTGCTCCCGCTATCGGTCCATACTCACCTCAGCTCTCCAGTTTCTTCGGTGCCAACCTTTGCATGGATCTCGAGCTTCTCATGCGTTGAGATTAGTTCACGATAGGCTTTCATCAACTGGTCCTTCTCTTGGTCTCGGTCTCGGATAAGGTTGTCCAGATGTTGGATCTGTCTCTCGCACTCTCTCAGCTCCATTTCAAAATCATCGCGAGTCGTGGCAGTCTAGTTGATGGAGTAGCTTGGCGCGATCAGTTACCGACTTCAAGGCAAAATTCGGCGTCGCTGCCCCAGGCTGGAAACAATGACCATCAAATACCTTGGAGAGCTCCGAGCTCAATATTTGATTTTCCTTCATGAGTGCTGCAAGATCGGCCCCGAGCTTCTGGGCCTCCAGCTCCATATGCTGTCAGGTTGAGGGCAAGTAATTAGCGGGTTCGTCCGAGGAAGTCACTCCAACCGACACCAATAGTTTCCTTCATACCTGACTCACTGACGCATAGTGATCTCGCTCAAGAACCATTTCGTCCAGTTGCCGATGCACGCTGCCAAGATCTTGCTCTTGCGTGCTTGCTTGCTTGTTGAGTGAATCCAAAGCGTCTCGGAGCTGATGCGCATCTTGTTCTGCAAGTGCAGCCACAGCCTTGAGCTTTGTGATCTCGTCTATCAACCAAAACGCGTCAGCAGGCTCATCAGGGCCTCTTTGATTCCGTCTCCTTGCGCTGCGGACAGTGCGATTGCGGACATACTCTCCAGCTCGGCGATACGCTCGCCATATTTGATCTTTTCAGCGCGGAAGAGCTCGCGTTCGCCTTCAATTCGGTCGAACAGAGCGCGCTGGTCTTTCGCCCGCTGTTCCAGCTCGTCGACATCGCTACAGAGCCGCTCGTAGTTCGAATAAGCCCGGTCACGCTTGATCTCTGTCTCCGAAAGGCGTGAGCGCAGTTCGCGCAGTTGGCCAGACTAACCAACGACAAAATGGAATCGTTAATAGTTGAGAAGGCAAAATCCCAATTGCTCCAATCTGGGAGACACTCACCGTGCGATCCCGCTCGCCTTCGGCATTAGCAAGCTTCCTTTGGTAGGTTTCGATAGTGAGGATGTGGTTGTCTGAGTCGTTCTTGAGTCTCACCACCTGGTTCTTCCAGTCGGCGATTTCATTTTCGAGTCCCGCACTGATCTTGAGTTGGGCTTCGAGTTCAGCCTTGAGTCTGAGTCCGCCATGGGCAGAGGGTGCAGATGAGCATCGATACCAAACCATATCAGCCCTCCACCTACGCGCCATCCTTCGGTTTGATTGATTGCGCGGGCGAGTCCGGGGAAGCCTACCGGTGGGCTTCCTCCTCGAGATCGGCAATTGCATCTTGTGTGGCAATACTATGCTCACGTTGCTTGACAAGAATGGCCTCAATGTCAGATCGGAGTCTGCTGATCTCGTCCTCGAGGTCTCGGATACGTTCTTGTTGAGCATGCTCGCGACAGCTTTCGACCGCGACTGGGGCCCGAGGAGGAAACGGTATCCGGGATTTTGGCGGCTCCGCAGGACTCTGTAAACATGCCATGTTAGAAGCAACGCTATGTACCGGGAATTGCGGCATGCAGTTGCATCCGCTTTGGTGACCGTAACTTCAAGTTGCCACCACCAATTAAGCATACCCGTCCAGTTTGGACTCGGAGAAGCTGGAGCTCTTGATTAACCTGGACCACCACAAGGCAATTTGAATGCAATGCGTATGAGAATGTATGAGCAACACCGGCGGCGTCGGAATAGAGGTGTTTCTGACAAGTACCTGCTCGTAGAGCAACACCATATTGTCACGCTCTTCGGCCACCGAGACGATGCACGCCTGTATCTCTGCTAGCTGCTGTTCGAAAGACTGAAGAGCCTTTACAAGATTGTTGCGCTCTCTGATCGAGGAGGTGAGAGAAAGTTCAGAGATTACTTGTCGCCCAAGCACGGCGACGAGAGATGTAATCAATGCACCTCTGATATTGGACTTACTGCCGCAACGCATTTGCATCTTCGGAAGCAGCGTTGAATCGTCCCATTATCTGTGGGCCGCATGATAAGTCGTTAGTATTTGGCATTTCGGCCATTAAGCCTGCGAGATGATGGCGCTACCTCTTGTTTGGCAGCTTCTGACTGTTCGAGATTTCGCAGCGCATTATTCATTTGCTTTTGAACAACGGTGAGCTCCTTTTGAAGGGCGGTGGCGCGGGTGCGGTGGCCCTCCCAGTCTAGTTGCTCACTTTGCATGGACTTGATCTGCCATAGTTCAGCGAAGGCGTTGGTAAACGACAGCATCGGGTTCGAAAGCGAAGGGTACCGCAGTCATACGCCGTCGCGACTCGAACAGGCTGATTTATCAGGAGCTCTTCCACGGAACGACTCAACAGCTTCAACCGATGTTGGATGAAATTACCTGGTTTTCCAAAACCCTTTTGTCGTTCTCCATAATCCACGCCTTTCTTTCAAGGTCTTGGACTTTAGAAACCAATGCTCGTGCTTCGGGACTGGTCGTGGGTACAGCCTATGAACACAGTAGAGGATGGTGCGTTTGTAATACCCTTTAGCGGCACTGCGAAACGCGATTCAAGTGGCTGGTCTGCTCGAGCGCAGCGAATGCGAGAGTCAATCCAAGCGAGCGATTCTAGCGACCATGAGGCATACGCACATTCACATCTGGAATGCCAACGGCGGGGTCTTTTATGATTCGATCTTTGAGCTCTGACAGCTCTTTCGTCAGCTGGGAGATATGAGCGTGGGCCTCTGCCAGCGATCCGCGAAGAGATGTGTTTTCCTTGTTGACGTCTGTAGATGATGTGTCAGAATGCTGTGTGCCGAGTTCTACTGGGAGCAGTCAGTCACCCAATCAGCAACTTACATTCGAAATCTGTTCTCAACGTCAAAAGATCCGACGCAGTTTTTTGGAGAGACTCGTTGGATTTATGAAGCTGCTCCTCCATATTCTGTGCCCGGATCGGCTGGGAAAGCTGTTTGATGTCAGTGAGAGTCGTCATGAAGCAGAGAAGGGCACATAAAGGCCAGCACAGAGCTCTACGGCAAATGAATGCTCACCGCAGGGGGACTCTTGCGGATCGGGCCGTCAGCAGTATCTGTTGTAGGTACGTTATCAAAAGCCCGTGTGAGTTGCGGAGAGCAATAACGACGATCTCATCCGCTCACTTGTCCAGAATCAATCGCTTTACAGACCGTACCATGCTTTGGGGAAGGCGACCGACCATCGGGACGGCTTTTGCTCAGATCTTGGACCATAGATTCCAAGCGGTTGAGATTGCGCACAAGTCCTTCGCTCCTACTTTTCTCCTTCTGGAGATCTTGGTTGAGGAGCCTCTTTTCCTCGTCAAACGCCGCAAAAATATTCATTTTTTCTCCTTCTTGGCCGGCCAGTTCCTGTGGCCAAAAGGGCTGTCGTTAGCGCTGCAGTAATTCCTGCGCTAGGCCATGCTTGCCGACGGCACCAAGCAGCCCCATTGAGTATGCGACAGATACCTTTTCCAGCTCATCGATGTGTTCCTGGAGATATTCAATCTGCATCTCGAGCTGCTCTATGCGTTGCCGCGCGACCGGAAGGTCGTTGATGAGGGCAGTCTCGGATGTACCTGGGTCCTTGATGGATGACAAAGGCAGAGTTCCTTCCGGCACAGTCCCGAATTGCTGGGCTCGGCAAACTTCGAGCTCAGTCCCAAGACGTTGGATTTCTTGCTCACGTTTTGAAAGCTGCTCACGGATCAGCTCAATCTAGAAACGAGAGGATATGTTAGAACACATGGGTCAGCGATGCGTGAACTTTCACCAAGGACAGTTGGTGGGCCCATCAAATAGGATCGTGAAATTAGCGAACCTCGTTCTCCAGATCGGCATTTTTGGCCTTGAGATCCTTTTCAGACTGCTCTAGCATTTCCATCCGTCCCTCGTTCAGACGGAGCATGTCTGCAACAGCTGGGTTGGGGGGAGGGAAGGGCGAAGGGGAAGCTTCGAGGGGTTCTAAAGATCCGCAGATGTGAGATAAATGTGGAGTCTTCCAGACACAGGGAGAGCCGATTGCAAAGCCGCTGCTGGCTGTTCCTACCGAGTCCTGTTTCAACATCGATCCGCTGGAGCCGCTGGAATATCTTATCAGATTTTGCCTTGGAAGGCTTTCCTGTGGTGATTCAGAAGGGATCAGAGCATGTCGATCCGCGGGCTCATCAAGATAAGGCACCACTATACCTGGGGCGGCCGGTTGGCTGAACATGCCCATTCGACTGAAGAGCTCGTCGACTCGTATCCGCTGTTCCTCTGCCTTCTTCTGCTCAAGAGTAGCTTTGTTGAGATACTGAGAGACCATGAACCGGAGATCAGCCCTTTCGGCCTCGCCCCGTCTTGCAGCCTGCTGAACTTTCCGATCCCGAGCGTCCCGCTCATCGGCGAGCCGGATGAGATCCATGTGCAAATGGTTGTTTTCATCGGTGAGACGGGCGATTTCATTGCGTAGTGGAGTTGTCTGGTGGAGGGATGAGCAGGACAGCATCAATACGGGGTTGCGGATGTCGATGCCCTAAGAAGATCGGAAGGTTGGGTCGGACCTGATCCTGGAGCTGGGCCTTTTCTCGCTCGGCTAGCTCGAGCTGCGTTCTTAGGTTACGGCTGGATTCTGTGGTTTGGACCAGATCAGCAAGGAGCCGTCGAACGAGGGGGACACACTCGGCGGAAAGATGCTCTCTGTAATCGAGTTGGTCGAGACGGAGCCGGAGGATCTGGAGAGCCTCCTCATCCAGGATTTTTGTAGGGCTGGCCCGCCCATCCACCGAAAAGACAGGGGGGTTTGGTGGCATGCCAGCATGCAAATCGGCCGGAGGATTGATGGGGGAGATGAAGGACGACAGAGAGGAGGGCCGCAACATTCACGGATCTCGGAGACGAGGCGGAACGACCAATTGGCCAGGGCCGAAACGCGCGCGGAGGAAGGGCCTGCGAAATGGACATCCCAGTTGATCCAACAGACGAAGCGACAGACGAAGCGACAGAGAAATCGACAGACGAAATAAACTCGCAATGATCAGATCGATCAGATCGATCCAGCGAGAGGGGGGGGCGAGAGGACAGGAGGGGAGCTGGTGCGGCACGAGTATGGCAAAGATGCGGCATGGGCATGAGCATGAGTATGGCCAACGGTGCAAATGCAGAAGCGAGCGAACCACCTTGGAGGTTGTTGGATACCAGCACACCCATGAGACATCATTCTCTGGGATGGAGAGCAGAGAGCGGTGTCGATAACGACCAACGACCAACGACCAACGACCAACGACCAACGACCAACGACCAACGACCAACGACCAACGACCAACGACCAACGACCAACGACCAACGACCAACGACCAACGACCAACGACCAACGACCAACGACCAACGACCAACGACCAACGACCAACGACCAACGACCAACGACCAACGACCAACCAGCAGTATCCAACAAGAACCGACACACTTGGACTTGCACACATGCGCATGGTTGGCTTACGATGATGCTTATGTATTTACAGGATCAATATCTGCCGCTCCATTCACCGCTTGGAGCATCACCACTCAGCGCAATACACACGTTGCATCTGCTCATCGATCACGTCTCGATGTCTGTGCTCATATGCTCGTGCTGTCTTTGCAGAGGGGGTTTGTCAGCCGCGTCAAGACTATGGTGCTCGTACACTGCCATCAGGTTGATTCCTCGTGGGGACAGGTGTTCATACAACACCAAACCATCATGGCAAGCAACGATCTAGACCAGCATCGTTCGGTGGTATTGCCGATGCCAGCGACAGTGACAGTGCCAGTGCCAGTGCCAGTGACTCGGATGCAATGCCTTGACCAATCCGTCGGGGACGAGCCAGGGAGGGAAGACCAATGCCAGATCGCAGTTCGAGACAAGCAAGCAGTAGCGAGTGTCGTTGAGGCAGAGGAGGATGAAGCCAAAGTGGGAGGGGGGAAACGGTGTATCTGGAGAAGACCGAGGGGGGGGACAGCGGGGGTGAAGCAAGACATGCGGTAAAAAAAAATCAAGTGAAGCCGGGGGTGAGGCGTGGCAAAGGAAGACAAGGCAAGGCAGGGTGAGGCGAGGCGATACACCAAGCTGCCAGGGAACGAGGGATATGGAGGTAAGGTTCAAGTGACAATGGAGCGGAAGCGAGAAGATGACCACAAATACAAGGAGAGCGGTGCCAAATGGAACCAGGAGGAAAAGAAACAGAGAAAAGTGCCAGACCAAAGTAAAGGCACCAAAACTTTTGACGGCCTTGCAGAAGGATCGACCGACTGCTGTATCAGGCAATATCGCAGCATCCGGAGGGCCTGTTTCGCCAGGATCTGCCGCCACATACACATGGCAAACAGCTTAGCCGCCAAAGCCGTAGAGGGTGCGGCCCTGGCGCTTGAGGGCATAGACGACATCGAGCGACGTGACGGTCTTGCGCTTGGCGTGCTCGGTGTAGGTAACAGCGTCGCGGATAACGTTCTCGAGGAAGGACTTGAGGACGCTGCGGGTCTCTTCATAGATCAGGCCAGAGATACGCTTGACACCGCCTCTGCGAGCCAGGCGGCGAATGGCGGGCTTGGTGATGCCCTGGATGTTGTCGCGAAGGATCTTGCGGTGGCGCTTGGCACCTCCCTTACCAAGACCCTTTCCACCCTTGCCGCGGCCGGTCATGTTTTCGATGGGTTAAAGACGTTCAAGTGGCGTGGAGATTTCTTGTGCAAGCGATCTGCTTCGTTGATCAAGCAGATGGGTCAGCGCTTCGGGTCGAACGGAGTGTACGGTCCTGATCGCTGGGATGCTGGGGTGCTGTGGCGGCTTGGGCGGCGGCTGCCGCGAGGTATTTATACTCGGTTCACCGGCCACGCCCGATGATGATAGGCTGGCGCCCCACCAATCATCTGGCGTGGCTTGGCATCCTGGCTCTCCGCGCCAGCAAGGCCCTCTCCCGCGCGGCCGCTGGCGTGCCTGGCCACTCAGCGGTGAAACCGGGCGGCCTCAGCAGAGTCACACAGGTCACACCGCGCGGCAGTATAAATGCCAGGGCCCGCCCGCTTCCTGGCGGGATAAAACCAACCTCGCTGCCCTGTGTCCTTGCCGCCCCAACCAGCCCGAGCTCGACACCTCCATTATAATTTGCTACCCAACCAGTCAAGTAGCCCAGTCGTAACCATGGCCCGCACCAAGCAAACCGCCCGCAAGTCCACCGGTGGCAAGGCTCCCCGCAAGCAGCTCGCCACCAAGGCCGCCCGCAAGTCCGCCCCTGCCACTGGTGGTGTCAAGAAGCCCCATCGTTACCGCCCCGGCACCGTCGCTCTCCGTGAGATCCGTCGCTACCAGAAGAGCACCGAGCTCCTGATCCGCAAGCTGCCCTTCCAGCGTCTTGTTCGTGAAATCGCCCAGGACTTCAAGACCGATCTCCGCTTCCAGTCGTCCGCCATTGGTGCCCTCCAGGAAGCCTCTGAGGCTTACCTCGTTGGTCTCTTTGAGGACACCAACCTTGCCGCTATCCATGCCAAGCGTGTCACCATCCAGCCCAAGGACATCCAGCTGGCTCGTCGCCTCCGTGGCGAACGCTCTTAAGCGTCAAACATGGCTGCAGGCGGTAGCATGGACACACGCATGTCAGGGATGGCATTGACGGAACAGTACAATAGTACACCACAGCGGACAAACAACCATACGGCGACAGTCCAAAAGCACCATTACAAGGATCGAGAGCAAGCAAGACAGCACAAACACAAACACAAGATAAAGTCTAGCAAAGCAGATCGACGAGATTCCAAGATGATACCAAAATTGCCACACTTTCATTCTTCGACGGCACTGGTCGACCGCCGCGCCAATTATGGCGCTGGAACACGCCCCTGTGCATCCTTTCTATTTCAGTTCGCTCCGTGGTCCTGTCCCGATGTGATCTTGGCCTGACCGGCACTGGATGCTCAACAATTGTTGGAGACTTGAGGGGGGGGGCTCGCTGCCCCAGCAGTTGCCTCCAAGATGGATCGTTTACCGTTTGCCGTTTGCCGTTTGTTCCTCTCTCGCTTTCCTTGATGCTCCGGCCAGCCGATCTCAGGCATCGTTCTCTTGTACATACCGTGGCGCACACCAGCAATCATCGCATTTGTCTCTAATACACAATCATGTGTCTTTCGACACAGCTGAAGCTGAAGCTGAATGGCCAAATTGTGCTGGTGTGCTGGTGTGCTGGTGTGCTGGTGTGCTGGTGTGCTGGTGTGCTGGTGTGCTGGTGTGTTGGTGTGCTGGTGTGTTGGTGTGCTGGTGATTTGCGGTGCAACGGACTTGGCGCCCGTCGCATCCCAAGTCAGTCGCACCCCCAAGATCGCAGTTTGGGCTGCACAAGTCAAGCAGAGCGCGTGATTAGAGTGCGATATGCATCAGTGCACTCAAGAACCCGCAAAGGGTCTGTATCCCAGTCGGAGAGGGGGACTTGACCAACATGTCCATTGCCCCCCAGGAATCGCTGTCAATCTCAATTGCTCTGCAGTTCGACCATGGCTCTGTGTTTGTGCGATTCGGTTCGTTCCGGCCGTGTGCGGCAGACGGCTCGGCCATCAGGCTGCTGGGCTGTTGAGTTGGGCTGGACTGGACTGGACTGTTGGTCTGGGCTGGACTGGGCTGGACTGTTGAGTTGGGCTATTGAGTTGGGCTGTTGAGCTGCGACAAGCAGTTCGCGCTTTGGTCTGCTCGATCCCAGCATCTGCCCCGATCTGTCTGGATCTGCCCCGATCTGCCTCGATCTGCCTCGATCTGGATCTGTCGGGCCCTCCCCCATTCACTTCCCCCATTCACTTCCCCCATTCACTTCCCCCCTCAACTCGCTGCCTTCTTCTGCTCTTGTCTCCACACCGACATTTCCGCATTTGCAATGGCATCCGATCCGGTTCAAGCTTCCCTCCAGAAGTGTCTATCCCTTCTCGCCCAAGAGAGCCGTGATCTAGGATGCTCCGAGATTTCCTACCGAGACTCACCGCCGACACCTTTGGAATTTCTCCGTCTCGTCATGGCCAACAAACCATGTGTCTTTGGCAGTGAGTGCATCACTGCTATATGTTGCAAACACTCTCGGTATTTTGCTGATTTCTCCTCCTTTTGTTCCGATCCTTCCTTCTGGAACTCACACCACACAGATGTTGGCAAGGACTGGCCAGCGCTTCAAAAATGGAGGCGTCGAGAGTATTTCGAAACCACTTTCCAGCAACAAAAGATCACCGTATCTGTGACGCCAAACGGGTATAATACCCCATTCTATGATCCTCATCTGCATCCTCGATCCGACTGGCTCTTGCTCCTGCACCAAACCGGCATCAGCGTCTGACGGTGCCTTCAATCCTTTGCGTCAGCCTGGCTGATTGTGTTATCAACGACAAGTTCTGCCTTCCCTACGAAGAGCAAATGACATTCCCGGAGCTCCTCGATCGCTTCCCAGAAAGCCAAGCTCCAGACTCGGACGAGAACTATGATCACAACGAGCCTGTTCACTACGTCCAATCGCAGAACAACAACTTCTCGACCGAGTTCTCAGTCCTCCTTGATGATGTGCCCAAGGACATTGCATTCGCGTCCGAAGCTCTAGGTTGGTCCGGTGTTTGATCTCGCCTTTCGCTCAAAGATATCCGCACATAGTGGCATCAACTACGCCGTCATCTGATTGTCGTCCTCCGTCGGATCGCATACAGGAAAACAGCCAGATGCCGTCAACTTTTGGCTTGGATCGGATCGCTCGGTGACGTCTCTTCACAAAGACCATTACGAGAATCTGTACATGGTTATCACAGGGAGCAAGACCTTCACTTTGTATGCATTTTGAGCAGCATTCGTGGGTCCTTGAGCCGCATGTGTGGGTCCTTGAGCCTGCTGGCAGTTTGGATATGACCCGCTTATCCTTTTGACACTCACATTGTCGACAGAATTCCACCAACGGAGGGATTTTGCTTGCCGGGTTCGTCCATCTTCCTGCCATTGTCCTTGGACCCTG